CTTTCCTTTTCCGTTCACTACTCGCTCGGGGAGACTTCGTTGTCATGCGACCTGCAGTCTGCACCCCAGTTCTCAGTCGTTAAGAACCAGGGCTTTCGCGCTGTGTTGCACATGTCCCGTCTCGAAGATATTTTACTGACACAGCGACCCCCCAACTCTCTACCACGAGACCAAAACCGAAGTTATAAAATCACTAAAGAAAACGGGTAGGATGGCTGTAACATGCTGAGTGGACATCCATTACCACTGGATCTTATGTCACTCTAACAGTGCATTTTATCACAGATGAACGGCAGCAGCGTCTCATGTGCTCCAAACCAGAGCAGTGAATGAGAGCCTTCTAGTTCACTTCCCACATCACTTCCATTTGTTTTATCAAAGATATTGGATGTAAATGCACTATGGATCATTACAAATACTTTGCTTTAAAACTACCAAGTCCTCAGACATTAGGAAAATAGAAATCCTGTATAGAAAAAAGAAAAATCAAGATGCATCGATAATCGTTTTATAATCGCAGCCCTCTGAATCGTAATCGAATCAAATCGTGAGGTGCCTAGAGATTCCCACCCCTAGTGTAAAGTCACTGAAAATGTGTTATTTTATATGTTCTTCACAGAAAATGAGCAAAGGAGAAGGAATCTGAGGTTGAAATAATAATAATTCGCATCATTTTTTCTTTTGGTAAACATTGAAAATGGCTCCCACAGACCCCAACACCACACAAGGGTTAAAAGGACACGCTCTACGTCTGATTTATGAAACTATTGTGCAACGTTTGGAAGGAGGCATGATTTGAGCTTCATGGAATTAGGCACCTGCACACTATACCCAATCAGTCTTTCACGCAATTCAATTAAATTTAGTTCAATCAGGTGTACTGGTGGTGGTGGTGGCATCGAGTCATTGTTGTTCTAACTACCTTACAACTCTCAACTATTCTCAACTATTTTGAAAACAAGACATTCTTGTTACTTTTTAAATGTATTTATGTTTATTTATATTTAATGTAATGTTCTATACTGTTTTTATTACTTTATTTTAAAAAAGTTTGCATAGGTGAGCAGTACTGCATACTGTAGACTGCATAAGGCCGTGGGAAAATGAAGTTTGTATTTTGATATGATTCGGATTCTGGCAGTTCTTTTGCAATATTTTAATATTTGAGTTTTATTTCGAATTTTTAGTCATCCATACATCACAACACAGCATATGCTAGATGCAAAATTCTTTTTTTTTTCTTTTTTTTTAACCGAAATCTCTCTTCCATTTAGCTGTAGCCTATTCCATCCACTAGGTAGGTCTTCTCTACCACACAGTGCTACTAATTCGGAAGAGTGAGTGCACATACTTCCTCTGAAACACATGAAGCTGTACCATATCTTTTCAAACTTCTGCTAACACAATGTTATGGAACCAATCAACAGGCTTGGAGGAGAACGCTAACTGCTACCTGTTAAGTCAGCTAACAGATGCTGGCATTGGCTAGTATCATGCTGAAAGGTGGGGGAGAGCGAGGATCACCCTACCCACCAAGAGAGAGCGAGACCAATTATGCTCTCTTGGACTGCCTTCCATGGATGGCGGTGACATCACCAGGGCTCCATGTTGTAAGCTCCTGACAACAGGGCCAACATTTAGACGGTTGGATTTAGAATTTTTTTTATGCAAAAAGAGCTTTTAGTTTAAAATTAAATCCAAAATAGAACTAAAAGGATGATCTTTTCTCACCATTCAGTAGAACTTTTCACAAGATCCATCTGAGATATATCAATCAGGACCTAAAGATAGGAAACAGACAGAAGTGTTATCTATTTGTTTAAGCAATAGAACACGAGAGGGACTGTGTTATCGCGAAATAACATCCCAGTCATGATGTTATTCGCGATAACACACGACCTCGAGTGTTCTATTGCTTTTATACAAATGTTAAATAAATAAAGTAAGAAACTAATAAATTGGGCCATGAACGTGGCATTTAACATGTTTTAATGTTAGCAATTCCTTCCGCCAAATTATTGTTCCTCAACAAGCAGCTCATTGCTACATCAGAGCAACAAACTCCGCTCACTCGCTGCACAGCCAGCAGTTCATTCTCCAGCTCTTTACACTAAATTCCCACTGTCATTACAACTGAGCAAGCTTTTCAGTCGGCAGCTGTGACAGAAGAACACCTAAACAACCTGGAATTAGCCAGAAATGAACCGAATACCATCTTCAGAGTCTGACCAAATCGGCTGAGGGTCAAATGTGATCTTAAAAGTATCCATTTTCTGTTTGTGGCAAAGTAAGAAGTAAAAACGTTCAAATGGCTTGAGCGTCTCCTACAGTTGTCAAAGTCGTTGCTTAGCAACGGTGTCCCAGCGGAGTGGTACAGTGTTTGTATTTCAACCAATTAGCTTGCGTGGCCAAAACTAACTGTTGTATAAAGAAAAATATGAAATGTACACCTAAACAACTAAACTACAATTGTCTAGTCACTTTAATTATACAGCATTTAGTTCCAACCACACAATCTGATTGGTTGAAAAGTGTTCTACCAATTTTATCCCTAACAAAAAAGTTTACTCAGACTTACTTTATATAAGTGACTCTGCTTTCAGTATACTTTTTATGTACTACCAGAAATATACTAATCAAAATTATACTTAAGTAAACAGAAAAGTCTATTTGGCCTATACTTGTACTTAATCTTTTGATCAAGATATACTTAAGAAAAGTATAATTAAGTATTCTTGCCTTATACATAATGTTTAAGTATTCGTGGCTTGTAGTTTGGGGTGGAATAGCTTAGAGTAAAACCTATGTGAGTGGAACTGAAACTGATCTTTTATGTAAATCATAGAAAAGCGTAATCTATTTGTGGGCAGCCAGGGACTGATTTCAGAGGCTGCATGACACAAATTCTAATATCAAACATTCCTAAAGACTGTGTTCATATTAGGGGTTGCACAGACTAGTCAAGTAGTAGACTGGTTTTTACTGCTCGGCAGGGCTCATTGAAAAGGGCACATCACGCCCTACTGACCTGTGGAGTTTGGCTTCGTCACAGATTTTTGAAGTCGGATTTTTTAAATTCACTTGTTGCAAATCGCTCCCTTCTCCTATGGTTTTATTCATGATGTCATTATTGATTAGTCGATGTTAACGCGAGTTTCATCACATAGCTTTTGAAAATCTTAAGTTGTGCAACCTGGAGTTCTTATTGTGTGTTTGTTTTGTTTTGAACTGAAATGTCAATTTGAATTATGTTCTTATATTCTGGAATCAAATACAATATTTGTTTGAAATTTTTGATTCATAAAGAAAACAAACATGCTCTCTATCTTGAACATGTCTTGTGAATTTTTATTTGTGTAGTCCACTGGTAGAGTTCATATTAGTTAGCTTCAAGTCTACTTAAAGGTATATTTCAAGTATAAAAATGATCCCTAAATAGAAACCTAGTAGTGTACTTTAAAGTGCAAAAATATTATATAAATAATATACTTAAAATAGTACTTTTGTAAAGTAAAAATTGTGACAGAAGTATATAACTAGAATGCTAACAGTATATCTATAAGGTGTGGTTCACAGTATATGTAACGACCACTATTCGGTCATCAAACAGTCGGACACAAGGGCTCGCTTTCCACTCTGTTTATTCTGAAACAGATTTTATAGTGTATTAATCTTCTCTTGCCTTAGATGGCTGCAGACCCCACAAGCGTCCATCTCAGAGCTCTCACTCGTCTGAGCTTATAGTATTTCTTTTAAAAGAGCACTTTTCACTTTACAATAACATGCACGAGATCGTATAGTTTGTTCACATTATAAAAATTCCAAAATTACAGAGAAAAGCATTTTTTTTTCTTATTGCACGACAAAATGAACATACTGCAGAACAAACACAAAAAAAAAAAAATTAATACTGCGTGGCTAGCAGCAGCAAAATGCACTGCACATTTTAGGAGGGAACAAACTAGGGAGCACATTCCTGAAACAGATTTTATAGTGTATTAATCTTCTCTTGCCTTAGATGGCTGCAGACCCCACAAGCTGAACATATAAAAATGAAATAAGAAGAAATGAGAAGTTTTATTTTTTTTTTAATCCAACTTTGCTGCCGAGGGTGAGTTTAAGCTAGCTATTTCGCTACCATGGCTCAGTTAGCTGAAGCACATGTCTGAGCAATAATTTGACAAAAATAGCATTTATAATCAAAACTACACTCTGAGAAAATTATCACATGCTCATATAATGTGTTAGAATAATGTTTTAAAGTTTTTAACTCAATATGAACTGAATTGAATTATATATTCATGAGAAACCACAGCAGCTACACACCGTCCATCTCAGAGCTCTCACTCGTCTGATGGAGGTACGGCAGCAGCAGGGACACAGTCTGCAGTGATGTCACAGCAAGAAAAGAAAAGCTCCCTAAAAATAATTGTAACCTTTTTTTGGAAAAATATAAATAACTTTTTACAATTGTTCTGAACCTTTTTACAAAAATGGAGTCATTTTGGTGAAACTCAATATTTTATCAACTGTTTAATTTCAACTCCGTTACACATAGTTGCAGTATAAAATATATCTTAGATGTAAACTTGTTGTGTACTCAAAGTTTACTACTCTTATACCTAAAGACTACTTAAAAATATACTTTTATAAACTAAAATGTGGGCCAATTTAGTCCCAAGAAGTATTGAAATAGTACACTTACAAGTATACTACCAGTACATTGATATTGGTATACTTACTACATAAAGTATACTTGGGAAAAATTACTTGAACTTAAGTTTACTTCATAAAATGAACTTTAAGTATACTTTTTTGTAAGGGATATCTGAGAACGGCATAGTTTCTTCACCGCCTACGTCTTTCAGCTGACCACTGGATGCTATTTAACAACAACATTGTAGAACAAATAGACAATATTAAAGGCATATATTTGAAACAGTGTTCAGGAATGATTGTCTTTATTCAGCTGTTATATAAAAACAAAACAGCACATGAGATTATGTGTATAAAATCAAAACAAATGTCTTTCCATTTCCTGTGTTTAACATTCGCATGTTCTTCGAAGAAACGTCCAGCTTCCTAGTCTTCGCCTTCTCCAATGGCACCAAAAACTCAAACCTGAGTAAGCATGAGTGTTAGTAAGCAAGGCGTGACTAGCCAATGTGTCTGCAGTGTTAAAATAACCACTATGTAATTCAGAGAAGCTCTCACTTCTCTTCAAAGACAGGCTCCACAGTCTTCCTCTTCACTTGTGTGCACATGCGGTTCTTCCATTTTTGGTCTGGCAGCAGGTGAAGGTGAACGTTGGTGTCCACGTTGTTACACTGGAACAGGTTTCTAGCAAGCAAAGTTAACAGGACATGGCATTTATATTTACTAATACAACAACTGGAATTATTCACAAGAAATATTACAATATCCAAGAAAAGCTAACAACAGCAATGCTAGAATCAAAGTTAATGATACAGATATTTGTCCGAATTTCAGCCTGAATTGGGAGAAGTCCAGTGAGAGAAGTCCATATCCTCCCAGTTCATTTTTCTGCACAGATTAATCATTCACAGTACACTCTTACAAAAGATAGTGCTTCAAAGGTTCTTTAGTAAAGAAAGTGGTTCTATATAGAACCATAAACACTCAAAGAACCCTCTGCATGATTAAAGCACTCTTTGCATCATGAAGGAGTTCTTCAGATTGATGGAAACTGTGCATGAATGTGCCTTTTTGAAAATGGTTCTATATAGCACCTAAAAGAATTCTTCTATTGTTACGATGTCAAGCTTGTAACAATAGAACAACCCTCTATAGTAAATGAAAATAAGTTAGTGTAACCTCTACAGAGCACACATTTCTGCACAGTTTAACGCACAATTACTGTTTATTTGCTAAATTTATTTTGCACAGGCCACATTTTATGAATTTTTTTCTCAATGTGTTGAATTCAGTAAACAAACACTAATTGTGCATTAAAATGTGTAGGAATGTGTTCTCTGTAGAAGATGTGTTCACATTTTCATTTAGAAAAGCAACAACGTCATGTGACCGGGGACACCCAAGTTTTTGCATGCAAACGTATGTCATATAGATAAAATATATTTCAATTGTATCATGTTGATATTTTATGTATTTATGTTGGAAAGCTCATCTGGCTTAAACAACACAGTACTGTATTAACTGTGTTTTTCTGTTTTCTGTCTGTTACAATTATCGCTGCCTGTTTGACATTATATGCAGGGTGAAATAAGTTCTTCCCAGTGAAAAAGTAGCTTTTCCTAACCTAATGTTTTAAAACAGAACAATAAAATAAAAACCCTGGAGACGGGGTGTGTGGAGTCAACACAACTTAGAAAACAGAATTTTAATGGATTATGGTACAATTATGTTCCCTGACTAAAGGTACTGAGATGTACCCTTGAGGGTACCACCCCAGTGACAAGAGGGGTACAGCCCCAGTGACAATTTCATACTTTCATACCTTTGTAGGAACTCAGGGTGAGTCTGCCCTGTATTCTCTTATTACTTGTCTTTTTGACTTTGTTCTGAAAAATAAATGAAAGTACTGCATAGCCACAACTTAGTAAGGTGTGGGAATGAGATAATTAAGCATTGACCACAGCTTAATAAGGCATGATCTCTTTCCCATGCCTTACTAAGTCGTGGCCATGACTTAGTTATCTCATTCCCATGCCTCACTAAGTCATGATAGGATCTCGTTCCCACACGTTAATACAGCATGGGCACCTCATTTTTATTTATCCAGGATGTCACCATCAGGGTTCTGTACAGCAGGCCTATGTAGTATGCTGTATAATTAGCCTGAGAATGGTACAGTCCATGGCTATATTTGTGTTGTAGACATTGTGACCCCTGGTTCTTATCACCACCACTGTAGTTGGCAAGTTTCTCTACAATTAATTATTTCACATCAAACCACTGCCCTGCGATGGACTGGCGACCTGTCCAGGATGTATCCTGCCTTCTGCCCAATCACAGCTGGGATAGGCTCCAGCACCCACCGCGACCCAGAGGGATAAGCGGTTTAGATGATGTATGTATGTAAATCAAACCACTCCGAATTACTGAATTATTGAGAAAATTTTTAAAAACCTGCAGGTGGTTTCATTATCATTGTTCCTATCTCCCTCTAGTGGTTAATTTAAATACTGCAGCTTAGTTGATGTGAAATCAAAACTGAAAGCGACTCGCCTGGCACTCGTCGGTTGGACAGTTGCGGATTACCGGTGAGAATAAGGTCCGTTCAGTAAGTTATACAGCCTGTTTGTAAATTGTAATTTGGTTATTATTAAACCTCCTGTTATCTTCACATTTACTAACAGATTTATGCTTAGGGTTTGAATTAAAAGTTTGAATTAAACCTCCACAAAATGATTATAATTAAAATTATTACCCAGGTTCATGTATCAGGTACTTTGTTGTCCAAGATGTCAATCATTTTTTTTATAGACGATAATTCATGCGGTCAAACTGACCCCAAAGCTAATAGGAGAGTCAAGATAACGAGATAAGCAGCACTGAAAGTGAGACATTTCTAACAGTCTACCACAGTTAACCTACGCTTATGTAACCCAGGTTTCAAATGGCCAGAAATTAAATCCAGACACACAGTGGAATAATAATAAAAATGATTTATTTAAGAAACAATATAACACAGAAATAACAGTTAGAAAAGTCAAAATAGATCCATCCATCCATCCATCCATCCATCATCTAAACCGCTTATCCTTCTGGGTCGCGGTGGGGTGCTGGAGCCTATCCCAGCTGTCATTGGGCGGAAGGCAGGATAGTAAAAATAGATGAGTAAAGAAAATAAATTGACCATTAATCAACAGCCAATAGTTCTTTGACAAGTCATGGTCTGAGTGAGAGATGGCCAATCAGCGCTAAGTGGGTGTTACTTCCGCCTATCCCAGAGGGACATCCTGTGAAGAAAACGCAGAGTTAAAGTAAGAGAGAACACTGAAGAAAAATAACAAAGAAAAATTTATATAAAGGTATACTAGACAAATAAGTATTCTAATGGATTTTTGATACCTGGAACCACTAGACATTTGAGACTGGAAGCTACTAGAAGGTTAATTAAATAGAACTATTGAGTTGCTTTTACTTACTCTGAGCTGTTGACCAGAATACTCTTCGTCATTAAAATGACTGCTGAGGGGAACTTTGAGACGAAATACGCCTGAAACGACGATTTGGATTTACACTAGCTTAGATTGGATTTGGTGAGTGTGACGTGTATATTTTTTGATGTAAATAGTTGTATATGCAGAAAAAGTAACAGCTAACTAGCTTAGCTGCTGTTACAGCCAATGCTAGAAATTGCCTTTGGTGAAGGATAATGCTAACTGCCATTTTGTACTCTTTAAAAAAAGTAATCCAACCGTGTGGTGTTACGACCACGGTAAAGTTAGTTTTGTTTTCGATATTCGTCTTTTCAGCGCTAATAACATTTGATCGGACTACAGTGGTCAGTAAAGACTTACATATTCATGACAGTACGACCACAGAGAGTGATGCACACCTGTTCTTTTACAGTTTGGGTGACATTTAACGTACCGCTATTTTGTGTTAATACCATAGAACTGAGACACGTTTTTCAGTCGGAAGGAAAATCATGCACTTCTAGACCACGCCCACATCCATGCACACACCTCTGTTTTCCTCCAAAGCGTTTCAGTGTATTTAAATACATATTTTAATTGTTCGTGCTAACAATAGACACCGCCAAACAATAGAATGTCAATAGCGCCATAAACACTGTGTCCATACACATCTGATTAATTGTGTTATTTGCTCTAAATTATGGTTAGAAATACACACCACTTTAATTTAGAAAAAGGACTTTGAATTAACCTGTAACTAAAATGTACTTGCCAATACTTGTCCTAAGACATTAGCAGTCTTGAAGGTTTAATAGATCCTTAACCATCTATATTAGTTTAAAAAATGAGTGTAGAAAAGAAAACGTCTTATTTAAGTGGATCAAATTGCAAATCAAAACTTTTTTAAATCCATCAAAAACTCCGTGAGTCAGAATTAAATTATTTTTTCCATTTTCAATTTCGACATTTTAGACATTGAACATTTAAAATACTGCTTAGATTCAAAATGCAGCATTCACTGCAATTAATACAGCTGAAATGCTTTTGAAGGTTAAAATACAAATATTAATATAAAGTAATTATTGCAGTACAATCAAAATTCAAAAGGTGTGTATGATTGCTGACACCTCACTGCACCATACACAATTGTTTTTAGTGTTGGGTGTAATACAGCTGAAATATTATTGAAATTCAAAATATATAAAAATTAATAAAAAGTAGTTACAGCAGTATATCTAAAATTCAAAGGCTGTGCATCACTGCTGACACCTTGGTGCACCATATACAACTGTTTTTAATGTTGTAAATAATGCAGCTGAAATATTATTGAAATTCAAAATATATAAAAATTAATAAAAAGTAGTTACAGCAACATATCCAAAATCTAAAAGCTGTGCATCATTGCTGACACCTCACTGCACCATACACAGCTGTTTTTAATGTTGTAAATAATGCAGCTGAAATATTATTGAAATTCCAAATATGTAAAAATTAATAAAAAGTAGTTACAGCAATATGTCCAAAATCCAAAAGCTGTGCATCATTGCTGACACCTTGGTGCACCATACACAGCTGTTTTTAATTTTGTAAATAATGCAGCTGAAATATTATTGAAATTCAAAATACATAAAAATTAATATAAAGTAGTTATTGCAATATATCCAAAATTCAAAGGCTGTGCATCATTCCTGACACCTTGGTGCACCATACGCAGCTGTTTGTAATGTTGTAAATAATACAGCTGAAATATTATTGAAATTCAAAATACATAAAAATTAATAAAAAGTAGTTACAGCAATATGTCCAAAATTTAAAGGCTGTGCATCATTGCTGACACTGCACTGCACCATACACAGCTGTTTTTAATGTTGTATATAATTTAGCTGAAATAGCTTTATACTTTATATTGATGTTTATGTATTTTGAATTAATAGCATTTCAACCATAATACATACATCACTAAAACCATTGTATATGGTTCAGCAAGATGTCAGCAATCATACACAACTTTTGGATTTTGGATGTAATGCAATAACTGCTTTATATAAATTTTTATTTATTTTGAACTTCAGTAATATTTCAGCCACATTACATACAACACCAAAAATAACTGTGTATGGTGCAGCTAGGTATCACCATTCGTACAATTTCTTTGGATTTTGGATCTAATGCAATATCTAATTTAAATAATTTTTCATATTTTTTGAATTTCAATTATATTCCAGTGACATTACATACAGCACTACAAAGAATTGTGTACAGTGCAGTGAAGTGTCAGAAGTCATACACACCTTTTGGATTTTGGATATAATGCAATAAATACGTTATTTTTTTATTTAATTTGAACTTCAATAGTATTTTGCCCATCTTACAAATAACACTAAAAACTACTGTGTATGGTGCAGTGCAGTGTCAGCAATGATGCACGGCCTTTGGATTTTGGATATAGTGCAATAACTACTTTATATTAATTTTTATTTATTTTGAACTTCAATAATATTTTGACTATTTTACATACAACACTAAAAATAGCTGTGTATGGTGCAGTGCAGTGTCAGCCATGATTCACCGCTTTTGGATTTTGGATATATCCCTGTGACTACTTTTTATTAATTTTTATGTATTTTGAATTTCAATAATATTTCAGCTAAATTATATACAACATTAAAAACAGTTGTGTATGGTGCAGTGAGGTGTCAGCAATGATGCACAGCCTTTGGATTTTGGATATATTGCTGTAACTACTTTTTATTTTTATGTATTTTGAATTTTAATAATATTTCAGCTGCATTATTTACAACATTAAAAACAGCTGTGTATGGTGCAGTGAGGTGTCAGCAATGATGCACAACCTTTAAATTTTGGATATACTGCTGTAACTACTTTTTATTAATTTTTACATATTTGGAATTTCAATAATATTTCAGCTAAATTATATACAACATTAAAAACAATTGTGTATGGTGCAGTGAGGTGTCAGCAATGATGCACAGCCTTTGGATTTTGGATATACTGCTGTAACTACTTTTTATTAATTTTTATATATTTTGAATTTCAATAATATTTAAGCTAAATTATATACAACATTAAAAACAGTTGTATATGGTGCACCAAGGTGTCAGCAATGATGCATAGCCTTTGGATTTTGGATATACTGCTGTAACTACTTTTTATTAATTTTTATGTATTTTGAATTTCAATATTTCAGCTGCATCATTTACAAAATTAAAAACAGCCGTGTATGGTGCAGTGAGGTGTCAGCAATGATGCACAACCTTTAAATTTTGGACATATTGCTGTAACTACTTTTCATTAATTTTTATGTATTTTGAATTTCAATAATATTTCAGCTAAATTATATACAACATTAAAAACAGCTGTGTATGGTGCAGTGAGGTGTCAGCAATGATGCACAGCCTTTAAATTTTGGACATATTGCTGTAACTACTTATTATTCATTTTTATGTATTTTGAATTTCAATAATATTTCAGCTGCATTATTTACAACTTTAAAAACAGCTGTGTATGGTGCACAGCCTTTAAAGTTGGGATATATTGCTTTAACTTTTATCAATTTTGAATTTCAATAATATTTCAGCTGTATTACACCCAACACTACAAACAATTGTGTATGGTGCAGGTAAGTTTCAGCAATCATACTGTTGAGTTTTTAATGTACTGTAATAATTACTTTATATTAATATTTGTATTTTAACCTTCAAAAGCATTTCAGCTGCATTAATTGCAGTGAATGCTGCATTTTGAATCTAAGCAGTATTTTAGCTACATTGCATCCTTTGACATTCAAAGTTTGTGTGTCATCACTGAAACTTATCTGCACCAAACACTGCTGACTTAAATTTTCAATGTCTAAAATGTTATCGAAATTCAAAATGAAAAAAATGTACAAGATTTAAAACTTACATCTGACTCACTTAGTGTTTGATGGATTTAAACTTTTGATTTGCAATTTAATCCACTTAAATAAGACGTTTTCTTTTCTACACTCTCATTTTTTAAACTAATATTTTAGATGGTTAAGGATCTATTAAACCTTCAAGACTGCTAATGTCTGTCAATTACTGAACCTCTGTCATCAAGCTAACTAGCTATATCAGTATACAGGTAATATCAGTTTTTACAGGTAAGGTATGCTCAGTACTGTTAGGACAAGTATTGGCAAGTACATTTTAGTTACAGGTTTATTCAAAGTCCTTTTTCTAAATTAAAGTGGTGTGTATTTCTAACCATAATTTACAGTAAATAACACAGTTAATCAGATGTGTATGGACACAGTGTTTATGGAGCTATTGACGTTCTATTGTTTGGCGGTGTCTATTGTTAGCACGAACAATTAAAATATGTATTTAAATACACTGAAACGCTTTGGAGGAAAACAGAGGTGTGTGCATGGATGTAGGCGTGGTCTAGAAGTGCATGATTTTCCTTCCGACTGAAAAACGTGTCTGAGTTCTATGGTATTAACACAAAATAGCGGTACGTTAAATGTCACCCAAACTGTAAAAGAACAGGTGCATCACTCTCTGTGGTCGTACTGTCATGAATATGTAAGTCTTTACTGACTACTGTAGTCCGATTAAATGTTATTAGCGCTGAAAAGACGAATATCGAAAACAAAACTAACTTTACCGTGGTGGTGTTACGAGGGTACAAATGTGTATATATTAGAAAAGAAAAGTGAAATTTGCTTTGTAAACTGGTTTTGAACAATATGTGTAGGTGTATTAAGACGCTGTTTTTGTCAACAGGTCAGTTTTTTTGTTGGTTTGTTTCAACTCTCCCCTGCATTCGGCTGCACGTGGCGTGTGCACCCGTTTGGACAACTAGTTAGATGGCGAGCCAAGCCCACGTCTAGAGGACAACTCGCCAGACTTTCGAGTTCGAGCACTATAGACGGACTTTTCTCTTGGTGACTACACTCAGCAGCATGGTAGGACTGAAACTAGCAATTTCCCCAGTGAACTGAACTTGAAAAATAAAACAACAAAAAGGAGACATATTTTATTTCATTTTTGAACCACTTATAGTTCTAACATTTTTATGGACAGTTGAGAAAAAGGTTTAATTTGTATCTTGGTTATTGTCTGATTGATTGATATTTGTTTGTTTTGTTGTTTAATTCATGTTTTAATAGTTTTGTTTTAAAAGAATAAGGGTACATTATTTAAGGTTTGAGCATTGAGTGAACCAAAATAAGTGGAACTAAAACCATAAAATAGCACTTTATAAACTAGAATTTAAAGCTAAACTAACATCTAAACTATAAACAGAGATTAATACTTACCTTAGCTGACTTAAATCCTAAACCCTAACTGAAAGTACAGATATAAAAAGCTAATTAATTACTGAAACTGTAATAGAGTGCACCAATTAGACTGACAAACTGAAAAAATAGGTAAACTACTGATTGTCCAAGGACTGCGTAATTAAAATTAAATACATTATATTCATTAGCACAAGGTGAATATCTGAAAAAAAAGATGCCTGTTGATTCCTTGAATTAGAAGGTAATTGAAGCTTTTGTAAACACTTGAAAGGTCCTCATTGTATTATTTTTTTATTTCACTATTTGTTTTCATTGCTCTATTTATCTTGGTGAAGTTTATTAATTCTGTCGAAGCTAAGAAATCACATTCATTCCTTAATATAACTCAAATGATTTTATCTGCACTGGTCTCGTTCCATTTTTTTCATATTTTATGTAAAGTGCCGCTCCCTGAGCGAACCTACACTGGTCCATTTGAAACCCCTAACACCTAGTTTAGTACTAGAGCTGACTCACGGGTTACACTTGTCTTACTGTAGAAAAAGACAGACAGACAGACTGTTTGATAGAATTGCTGCCCTACTGCTTCACTGAACAGTAAGCTTAGGGAAATAAGCTTTTCTCTTGATTTTATTTCAGGGCTAAATGGATCTTATAATTCTCAATAAAGTGAACTTTATCAAGTGGTTACGTGAGGATCTGCTCATTTTACAGCATGTGCAGTCACGGAAACTTGTAACGATGGACGAGTACACCAAACTTAAGAATATCCGAGATTCTTCTGAAAGAATTAATGAACTCTTGGACACAATTCTGAGTAAGGGCAACTTGTTTTGCCTGAATTTTTTGAACTTGCTGAAAGAAGACGGTGTGAATGCGTCCAGCCCGCAGCTCAAGGAATGGATATCGACTATAAACAATTCAGGTACAACAGCGCCACCAAACATACACCGTTAGACCATATGTACTACAGACAGACCATGACACAAACATAACCGTTCACTATTAGACCATATGTACTACAAACAGACCACCACACAAACGTACCTGTTCACTATTAGACCATATGTACTACAAACAGACCACCACACAAACGTAACTGTTCACTATTAAGACCATAAGTACCACAGATAGACCACCACACAAATGTAACCGTTCACTATTAAGACCATATGTATTACAGACAGACCATGACACAAACGTAATTGTTCACTATTAGACCATATGTACTACAGATAGACCACCACACAAACGTAACTGTTCACTATTAGACCATATGTACCACAGATAGACAACCACACAAATGTAACTGTTCACTATTAAGACCATAAGTAGCACAGACAGACCACCACGCAAACGTAACCGTTCACTGTTAAGACCATAAGTACCCCAGATAGACCACCACACTAACATTACTGTTCTCAATTAGACCATATGTACTGCACAGACCACCACACAAACATAACTGTTCACTTTTAGACCATAAATACTACAGACAGACCACCACACAAACATAACTGTTTAATATTACCCTATACGTACCATAGACAGACCACCACACAAACGTAACTGTTCACTATGAGACCATATGTACTACAGATAGACCATCACACAAACATAACTGTTTACTATTAGACCATAAATACTACAGACAGACCACCACACAAACATAACTGTTCACTATTAGACCATATGTACTACAGATAGACCACCACACAAACATAACTGTTTACTATTAGACCATATGTACTACAGATAGACCATCACACAACCGTAACTGTTCACTGTTAGACCATATGTACTACAGACAGACCACCACACAAACATAACTGTTCAATATTAAACTATAGGTACTACAGACAGACCACCACTCAAAGAAAATTGTTTACTGTTAGACCATATGTACTACAGATAGACCACCACACAAACACAATGGTTCACTATTAGACCATGTATGTTCATCCTGAAGTAAAATATTTTATTCCAAAGATGTTCACATGTGTACCAAAAATTGAAGCAGTCCACTAATTTTAAGACAATTTCTGTTGTTTTTGTAGAAGTACATACCCTGTGATTTAAACTAAATTAATTTTGGTTAAGAAAAAATCACTTTGACCCATATGGTTGGTCTGTGTATAGTACTACGACTGTTAAATCAAAATCAAACTGAAAGATCCTCACCAAAAGTATTTACACCTAGACTGATTTTAAGCCTTAAAAGGATGTTGGAGTTTTAATATGGGCCTGAGAATTACTGTGTTTATTCATCACAAAATAAATAAATTGCAGCTGTCAGAAGCCAAGAGGAACCGCCTGCCAAAGATGAAGAGCCACCAGCTGCTGAATCTGAGACAGAGGAGGCAGAAGACCAGGAGCCAGGTGAAGAGAGTGAGTTTTCAGCTGTGCTAGAAAACATCAGCTGTGCTAGAAAACCTTTGCCTGTTTTTGGATATTGCTCTTTTGTGTTTGCCCTTTTGCTCTGGTCGCTTGTACTTTTGTATTTTCCGCTTTTTGACTTTTTGCCTGGCTTTTGGATTCTGATTTTGGAGTCTGGCTTTTCATCTGACTGTTCTCTCATTAAACCAACTTTCGTTTTTAAGATCCGCGAGCATCTTTCTGTGCTTGCGCAGCGTTACACCATAATGTCCCTTCGCAGTCAGCCTCGGGGGAGGCCTGATGTAAATGTCATATGACATTATCATATGACAGTGGTGATCATTTTGCCACTAACCATGCTTTTGGTATTAAGCCAGTGAGTGTCTCTTTGAGGGTGCACACCCATGTGGTACAGATGCACTTTTGTCCCTCATTCCTAACTTCCTCAAACACATTGTTATCTCTCCAACTTTTTATATCTTCCTGTTTGGCTACATCAAATGATAAATCTTTTGTTGTCCATACATCCTCCCTGACATCTGTGGTATTAACATCAGTAACAGTGGGTTCCATCTGAGTGCTCTCTAAATTTGACATGCTAACACGCAGGGGCAGGTTGGGATTCTGGCCAAACACCAACTAATGAGGACTGCAGCCATGGATATTTTGCATGGGGTTCTGAGCCAATGTGTCCCAGTCACAACCATTACTTGTCCTTCATTATGATCTCAGTGAGTGTTTTGTCTGTGCCACCCCATAAGGCCATTACTCCATGGGCTGTTTGCAGATGTTGTCCTTATTTCTATGTTGACGTTTTCTGCCATATTTCTCACCTTATCATTAGGGACTCCCCCGTCCTCATTCCTTTGTTCCTTTAAAGTGACATCTTCAGCAGCTACCAAGACACGGTCATCGCCTTGAATGTTCTTGCCTTCATTTTCCATAATGTTCACCCAGTAATGAGCTTGTAAAGTCTCATTTTACAGGTTGATTAAACATCACTGCGCTGTCATCTTCCATATCCAGCACTGTTCCTCCTCTTTTTTCACATGCCTTGCTCAAAAGTAGTGAAATCCCTGCTGGGACAATTTCAGTTTCAATGTGACAGTCCGTCTAATTTTCACAGGAATTTTCAAATCTGTGGCGGAATAGACCACTTTTTCACCCCCAAATCTAAAAGGTCTATGACAGCGTAACTTTTGGTCTTTCACATCCAAGCACACTGTGTCTAGCAGTTTCAATGCTAATGCTCTGTCTAGTACTGCTGTTCAAAATCAGCTATCAGCAATCAAACTACTAATTGTTTGAAATTTGTGAAGTTGCTCAGGACTAGCATATTGGAATCATTTTTACACTTGTCATAAAAGCTGAATTGTTTTGAACTGAATTTTTGTAAAGGTTTTAGATAATCCATCTTTCATGGCCAGAAATATGTTCATCTGTGTGCACTGATCTACTGACCAAGTGTAATAAAGATGAATGAACTTTAATAAACACTACAATTAAATATTTTTTGTTTGTTTTTCCAGTTGTAAACAAGGTTCTCAGCGCACAACATCAGATTCAAAAGCACCGGATCAGGGTATTCCCTTACTATGAATCATTGGGAACAGCACTCTGTGGGAAAGACAGACCAACTCTGAGACTCCCAGAAACCTTCACAAAGAATATTGATAAATCTGTTTGGAAATACCTCCAAGATAATCCAGGATCACTAGATTTGATCAAGCGAGAGATGCGCAAACATTTCTGTCAGCTGGATTTTCGGGACGCAGCTGTGAAAATCAGCCCTCTAGCTTCCCTGCTTAATCAGGGTTTACAGTCAGGAAAACTCGTTGAGACCTGGAGGGAGAATGCCTCTGCTGAGTTCACTGCTACAATGTCCAAATATAAGTCCCTAGAGATCTTTGTTCAGAGAGACGCATGGAGTGAAACGGAGGCAGAAATCCACAAGACACTATTTGCTAAACCTGTGACCATGGTCTTTCAGAAAGATCAAGGAACAGTGATGCTTGCAGGCCTCGCAGAAGATGTCAGTAGAACTGGGGATGTCATACAGATCACTATTGATAGAATAACTCACAGGATCCAAAGGGAGAAGGGAAGCGTGACAGATGAGATTACCATGGTTCCATCCATTTATGAGCTCGTCATGCTAGATGGCCTTGAGCAGGAAATCAGCAATAGCTTTCCAGAAATGGAGCTGAGTTACCACTCTCACAGCAAAAAGTTAGCTCTCTATGGTCTAAAACAAGAAGTATTGGAGTCAAAAAATAAGATTCTACAAGAGGTCATTGGGCTAAAACGGAGAATGGTGGAACTCCATCCATCTATTTTGGAATTTCTGACTAGGAGGGACCAGGAGGAGCTCAAATGGGACTTACTCTTATCCAAGGGAATCAGAGCATCTTTGGAGATCAAGGAAAACCGAGCATTGCTTGTTGCCAAAACCGAGAAGACCTTGAAGGACAGTGAGGAACGTCTGAAAGCAGTGTTAAATCATAAATGCCTTGATGTAGAGGATCCCGGTGTGCTCAGGAAGGCAGAATGGCAAGATCTAATTATTTGCTTAAATAACTTATTCAATTCACCAGTAATGACTGTTGTAATAATCACATCAGGCAGCCAAATTATGGTTGCTGGCTTTGACGATGTAGTCGAATTAGTCCTTGAACAGCTTTCTGATTTTGTACACAACAATTCTAACTTGGTTGCAACGATTGAGGCTGACAGGACTGTTGTCAGATTTATCCAGGAGCACAAAAAGCAAGACTGGCTTGCAAAGGTAAAAAACAAAGTGAATATTGACTTCAAAGATGGTAAAATCTTGTTAAGTGGCCCAAGGGTTCATGTTTCTCAGTGTAAGCCTGTCTTTGAGAACATGATTTCATCTGTTTATCACTGCAGCTTGAAAGTAGTTAAGCCAGGCGCCAAGAAGTTATTCGAGAGTAAGGAGTTATTGTACGTCGCTGCAGCCAAGGAGCAAATATGGTGCTTGGTCGAGTTAATAGATGAGCATGAGGTGTTCCAGGCTGGTCTTGTCAGTATAGGACAGAAGAGATTTTTTACACCTGAAGGAGTGGAGATTGTGGTCAGCAAAGGTAACATGTGTTTTTATCCAGTAGATGCTGTAGTTATTGCAACCAATGAGAATCAGGATTTTAACAAAGGTCTGTCGAAGGCACTTTCTGATGCTGCTGGGCCACAACTGCAGGATGCCTGTCGCCAGATCCTTAAAATACGAAAACAACCGACCACAGGGGATGCTGTCCTCACTAAGGCAGGTGGACAGCTATGCTGCAAGTATATCATCCATACAGTAGGACCACATTATGATAGCTCTAATCCTAAGAGAGCAGTTCGACTTTTGAAGAAAGCTGTGAAAAGGAGCCTGTATCTTGCTGACCGAGAGAGCTGCCAGTCTGTAGCAGTACCCGTCATAAGTTCTGGGGACCTTGGGTTCCCATTGGATCTTGTTGCGGACACCATAGTTGTAGCCCTGAATGAATTCTTTGAGTTTGTGAGTGGAGACTCTTGTTTGAAGAAGATCCATCTTGTTGAAAATAATGATAGAACAGTTGAGGCTTTAGAAGCTGCAGTGCAGAAAGTATATGGGGGCAGCTCCGTCCGTCAAGTCTCCAGAAGCGAACCAAGCCACCATCAGCAAAACTTAAACCTGGTGAGTTCCTCAAGTCAACCCAGAGTGTTTGGACAAATGAAGGATTGACCATCACCCTTTCAAAGTGCAACATCCAGATCATGTATCAACACTTGGTGTGTCTTTGAAAAATCATAGTGTCTATAGCAGTATGAAAGTCCAGGCAGACAAAATGTAGGACCACAAATCAAGAAAACAAGACAGGAATATGCTAAACTCAGTTGAACAAGAAGACAAGGAACAAAGACTAGGAAACTCAGAATAGCAGAAACACTTCTCAGAATTGCAGTATAACCTACATGTAGGACTTGAAACACTGAAACAACAGAATATTATGTAGACACATAACAAGAAACTAGTGGATGACAAGAAGTGTCTACTAACAAGACAGAGATGTAGAAAGTAATTAGCAGGAGGAGCCAGGGTAAACCAGAACAGGGATTTTGTCACAGTATGGTTCATATATAAAATTGCTTTATTTTATTTACAGGATTTTGGAGATGAGTTTCACAACAGAATTAACATTCAGTCAGCCACCCCAGGTCCCACCATGCAACAGCAAATCAAAGGTACAACATACTTCTTTTCTAATTATATAAATATATATTATGGCAAGCCAAACAGGAAATAGTTAATGAACATTGATATGTATACAATGAAATTTGATATATATGGAATGAACATTGATATATATATACAATGAAATTTGATATATATACAATGAACATTGATACATATACAGTGAACTTTGATATATATACAATGAACATTGATATATATACAATGAACATTTATATATATACAATGAACATTGATATATATGGATTGAACATTGATATATATGGAATGAACTTTGATATATATTGAATGAAAGTCGCTGTTGAAGGGTTGAGGATGGCCAAGAAAAACTGTACATCAATAAATGGGCATTAACAAACTCCAGGTGGAGCTTAAAGGAAGGGAATTCTGATAAAGTGACCAGTATCTATACACAGTGATCCCATGGACAGAGTGACCTGAGAGTGGCTGATATATGATGTGAAGACACAGATGGGTGGAGCTTCAATATATACATAATTTGACATGGTGCAGAAGAAGAGTTGGATGAGGCCATAATTTCTGTTTGAAAAATGATCTTTTATTGAGAGAAAAGGAAAACAATGCCACTTGAAAAGCAACTGAAAATTGAGGTAGGTCACTCCTAGCCCTACTCTTTCTTCTGAGGGTCACCAAACACAAACACACTCTCCCTAACTCTGAGCTGGAAACAAAATAACAGAGTAAACACATACACACACTGTAACTGAAGAACAACAACATAGCAACATTAAATAACAATGTAAACACTCTGTTTGGGTGGGGGGGGGTGCAAGGCTACAACACACACAACCCCAAAAGTCCCTCTCTGTCTAAACAAAACATTTTATGAATTATATTATTCAATATATATCAATGTTCACTCCATATATATCAATGTTCATTCAATATATATAAATTTTCATTCAATATATATCAATGTTCATTCCATATATATCAATGTTCAATCAATATATATCAATGTTCATTCAATATATCTCAGTAGAACAAAGATTGATATATATGGAATGAACATTGATATATATACAATGAACATTGATATATATGGAATGAACATTGATATATATGGAATGATTTTGATACATATGGAATGAACATTGATATACATTGAATGAATATATATATGTATTGAATGAACATTGATATATATTGAGTGGGGCGGCACGGTGGCGCAGTGGGTAGCGCTGTCGCCTCACAGCAAGAATGGCCTGGGTTCGATTCCCGGCCAGGCGACCGGGGTCATTTCTGTGTGGAGTTTGCATGTTCTCCCCGTGTCTGCGTGGGTTTCCTCCCACAGTCCAAAGACGTGCAGTCAGGCTGATTGGACATGCTAAATTGCCCATAGGTGTGAGTGTGTGTGTGAATGTCTATGTCTGTCTGTCTGCCCTGCGATGGACTGACGACCTGTCCAGGGTGTATCCTGCCTTCCGCCCAATGACAGCTGGGATAGGCTCCAGCACCCCACCGCGACCCAGGAGGATAAGCGGTTTAGATGATGGATGGATGGATGGATATATTGAGTGAAAATTGATATATATGGAATGAACTTTGATATATATTAAATGAACATGGATATATATTGAATGAAAATTTATATATATGGAATGAACCTTGATGTACATGGATCGAACATTGAGATGAAAAAATGAATATAATTCATAAAATGTTTTGTTTACACAGAGAGGGACTTTTGGGGTTGTGTGTGTTGTAGCCTTGCACCCCCCCCCACCACCAAACAGACTGTTTATATTGTTATTTAATGTTGCTATGTTGTTGTTCTTCAGTTACAGTGTGTGTATGTGTTTACTGTGTTATTTTGTGTCCAGCTCAGAGTTAGGGAGAGTGTGTTTGTGTTTGGTGACCCTCAGAAGAAAGAGTAGGGGTAGGAGTGACCTACCTCAATTTTCAGTTGCTTTTCAAGTGGCATTGTTTTCCCTTGCTCTCAATAAAAGAGCATTTTTCAAACAGAAATTATGGCCTCATCTGACTCTTCTTCTGCACCATGTCAAATTGTGTATATATTGAAGCTCCACCCATCTGTGTCTTCGCATCATATATCAGCCACTCTCAGGTCACTCTGTCCACGGGATCACTGGTCACTTTATCAGAATTCTCTTCCTTTAAGCTCCACCTGGAGTTTGTTAATGCCCATTTATTGGTGTACAGTTTTTGTTGGCCATCCTCAACCCTTCAACAGCGACTTTTATTTAACATATATATCAATGTTCATTCCATATATATCAATGTTCATTCAATATATATCAAAGTTCATTGTATATATATCAAAGTTCATTCTATATATATCAGAGTTCATTCAATATATATCAATGTTCATTCCATATATGTCAATGCTCATTCCATATATATCAATGTTCATTGTATATATATCAATCTTTGTTCTACTGAGATATATTGAATGAACTTTGATATATATGGAATGAACATTGATATATATGGAATGAACTTTGATATATATTGAATGAACATTGATATATATTGATTGAACACTGATATATATTGATCGAACATTGATATATATGGAATGAACATCGATATATATGGAATGAACTTTAATATATATGGAATGAACATTGAAATATACTGAATGGACATTGATATATGGAATGAACTCGTACAGTTTTTCTTGGCCATCCTCAACCCTTCAACAGCGACTTTCTTTCAATTTCCATTCTTTCCATTTCACAGCAGCACTTACAGGTTTCTCCCACACCCATTGCTAACAGGTTTATAAAATCAAGCACATTGCCATTCACTCTCCTACAAATCTACACATTTCTTAAGCAATTTGTAAATACCGGAAAGTAATACTCTGCTTTAGCTTCTCTGATGTAGGAAGTACATTTATTCCATAGCTGCCTGAAAGTAAGCCATTGGTCTCTGTCATCATTTTTTCTTGCATGGCCCATGCTTTATTTCTTGCATTGAGTGTAAGTATAAATATATTTCAATGATTGAATGAGGGATTTGATCTGTCTCAATTTCTAACATTTTTTATAAGAGGCATGCTTATTTTCCACCACCAGGAATGTTTTGCTAAAATGGTCCAATGCTAAGTCGAAATCTGGGATAATATAATGGATTTCACTGAGCACCAGGTTATTTAAAAAGATTTGGTCGTTAATGCAGTTAGGTTATAACTGAAGTTTTGGGGGTAGGAACATGGTTGAAAACCCTCCTTCCACCAATCTAACACCCTATAAAAGTCTCATCCTCACCTTCAGTTCCCGCAACGAAGTGTTCACAATCAGTTGTGTGGTGCTAGTACAAGCTACTCTGCTATAGACCTCAATTCTCTCTCCTGAATTCCATCTCGGATCAGCTCCTGCAACCCAGCTCTGCAACTCCCTTCTGACTTTACATGGCTCCATCTCAACCTGTGCTCCATCTCTGCCCACTCCATCTCAGATCAGCTCCTGGAACCCAGCTCTGCAACTCCTTTCTGACTCTTCATGGCTCCATCTCATCCTGGCTCCATCTCAAGTTCAACTCCTTCTGGTTCAGCTCTGATGTGTCTCAGCTCTGCAACTCCTCACTACTCTCCGCTCCATCTCGGATTGGCTCCATCTCGGATCGGCTCCAGCACAACTCAGCTCTTCAGCTTATTTCTGTCTCAACTCTGCTCCATATGGGATCAGCTCTGTCTCAGATCAGCTCCAGTGCAATCAGATCTGCAACTCATGTCTGACTCAACTCTGCTCCATATCGGATCAGCTTCAGTGCAACCAGCCCTGCTACTCGTTTTGGATTCCACTTGGCTCCATCTAAGATCAGCTCCAAAGCAGCTTAGCTCTGCGTCTCATTTCTGACTTCACTCAGGTCCATCTCAGATCAGCTCCATCTCAGATCGGCTCATACGTTCCTTAGTTCTGCAACTCATTTCTGACTTACCTTTGCTGCATCTTGGATCAGCCCCAGTACAAACAGCTCTGCGACTTATTTCTGGCTCCACTCGGCTTCATCTCAGATCAGCTCCTATGTGCCTCAGCTCTGCCACTCCTTTCTGATTCAGCCTAGCTCCATGTTAGATCAGTCCCATTTTCGATTTTCTCCATCTCGGATTAGCTCCATCTAGGTTCGGGTCCAACACATTTAGCTCGGCAACTCAACACTGTCTTACCTCGGGTTAACCTCAGACCACCTCCACCTTGGATGAGCTTTATCTCGACTCAGTTCCATTTCTTCCTTCTGACTGGACTACTATTGGTTTGTTTGTGAAAATGCTGCCTGTAACCTGCTGCTCTCCTAGTCACTTTGGCCGTTCTTCAGTCGACGCTGATTCATCCAGTTGCATCTATCATCAAGCCCATCAAACCTCATATGGACCAGGTACCTCTAACAGCCATTCGTGCTCTATGTTCTTTTCATCTATTCTCATCCAACCCCTTTTCCTGCCACGTTTAACACAATCTTCACAATCTGGTGTCGACTTTAGGAGAATGGGTTCCCCTGTCGAGTCCTGGTTACTCTCAAGGTTTCTTGCTCACTGGGCGTTTTTCCTTGTCACTGTCGGCCTTGGCTTGCTCATCAGGGGTTCAGACCCGGATGTCTGTTAAGCAGCATTCCACAATGTCATCATCTGCTCCATTTTTCTTCTAATCTTACAGCATTAATAGCAAAACTACTTACTCCAAACACTATGTTATGGGTCTGTGTCACTAGACCTCCTTTCTGCCTAGTCTAGACTTCTCTACCTAACCATACGATGCCCCAGATTCCCAAATGCTAGACTGTCTGACCAGCCTCATTCTGAATCCAGCTCATCCATATTCCACTGGCATACAGTCATACCAAGTTCTCTACCCAAGCTGCTACAGTTGTTGTCACAACCAGGTCTTTGAGAAAACTGATTTCAGGACATCTGCTCTTCTCATCATCCGAAGATCTCTCAGTCATAGACCTCAACAGTTTCTGAGTTCATCCTGGAGTTTTTGGGGATCTGGACTTCTAGGTACAGGCAGAAGCTGCCCAGAACTCCAGTCCAAGTTCTTAGAGTTCTTCCCTCTCCCTCAATCAATCTTCCCTCATACTACCACCACATGTTGAAGGCATGGTCTGAATTCACAAAATGTAGTTATGTTGTAACTGAAGTTTGGGGGAGGAACTTGGCTGAAACCCCTCCTTCCCCCAATCTAACGCCCTATAAATTCACATCCTCACCTTCTGTTCCCGTATTCGCAATCCCCACTGCCACCCCTTCCCCTCCCTGTTCCTCAGTTGTGCATCAGTCCTACTACAGCAATGGGGGGAGGGGGGGTCTGTTCTCCCCCCCTCCCTCAATCAATCTTCCCTCATACTACCACTACACGTTTAAGGCATGGTCTGAACTCTCATAAAATGTTTAAAATTTATTCTTACCACCATTGGAGAGCCTGAATTTTTTATGCTAGTGGTTCTAATGCATCTGATAGGAACCAGGAAACTAAGGTCAAATATACATAGAGAGGTAATTTTGTAAGATCTATCAGTGTTGACTTAGTGGGGTCATGTAAGTTTGGTCATGTTGGGTCTGTAATAAATTGCATGAGAGAGAGAGATTTCCACACATTTCCTTCAAGTGATTTTAGATAAAAGTACAGCTGTTTCATCAAAGACATGTTTCTATGTCTTCTGACAGAAAAAGATGATCAGCAGCAGAAGGGAGGGGGCTTTGTAATCAAGGGCAAAGTGGTGAATCCTGCATGCTTCTCTATCTGTGGGCCTTCCAAAGCTGCTGTGGACCAAACCAAGCAGTGGATAGAGAAACTCATCTCAGACAAGCATGTGTTTGAGATAATCAGTGATCCAGTAATCTTTAGCTTGTCTAATAAAGACCAACAACAAATACTAGAGCTGCAGCAATCCTTGGATGTCAGTGTGAGAGTGGAACACAAGGTTCAGGGTGAAGATCAGGAGGAGGCCACAATTTTGGTGGAGGGCCTCAGCAGGGATGTTCTGAAGGCTGTAAGTGAGATCCAGACCATTCTCAAAAAAGCCAGAGATGAGGTTGGACTGAAGAAAAATATGAAGGTAATAAGTGAGTTAGTAGACTGGCAATACCTACAGAGTGGGCAGTACCAGAGCTTCAATCAACTGACAAACCTCCATTTGGAACAAGCCCTTGCAAAGAAGTCTCTCCATGTGGACATCAGCCTCCATGGCCAAGCATACAAGGTCACAATGCCAGAGGGTCCTGCTCTGAGTGCTGAAGGTGGTAACCAGATCAGCATCAGGCGTATTGACAAAATACAAGGTACTTCGTTACATGACAAATCTTCATTTTAGGTCATTGTGATAGTTTGCAAGACACAAAATAAGTATAGCTGTACTTTGTAAAGGATTTTCAGTGTGGGGATTTTATGAACAGCATGTTAAGTCTATTTAGTCTAAAATTTAGTTTTGGATTGCCATTAAAAATGGTTGGCCAATCAGATTTAGCTGATCAGCCAAGACATGTTTGGTGTCTGAAGTCTGCTGGGATTATGAGCTGTGATGTAGAAGAGAAATAATGGAAGCTCATAGTTGTCCATTTGCAAGTGGACAGAAGGTAACAGTATATCAGAAAACACATAAGCGTGTTTTCTGAGATTACTTAACAACTGGACATCGTTTGAGGCAAGGGTGTAATGATTTAGGCTTGCACTTAATGCTCATATTTATTTAAGTGAAGGTGAAAATGGTGTGTGTTTGATTTTTTGACCAAAGCTTTACTGTCATTGCCCTGTAAAGAGAAATCACTACAATTAACACAAACTTTGTTTATTCTTCAGTGGTAGCCAGTGATAGCCTCCCACAGGAATGGGACCCAATGACAGCTACTGAGCTCTTCAAGGAGTGTCCACTGCAGGATAACGGCCATGAGTACAACGATGTCTTGAGCCACTTTGGAAAAACCTGCCCCAATAATAACATTCTTAAGGTTTGTATCTGTAGTTTAGCCATTTGAGGAAGAAATGAGTTTTTTTCTGATCACTTGTTTTTCATATTTTTTGGTCCACATGGTATATGGTATATCTTTCCACCCGAATTGAGTTGAAAATACATTTGGGACTTTTAGCTGACTTGGACTTTAGACTAAAATCCTTTTGTTTTGAGTGACCCTATACCTTAATTATTTATTTTTTCTGTTTATTGTTTATTTTATTAATTAATTCCATTTTCTATTCATTCCAATTTGTCACTGCGAAAACAATTATAACACTCGCAAAACTCTACCAAATGTTTCAGCAGTGACTGTTTCAGTAGTGACAATTTTAGCTCATTTTGAGCAGAACTCAAAACGCTAGCAAGTACATGACTAGCAGGCACAGCTTTGAACAGTTGTACACACATAAAATCTGAATATTTTTAATTAAAACAAAAAAAAAAGTTAAACTAATTGCAGAAAATGTGTGTTTATGTAGTGAAAATTCTTAATGTTCCACACTGATCCCTGTCCTACTTTCTGCTCTAAAATGTAGGGTTGTGGCTAAAATAAAACTCTTTAAAGAGTTTTTTGTATTAAAATTATACACTAATTAAATCTTTCAGCTTCACTTTAAAAAAAAAAAATTAAAATCCTTCCTGGATTGGGGCCTTGCCATGGCGGAAGGGCTTTTTGTGGTCCAGGGATCTTCAGAGCTAAGCTGTCTGGAGCACTTTGCTCCTGTGAGGGAGGCATGTCTCTTGGGTTAAGGAGCTCCTCAAAGCGCTCCTTCCACTGACCAACAATATCCTCATTTAAAGTCAGAGTTTCACCACCCCTGCCGAATACAGCTTGGGTAAAGCCATCCCGACCTCTCCTCACCGGATAGTTGTCCAGAAAGTCTTTTTCCATGGCCTCACTGAACCCCTCCCATGCCCTGGGTATTGCTTCAGCCCCCGATTACGCTGCCGCTTTTTTTGTCCGTTGGTACCTGTCTGCTGTCGGGAGTTTTCTGGGCCATCCAGTCTCTAAAGGCCTCCTTCTACAGCTTGGCAGCCTTCCTCACCACTGGTGTCCACCAGGGGGTTCTTGGGTTACCGTCCTGACAGGCACCAACAAGCTTTTGGCCACAGCTATGCCTGGCAGCTTCCACAATGGAGGATTTGACCAAGGTCCATTCAGACTTCATGCCCCCTACCTCCTCCGTAAAAAGAGAAAATCTCTCCCGGTAGTCATTCCAAACAGGAGCCTCTGCCAGTCATTTCCATCACACCCTCACTATTTACTTGGGCCCATCAGGTCTGACGATCAGTCTTCCCAGCCATCTGATCCAACTCGCCACCAGATAGTGATCGGTTGACAACTCAGCACCTCTCTTCACCGTAGTGTCCAGAACATATGGTCCCAAATCAGATGAAATGACAACAAAGTCAATCATTGACCTTTGGCCCAAGGAGCTCTGGTACCACATACACGTATGAACATCCTTGTGTTCAAACTTAACAATAACAATTCACCATTTGAGTTTAGATCGGGCAGGCCATTCTTCCCAATCACCATCCTCCAGGTCTCTCAGTCATTGCCAACATGAGCATTGAAGTCTCCTAGCAAGACTATGGAGTCTGTAGGTGGGGCCCTTTGCAGAACCCTATCCACTCGCTCCAAGAAAGCCAAATACTCCGAACTGTTGTTTGGTGCATAAGCACACACAACAGTCAGAGTTTTCCTCCCTGCGATTTTAATTCACATTAAGGCGACCCTCTCATCCACAGGGACAAACTCTGACTGCATGACAGCCAGCCAAGGACTCGTGAGTATCCCCACACTCACCCGGTGCCTCTCACCCTGTGCAAGTCTTGAGTAGGAGAGGGACCGACCCTTACGAAGGAGTTTGGTCCCAGAGCCGACACTGTGCGTGGAGGTGAGCCCAACTATATCTATTTGGTACCTCTCAACCTCCTGCACAAGCTCCAGCTCCTTCTCCCCCAGTGAGGTTACATTCCACGTACCAAGAGCCAGTTTCCGCCGCAGGGGTCCACGCCGATGAAGACCTTCCTGCCATCTCTCACCGCCTCTATGGCACTGCACCAGTCCCCTATGCTGAACCTTACGGATGGTGGGCCCACATGGACCCTCTACGTTGCCTTTTCAGGCAGAGCCCAGCCAGGTTACGTGGGCTGCCTGGCCACCAGGCGCTCGCCGAGGAACACTATCCCCAGGCCCGGCTCCAGGTCCCGGTAACCCTCTCCTGGGCAGGGTACACAATCTCTCGTGTCCCTTTGTCATGGAGGATTTTGAGTTGGTATGGGTCTTCACTCCAGACCTGTTTGCCTTGGGAGACCCTACCAGGACCCTACCAGTTTGCCTTGGGAGACCCTACCAGGAGTCAGGGTCAGAGGCTTCTGGCGTGTCAGACTCCATTTCTCTGGTGGAGGTCACTGAGGTAGTTGGGTGGATGAGATTCATCTGCAAATGCTTAAGGCTCTGGATGTGGGGCTGTCGTGGCTGACACGCCTCTGCAATGTCGCATGGACCTAGGGAACAGTACCCTTGGATTGGCAGACCAGTTTGGTGGTTCCTATTTTTAAGAAAGGGGACCGGAGGGTGTGTGCCAACCACCGGGGTAGTGCTCAACATCCCTGGGAAAGTTTATGCCAAGGTGGTGGAAAGGAAATCTGACCGATAGTCGAACCTCAGATTGAGGAGGAACAATGAGGAATTAAGTATATCGGGGTCTTGTTCACGAGTGATGGGAAGAGGCATTGTGAGATCGGCTGCAGGCAGGGACAGGCAGCAGCAGTAATGTGGTCGCTGTACCAGACTGTGGTGGTGTGGGTTTTACCAGGAACGGCCTATTGGGACAAGACCCCCGGGGTGTCCTAAGACCCACTGGAGGGATTATATCTCCAAGTTGGCCTGGGAGAATGAGCTGGAAGAAGTTGCGGGGGACAGGGTTGTCTGCTCTCCCAACTGCTACCGTGACCCTATGTGAATTAAGCGGTTAAAGATGATGATGATAAGCCTTTCAAAAAACAACATTGAAAAATACAAAAATGTTTTAAATGTAATTTGTCAGCTAGGGTTTGGGACAGGCACCTCCCAATAAAAAGTACCCTATTAAAGACGATTTTGTATATATTTAGCTTATTATGATCTTTATTAATGCCTTGGGTTTAGTTCATAATGTAAGATTTGTAAATGTCTAAGGTCTGAATACTTCATTGTCTTTTTTTTTAAAAACTGTACTAATGTGGTTGAATGGTCCATATATAATTTACAAATGCCTTTTTTTCTCTCTCTAGATTTCACGAATCCAGAATCCTGGCATGTGGAGGAAGTACCAGCATAATAAGCACATCATGGAAATCAAGAATGGCCATAAGAACAATGAAAAGAGGCTTTTTCATGGGACCAGAGCGGTCTCAATGAAGCACATCAATCATAGTGGCTTCAACCGCAGCTATGCAGGAATGAATGGTAAAATGAAAACCTTTGTGATCGTGATGTATTACAGTTAATTTAATTCATTTATAGACTCGCTTGTGTATTTTCGCTAATTTTGTTATATTTTATTAATTGCAGCTGCGGCATATGGAAGAGGCACCTATTTTGCACTTAATGCAAGTTACTCTGCAATCAACACCTATTCAGTACCAAACCAGCAGGGGCACAAGCACATGTATCTTTGCAGAGTCCTCACTGGAGACTACACGCCAGGAAATGCTTCAGTGATTGTCCCTCCTCTCAAATCCGCCAATGGCACAGATCTATTCGACAGTACTGTTGATAATGTTAGTGCGCCAACCATCTTTGTGGTGTTCCGTGATGATCACGCTTACCCAGAGTACTTGATCACTTTCACCTGAACTGAAAAGCTCTTTACAGTGTTGCATGATTAAAACAAATTCTTGAATACAGGTCTGTGAACGTATCTGACTAGGATTTTTATTATCTGAAATTCCTGTATGCCTTACACACCAGAAAATGTCGAAGTCTTGCTGGCTCAGGACGAGGTCTGAGTTTACAAAGGTAACTGTAATGGTGGTATGAAACACGGGCAAGCTAGTGTGCTTGTCAGCCAGGTCATAAAAATATCAATATCTGTAGCTACTTCCAAACTAATGATTTTCACATTGTGTCCTGACCGCTGACTTTCAGTTTTGTAGCAACTTTAGCCACAGAGTTGTTTTTGTAAACTTAGTGATTGTCCATTTAATTACGATTCATCTAACGGCCCTGTAGTCCTGCTAGTCATTGCTGAAAAAAGTATAATACTGGAAGAAAAGAAACCTATTGGACATGATAGCTCATTTTTCAGTTTCAATTTGTGTATAGATCAAAGACTTCCCTCAGATTTATAGATGGAACAATGAACGCAAGAATTTATAGTGAAGGAAATAAATACACCATCCTCTTTCACAATAATTTGTGAAATGGTTTTTTAAATTTAAAATCACTGAAAATGAACAGAGTTGGAACGTCTGTTGTATATTAATAAAAAATAAATAAGTTAATAAATTAATAAAAAGTTACTTTGCTACTACTGTTTTATTTATTTATTTTTATGTGTATGGAAGCTAGGACTTCAGCTCAGAAATTCTGAAGTTGATTCCAATTCTAAGTGATGAGAATCGAGTTGTTTCAAAGAATCGATTCCACAGAATAATCTCAATTCCAAAAACCAAGACACATTTTTTTCACACATTTTCATTTTATCTGAATAAAATGATTTACATTTTTAATATGTAATTTCTGAATAGCAATGTTATTCTCCAAAATAGCGGTGCTTATTCCACGAAATGGTTTTGACATTTGACACATTTCCATCTCTAATTTCATGTTTGTCGCGTCTTGTGTACCTTTGGTTTCCCCGACTTCCTCATAACCCACTGGAATTTTTTTTTCATATTATTTAGTCTTTATTTTAACCGTTACATGAGAGATGATGGTTCTCTGCCATATACCATATACATACCGGTCTGTATCATTTAGAAGGCTGTAGTCTTTTCTGCTCGTCTCTCTCTGTAGAGATGTAAGAGCTGAAAAGTGTCAGTGCACCTGAAAAACGTTCGTCTCCTCATTGCAGCTCCACCTCTCCATCACACTGTTTGTTGTAAGAGAAATGAGGGAAATCTGTCATGTGAAAGAAACCTCATATCTGCATTTTTGCCTTTTTTCTTTTGACATAATTTGTAAATATCAGATTTCATTTATGCTGTGTTATAATTCCAGGATGAATGAATTGCTTAGAAAAAAAAATAGAAAAAGTTGAAAATATTTTTCCTTCTCCTGTATGACAGGGACGATACGTATACGTGTTAACCCCCCCACCCCCTTCAGGAACTGATAAATTATCCGATAAAATTGAACAGAAAAATGTCGTTTTTTTGCCAACAACTCCCATTTCCATAGCCACATTTGCAAACTTCTTGAAGTGTTATAATGTGTTTTTTGTCAAAAATCTTTTGGATGAAAAACCAGTGAATCAGGTACATTCCTCTTGTTGGGAGATAAAATAGACTGTCTGGGAATCTTTGAGGACTGGGTTGGGAAACAACAACTACTCCTATAATCCAGTTTGAGGTCCTGGATGTTGCAATTACTGGTAGTTACATTGTGCCATAGAACAGGGTTTCTCAACTCCAAAAGGGGGGGTCCACTGCTCTGTACAATCTACACCAGGAGGGGAGGGGGGGCAGTCAGTTACATCCACAGTCTAATCAACTATGAGGCAGTTGAAGATCTCTACAGGAATCTCAAAATGGTACAAACTGTGCTTTATTTTGACACATGAAACTGGATTTTTTACAGTGATATTTGGCCCAAATTCACTTAAAATGTTTGCACATTTATACATGCACTCACAAGCTCAGCTTCCCACTTGAACATCATGAACTATTACACACATGAAGCAACACAGTGTTATAAAGTAGTGCTTCCAGTTTGAGAAAGCATTCCATCCAAAACAAAGTGCAAAACACAACATGGTTGTTGGCTTCATCTCTAATATGAACCCCCTTCCAAGAATAAATAAAATAAAGACTCTATCTGGAAAACTGGATACATTCCTACTAAAGTAGTTCAGCAAGAAATTTGTAAACAGAGTTGTAGCATATGAAGATCTTTGTAACAGTTCCTCTTCATCATGTGGATGGTTGACCTTCATTCTTCTTCACCCCAGGCAGAGTGAGCTCATACCTGAATAGAGGCGAGAGAAATACATGATTCAGACTAAAGGGCTTCTCTCTCAACTCAAATGATAAAAGTTGATCACACGCTGGTTGTCTTGAGCTCCAAAAACAGTTGAGGATTTCTCTGTGGGTTGAATGGGAATAGATAAATAAACCCCAAAGAACCTTGTGAGATGCGTGCGGGTTCACGTGTGATAAAACTGAGCGTTTGTATTTTGACAGCATTTGAGTTTAACAAAGAAGAGAAAAATTAACCAACTGATCCTTAATAGTGATACACAGTGATATACAGTGATATATATCTCCAAAAATATCTGGACAGCCCCTCTAATTAGTGAATTCTATGACTTTTAATGAGGAATTTCACCAATTTGAAAAAAAAAAACAGTATTGCAAAACTATCCTAAAACAATGTCTCAAATATCAGGCAGCATATTCATAACCATTTCATATAATAACTTCCTGTGAGGGAGCTTTTAGAGATGGATGTCTGGTTCCTATCACCATCACTAAACAAAGTTTCTCTAGAACGGAGCATTTCAAACCAAAAAGGGTGAATGACTTTGCGTATCTTAAGCATTTAATTATGCAGAAAGTTTGATAAATGAGTGGAAGGTCTAGTGTGGCCTAGAGAGGTATTAAGCCCCCTAGCATTGAACTGCATTATCTGGAGCGCCAGAGCTTCATCCAATACCTTTTGGTATGAGTTGAATTGATCCAGAACTTATCATCCAACATCAGTACCTTAACTCTCTAATGCTCTTGTGAATGCTGAATGCAATCAAATCCTCACAGCAATGTTTCAACATCTAATGTAAAACCTTCTCAGAAAAGTAGAAGCTCTTACTACAGCAAAGGAGGACAAGCACAGCAGACTTTTGGACATATAATGCAAATCTTTTCTTACCATTCAATGGAGCCCTTCACAAGATCTATCTGGGACAGTTCGATCAGCACCTTAAGAGAGAGGACAGACGGGATTGTGAGCAGTTGTGAAAGACAAAGCTAAACATTAAAATCGTGAGTGTGAAAACATGACACCATGTCATTCTCACCATCCCGATCTCTTTCCGTTCCCTAGTGTGGAACATTCGATTGTTCTTCACAGAAACGTCCAGCGTCCTGGTCTTGGTCTCCTCTAAAGTCACCGAAAACTCAAACCTGTACAAGTGTGCATGTTAGTAAGAGTTATGTGGTTTGCTCATGTGTCGCAATAAGTAATTCAGACAAGCTCTCACTTCTCTTCAAAGACAGGCTCCACCGTCTTCCTCTTCACTTGTGTGCGCATGCGGCTCTTCCATTTTTGGTCTGGCAGCAGGTAAATGCGAACGTAGGTGTCTGAGCCATTCTCATTACACTTAAACAGGTCCCTAACAAGCAAAGTTAACCGGACATGGCATTTATATTTACCATTGAAACAACCAGTGCTACAGTGAGGGGAACAAGTATTCAGACACTTTTGGTTATTTAATATACTTCCAGTGCAGATATCCCCTTCAAATTTACACACAATGACTTTTGACTTTGTATGTACACATGTGACCAAAACAGTATGTATTCATACACATAAACTAAGAAGTGTGTAAAAATATGTATGTAAAGTTCATGGACAGGTGCGCAGTGCAAGATTTCTCTCAGACTAATGATAAGGAAGGTGAGAAAAAAGCCAGCAGTCACTCATAAACACCTGCAGGATGACATGAAAGCTGGTACGCTGCTCCATTCATGTTTCCTTTGATGGTGTGTAATGCTCCAGTACTTTTTACAGCTCCACATCACGATGCTCCCACCTTCATACTTCACTGAGGGTGTTCTTGGGATCACATCAACCCTTCTTTCTCCAAACATGATGAGCTGAATTATTGCTAAAAAGTTCTATTTTTGTTTCATCTGATCAGAGAACATAGCATCTCTGAGCTTCTTTTATTAGCATAGCAGTTTAGGTTGGGGTGTGTGAATGGAGATAATTGCGGTCCATTGCTTATTGTTCTCTGTGTAACTGCTGATGTTAGAGGAGAACTTAACCTCATCAACCAAGAAAATGAAACAACCCCAAACATACAGCCAAAATAATTCAAGACTGGTTTTTAAAGAAGATGAAGGTGCTTGCATGGCCTAGCCAACCTCCTGACAGAATCTCACTGAAAATTTATGGAGGATTTTGAAATTGCAAGTTCATCAGAGGGACCCTCGTAATTTTGGTGGATTGAAATCAAACTAGGAAACTGCTAAAAAAGCTAATTACTCCTTAATGTCTCGAAGCTATAATGGCCAACAAGTACTAATGTTTTAAACATATTTTTGATATTGCTCATACATTCTTTGTTCTTATTTATAAATACAAAGTCAAAAGATATGTGTGAATAGTGAAGTGGATATATGCACTGGAAGTATATTAAATAATAAAAACAAAAGTGTCTGAATACTTGTTTCCCCTCACTGTATTTACTGATCAACATCACTCAATGAATTCTAAAATATCCAATTAATTTTTTAACCATAGATACTGTTGGTAACTGTGTCCTAGCTTTCATGCCTTATTAGCTGTTACTGCAAATAATACTCAGCATTAGCAATTAGAACATTATGTTTGGGGTGAATTCAAAGGTTCTTTTGAGTTTTTAATTTTCTGCCCAGGCTAACTGCTTCTCTCATTCTCTATGAACGTTTCATCAATTTTAAATTCTACAATAAACTATTGAAAATCGGCTCACTTGCACCCGTTGACCGTCACAATGAGCTTCTTCCTCAGGGGGACATAACGAATGGTCAGCTGGATCTGGCCAAAGGTTCCTTGGTGATTTAAAAGTGCTCTGTAACACAGAAAATTATAGAGAATAAGAATATTATATTACAGATAACAGATAAAAAGCCACAACCACATAATGCCACATTTGTGCAATTAGTTGTTGTTGCCACATTACTGTCAGTTTCATGGCATAGCAGAAACTGCTATAGTGAACTTTATCAGCTTCATATATTTACTACAGGGTTGTATATATTGCTTTTAGAGTTCAATTTAACAACTTTGAACTGCAGTCATTGTCCAAACTGTGGATGAAAGTAATATCTGGAAACTCCTGCAAAATCCAACATGATGACTTTATCTTTAAGCACACAGTTGATCTATTTATAACTGCAAAATATAAGTGTTGCACATCTGTTGCACATCCAGCAACCAAATAAATCCTGGTCTGCAGTGGTCCTGTTGGGGTCCTGACCAGTAAAGAACAGGATGAAAAGAGGCTAACAAAGTATGCAGAGAAACAGATGTACAGTCTGTTATTGCAGAACTACAAAGTGCTCCTATAAGGTAAGTGGAGCTGATAAAATGGAAAACGGGTGTAGATAATAGGAGGTGGTTTTAATGAAGTTGCTGGTCTAGATAGTGATCTGTAGGGGGCACTAGAAGCTTTGTTCTTCTCTGTGGTCTACTGCAGGATATTCTGCAGTTCGAAAATAAGAGGACACTGCTTTGCCATTCCCATTGGCTACTGGAACCAAACTGATGACACTAAGGAAGTGAAATGCAAGATTTAATTAGCTTGTGCAAGTAAATGCCATACAAACCAAAAACCAATTAAAATGTATGTGATTTTAATGAGCATGTGTAGCCTAGATAGACCTGGACTGCTTAGCCAGGAGTTGTAGAGAAATCATTCAGCACTTGTCTTTTCGGCTGAAGTCACAAAAATCCAGCGCATTTTGACAAATCTCTTCACGACAAACGATCAACATTTGACAGTCATTTTAATAAAGTGTGCAGTGGTGTTGCCAACATTGTCATGGTGTTCTAAGAGTTAAATTGCTATTTTTAAAGGGCTTTACAGGGTGACCAGCAGCAGCGCGCACACACACACACACCATAATTTAGCAGGTTTTTTTTTTTTCTCCAAACTCCATAATACTACTGCTTTAAATAATAAAATTTAATAAAGAAATCTTATATACTAAGTAAAAAATCCAATATGATGGGTAATTATCTCAGCAAATACTGTCCATCTACACACTAATCCACTTATGTCCACAGACATCACATATCAGAGGTGAAGACACTCACTCTGGGTATGGGACGCTGTCGGCCAGGTCTAAGCGAGAAGAAGCGATGGAATTCTCCGATAGGAGGCTGTGGGAGTCGTAGCGGCGCATGCGGGACGGTGTGGAGGGTCCTGAGCGCCGGACATCTGAGGACAGTAGGGAGCCTCTCCGATGGGGAACGTATTCTGTCTGTAGTGCACTGGAGGAGCTGGCCACGGCATGGCCATCTGTGGTGGACGCAGGTGTCTGGGGCAGCGTGGAGGTCTGCGCTTTCTTCTCAGGCTGGGAGGACTGAGATGGAGGCTGGGTGGAGGGCTGGGGTTTGGTTTGAGGTTGCTGTTGCGAGGGCTGGGGTTGGGCTTGCTGAGGTTGGGGGGTTTTAGCTTGTTGCCCCCGAGGTCGGGCTGCTGGAGGGTTCTCAACCTTGGGCTGGGGCTTCTCCAGCTTCAGGAACTGAGATGGAGGTAAAGAGTGTTTTACTGAGACTAATCAGTCAAGACATGTTTAGTGTCTGAAGTTTGCTTCTTAGTTCTGCACTGGAGCAACGAGGTAGCTGACATTAGCTTCTGTCCCATCAATTAGTATTGTGCAAACTGCATGTCTAAATCATCACACACAACAACATCAAGTAAATAGACTCATTAGCAATCAGTGTGACTGAAACACCCCAATCATTAGGAGGTGTGTCCACATACTTTTCATCAAAGGCAGTCATCAGAAGTGCTGATCAGTTCCGTACACTCACCCTGAGGATAGCTTTCATCTTGAGCTGGCTGTTGGCTCCTGACCGCTCCAGCTGGAAGCGCTGGTCCAGGGTGAGGTCAGAAGCGCTGAGCAGCCGGCCTAGGTGCAGAGTGAGCATGCCCAGAGTCGTCTTCTTCTCAGGCACCATCACCTGAACTCACAGAGGAGAAAAAAGTCATGAAATGGCTGCAAATTTCACTCTGTGTGGATGTTGTGAGGAAAGTACCACATTACTGCTGCCTTCAATTTATTTTATCTTCTGGTCTGCTATCATACTTTCGCCAAGAGGAGTTGTGGTGCTCAAAAAAAAGGCCAAACTTTACAGGTCATCTTGTCTTGGCTATTTCCATTATCAATGACTCTGACAGTAAAGGAGTGTTCTTGACCAGAAGAGATCATTTTTATGTATGATTTTCAAAGATGTCTGGCTTTCTTACACATCAAACCTGTTTTCACAAATATAGTCTCCTGGATGACACTTTACTGAAGAGCAACATGCATAAGCCTTCATGACAACTGTTTTAAACCTACACAGACATTGTTAAAAACTTATTCCAACATTAGTCATTATAACTAAGGAAATCAAAATTTAAATAAGCATCCTTTAGGACATCTGACACTTATTGGGATAAGCCTTTATAAATGACTATATGTTTATGTCATGAAAGGCTTATGTAGGTGTCACGTAGTGAATTGTGAATTAGGTAGGTGTCATGTAGTCTTCTAAATGCTGCCCTTCAGAAAGTGTTCCATTTTGTAGTACGTATATGAACATCTCACATATGAAAATATATGAACTCTGATTCAACACTACATTCATTAAGATGGCAGAGCGTAAGGCAAGTTGTGGTCTGGTACTTTAGTGCTGAGCAATACTGATAAAATTCAGTATCATGATATTTTCTAAGTATTATCACATCGCCATTGTTTTTGAAAATACTTAATTTAGCTCGAGTAAAATTAGAAAGGAAATCAACTTGGATATTTCTACTTATATAATGAACTAAACTATTTGGAACTCTTCTCAGATGAACTAAGACTCTGATGTCTCTGTGTGTTGTGACTGTGTTGAGCTGCTAGTGAGCACTGAGGGGTGAAAGACGAGGTGTAAGAACCCCCTGCTGGGAAAAAAGTCCCCTTTTCAATTGCCCAATAAACCACCTTTGGGAAAGTATGTCAGTGAAAGTGATTTTTGTCTTGTATTATTGTCATTCTGATCGGCTGTTTCGTGAAACTTGCTTCACGAAGTTGAGATGTGTGCAACTTTTGCAGCTGAGTTTAAAGTGAGTTGCAGGATGACTTACATTATGCAACTCACATGCAGTTTAGTTTCATGCAGGTTTCAAGCCAACTTTTAAACCACAGTTGCATGCAAGTTTCAGCCAGCCTCAGGTAGCCAGCAAGTGATATACTCTTATTATACAGGTATAGACAATATATTGGTCAATACGTCGGTTTTAACTTCCACTAACCTATGACCTGACATCCGACATGACTCTGACTTGGACATGGGGATCACTGGAGGATTAAGAGCCACTTTCATTCATTCAAACCAGCTCATTTACACAATCTTTAAAAGATCATACATATAAACTAGGCTTAGACCATTACATCACTGTCACTGTTTCATTATATACACATTATGTATACATTTTGTTGTTGCTGTTCAAAGAAAAAACAAGTATCTCCAAAATGCAAATGGTAAAAAAACAAGTATCTCCAAAATGGCAAATGGTAAAAACGTTATTTACCTTTACTGTAAGTTAATGTAAAAAGATTTCATTCCTAGTCATTTTGGAGCATTTCTATTGGTCTTTTCATTATAAAATTTTCACGCAATTCCAGCTGCTATGCTCAAATGAGGTAGAAAAATGAAAAATACTTTTTTTGCGCAACAATATACACATTATATACATTCTAACTCTTAAGTTACATTATAGAAGACATGTTACCTGAACGTTGAGCACTTGGCTTTCCACGTTATGCACAAAGAATGTGAAATACTCCTCAAAAACAGGATCTCTGGAGTTGTACACAAACTTAAAGGCAGACAAACATAATTATTGAAGCAAGCAGTAATTTCACAATTTCATTTAACAATGAATATTCTATTGGTTTGCAGCACCGCTCTTTTCTGATTAGAGCTGCAGTAATGAGCTAGTGATGAATTTATATTTAATTTGTCAATTCCACTTCATCCAGCAGAGGAATCTGAAGCTCTACATTCCCTTCCACTGGAAAATGGAAATGGAATGCAAATGTGCTGATTACCTTGCTTTTCTGGCTTTGCTGGTCTATGGAGAACTTCACATAGGAGCTGGGGTTGTTCTGCCTTCGTGTGAGCTGCAATTGAGAAATGTGAAAAACACATTATAATATGAGGATCCATTTCTATAAAACCCATAACGAACCATTTTAGCTGAAAGAAGCAAAACCTAAGCCATAGTCCTCCATAATGCCTTGTTATGTAGCTTGTATGAAGCGTATGCAAGTTTAAAACATTAGCTAGTGTGACCACTGGCCTCATTTGAGCCTTTTCCATAATGATATGTTGTATGTACGGAGAAGAGAACCAGTCCAACAGGTCCTGTTAGAGACTTACAAACCAAAACCTGCTGCAAAACAAAAGCTTAGCTTGTATGTCAGGGTTCAGAGAATAGATGGTATGACTTTAGGTAAGTATGGAATGCATAGCTGCCCCCATTCACTGCCATGCGTCTGCATTCCAGGCCTATGATAACTGACTGATGCAAACAATACCCGCATATCAAACTCAAAACCAGAGTGCGGCACCGTGCAGGGTGTTGTGAGGCAAAATAGTCCCCAAAGAAAATGTATGTTTCTCAGATTTTCCACTATTTTACCATCATCAACATTCAACATTCCATATAAAAACTAGGTTCAGTGGTTATTTTGGATAGTAAATAAAATGGCTCTATTTGTGTTGTAGTCATGGCGACCACTGGTTCCACCACCACTGAAAAGACATATGACTCTCAACATTGAACCATTTCACACCAAATGACTGAATGATTATGTTTACATCTCAACCACTGAATTATGCAAAATTTTTTGAAAAATCAGTGGAACTCCCCTTTGAGAATATTATAGAGACAGTCAGCTCAGTCTTTTCATTGCGAACATGAAACCTCCAGAGGGTTAACAGCAGCTCAATAAAGTGAGGAGGCGTGAGAACGCAACGACACCATCAGCCACGCCTGCTACTCGACTGACAGGAACTTCAGGGTTTGTTCTGCTTTGAGGAAACAATGCTCAGCTGACTCAGTGCTGAAGGTGTGCACCTCAATAAGAACACATAGACACGTGTACAGGCAGGACCACAGAGCTGAGATGAGTGGCCATTCTGAATATTTAAAAGTGGGCGTTGCTCACAGCTCTGTGTTCAGCACAGCAAAACAAACCATCAAGCCCATCCTCAACAGGTAAAGGAGGAAAAAAGGCTTATGTTTTTTTGTCCTTCTCTGTTTCTGGCAGCAGAATGCCAAAATAATGATAATGAATAATGAATAATGATTATCTCAAACCAGTGGCCTAGTATCACAATAATTTGACTGTTGAAATAATGACTTATTTTCCAAAACAATTCCAAAAAAACTACATAAAAATGATGAGTTATCACAAACAAGAGAGTATCTAATTTGAGATACTACATGAAAATTGCTTAGATGAATATATAGTAAATTGTTGCTTCAAGATACTAAGTCAGCATTTTGATAAACTATGATTTTTCTCTTCTACTAAACGGGATTTCATGCCATCTTCAGGTGGACGTGGGTGGACCAGGCACACAAAACAAAGCACAGACACAAAGATTCCCGATTGTGTTATTGTTTTGCCTTAATGTTAGAGCATTGCACCTATTTTTTTTATGCAAAGTGCTGCACAATGTATCAAATGTTTTAAAATGTTTTATTTATTTATTTTCTCATATTTTATTTGATACTGATAGTTTTGTTTGTTTCTTGTTCTTAATTTTAGATTAAACCTGTTGCATGTTGAATAGCTTTTAACTGTAATACTTAATCAAGAAAAATTATGAAAGTTGGAGAGCATGACTGCTGAATAAGTAGGTCATTCTAAAGGAAAAAGAAACTGATATTGAACGTAAAATAAAAGAAAAAGCATTACGGTTGTAGTATGTACAATATTATGAATCTAGAATTTATCCAGCACACAAAAAGATATATGATGTATAATGTGTTACTACAATATTATAACACTACAATGTAGTAAACAGTTCAATAATCTAAGGTAGGCATTACATAAGACTTTCATACAACTAGTTGCATGAACTCGAAAAATAAGTTGCATGCAACACATTCAATTATTCCAGTTGTTAGGAAGCTCAGCAACAAGTATGTTTTACACATCTATAATTCTGACTACATAAAATCACTGGTCATGTTTTTTTTTATTTAAGCTACTTTTGCATCTTTGTATCATTTCTATCTTAATAGAGGAGTTAATAACCTAGGTATGCCTGGTATCCCTGAATGGTAATGCTAATAAAAGTGTTATAAGTCTCTCTTGGCAAAGCTGACAAGCAGTCCATAGTTTTACATTTGATAAAAAAGTCAATAAATCTAAAAATTAAGCTGTAAAAAGTTTTTGTGTTTTCCCATTGGACGCTGTGTTATCATTTGGTATATCAAGTCAAAATGCTGGTACTGTGAGGAGTTTAAATCAATATCTTTCCATAGTAATTCAAACATGCTTCATATGACTAATTAAGTGACTAAAAAGGGTTGTAGGAGGCAATTGGCTGCCACATAATATAATGAATCTGCCTTGTCTTAGCTGTCTCATTAACTAGATAAAAGATCCAGTGAGCTTGACTGTGTTTTGTATTTATCAAAATAAAAGGTATTCATGTTACAGAAGGCAGGGCCTGTGATGCTGACTTACCCTTGCGTCTTTGGGTTGTTTCCCAGGCTTGTCAGGCTGGCTGAACTCACTCTGGTCTTTCTGAAAGCAGAGATGTAAAAATCATCAGCAAAACGTACTGAACATACATCAATTCTCAATGCAGAGCTGCAGTGCTGTAGAACAGCTCAGTAAACTGTCCATTACTTTCACAGACCAGCCTTTATCACTAATTATCACTTGTGTAGTTTCAAATGAAATGTAAAATGCAAAAATCCTTCGGAGTGTAAAACAAACAGTAATGATAACTAGAAAAGTAGGAAGTAGGATAGTAAGTGATTGCCCAGCTTAAGCAGTTGCTAGACGGTTGCTAGGGTGCTGCTAGGTCGCTGCTATGGTACCCAAGTTTAATAAGGTGTTTCTTATGGACTTGTATCACAAATTGGGTGCACAAACTTTACCCCCGTTCATTCATTCGCATTCAATGACGACTGCACGAAAACCGTCATACAGCCATCAATAACAGACAAATGATTGCTTTGCAATGTTCAATCACTAATAATAATAATAATAATGGCAAAAAATAAATAATAATACTTTTCTGTCAGATACTGTGTTTACAGGCAAAAAAATACTCATAAAATGGGTGGCCTTTAATGTAGTTTGCTAAAGTGACAAACAAAAAGGATGAATTTTTAATTGTGTACTCACAGGCAGTTTGGACGCACTGTCCAGGTATACGGCAAGCATGGCACACGCACAGCCATCAGCGGCCTGAAATGTCAATAATATCAAATGTTAAGGCCTGATGTTATCCATAATAACAATGTGTAGTTGTTATTGATGCATTGATATGGACCACAAACTGTCCTCAAAACAAATGTGAATGTGAACAGAATGTGTTGTGTACAAAATAAACAAATATGTCCAAGCACAGACCCTTGAGGAAACTCCCTGATCCTGCTCTAAGGTTCTCTAACAGATTATTTGACACATTACAAATAGCATAGTGCTTTACCACTTTTCTGCAATACAACTGCTTTGTGGTGGTCCTGTGGTGATCCTGACCATTGAAGAACAGGGTGAAAGAGGTTAACAAAGTATGCAGAGAAATAGTCTGTAATTGTAGAACTACAAAGTGCTCCTTTATAGTAAGTGGAGCTGATAAAATGGACAATGACTGTAGAAAGAAGAAGGTGGTTTTAATTCAGTGACTGGTTGGTGTAAATGCCAACACAACATTTGTTCTACAAAATGTAGAAATTGGGACCTACCAGGATTTCAGAGAAATATAACACTGCACAATGCATTAACTCAGTATCATCTAAACATTCTGCTCTTCTAGGGAACCAATAAATACACCATCAAATATTGGTCAAATCTTAACTGATCTGTTTTTAAAACGCTGATATGACTCTGATATCATTGTACATCCCTAGTAGTTTTTCTTAATAGTATGTGAGCTTACCTGACTCACTAACTCCTTGCTAGTCTGCAGAGAGAGCCACTGCAATTTCAAATGAAGTTTTCCACTCTGAATGTCTTGAAGGGTGAACCACTGTAAGAACAAAAACAATGCAGGGGTATATTCACCATGCAAAACTACTTTTTTCTCTTTCTATATGTGTGCTGTACATTCAGTGAAGTCAGACTAGGAACCACTAATTTTAAAGGGATGGTTTGGCCAAAAATCAAATGCACTCAATGTTGTAGTCAATCAGCCTCAGCATGGTTTGTGTCTGAAGTTTAGCTTCTTTTTTTGTTATCAAAACTTTTTATTTTATTAATTTAATAAAAAGTGAACAAACAGATAAACAGACAATCCAGACCACTATAATAATAATAAAAATATAAATAAATAAATAAATAAATAAAAAGTAATGGTGGCCACAAGAACATTTATTACCTCGAATGAAGAGATTATTCGTACTTCATTTCATGTGCCACGTGCAAGTTTAAGTTCTTTAGTTTTGAAGCAGAGCTTTAGTAAAATGGTCAAATGTATGAGAAAATTCAGGCCTCAAGACAGCTGCTAGTACTGTTCTAATGCAATGCACTTCTGTCCATGCTAATAGATAACAGTGTGTCATACAGTGTCAGAAACCACATAATCAAGTCTATTAGAGGCATTGTCTAAGAACTCAACACTACTTTAAATGTAGGGCTGCAATGAATATTTGATGAAAGCTGATAAATTCGATAGTTCAAACATTCGAAAGCAGTAAGCAATATATTCAAAGAACTGGTCATTTTACATGGTTTTATGAAAGCACATGCTTCTGTGCATCAGTCTGATGGGAAAGTGTTGTTTATAAAACTACACGTCATACATCAGTCGAATGGCCCTTTCCTGTCAAAGTGGTGGTGATAGCACAGCAGCAGTGAGAGGTCATGCTGTCCAGACATCGTTCCTAACTGTCTGTATTAGAGCTCCAATTTGTCTTTTGTGTAAATATGGAAAAGTGTACACCCTCTTTTAATTTGTTCATCTGTGACTTTACTCAAGTCTTTGTTTTACGTTTATGAAGAAACCCAGCTAAAAGACAACAAGCCTGTATATATCCATGTTGAAGTTTTCCCTCTTTCTCTTGTTTTTTATTTATTTATTTATTTATTTGTATTGCCTTGCCTAGTGTCCTTTCATTTTGTATTTTGTTATTCCAATATCACTTTTTTTTATCTATGTTTTCTTTTAAATATTATTTCTATTGAGTACTTCCCCTTTTGCACGGGTTGCACTGTTGCACTGTTATCACAAAAAAGGCTAAATAACACTTTCTGCTCTGGATTGCTAGCTTGCCACTCTGTGCTGCATTTATTTCTGACAATCAACAATAGCGTGCTGACTAGCAAGTCATTACTATTACATCATTATTCATTATTAAGTCATTATTATTACATTATGACACACTTAAAAATATTTTTGTTTTTAAACCATTAAACATATCATGAGATTTCCTTATTGTTATAAACTATTCATATATTCAGCATAATAATCGATAGAACACTTGAAAATGAAATGACATGTCAGATTTATCACTGTATTGTTTTAAAATCCAGTGAACACTTCACTAAAGCTCCTGCTTCGCCTGGAAAATACAAATAACATACTGAGCAGCCTGGAAAATTGCGTTAATTCCAGAACAATTTGGAGTTGTTTAATAATTACATCATATAGACTTTCAGTGACACATACCTTATCGATTTCTTTCTCCTTCTTCACCTCCCCAAAATCCAGATTAAACCTGCAACATATAATCTCACATCTAAATACTCATAGAGAGCTTAATACTCATAGCATTTGGTAACAACATGTAGTAGATAACACAGCGTTCTGATTTAACCTGATTGAACTTTAGTGTGTTTATCAAACAGAACAGCTACAGTTCTATCACCTGCCCAAAAAGTCATCTTTGTCTGTGTCCTCATCGTAAAGCTCCACTTCAAGCTCTTGCCCAGGAGCCTCATGAACCACAAACTACAATGGAAAGAAATTTTCAAAACTGTTGACACAAACAGTGACACAAACTGTTGTATACAAAATGAAATTAATTTTCCCCAAGCATGGAACCCTGAGGAACACCCAGATAATCTGTCATCTTACATACGAGCATAGTGCTTTACCACTGTTCCAAAACATTTATAATCATTCTCTGAAACATTTGCAGTATATATCCTTGCACTTTCAAAGGAAAGTTTAGTTTTTCCATTTTAAAAATTCTTAGCAAATCATCCCAATGGTCAAAATTTCAGCCACTTTGTAAATACCAGCACAATTCTTAGTCTTGCTTACAGTTATTTGCAATATAAAAGCAAGTACAATGAAACATATTTATTTTAAAATCATACCTAGACACATCTATAAAAATATAAAGGAGAATAAGAACAGATTAATTATTAATGTTAGGGCTGCCAAATAATTAAGATAAGTAATAGCATTAAACAGCAAGCATCTGCACTGTTTTGAGTAGTTAATCAGGATTTAGTGCATTTGTCTTATCTACACAAATTTGATCCTTAAGAAATTTTTCTCATGTATAAAGCAGGGCATTTTGTTATACGTGTATGAGTGGAAAAAACAGGCTTCATCAGAATATATATATGTATACATATATACAAGCCAATGACAGTACATATCATATAGATTACATATACACTCAATAAGTGTATATACTGTATATATCATATACACAGTCAATGAGTATGCTTCATGTATATCATATATATGTCATATACACAGTTAATAGTTGAACTTCTATGTGCTTGTAGCCTCTTGCTCTTGTTCATACAGCTTGCGGATTAATGTTACAATGGAGGCTCTTTTTTTTTGTATTTTTACCCAATTTTCTCCCCAATTTAGTCGTTCCAATTCCACCCGCTAGTTAGGACTCCCCCAATCACACGATATTACCAACGCTAGGAGGGTGAAGGCTAACACAGGCTTCTTCCGAGACCTGTGAAGCCATCCACCGCATCTTTTCGAACTGCAGCTCACGCAACATCATTGGACAGCTGAACGCGCTCGGAGGAAAGCGCCAACCGCCAGATCTGTTGCGTCAGCTAACAGACGCCTGCGCTAACTAGCATTGCGTTGAGTGATGGGGGGAGAAGGAGGGGCCATCCTACCCATCCAGAGAGAGCGAGGCCAATTGTGCTCTCTTGGACTCCCGGCTACCGATGGCTGTAGCATGACCAGGGACCGAACTCATGATCTCCTGATGATAGGGCCAACGCTTAGACGGTTGCACCACTCGGGAGCCCCACAATGGAGGCTCTTAAGGGGAACTGGAACTCCTGCTGCTTTTGTTAGTTTGCTGCTAGCTGATTTATGCATAGTTGTCCTCTGACCGCTGTCCAGTGTAGTCTGCTGAAGGTGCTGAAGGATTCACTTTAAAAGCCATTTAAAAGCAGTATTTGAATAAGAGGGCTACAATCATGGATTCAGCCTGCACTACTACAGATGGTTCAAAGAGCCAAACTGGGAAAATGCCCCAATGAATATATATAATATAATAAATGCACTGATTGTGTAACAGAAATGCATGAGCTATTGTGGACACTGGGGCACAATCACATTTCTTGAGCTGGAGCAGAGTATCGACCGTCATGCTCTGTTCTGGATTGGGGAACAGTATAGACTGCCGTGTATGACTTCTCATGCACCACCGAAGAACCTTGAGCACCTAAGAGTTTATATTCCCCATAGGGTGTAAGTGTCTAGGGGCCCTTGCGAGCCTTTAAACCCCCCTACAGCCCACATTGTTTGACAAGGTTTGGGTAATGCGAAACATATGTCCATACATTCTATCTATAGCCTTATAAGGTCATAAAATGCATGTCTGAGTGGTGTATGTAGATGGCATGTACGCATGTGGCCTCCAGAAAGGTCTCTGGAATTGGCTGCTTCTCTCCATACATGTCAAATTAAAAAATCATATTGACTGAACCTTCAACCTATGTCTGAGTTCGTTTTAACATTGTTACCTCATAAACTTCATTCCAGCGGGGGTTCAAGGTCTCCTTGATGGTCTTCGTTTGGAAGCGTTTGTTTCCCACCCTTAGAACCACATATGGATCAGACTTGCCCTTCACTAGACCCATCATCAATGTGTCCATAGCAACCAGATCCTGGGCCTCCACCACATGAACACGCACCACGCCCTGGGACAGTGGCCAAAAAAAGACAAATTATTTAGAACAAGAAGATTTTTGTTTGCTTTATTTGAGAATATTTAACATTTTTGATGTAATTCTTTCCATTAATGGAATGATCCCCAGTCCTATTCACAAGCAGCATGTCGCTAGTGTCAGTAGAGGACCTTGCATCTCCATTTTTCAAAAAATGACCCAAAATGACTTGGAAAAATGTCTGGTTCCATTGACTTACATTAAAGGTGAAGTAGGTTTTTTCCTTCTCCTGAAAAGTTATCCTTTTTGGAGATACAAAGTTTTGTTCCGACGACAACGATGTGTCAGTACAAGCATTTGCTTTTGTAAAAAATATTTATATCTCTGAAATGGTAATTTTACAGGAGACGGAACAAACATTTAAAACTTTAACATACGTCAGTTATAGTAATTTTGGACCATTTCTACTGGAACATTCACATAAAGTAAAGGGCAACACATCTGAGCAACACAACTGAGTGAACTAATCAAGCCACTAGGGCTGAAACAATTCTTCAACCTTATTGATAACACTGGCAATGTAAAAATCATCAACAAATATTTGTTGTTTTTCGTTTACATTTTCAAAGCGATGTTTAATCTAGAATGTGAGTTAACGGCTTAACCTGAAAAGGACAGCAATTCCCTTATAGTGTCGTATCTATGTGAACAAAAAAGACAGGCAAAGTATGGTGAGCATGTGCTGCTGAGTTGCCCTGTAAAGCCTGATATAATCATTTAAAATTCAGACTAGGACTGCCACAAAAATCCATCTGATATCTGATCGCAATTATTTAAGCTGACCACAGTTATTTTTCCACAATTATTTTACTTTTCACAATCACATGTTTACATGTTTATCCATTGGATTGAGCCCAATAAATGTAAAGCAAAAATGCATTTAAGGAGATGCGTTAAGTCTGACTGCTGCTGTAATTGTAATTTTCTGTAATTGTCATTAGCCAAAACTATGATTGTCTGGAATGAAAGATCATTCCTACACCTGTACTTTATGGATAAAAATGGGCACTGCTACGCAACAGACACAGTGAATGTACTCACTCGTGGCAGAGGAAACCTCATCTGGTCCACCTTGACTTGGTCTATCAGCGGAAAACACATGCGGTTCGGCAGGACCATCATGGATGCGATGAGTTCCAATATGGCTGTTTCTGAAAAGCCACTGTGGAAAAGATCATGGGTAAAGTGCACTGGCTGAAACATTAAAACCAGATAGTATAGCTAAAAACGATGGTGCTAAGAAAGGTGATATATAATTCATTTAAGACATAAGAGTGCATAAGTTATGTGGCACTAGCGGAAATAAAAATCTTTTTAAAAGAAACTGTGATAAATTGAGAGTTTTTATTAAACAAGCCATAAAGCCTACAATGGTAGACGGTTCATTATACAAACAAGCAGATCAAAGAAATGCATACCGCAGTGCCGGACTGTCTAGAAGATTGGTCATCCCAGTCCAATTTACACGCAGGGTCTAAAAATATTAATTTAAATGCTTAAAGGCCTGTGATGCTAAATTTGTTACATCAATAAGATAAATATAATCCAGAGAGATTTGAAATCATTTACATAAAATGAAATCGTAACTCACGGGGCGGCGAATGAAAAACATGGTGACCCCACCCACAAATGGAGACTGGGCAATCAGAGGCTCGAGAATCACACGGAGCATCCCCTGAAGCTGAGAGGAAAAAAAAAACTTATTTTAGTCGTAATTAATTCACAGTTTTAATTAGTTGACACCACAGTGAAGGTGACTGAGCTGTTTCACCACATATATGTGCAAAGCACAATCCCCCAATTGTTTAAATCCCCAATTTAATAGTCACCCATTCCACCCTGAGATTGTTGTAAGAATATTATTATTATTATTATATATAATTATTATTATATATAATCTTAGCTAAAGATTATTCAACTTATTTCTAGATTTTTATGTGTTTTCAATATTTATCTGGAGAACATATCTTATTCTTCTGACCTATAATTTAGTTTGCTTTGAGAATAATGCTTGAAACATTTATCTGCCGACAGAATAAGACATTTTCACAGGATAAAATGACTGAAGACATGTAGGCAAAGTCTACAAATAAGTTAAATAATATGACGTTCTTATAACAATCTCAAAGTGTGATCTACCGGCTAAAATTAAGATGTTTTCACTTGACAGTCTTGTACTGCCGCCATCCCAGTTTTAGTGAGTGCGTTTTGTCGTTGACACAGAACTGAAGCACAGAGTAAGCCAGCATACAAGTGCAAACATGCAGGAAACTAGGCTTCAAAGTAAACATAAATCAACAGTGCCAAAGCATGTTACACTCACAACTCTATAACTCCAGTAAATATATAAACTCAAGTAAATACAAACCGGATTCCAAAAAAGTTGGGACACTAAACAAATTGTGAATAAAAACTGAATGCAATGATGTGGAGGTGCCAACATCTAATATTTTATTCAGAATAGAACACAAATCACAGATCAAAAGTTTAAACTGAGAGAATGTATCATTTTAAGGGAAAAATATGTTGTTTCAAAATTTCATGGCGTCAACAAATCCCAAAAAAGTTGGGACAAGGCCATTTTTACCACTGTGTGGCATCCCCCCTTCTTCCTACAACACTCAACAGACGTCTGGGGACAGAGGAGACCAGTTTCTCAAGTTTAGAAATAGGAATGCTCTCCCATTCATGTCTAATACAGGCCTCTAACTGTTCAATCGTCTTGGGCCTTCTTTGTCGCACCTTCCTCTTTATGATGCGCCAAATGTTCTCTATAGGTGAAAGATCTGGACTGCAGGCTGGCCATTTCAGTACCCGGATCCTTCTCCTACGTAGCCATGATGTTGTGATTGCTGCAGAATGTGGTCTGGCATTATCTTGTTGAAAAATGCAGGGTCTTCCCTGAAAGAGATGACGTCTAGATGGGAGCATATGTTGTTCTAGAACCTGAACATAGTTCTCTGCATTAATGGTGCCTTTCCAGACATGCAAGCTGCCCATGCCACAAGCACTCATGCAACCCCATACCATCAGTGATGCAGGCTTCTGAACGGAGCGTTGATAACAACTTGGGTTATCCTTGTCCTCTCTGGTCCGGATGACATGGCGTCCCAGTGTTCCATAAAGAACTTCAAATCGTGACTCATCTGACCACAGAACAGTCTTCCATTTTGCCACACTCCATTTTAAAAGACCCCTGGCCCAGTGCAAACGTCTGAGCTTGTGGAGCTTGCTTAGAAATGGCTTCCTCTTTGCACTGTAGAGTTTCAGCTGGCAACGGCGGATGGCACGGTGGATTGTGTTCACTGACAATGCTTTCTGGAAGTATTCCTGAGCCCATTCTGTTATTTCCTTGACGGTGGCATTCCTGTTTGAGGTGCAGTGACGTTTAAGGGCCCGGAGATCACAAGCATCCAGTAGAGTTTTACGGCCTTGACCCTTACGCACAGCGATTGTTCCAGATTCTTTGAATCTTTTGATGATGTTATGCACGGTTGATGATGATAACTTAAAAGTCTTTGCTATTTTACGCTGGGTAACACCATTCTGGTATTGCTGCACTATCTTTCTGCGCAACAATGGTGGAATTGGTGATCCTCTTACCATCTTGGCTTCAGAGAGACACTGACACTCTGAGAAGCTCTTTTTATACCCAATCATGTTGTCAATTGACCTAATTAGTCTTAATTGGTCTTCCAGCTGTTCGTTATATGCTCAATTTCCTTTTTCCAGCCACTTATTGCTACTTGTCCCAACTTTTTTGGGATTTGTTGACGCCATGAAATTTTGAAACAACATATTTTTCCCTTAAAATGATACATTCTCTCAGTTTAAACTTTTGATCTGTGATTTGTGTTCTATTCTGAATAAAATATTAGATGTTGGCACCTCCACATCATTGCATTCAGTTTTTATTCACAATTTGTTTAGTGTCCCAACTTTTTTGGAATCCGGTTTGTATATCATTGTCAAAGCATGCTGGTGAAAGGCTGAAAGTCAGCTAACCTGTAGTTCCTTGACTCCTGCTGCGATGCTCTTCACGTCTGTATTGATGTTCAGATCCCCCTCATAACTGAGAAACATTCAGGCAGTATTCATGCATTACAATATACAAAAAATGTATGTATCTATAAGAGAGAGATTAGGTTTAAACGTTTATGCATCTTAGAGCATGTGTGCCAGGAAATGTACACAGCATTACGTCAATTCAGACTGATGGAGAGTGTGTTGTATATGGTTCTATATAAAGCACCTAAAAGGGTTCTTCCATTGACACAAGCTTGACATCATAACAATACCAGAACCCTTTTTGGTGCTATATAGAACCATTTTCAAAAAGGTTCTAGACAGAACCATATACATCACATTCTGAAGAACCATTTCACCATGCAAATGGTTCTATATAGAACTAACTGTTCTAAATAGAACAATTTCCTTTACTAAAGAACCCTTGAAGAACCATCTTTTTAAGAGTGTATTTCAATCAGTGTTGCTTTTCACACCACCTGCGCACCTCACACTGCACCACGCCAGTAACGTGAGCATGAAGCGCAAAAACATGCTTTGAGTCTATTTTTGGCACGTGCCGCACATGGCATGCTAGCATTTTCTAGGCAGAAACAATAAGAAAATGCAGTGTTTGTGCTTTAATACACAGTGTAGACCAGAGGTTGGCAACTCAAATGTTAACAATAGCCATTTTGTCCTTTCAACAAATATCAAACCATCTTGGGAGCCACAACACTGTATGTCCATTTTACCATCCTGGCTGTAAATATGGTTCAGCACGTGCTAATGTGCTAGTAGAGGCTAAAAATATAATATAAATAAAAACGCAGACTTTGCTCTGCTTTAAGCTTTAGCTCAGCTACAGTCGCTTTTCTCGCATCTCTGGCAGGAAACCTTTCCTCAAAATTGGAACAGTTTTGTGTAAAATGTCTCTCAACGTTCGATTTTTACAAGGCTGAAGTCAGCTTCTCATTCGGCAGCTTCTTGTTCTAATTTTCCGCTCCACCTTAAACGGTGCCTGAGGTGCTGCACCATTTAAGGTGGAATGGGAAAATTCGAACAAGTAGCTGATTTTAGCTTCGCCACTTTTAGTGTTTGACAGTTTCTCGTTGCAGATTAAACGTATCAGGAAACCAGCTGGAGTGATTATAAATACAAACAAGTCTGTTCTTTTCCAAATTATCGCTGTCTTGTCCTTTTCGTTAGCTACTAGCTAGGTGAGATTGTTGTCTTTGTTGCTATGCTGTGACCAGCAGTCTGTGTGCCAATCTTCAGGATTAAAGGTTGGTAAATTAGCAGTTATGCATTAATTCCAGCGTTTAAGACAATTTATTGCTAAAACTGTGTTAGAATGATCAGCAGAGCTTTATTTTACTGCAAAGGAGGATTATTTTATTTTTAACCTAAAAATGTAATTCTGTTGTGGAGCTGCAACAGGGCAGTAAAACAGCTGCATACGGCTCCGAAGCCCATGTTGCCGACCCCTGATCTAGTCCAATAAATAAGTAAATAACTCTTTGATTAGGTGATGGAAGTCCCTTGTATGGATTAATGTTGTGAACCCACATGCATCACCTCCTCTTCATACAGCTGCGCCTCACATGGTGAGAAAACTAGTAACATTCATGGCAGCTAGTCAGGTTTTTATGTTGAGGTTTTTATGTCATTCACACTAAACAATAAAAGACAATTCAGACGCTTGTACTATACTACAGTGGCTACAGTTTACCATGCAAGCTTGTTTTTTTTAAATGCAATTCTTCATGCATAGTTTTTCAGTAGTGATGTGGAAACAGTGTAATAGAGGGTTTGCCATTGTGCCACATATTCTGCATGTCACTACAGACAATGTCATGCATGCATTGCATTTAAAATTTTTCACTGAAGTCATTTTTAATTTGGCACCAGTTCCTCTCCACAGACTGCTGGTAACTGACTTTATGCAAAATATCTTTTAAGCATCACTGCTTATCAGTGCTCACTTCTATACCTTCGGCCTGCTTGTAACAGCAACCAGATTTCCCACTCTTGAGCTTTGACTCTATAACTTACGCAATGTTGAGGTCCAGGATGACTTCCCTCATGTCTACTTCATGTGTGTACACCCGTATTCCTGTAATTGTTGGAGCCTGAAATATGAGCAGCCAAAGATGTGTATAAGTGATGAGTAAACAACTTGTTCACACTTTTTGAACTTTTGAAGTATGTTCATGCACAGGAAGTATGTGCACAGGATCTCAAGTACTCGCTTAACCGCTCTAGGTGCCAGTATTCAAATGCAGAACTGACTGTCCAGCAGGGATGTAGGAAGTGGGGGCGCTCTGGGTGCAGCAATACTCCCCAGATTTTAGTATTGTTTAACTGTAACTGCTAAAAATTATCTATAAAAAGTCATTTTAGAGTTTGAATTTTCATGTTTCATTCATATAATATTTTAAAACGTGCAGTAGCCATGCACCGTTGAAGTTAACGCTGCATTTCCATTACAGTGAGTCAAATCGCTTCCCTCACCAACCACTGGCCACTTTGGGTGCACGTTGTTTAAACACAAGTAGGCTGAGTTGCAAAAAGTGGAATGTATGCAGAAATATTCTGAGCCCCAAAGCAGCCTAATATTGTTTATCAGACTTCAGTCTAATTTAAATCATCTAATTTAATTATGGCCTGCGATTTGAATACTTCTCTAGTGTTGGTTCTAGTGTTGGTTCTCAGTGTGGCTAGGGGCGTGACACAATCTGCATCTCACATCAACAATCTGATTTGCTGCCACTCAGCTCATTTAAATAAAATTCGTCCCAAATGAGAGAGCAGAGTGAGGTCATCTGTCTGATGCGCATCATCGGTCTGATTTGCCACTTATGCATGTATATTGTTGTCTTTTGCCACATTATAGCATATTATAACAAGTAAATAACAAGTAAATAACAAGTAAATAAATCAATCAATAAAATGAAAAAAGGCAAATCATTTTGACTGACATTACCGTCCATGTCATCACCTTCCTGCTATTCGGGTATTTATTACCGCATCATGGAAAGTCAGGAAGAAAATGCACATGTCAGCAGATCAGTGACTGCTAATATTTACTTGGGCTGTAAAGTTTTGCTCATATTTAAAGATCAATTGCACTATACGTTGCTGCAACACATAATGAGTGCTTTAGTGTGAGTGATGTGATCGAGAAAGCTAAGTTAGCACAGCTGCAACTAAGATAACTACTTTGGCTCATGTAATCTAGAACCAAAAACAATGAAAAGATACTCCACTCACATTAAAGCGCTCATTATTTGTATTTTTCTGAGGAGAAAAACATGTAGAATTTTATTTTTTATTTAACCTATTTCTGTGCATTTTTACTTGTTTAAAGTTTTATTTTATGAAAGTGTCTTATTCCATGGGCAGAGCATTTTACTTTCTTTGAGAAATAATACAGATAGTTTTGCTTATTTAAGGAATTAATTCTTAAAACAAGTGATCTGCCAACAAAAGACACTTTTGTAAGATGAAATTAAGCAAACAAGTAAAAATGTCTAGAAATAAGTTTACTAATCTTATAATATTCTTACAACAATCTCATAATGAGAGGTATTAGATATGTTTTCTAGTTATAACATGTTTTCACTTGCTATAATAATGTTTTTCCAGCACAGTGTTAACATTAGCTTATTAGTGGATACAAGGCAGCCTCTGTTACTCAAATGCATTGACCAAAAAACTTTCCTTGTCTATTTTTAAATAATATGACATGATAATACGTCATAAGACATGCTGTCATATGTACATCTCTGTGAGGTGCTAGATTTTTGTTTTTTTTATTTGCACCAGTGCACCAGTCTGTGTACTATGATATGTTAACATCATGCAAAAATATAATATTTCTCATTTTGAGATTGTTGTAGGCTTATTATAAATTCTCTTGACATTTTTTTACTTGTTTTAGATGATTTTAGTCAAATGATCTGACTGTTTTGGCAACTAAATTTGCCCGTTGTAAGAAATAAGCTTGAAACAAGCCAAAATATCTGCCAATACAGTGAGAAAATTTGACTAAAATCACCTAAACAAGTAAAAAAGTCTAGAAATAAGTTAAATAACCTTATATAACCTTAAACTGAGAAGTATTAGACATATCGACTAGATTTAAGATAATTTGACTCGACAAGGTACCATTTTTTGCAGGGCTGTATTTTTTCTTCCTCACAGAATATGTGTTAATAAACTTTTGTGGATGATCAAATACCAAAATTAGTCAGACTGCAGTACTTCTGAAAGCTTGTCATGTCTTACCCTTTGTCCGAAGTGGACCTTGGTGAACTTAAAGGTTTTAAGGTGAGGGTTGGACTGCTGGACGGACAGCTGGATGCTTTCTCTCAGGAGCTTTTCCATGTAAATGCCAAAGAATGGCCAGGCCTGGTGAAGAATCTGGAAACAACAAAGAAATACTGTAGGTGAGCACTAGAAACATGTCTTTGACAGAAGCTTCATTGAAATAGCATTTACCGCCCTCCTGATTTCTTCTATGTTTGCATATTTGTCACACTTACTTGTTTCAGATCTTCAAAACAAAATTGTATAAAACTGTATATAAAACCAAGCATATAAATAACGGGATCAGCCAAAATGTTCTTTAATTAAATAAGGACAAAACAGAGATTATTGTGTTGGGCAACAAAGATAAATTAGTATTTGTGAACATCTCGATTTGCAGTCTCTAAAACCAACGACCAAGTCCGAAATCTTGCTGCTCTAATAGACTCAGATCTCACTTTCACTAGCCATATCAAAGCAATCACCAAGGCAGCCTTCTATCATCTTAAAACTATAGCCAGATTCAAAAGGTTGGTGTCCAAGCAAGACAGCTGCAGCTCATTCAACATGCTGAGCTTTAATCAGGACTAAGAGAAGAGAGAACATTATTCCAGTTCTAACACCTTTACACTGGCTTCCAGTTAGTTTCAGAATAGATTCTAAAGCGCTGCTACTAGACTATAAATCACTGAGTGGTTTAGGTTCAGAATACATCTCTGATATGTTTAAAGAATATAAAGCGAGTAGGTCATGCGAGTTATATCCATGGAGTCAGGACAGCTAGTAGAGCCCAGAGTCCAATGGAAGCTTTTAAAGCTTTTAGCCGTTATGTTGTATGCAACTGGAACAAACTGCCAGATGTTGTTAGGTGAGCTCCAAATGTAGCAATTTTTAAAACCAGCTTAAAAATATTTCTCTTGTTGTGTGTCTATGAACTCTATAACTTGCACTCTATTCTTACTGCACTTTATCCTTAATAAGCTCATGTTAATAACACTTAAGTCCTTTCTTTTAATTCCCTTTTTTTATTCTATTTTATGTACTTCATTCTTTGTTTAATTTTTTTTAAAGATTTGTATCTTTTACTGTTTTTTACTTTTAAGCACTTTGTCTTTATTTTTCCTTTTAATGTTCCTTTTGCTTTTATTTATGTAAAGCACACTGAACTGCCTTTGTGTAACTTCCCTTGCCTTGAGTGACCTGAGTTGCCTAGTCAACCTCATTAAAGTGCTGCTGCAGGAACTCAAACGGGCACTTCATGAAGGAAGTGCCCTCCAACGTGGCTGAATTAAAGCGATTCTGCACAGAAGAGTGGGCCAGAATTCCTCCACAGTGATGTGAAAGACTAATCTCCTGTTATAGAAAGCATTTGGCTGCAACTGTTGCTGCTGGAAGTTATTAGGTTATTAAGATTAGGCAGGCAATCAATTTTTCACATGAGTGGTACAGTTTTGCCAAAATGAAATGATCATTTAAAAACTGCATTTTATGTTTCCTCGTGTTCTTTGTCTTGTATTAAAATTTGAATAAGATTTTAAAAAATAAGAGAAACCACAGCAAGACACTAGCATTCCTACAAGGTAACACAATTAAATGTTTAAACATGTTGGATGATACACTGTCCTACATTAATACACCAACTGCAGTCCAGAATCCATTCTTTCTCACGATATTGCCAAATTAATGATGGTAACATATCACTACCACAACTTTTACTGAACTGTGCTTTTATTATGAAATTCGTATTTATACATTATGTCTATGAAGTTCGTAAATGCCTGGAGGAAATATATACAGAGAAAAAAATAAGGAACAAGAAAATATATATTAAATTATATAATTTTCAGACTAATTGGAAAGTTTAACTCTGATTGGCTGTGTAACCAACCCAAATTCTGCCACCTGGCTTTATTAAGATGCAGACATTGGCAGGATAACATTTGTTTCATAGCGTTTTTATAGGTTTTTATGTGATATTCTCTCATTTTTTGGCCAAAGTAAAATTATCGATCTATTTTCACATGTAAACATACTCAAGCGTCATGTTTTACCTTTGCCATTTTATGGATGAGTTAAACCAGTGAGAGCTTCCTGTTCTGGATGTTTGCATAAACAAGCAATCAGCATAACGGGCTGCACCTGCATTCCTGGTCCATCTGCTTTTGCTTTCAGACAGTAAATGTCTGTTGTATCAAGTGCAATTCAAATACAAATAAAATTGCTTTAGATTAAACTGATGCTATGTTGACACGGCACAGTGCAAGCAGATTGTGATTCCATGTTCTTGCCATTTACGTTGCGGCTTTCTAATCTCATTACTTTTCTATTAATCTGTTTTGTGTATTGGGCCACCACTGAGATTCAATCAACCTCTGGCCTACATGAATGTTTGCACTTTTTTATGCCCGTTTATTTCACTCTGCTTTGGGATGTGGGCATCATGGACACGGACAAATCAAACACATCGCCACAACATTCTGAGCAATGTTGGCAGTCAAAATATTTTCAAAGGCGAATCATAGAGCTCGGCAATATGACAATATTTATTGTTATCATGACAATAAACAAAGAAATATGCATTTCTGAGCATATCATGGCTATCGCCACTTATACCGATACTTCCAAACACTTCCCAACTGCACGTTTGATTAGAATCGGACTATTATTAGTCCCGTTTAATTGGATTTTGCGCAGAACAGTGTATGAAATATTGAATACAAGTAATTGGATTCATAGTTCCTGATAGTATTGTTAAATGTGGCACTACTTTGCCTGTTCTAACATATCAGATGCTAGAAAAGATAAACATTGTGAAATATCATGTATCGCAAAAAAAAGTTCTAAAGTACTGTGATATTACATTTTGCCATATCCTCCTGCTCCAGCTAAGCGTCTACAGAAAACTCTACCACACCCAACATTCAATTCATCTTTTTCACAGTTATCACTGCTCGTGAAACTCGTATTTTTGACCTTGACATGCTCTGAATGTTTTACAAGAAGCAATAATTTTACTGGCACAGAAAAACGGTGCTAGAGGCCAAGAACCTGTGTTGACTCTGGTTTACTGTGACATGACACCCCATGACACAGCAAAATACTCCTACATTCATTAAGTCCTTTTGGACGTCTTGGCCTTATTTATCAAGTGTAAGAACACTGATCTAAGATCAGGCCTCATCAATCCAGGTAGTCATATTCAAAGCTATGTAAAAGGCATAATCTGACATCAGATCAGCATTATTTATCTGAGATGTCTGATAAATATGGGCCATTGTTTTAACTACTGTTTCACATTGTGAGGTCAGAAGAAAGGGGGTATAAGCTTAAAGGGTTAAATAAAAGCTTATTTCTTTAAGATTTGTTTACATTTTTTTGCATAATGAAACCTGTAAGGTGTAAACAAAAACAGTCAGAATATTTCAACATGTTTTCAAGGTAAAATACTCTAGAGAAACTTGCCAAGTCAGAATTTCCACTGTAGTGATGATAGGAACCAGACGTCCACCTTTACAGCTCCTTCACAGCAAGCTATCACATGAATTAGTTACAAATACGCTGCTTGATGTCTGAGACATTATTTTATTATAGTTTTGCGAGAAGCATAACTTTAAAAAAAAGTGTTTAATGGTGGAGAGGTACATGTAGGATGATGGAAGGAAAGAAATGTTTATTTCCCATATTTACACTTTTCACCATCGTTATCATTCCATATAAAAACTCAGAAGACACATTTAGGCTCACTGGTGGTTCTAGATAGTAAATAAAATGGCTATATTTGTGTTGTAGACATGGCGACCCCTGGTTCCTATTACCACCACTGTAAAGAGAGTCTTTACAATGAACCATTTCACACTAAACCAGTCTGAATGACATTAAATTTCAAAGATTAAATTATGGTGACATTCTGCAACATTAGTGGAGCTCCCCTTTAAATATTACATTTGGCTATATCAAAGTTTGTGTGTTACACTGTTGAATAACACATTCTTACCTTGTTGATCCAGGAAGCCTTCTCAACATCAGTAAACTGAATCTATTGGGGACAAAGACAAACAAAGAAGAATATATATCAAGGCACATGTAACAACAGTACTGTATGCAGTATGGTGTCATGTAGGGAAGGCCTGAATGGCACTTCGGTATTATAATGTTTGCATGATTTTCATTCGATTTGCCTCAGGTGGATCTACTGGATCTCTCAAACAGTCATGCATGCACCATACTAATGCAAATGTGCACAAACAGAAAGAGGAAGAGAAACAACCAAAACAAAGGTGATGTGCATTTACGTAAAAAGTTCTTAATGTAAAGTAGGAAATGGTGGATAGTGGGGACATGAGCTCTATAATTCCTACGGCATATACAGTGTCGCTGTCTGAAACAAAACCTTGTATGTATCTCCATTTTTGTCATTTTTTCTTTTATTTATTTAGTTTTTACACAATTGAAAATTGACAGCAGCCCTTTCCACTGTGTCAAAACTTGATGAACATACCAATAAAATTGGTGTAAAGCCTTACAATAAAACTGTGGTACATTAACTCAAATTGAAAGTTATTAATGTTTTTTTCTTTTTTGTGCAAAGTTACTTTTTTGGAGATACAAAGTGTCCTGACACAGACAATATAAAGGGGTATAAACCACCCCCCACTCCCAACCCCCCACAGCTTCGGGCTGTGCAGCTGTGGAGCAGTAGAACAGCGTTCTCTGGAGTGATGCAGCTCTTTGAGATGAGTTAGAAGTGCATTTGTGATCCAGAACTAATCATCACTAAACGTCAGTTCCTGATGCTCTCAATACAATCAAATCCTCACAGCAATGTTCCAACATCCAGTGCAAAGCCTTCATAGAAGCATAGACGCTGTTACTGAAGCAAAGGGGAACAAACTGATGCAGATGAGAACATGTTTGGTGGGCAATATGACGATATGCCATGTTTCATTACAAAGTAAGCACAGTCAGGCCTGTTTAGTTATGCTATTTAGCTATTTAGTTTGTAAAACACTGAATTAAATCACTGTAGTATTAGGATTATTGTTATTGTTTTAGTATTTTAATATGTGGCACTACATGTTCTTTCTTGTTCGTTACAACTTGTTAAATCTCATATAAAAAAATAAATATTCTGATGCATATCGTGTATCATGAAAATGTCTTAAAGCATCATGATATAATATTTTTGCCCTTCACCCACCCCTTGTGTATATGAATATGTATATAGACCATTTTTCTTTATAGGTGTACTTTGACAGTACGCAGCCACTGAATGTAGCCTGCTGCTGCACAGTTTATCAGCCCCTCTTCTATTCCATCCACTGGGTCAGTGGGGGTTCTGTGTTGGTTCCTTTCCATTGATGGTCAGTTTAGAGGGGGGATTAGATATAGTCAGCTACTGTACAACTACAGTAAAACAATAAACAAGTTAAAGTGGCCAATTACAAACATAAAACTTCCATGAAATTCTATCAAGTATCTCCACAGGGATGACAAAAAGTATTAGCTAACATCTAACCTATCACCAAGTGAATAGCCTACTGCTGCAGCTGCCCCGGGACATCAGATACACTGATAACACATCTTAAAACAGTGTTGCATTTTCATTTTTGCTTCTTCTTCCTTATCTGACATCTGTTTTTTGACTTCCTAAGAAATGTTTACACAGGCTTGTAAAATGCATTGTTGGTTTCCTGGTCAAAGACTTTGAGCCAGCAGGAAAAAAAGAATTAGAAAGAACACCTGTATTAGCCATTCAGATGACTAGATATTTCCTTTTTTTGGGAACTATCAATACTGCTCAGCAGTCCCAGGCACTATGGACATTAAAGAAATGACTGGTGGACATGCGGCTTTGGAACAACAGCAGAGCAGCCTTTGGTAATTGCACTGAGGTCGGTGGTGCAGGACCCCCTAAAATCTTTATTTTTATATATATATATATATATATATATATATATATATATATACACTATATATATATACATATATATATATATATATATATATATATGTATGTGTATATATATATATATATATATATATATATATATATACACAATATGGCCAGAGGTACGTGGACACCGGACTATCACACCTATATGAGCTTGCAGGACATCCCTTTCCAAAACCATAGGAACAGGAAAGCGCCTTCCCCAAACTGCTGACACAAAGTTGGAAGCATTTTGTAAAATGTCTTTGTGTGCTGTAGCATCAACATTACCCTTCACTGAAAAACAGCCCCAGCCCATTATCCCTACTCCACCAAACTTTACTTTTGACAAAATGCATACTACTGCCAGTGTTTGTCTATGGAAATTCCATGGGTATGTGCTTGATTTTATACACCTGTTAGCATTGAGTGTGGCTGAAACACCTAAATGTAATGATTAGGAGGGCAGTCCACATGCTTTTGACCATATAGTGTAGATGTAGACTAGAGATGAAACGGTTACCGGTTTCACGGTAAACCACGGTAAAATTAATGACGGTTAGTAGTACCGTTTGAACTTTAAAGTATCGTTAAAACCGCGGTAATCGAAAACTCGGAGATTCGGAGATATTTCAGCCTTCTAATGACGTTTGGTCATATTTTGGGTTTTATAAGGATGCAGAAGGAAAGTTAATTGAAGATGACCACCCTGTCTGCAGAACATGCCGAAAGAAAATAGCGGCGAAAGGGGGCAACACATCAAACTTTACGAGTCATTTCGCGACCACCACCCGCTACTTTTTAGAGAATGCAAGGTTAACTTTAACATAGAAGTCTGTGGGGACTTACAAATAGAAGAAATGTCACGGTTTGTGTGGTTTAACCTATGCTTATGGTTCGTTAATCATATAAAATGAAGCTTTTAGCGTCAAAAAAAAAAGAAAAACAATCGGTGAATCAACTGTGAATCGAAACTAAAGCTTTTAATATTTCTGTGGAGCAGAGTCTCCAAAATGAGCTCTGAGTTAACAGTCACACGAGCTCTGGAACAAAACGCTGCAGAGGTTCAATCTGCACAGCTCCCCTTTCTCGTCTCGCTTGCAGTGTTTACTGTCTGAGAATAACACCGTCTCAAATCACTCAATGTCCCCTACGTAGAGCGCTACTGTTCAAACAAACACGATCATCATTAACAAGCAGTTGAGTTTTAAATTGAGCATTAACTTGCTATTCTTTTGTTTACAGAGTATTACAAGTATTGTAAGTAATACAAAAGTAATACTAAATATTTATTGACCTTATTAAAATAAAATTTGGTGAAACGAGTTTCAGTTTGTGTATCAGTATTTATTTTTTTATTTATTTTACTTTTCAAAACATTTGAACAATATCGCGACAATACCGATAATCGTGATAATTTTGGTCATGATAATCGTGATATGAAATTTCAATATTGTTTCATCTCTAATGTAGACACAACTGTACAGCCATAGCTTACATTTATTTATATAGGTTTATATTTATTAAATTGTAAAGAGGTAGTGTAACATAAACTATTAGGTTAAAGGGAGCATATCCTAATTTTTTGATATCATGTTTCCCTAAAGTCCACTTTTAACATCTGAGTAAGTTTAGTCATAAAGTATGACCGTTTTCCAACCTCTTTTTATCTCTTAGAATTTAACAGGCTGTTTTTGTTACCCTGTCTTTGGGGCTGATATATGTAAATGACCTCTGCTCTGATTGGCTGCCCTGTATGGTGCCTCACTCTAAAAGTAGGTCTGGCTGAAACCCTGACGTTTGACGTTAGATGCTAGTGCAGGGAGTGGCATGATTTGAGAGCATCAACTTGTTTGAGACATAACAATGGCGAGTTAAAAAGCAAATTACATTGTCGTTTTTTATATTAATTGAAATGTTCAAACTCAAAGCTCCCAATAATTTCTTTTAAACTGGTACCCACAAGATCCTGGTTACATCATCAAACGCAGCCACAAATCACTACATGAATTCAGGGGCAGAAAAGTAGAATGACTTAACATCAACAGTCCAGTCCTAACTACAGTGAGGTGGCTCTTTAAGGGTTCTCTAGTAAACACAATGGTTCTACATAAACCCATGAACACTCAAAGAACCATCTGCAGGTTTAAATGATTCTGTGCATGGTAAAATGGTTCTTCAGGTTAACAGAGAATGTTTTGTATATGGTTCTATGTAGAACCTTTCTGAAAATGGTTCTATATAGCATCAAAAATTGTCCTGATGTTGTTACAAGCTTGACATACTAACAACAGCAGAGCCCTTTTTAGTGCTATATGGAACCATATACAACACATTCTCCATCAAACTGAAGAACCATTTTACCATGCAGAGAACCATTTAAGCATGCACATGGTTCTTTGAGTGTTCATGGTTCTATATAGAACCATTATCTTTACTAATGAACCCTTGAAGAACCATCTTTTTTAAAAGTATACTTAAAAAAGGGTTGAGTATAGACAGTTCTAGCAGACACAAGCAACTGTGTACACAGTGCACTCAGTGCACAGAGAGTGTTTGACCTGTGGGCCTGTCCACTTGATGCCAAAAGACACAGCAAGGCTGAGGTAAAGGTAAACTTCCAAACCCAAAACCTGCTTTGCCTGTAATGTTCCCAAGCAACACAACAAGAGCTGAGAGAGCCACACCCCTGCAAACTCACAACAGTGGAATTCAGCAAAGTTTTGGTTCCTGAATTTCAGCACAATGCAGCCAGTGTTAAAGAAATACTGAGAAAAGTCTAATTTATACAGTTAATCCCAAATGTAGTCAATCAGCCAAGATGTGCTTAGCATCTGAAGTTTGCTTCTTGTTTTGTACTGTACCTACAAGGATAATGTAGCTAACAAATGATGATTGCACATAACGTAACAGTAAGCATTGTACAAACTTAAGGCCTAAATTATCAGCCACTCACCTCAAACTGTGTTGAGCTGTTAAGTAATCGCAAATAGACTTGGTTATGCGGTTTATAATTAGCTTCTATTATTTGTTAGTCACATTAGCCTCGTAGCTACAGTGCAAAACAAAAGAAGCTAAATTGAGACATCATGTTTTTACAATAAGGCAAAAACTGTAAATATTTGACTTTTAACCAAACTATTCTTTTAAAAAGAAAATGTCCTATTGTAGCGCATATTAATAAGTACACTCTCTCTGTAGAACTATAGGTAGGATATACTGGAAGATAAGGCTAAACAATATGACAACATGCGTGTATATACATACATACATATATATACATATACATACATACATATATATACATATATACATATATATATATATATATATACACACACACACACACACACACACATACATATATATATATATATATATATATATATATACACACACATACATACATGCATATATCATTCATCAATACATATCATGATGAATTATGTCACAGTACAATATAATATGCTTTTTTAAACATATGGCGGAAATAGTCAGTACTTTGTAAATTGTGCATCAAGAAAATTTCTTAAAGTATCACAACATTAGATTTCTACTATTTTGACCACCTCTATTGGAAGACTAAAATAACCTTATTAGAAAACTGCTCCAAGCATAAAATCTAGAGGTAGGATATTTTGCCTTAAAATGTTTACAGCATTAAAGCTGGGTATTATATTATCAGACTGTAAGCAGTAATGTTAAGCTGAGTCTGTATAACACACTTGAAGTAAGGCTGAATTAACATGAAAAAGTTACATACTAATGATATGCGCAGTAGAACCGCTTGACATTAGGAACACTTGTTAAAACACCAGTTCATAGGTTCCTGGGGAACCCCAACTGGCCCAGCTCTATTCCAGCTCCCAGCACACCTGAAGCCATCAATAACCCTGCACACCTGGTAGAGGTGAGCTGGGAGCTGGGATAATGTGAACCCACTGGAGGTTCCACTGAGCAAAGATTGGACCACCTGGACCAGCACACCTTGGTTCTGGAGGTACCCACCCAGGCTGGCATGTTGAGTGCCTTCATTTCGCTCCTGATCACATGGTGCTCGTTCTCCAAGAAGTCTATGGCCGTGTCTATGCGCACATCCTTGTGCTTGCGGTTCTTGTCCCACAGGCTCCAGAGGACGAGGCTGAGCAGGAGCCAGCTGATGCTGAGGCCCAGGGAGCCTGTGAGGTAGACGGGATACAGCAGCAGGATGGCCCTGCCCATGTACATGAGGAACTCCAGGAGGATGTGGTTCACATCACTGGGAGTGAGTTGCTCAGCACTGGCAACAGCATTGGTACTCATGCTGGCTCCTGATGAGATGGTGGTGGTTTGCTTTGGCTGTAGTTGGAGTTATATCTTCATGAGAGGCTTAAAAGTAGCTGTTGTCTTCATGAGAGGTCACAACGTGTGAAAAGGGAGGCTGGAAGTCCATTAGAGAGGAAGCTGGAGGAAGGATACTGGTCTACATGTCTCGTTGGTGGACACTGTAGAGCTGTGGAGCTGTGAGTGAAGCGCTCCTGGTTTCTACGCTTCCGTGTTGGGAGTTGGTGGAGAGAGTGAGGAGGGCGGGAGGAGCCTCAGCTCAGGAGGAAACTCCAATTAAAACACAGCGGAGAGGGAGAAAAGAGGGTGAAGACAGAAGCCGGTGATTGGGCCAAAATAGGGGGAGATACGGTGGAGGAAAACGTAAGGAAAGGATAGAGAAAAAAATCCGTGTACATTTTGATGTAAAAATGTAAATAAAAATAAAAAAAGTTATTGAACAAAACGCAAAAAAACGGTATGTCAATAACCGAGTTATGAGCTCTTTTGTGGAATCCCGTCACCCTTTTATGATTCATATGAATTATTACTCACACAGATGCCTTCGCGATCTATTTCATAGTTTGTAGCTTTATTATGTTTTTATTGTCTGAGTTTTCAGATTGAGTGTCATCTGCGTGTCATCGCGCCATCTGGTGGCGATTCGATATCATTACAAACACGCGAAGAGGGTCTTTTATATAAAGAAAAGTTCCACATATTTTCCTGTATGTATTTTGACTCTAAGTATTTTTTTATAAATGGAATTATACAGTGATAAGAACAAAAATACGTAAAAAAAAGATGCAGACATAATGTTCTATACTGAAATCTGATTTATAGAAACACACAGAATTCGAATATATGACATACATTAACATATATGAACGATACAAACGCATATTTGTAACACATACATTTAACAGTATATGATAGAGGACATTATTCATATGTGGAAGGCATATATTACTCATATGTATTAACCTATTACACAATAAAAAGTTTTTTCATTGAGTGTATGCTTCTGGTGTAACTCTTTCATTGTTTGTATCAAACATATATGTATGATCCATGCATCAGGCATACAGTATATGTATGATACATATATTATCCCTGCAAATATTTCATACTTACACGCACACACACACACACACACACACATATATATGTGTATATATATGTGTGTGTGTGTGTGTTGCAGCTGTCTGTTATGATGCGAAAGTTCATTTAAAGACTGTATTGAATGAGTGCTGGAGTTTAAATGTACTGTTTTCAGTAATGCGGTCACCGCTGCCCTCTTGTGGACGCTTTAAAAACATGCACAGAGAGCGAGACTAATATTGAGCGCGGTGCAGCAGCTTCCTTGGTTACCGCCCTAGCAACGACAACTCTCCTGCAGTAACGTTACTGAAGTAAACAGAAAGGTTAGCTTAGTTAGCTCAGCTCAGTCTAACTATTACACCGAATTAATTAAACAAATATTAATATTAACACTCGTACTGCACCCTTTCAGTGCAGAGAAGCTGGATTAAGTCGGTTCAGCAGCAGTTATTTAACTGTTTCTGAGTTAATAAACATTGTGTACTTTGTGTTGGAGGTTTAGACCATTTGTTTGGAAGAAAAAGGCGGTTTATTTAGACTTTTTAGCTGTAGGTAAATGCGAGGAAGCTGTAAATGTAGCTCTTGAACTCAACGGTAGCGTTAACATGGAAAGGAAGGTAAGACAACACAGCTAAAATAAGCATTAGGTACTAAACGTGACGAACTAAATTGGGAAAGTAAATTTATCACAGAAGTAAAAATAAGTTAAAAATTCCCAGTACGAATCCAACATAAAATGGAGTTACGTTAACGTTACTCAGTTAACCTAACGTTACACACCTTTAGCATTAGCATCACCTAATCGGCCCGCTCATGTACATGTAGTTTAACTGTTGTCTTTTAATCAGGCGTATTAATCTAATGAATTCCCAGGACAAAAGCTTTTGACTCTAATGACTCTTTTGGCTAATTTAAACGTGTTACAGGGGGGACCGGGCAATAATAGACTGTTACCTGAGATACCAGAAAGCCCTGTGCGTCCAAAGGTAAGATAACAACACTGATGTTTAGGCTATTTCAGAGTAAACATGTACTTTGTTTGTACTTTTTGTTATAACTTATATTTTGTTTGTGACATTCAGGTTCGGGTAAGGCCTAAGTTTCAAGACGCGACCCCATCCTTCGTCCTGCCGGCCTTGTCTGAGGAGGAAGCCGCTGATTATGGACTGTCAACTGGAATTTCCAGTAAGGGGCATCAAAGCAGATCAAGTAGATGCACAAAGCTAGTAATCCACTTTTAAGCAGCGACCTCTGATGTTGGAATCATTAACGACTAATCCAAGATGCCCCGGTCGACCCTACGTTTGGTTTATGAAGGACGTTAAAAACAACAACACAGTCGACCGAAGTGGTGTAGATAATTAACAACATAAAATATCAGGTTACCTTGTCTCCAAATACATGAGTTTTAAATATGTAAAAGCAGATGTTATTTCTAGTCATTTAAACAATAAGGAGGGTATATTTCAGCTAATTTTCTCACAATATATATATATATGTATATATATATATATGTCGGGAGAAAACCTTGTATCTCCACCATTTTTGTTGTTTTTCAGTTTTTGACATAATTTGAAAATGCCTGTTACCCTTTACATTGTATGTAAATTTCATGTTGAATGGACCAAAAGAAACAGCCCAAAATGACTTGGAAAAACGTCTATACACACACTCACAAGTTACTTTTTTTAAATTTACACCACCAAGTTAATGCTCATGTTCCTCCCAGGACGCTCGTTTGGAGGAGGTGTACAGCAGAGTTTTGGCAGAGGCCTGGGCCACGCCATGAGCAACGATGCTGCTTTTTCAGCCAAATCCTCCAGGCAAGGTGGCAGCATCAAGCTAAAAAAAAACAGAGAACAGTTTCGCAAAGCTCTCGTCAGCATCATCATGTGGGTGACGTTTCCCTGACTGCCTGTCAAAGCAAAAGCTCACATGACTCTTCTCTAATTACTGCATATTATTTATTATGTTGCTTATTATTGTAGGCAGCAGGAGTCTGACACTGGTAAGATCTTCACAGGTGACAGCTCACCACCCACCTGTGGCCCACTCACTTCCACCGAAAAGTGCATTTTGGTAAGAAGCTGTCAGTTCATGCTCCCCGGTGAATAATACTGCTCATAACTCTGCATGAAACTGACGTGTTTGGACAGTTTCTCCAAAGCTGTCAGAGTCACTGAAAGAATGACTTTACAGCTAATTACTGGAATGTAATAACATCGAATGGCACAGTATCATTACTGATGTGCACACTTTCTCATCAAACTTTTGGGAAACTTTTCTGAGTGTTTGATTTTCACTGTTACTTTTCCATTTAAATTGAAAGCAAAGGTTTTGTTAGCAAAGTTTTCCAAAGGCCATAGTAAACATCTTTTCAGCACAAAGGTTTGGCATTATTCTTAAGCTACTTCCTTCAGCTTTGCTGTTTTTGAAAAAAATGAAGAAAAGATCTAAACGGCTTTCTATATAAAAGTTTAGCGTGTTGCACACTCACAAAGAAAACATACTCTTTTATAAAATCATTTTGAAGAGCTAGTTCCCTCCAGATATTTGACAGGCAGTGTATCTTTACCTTAAATTGTTAAAAAATCTAAAGACTTTGCGTCTCTTTTCTTCAGAGATATAACTACTACATTCGACATGGGATTGACATAGAAGACGTGGCACCAATGGAAGACTCCTGGCTGGAGAATATCCTGGACCTGGTGCCGAGCCACCTGAAGAGACAAACGACAACCATTGAGGCTCTCTCAGACGAGATAAGGGAGGACTACCTGTTCAGTGTTCAGAAAGCCATGGGTATGATGATAAATAGTGATGTATTAGCTTATGAGAGAGAGAGAGAGCTGTCACTATCAGCCTGTGACTTTCCATTCAACCACCAGATTACACCTTTTTAAAATACCCTTTATTAATACACTTCATTTGAATTTTCATGACATGTTGTGGCCCATGGCACCCACACTTTCTTGATCTTATGTTAAATAAATTGAGAGTTGGGTGGAAAATTACATTTATACAGTTTTCCCTAAATGTAGTCAGGTAAGAAGTTTGTGAAGATTGCTTCTTTAGTTGGTAATGCTTTCTTTTACAGTCCCCCTCCTACAGATCTAGGTTTTAAGTGTGGGGTACAAGCTCCAATATACTAGATCATTATTTTGGGTAACATTACACTGAAATGCCAAAAAGGTTTTAGATATTAACTGAGTAAGTATGATGTATGATTTCTAAAGTGCTGTGTAATTATTTTGGGTAAAATGATGATAAGTACCAATACAGTCTAATTGAATTACACTAAAATGGCTGACAGGTTCTAGCTATGAACTATGGAGTGACAAAGTGGTAGACCATACCATTTCACTGTGACAACACATGTTTAAGCAGGAAAGTAAGTCGGAAACACTTAGAAGTAGATTTTTAAGTAAACGGTAAGAACCCAGTACAATTGTGGTAAGAATCATTGCTTTCTTTTACAGCTAAGATTGAGTTTTGTTGTAAGATTAATTTGTTTGTGTAGAATCTTTTTATGTCATGTAACGATGATGTGATACCCAGAATAACTGGTCAGTACTGTTTAGATTTGTAACACATACTTACCCAGTTAATACCTAGAGCCTGCTGGGCATTTCTCTGTGATTTAGTTAGACTGCGTTGGAACTTTCCATTATCCAAAATAATTACATTGTGCTTTAGAGTTTGTACCTCACATTTACTTGGTTAATACCTACAGCTTAAGGGACTCTGAAACAAAATGTCACCATGAAAGCCTGAAAAAACATAACCATTTAATAGCTTTTTGCTGTGTAAGACTATCTGAAGTACACTGTCTGAACTGCACACAATCCCAGCACTGATAGTCCTTTGCCTGCTTTGCAGTGGATTTGGCACTACGAGACCCAAGAGAGAACGAAGACGAGAAGGTCAAAGGTCTACCCCCTCATAGAGAAGAGTGAGTCCAGCTGAATTCTAATTTTATTGTACTTTATACTGTATAAAAAGTGGTTCTCAGCCTTGGTCCTGAAGTACAGCTGCCAGTACTGAAATACAGCAGTTTTCTTGCTGTAACACACCCAGTTCATCTCCGGAATAGCTTGTTAATAGTGCATCAGGTGTTTCGGGTGCAGGGAAACTCTAAAATGTGCAAGAGAATCATTGATCTCAACTTTTTGAGGGATAGGAATCTTAGCTCACATAGTGCCTTGTTCAGGGGACCCCAAGTAATCAGACAATTGGACCTAATCTTGTCATGTTTAGTACCTGGTTGTAAATCTTTTCGTGAGGCAATTGATGAGTGCCTGAAGTCTGTGATCCATAGACACCATGAGATGGCTGGGCACTTTCTCTGGTGATGTTCTGCCAGGCCTAAAATACAGCCATTTTTAATTCATAAGCATTTTTAAGTTTCTATCTTTCTTTCTTCAGTACATGAAATATTACTAATGTGAGTCAGACAGTAACATTACACTGGAAAGCCCCACAGTAGTATGAGCCACTGTTTGTTTTGAACCACCATGCAATAAAGATGAATGAACTAGTTCCACTAGCAGCTTTACATGTCTCTGCCAGCATGTCTCACAGACAAGGTGGTTGGATTTGGATCTTGAGACATTTTTTATTTCTCCACACTTTTGTCTTTCCATCACTCTTGTACAGGTTAATCTTTTGCTCATTAGCCTTTGTCCCAGAACTCTACAGGCTTATTATGTATTTCCAACAAACTGTAACCTCACCGTTCAGTTCTGGAGGCTTACCTGTGGTTTTCATCTTCTGGTAAACCCTGAGGTCATGCTTTGTTATTACATGAAAGTATTCTTTTTTCGCTGCCTGCTTTGATGTTCTAGGTTTCCAGGTTCCACAGCATTCTTCTTGCATTTGTTTTGGCATGGCTTCCACTGTGTCCCTGATGACAATCACAACAGACTTCAAAATTAGATAATACATAAAGAAACAGTTCTAGATCTCTGTTGCTTGTGAAATGTGCCTTGACCCACAGATAGCAAAGGAATAACTAAGGAAGCAATTGTCCAATTACTTATAATCCCTTAAAATACATACTCTCTTCAAACATTCTTCAACTTTTTTACATACAGTGACATCAAAATGACCATGAAGTTTGCTGTTCTTCATTATTCATTTTTCAGTAGATGTTTTCAAAACTTTGCATTTGTTTACATGATGTATGGCTAGTATATTCCTAAAACTAGGGATGCGAAGCCCAGTAGTAAACTTGATTTCCACTAATGACATACACAAGTAGTTTTTTTGGACGAGATCATTTTTGAAGGTCTTGAACCTTTCCATTAAAATGCCTTTCAGAATGGAAGTTGTGCCAAAGCCATGGAAGACGTCCTTCCACCAAACCAAGAAAAGGATGAAAAACCGGCTCTACTCCTTCAACCCCACCATGCTGTCTGTGTTGGACCTGTGGCACATGTCCTTCAAGTGAGTGTCCTTCAGCATTCAGGTGGTCCATTATGTGATCAGTGGCTGGAGCACAGCCACTTTAAATGTAGTTCCACAAGAAAACAGTGCAGAATGTCAAGTATTTCAAGTCAAATCAACATCATTTAGCTTAAAAGTGGAAACTTTGGTCCACTGTTTAGCAAGTGTACTTCGGCATTACTGAAGATTCTCCAAAAGCTAAAACATGACTGCAGATAGTAATAGTATGGTCATTGAAGTGTGGTATGATTATGATCATTGTGTGGTATGATTAGAAACTGTTATAAAAGCATTTTTTTCTCATTCAGTATACAAATCAGTGGGTTCTATTCTGTACACACTGTTAATAATCAGCAGTTCTGAGTTTCTGATCTTAGACTGCTTTTACATGGTGAATGAAACTTTCATGCATCCAGTTGCTTTGTATAATTGTATAAGCTAGTATTGTAATTTTATGTATGTATGTATGTATCTATCTATCTATCTATCTATCTGTGGTTCTTTACTATGTACTACTCTAAAACTTTTTATTGTACTCGCTCATCATATCCTAGAAGCACTGCAAGCTATTTGAGGATTGAATCCTCCTCTGTAATAATTTTTATTCTCTAATTCCCAAATGAACCTGAGCTCTCTGTTGAGGGGCATCAAGAGAGGAGAAAATTAATCGAGCTAGATTCTGTTAACAACAGCTAAAGACAAATTAACAGTGAAACTATCGGCCGTTCAAACAGCGGCTCGCCTTAGATGACTAAAGAATGCAGCTTGTTACTTTGAGAAATTTGTTTGTTGTAATGGCTCATAAATCGACATAATGAAAACTATCAATCTTGCATGAAATCAGTTGGGGAGTTCTCATTTTCAGCCATCCTCTGTTTTATTTTCTTGTCTATAGGCCTGCTTAAATCAGTCATTTGAATTTATGTTGTTTGATATCATCATATGACACATTGTTGCCCTTTTGAATGTCTGTTTCATGAAAATTGCTCCAGTAAGCTGAGACACTTCCAATAAGCTGAGCAACTGTTGCAGCTGAGTTTCAACTGAGTCTCACAGTCTATCATACAACTCCCCTTCTCTTCCGCTGAACAATGTTCTGCTCCTGCAGGAAGTTGAGGCTTATTGATGTGCAGGAGTTCCACACCAGACAGGAGTCCATGGAACTCTCAGTCTTCCAGCAGTTGGTCAGCAAACACATTGAACGTGCCAAAGACGTCCTAATGGAGAAGTATGCATGCAACTGTTTCACTACATTCGCTCTTAAATTTACAGTCATTCTTTGGGTTTGATATCTTCACTCATTGTATGCTATATTAGAAACCTCAGCCTGGTGTCTCCACTCATACCAGCAACACACACACTACCATGTCAGTGTTACTGCTGTGCTCTGGTCCACTACCCAAATGGTAATCATTTAACAGTGGTTATGTAGTCAGAAACTGACCAGTGATGAATGGAGGGGGACTGACAAATTGTGCAGCAGCAGATGAGCTACAGTCTGTGATTGTATATCTATATAGTGAAAATCTAAGATAAGTGGACCTCAAAAAATGGACTGTGAGTGGTAATACAAGGTAGGGGTTTCTAATAAAGTCAATGGACAGTGTATTTTTGTTATAGATGGATACAGTATTTAAGAGAAAATGTTCTGAAGAAAAGTGAAGGCATATTTGAATTAAACAGGTGGCTTCCCGAGGTGCATCACATCTACTACCAGGGGAACAAGCGCAAACTGGTCCCCAGTGATGCTAATCCAGCTCGGCTGCAGTCCTTCTTCAACTGTGTAGCGGCGCTCATGACCTCCCAACTCCAAAGTCTGGCCCTGGAATCCATCCACGACTACACCCGCCTGATAGCTCAAGACCCAGTAAGACTTGAAGTGTCTCAGCCATTGCAGACTACCCCCTTATTTACTTCAGAAAATAATTTACTGTACTGGTGCATCGACAGTGAGGGGAAACAAGTATTGCGACAGTAATGTATTTTCAGTGCATATATCCACTTCAAATTTACATACATAATGTATTTTGATTTTTACTTATAAATATGACCGAAAAAGGTCGTATTGATGAGTTTAGTGACATTAAACATGGCAGTGTCATAGGATGCCATCTCTGCCACAACTCAGTTCGTGAAATATCTGTCCTGCTAGATCTGCCCCTGTCAGCTGTAAGTGCTATTATTGTGAAATGGAAGCACCTAGGAGCAAAAACAGCTTAGCCATGAAGCAGTAGACCACATAAACGTACAGAGTGTGGCTGATGAGTGCTGAAGCTCACAATGCCTATCCTCTGTTAAATCACACACTGACGAGTTCCAAATTGCCTCTCAAAGCATGCTGCCACTGGACTCTGGAACAGTGGAAACACATTCTGTGGAGTGATGAATCACGTTTTTCTGTCTGGAAGTCTGATGGATGAGTCTGGGTTTGGCGAATACCAGGAGACTGACTGCATTGTGCCAACTGTAAAGTTGGGAGGAGGAGGGATAATGCTATGGGGTTGTGTTTCAAGGGTTGGCCTAGGCCCCTTAGTTCCAGTGAAGGGAAATCTTAATGCTTCAGCATACCAAAACTTAGTGGGAACAGTTTGGGGAAGGCCCTTTTCTGTTCTAGCATGACTGACCCAGCATGACCCAGTGCACAAAGCAAGGTCCATAAAGGCATGCTTCGGTGAGTCTGGTGTGGAAGAACTTGACTGGCCCATACACAGCCCTGACCTCAACCCCATCGAACACCTTTGGGATGAACTAGGACAGAGATTGCGAACCAGATCCTGTCGTCCAACATCAGTGTCTGACCACACAATTGCTCTCCTGGATTAGTGGACAAAAATTCCAACAGACACACTCCAAAATCTTGTACAAAATTTCCCAGAATGGTGGAAGCTGTTACAGCTGCAAAGCAGGGGCCAATTCCATATTAATGTCTATGGATTTAGAATAGGATGTCAAGAAAGTGGGTGTAATGTGTAGGTGTCCCAATACTTTTGTCCACATAGTGTCAGTATGTAAAGATTACATAAAACTAAATGGTCTAGACATTAATGTGGCAAAAAAAAAAAGGAATTTTCATGCAAATTACACCTGGTGTTATTATACAAACCATTGCCAGTGGTAGATTTTCACACAACAATTTGTGTATTATTGCTTACAAATACATACTTTTTTCTGCATATTTGTTAGTACTAAGTCAAAAAAACTTTATGTGTGGTGGAAATGTGAAGTGGATGTATGTACTGGACATATTTAAAATAACAAAAACAAAAGTGTCTGAAGTGTGTGTTTCTTTCCCCTCATTGTAATTGAATAATCTTTACTGCCTCCACCATCAGTGCATATTAAGTAATTCACATGCTCTTTCCCTGAAGCATTCGGTGAGAGCCTATGAGCATCCAGGCTTTGTTCTGAGGTTGATCCTGGAGCAGAATGAAATCAAGTTTGAACCTCAGTTCCAAGACTTCGAGGTCATTTTGGTGAACGTCTATGACGCAATGCTGAAGTCCATCAGCTTGATGCCTCGAGTTGAGACAAAACTTTACTCAGAATGGGTAACCGACTCTTTTTTATGTCTTAAAGTTTTGTTCCAGAACATTATACACTCCGTAGGCCAAAAGTTTAAAAGCAAATAGTTATTTCAAAAATATTTTACAACAAAATCAATTTGCCAACAACCACCAAAGCTCAGTTTTGTCCATTAGAAAGAAAAAATGAACATGGTTCTCATTAGCAACATGGAGCAACTTTGGCCATTGCACACCATACTCTTCAGTACTGTGCAACACCACCCTTCATTAATTTAATTTCAGTCAAAACAGCTATTAAGTGCGAGTTATTCATTTTTCAAGAGATATTACTTGGGAGATTAGATACACAATCAATTCAAATTTGTTAATTTTTTAAAACGTGATTTAATAACAAATTAATAAAATAATTTTTGACCCACAGGATAAGCAATTGTTTTAGCAAAATGATCATTTGCATGTATTAGGAGACCACTGCAATTAAACTGACTACTGACTATTTCTTCTATATACATACCCAGCCAGGCACAGAGACAGGCAGCCTGAATCCCATCATCCTGCCTGAGATCATACAGGCCCAGAAGGAGGAGGTCCAGCAGGTGATCCGCGAGGAGAGCAGTGGACCTCTGGAGCATGTACGCCTCTATGATAAATACGCTCCGCTGGTGTCCCAGCAGGCAGAGGAGGATGTTGAGCAGTTCTTGCGTGAGCAGCACTCCTTCCAGGAGATGATGATGGAGGTGACGCGCTACCAGCAGCTGGCAGATGAGATTCAGTACAACTCCTGTAAGGTCAGTCTAACTGAACTTTGAAATTCCATGTCATAGAATAATAGGGACAACTCACCAATTCTGTGTACTAGGGGTGCACCAATATAATTACTTTAAACATTTTCATTATTTTATGAAAGTATTTTACATTATTTGACTCCAGAGGTACCTTTAATGGTTGGTTAATGCAATGTCTGGCCCAAGCATTCTTATTGTTATAGTAGCGGACATTGAACTGGCTAGTGACCACATGTATTGTCTCCTTTTGAACAGTCTAAATAAATTGTCTTCTGTTTTATTTTCTTTCAGTCGTTTTGAAAGTATCGTTCGGCATGATTGGCGTTCTGATTGGCTGTTTCATGAAACTTGCTTCACAAAGTTGAGTCACTTGTAACTGTTGCAGCCAAGTTTTAAATGAGTTGCAGGATGAGTTACATTATGCAACTGAAGTGCAATTTAGTTTCATGTGGATTTCAAGCAACCAAAGTTGCATAATTCACAGTGCAAAAACAGCCTAAGTTTGTTAAACAGTGGATATTTTTAAATTTATAATCTCTAGTTTGTTTCGTAGGTGAAAAAAGAATTCTACATTTGCATCACTTTCAGACTTTTCAGCGAGCTGAGAATGATTTCCTATTCTTTTGAGGTTCTTTTTGCATATGGGCCTAGGTCCCCTCTTCAATGGCTGTTTATCAATAGGAACATTAATTAATCACCACATTTGCATTTTTCTTATTAGTTTGCTAAATCAGATGCAGAACTGAAGGGATATTCACATCTTACCCTGAAGGGCCACAACACTAAGCCTTTTTTCTAAGCTAAGATTTAATTAATTGCATTTCTTTCGCTGTCATTTTCCTTTTGTTCTTTTGAACAAATTTAACATGCTGCATAGGACTATTACAATAATTCTCTCAAACAAGGAATTATATTTGTTCATGCTCTGATGGTTTTGCTGCTTTCTTCCTGTAACCTAGAAAACGCCTTTCAGAGACTGGAGTTGTCATTACTGTTAAAACTGTTCTTGGATTATAGACCACTTCAAATGGTTCTTGTAGGCCCTTGGTGTAAACTGGGCATCAAGCTGGAGTAGCAACAAAGGATTTTCTTTTCCCTGATGCATTAATAAGTCTTTTATAAAGATCAGATACTCAGATTTACTGGTAATTGTTGTTTCAAAACACAAGGCATACCCTCAAAATGAAGCCACAAGTAAATGTATGGCTGGATTTACATAGTGAAACCTTCTCGATAGTTGGAGGTTGCATGCAAAATATTTTTGCATATTTGTAGTATCTTTCATAAAGAGATGAGAAAATGAATGACCCAGCTGTGCAGATGAAGATACAGCAGCTAACAAAGCAGAAACCACACATGAAAAAGAACCAGACCAACCATCTGTCCTGTAATCTTTAGCTGGCTAGCTAACTAGCTAACTGGACACTAGCAAATGAGAAATTTTAATCCAATCATAACCACATACATACATACATACATACATACATCATCTAAACCGCTTATCCTTCTGGGTTGCGGTGGGGTGCTGGAGCCTATCCCAGCTGTCATTGGGCAGAAGGCAGAATACACCCTGGACAGGTCGCCAGTCCATCGCAGGGCAGACAGACAGACATACACAATCACACACTCACTCACACCTAGGGGCAATTTAGCATGTCGAATTAGATTTGGATCATGAATCATAACCACCCATTGTTTTATTTTCTTCATATCTTCATATCCAAAATGTGTCGATTGACACAGAAAGGAGAAGGTTGTAAGAGTTAGTTGTAGAGCTGCAAGCAAAGCGAGTTTGTTACAGAGTTTTAAGTAAGTATCAAGTTAGTTGCAGAGTTTCAAGTAAGTTTTAAGTTGTATGAAGTTTTTAGTACATATATTGCAATGAATTATAGTTCATTAATTTTAGAAGTTGGTTTTCTACAGTTCAAAACCGAGTTTTTGTGACATTGTATTTTTTTCATTTGGTTCGGTTGGTTGCACATGCAATGGCTAAGGTGCAAAAAATCTCACATGTGGGTGCTGATTTTTAGGAAAGCTCAGAGGTTGATTCATCCACATTTAGGCTATGTTCTTAGCTTGTCGTTAAATGCTGTAGGTGGTCCGACTCGGCATGTTTGAAGTCCTTTCCCATGAGCTGGTCCGTGCCCTGGTGAAGCGTGCAGAGGGACTCAGAGAAAAATTGGTCACCCACATGCTGCAGGAGCACCAGATATTCAATAAGAAGTAAGTGCAATTTTTTCCTCACATTCTGAGCAGACAGATACAGACCACTTGTAATATTTCAAGTAGTTAAAGCTATCTGATATGAGGAAGAGGAGGCTGCTCAGAAGTTATTTTAGAGACGAACAAAAAGTATTACATTTTGATGGGCAATTACAGAATAACAAAGTTTTTGTCTTTTATAAGATATGATGAATTGTGTGTACATTGTCCAGAGACCTGAACTAACAAAATAAAGTTTTTTGATTTTGATTAAAAGAAGTCACAATTACAGCACATAGAGATTATTTTACAAATAATATTGTATCAAATTAAAAAGTAGAAATAACCATTCTTTACTTATGCATAAACCAATCTCAAGATGGAACAGTACTGTGTTTTGTAGTTGCTCCTACTTTTGTGTCCCCCATCTATAGGTTATGTGAGGAGTTTGAGAAGGTTGCTGAAAAAGCCCTCAGCATACCTTCAAACACACAGGAGCTCATGGCACTTAAGGTAATTAAAGTATACTGACTTTCAGCAAAGTATACTTTTTTGTCTGCTTACTCTTGATTCAGTAGAGCAAGTTGATATATTTATTGTTAATGTGGAAATAGTTATATATTGATGAAACAAAAGTAAAAAAAAAAATATTTTACACGAGAAGGAAAAACATTCTTAAATTTTAACCTAAGTTAATGTTAAAGTTAAATTTTGGACTGTTTCTATTGGTCTGTTTGTCATGAATTTTTGACACAGTGTAGGTGGCACCTAGCATTTTCAATTTGAGATGACATTTTAGTAGCTGTCTGTATAGACATGTAAAAATGCCTGTATTCCTAACAAAAAAATCTAACCCAAATTGCATTCAGTGATACACTGTATTAAACGTTTCTAATGTCACTCATGGCTGGCAGCAAACAGTACATCGAGGACCTACAACAGCAAGCATAGAAAGTACAATCATTGTGTGACTAGGACCTAGTGACCGCCCGCTGGAATCTCACTCTAAAAATCTCACTCTGTACTCAAACATATTGACTTTCAAAAACTTTCATAACATGAATAATTCACTCATGAATCCTAATAATTCGTTAATTTATGAACGCTTGTCAACAACTGCAGGCATAACACTCCTTGCGATTGTCTACCCTGTCATGTCTGACAGCTAAGTTTTCTTAATCGGTACTTCTTTCTCCTTCACTCTAGGCCTATGTGGACAAGGTTGAGGCTGAGGAGATGCCCAAGCTCGAGCTAAAGCTTAAGGACTCAAACACACGGCTGTGCTTCTTGGTTGACTATGTCATGTTTTCCCGCATGGACATGGAGCTAAACAGGCAAACTTTCCAGTGGCACATGCGCATGCCATCTGTCTTTGATGAGCACCGACAAATCATTAAGGAGAAGACCGTGCAGTTTCAGGATGGCCTCAAGGTCAGGTGGACACTACACATGTCACAAGAAGCCACATTAGCCCTTAAAATTGTTAGAAATCACAGTTATTGCAGCTGTAACAAAACATGTTGGAATATTGTGTGAACCTTCAAGGCTTAAACTTCAAGGCTTGTATGTGTGCTTACACTTTCATTCATCACTTTCATGACTCTATAACCTACATATTAGTTTCATAGTAGTTACCTAATAATAAATAGAAGTTACTGATAGTAAATCTACAGCAACGTTCACATTACAAGCCTCATTGCTCAAATCTGATTTTTTGCTCAAATCTGATCTCTCTGAGACTATGGTTCACACTCGTTTAGGTAAGTGACTCAAATCTGTCATTGATCGGAACAAACTGGCGTCCTGAAATGACGCACATGCGCACATCCTACTCAGTAACGTCATGTGAATGAATTACGTGCGTCACGTGCATCATCAGCAAACAAGCTAACGAGCAGAACGAGCCTTCACTGTGAAGATAATTATCTCTGAACAGCTCTCAGCTGCATTATTAGAGTGAGATGAATGTGAAAAAGGTGAGATGTGTTGCTTTTCCGCCATTTGCAGGCTTTAACTTCGGCGCTGCTGCCACAGTAACGCTGAATGGTGGCGCACGCGAAGTGGAAAAAAAGCACATGAATTCTAATCTGAGCGTTCTCATTAAGGTCACATGGCCATGAATCGGATACGTATCCGATCTAGGACCACATATGGAAGTGGCTCAGGTCGAATTTGAAAAGATCAGATCTGAGTTACATTAGGGCAAAAAATCAGATTTGTGCCACTTCAACCTGGTAATGTGAACGTAGCCTATGATTAACAACTGATTAATCAGCCTGCAGTACACCTCTCACTCATACTCACTGAAACAAACAGAGAAACTCTATCAAGAATGTAGTATATATATATATATATATATATATATATATATGTATATATATATATATATATTATTCTCATTTGGAAAAAGTCAGAAATGCAGGCTTGAACCTACATTCTATGGCCAAAAGTATGTGGACACCTGACTATCACTCCTACATGGGATTGTTGGACATCTCATTCCAAAACCATGGACATTAATACATAGAGTTGACCCCCTTTGCAGCTGTAACAGCCTCCACTCTTCTGGGAAGGATTATGGAGAGTGTCTGTGGGAATTTGCCCCCATTTAGTCAAAAGAGCATTTGCAAAGTCAGGCGCTGGTGTTGGACAAGAAGGCAAGGCTCGCAGATGATGTTCCAGTTCAACCTGAAGGTGTTCAGTGGGGTTGAGGTCAGGGCTATGTGCAGGACACTGGAGTTCCTCCACACCAAACTCATGAAACCATGTCTTTATGGAGCTTTGTGCACAGGTACATTCTGGAACAGGAAAGGGCCTTCCCCAAACTGCTGCCACAAAGTTGGAAGCACATAATTGTCTAAAATGTCTTTGTAAGCTGTAGCATTAACATTACTCTTCACTGGAACTAAGGGGCCCAGTCCAAACCCTGAAAAACCCTAACCCTAGACCGACTCCATTATCCCTCCTCCACCAGACTTTTCTGTTGGCAGATTCATTACTCTAGAGAACACATTTCCACTGCTCCTGAGTCCAGAGGCAGTGTCCTTTACACCCCTCCAGCTCACACTTGGCATTGTGCATAGTGATCTTAGACTTGTGTGCAGCTGCTCTGCCACAGAAATCCATTTCATGAAGCTCCCGATGCACAGTTCTTATGCAGATGTTGCTTCCAGAGACAGTTTGGAGCTCTGTAGTGAGTGTTTTATACGCTACATGCTGCGGCACTTAGCAATCTCGTTCTGCGAGTTTGTGTGTTGTACTGCTTCAAGGCTGAGCTGTTGTTGCTGCTGTTTCACCATAATAGCGTTTACTGTTGACCTGGGCAGATACAGCAGGACAGAAATTTCACACACTGACAAAACATAGCTTCCTTAAACAGTACCACATTTTAAGTCACAGAGCTCTTCAGTATGACCTATTCTACTGCCAGTGTTTGTCTTTGGACATTGCATAGCCAAATGCTTGATTTTATACACCTGTTAGCGATGGGTGTGGCTGAAAACCTGAACTCAATAAGTACTTTTGGCCATATAGTGTATAATTTCTATGTAACTATGCTATTTAAAACTACAATTGAAATTGAATAGCAAAGCAACTATAAGACTTCTAAGAACTGAAAGCATAATTAAGGCAGCACAATGTGTTCACATAGACCAAACATAGCAACCTCTAAGCAGCAATATGACAACATTGACTGCTCAGACATCACAGGCATTTACATTTCATATCAGCAGAGAACATTATGTACAAAGTCTGAAAACAGACATCAACATATCAACAACCAAAGGTAAAAATAAAACAAAATTGCAAAGCATCCATTAGCAAATTAAAGTAAAGCTCCTTATTGTAATCTCTAATGAGACAGAGAGCACATTTACAACAGACATAAAGAGACAGCCTCTCACTAACAGGCTAGACTACATTATCAATCATACTCTTGTACTAATTCAGCTACTAATGACTCTGTTTTGCTCACAGCTGCGCTGTGAGAGGTTTGTGGAAGACCTGGAGAGCTATGCCAAGCAGGTAGAGGAGTTCCTCACTTTCGGGGAGCTCTCTGAGCTCGGCAAGTATCTGAAAAAGGCTCAGGCACTCAACTCCAAACTAGAGACTGCCATGGAAAAGGTAAGTCAGTTAAACCACAACTACTGGTGGTTTATTATAATGAATAGCTAAGCATTTTAGTAATTGAACTGTCTTCCTACTTCATCTACAGTATATACAGGTAAAGTTAAGAGAACCATGTTATTTTAATGGTACACTGTATGTTCTTTGTAGTTTTTTTACTATTACTCAATTAAATATTTATTAAACTTAACTTTTCCTAAACATAATCTTAGCACTAACCCTAACCTAAATCCTAACCCTAACTTTAATCTCAACCTCAACCTAAAACCCAATCCCGGTCCTTACTCTGGTCCTAAATTTAACCCTTGTCCTAAATCTAACCTTAACTTTAATCTCAACTGCAACCCGAAAACTAATTCCAACCCTAACTCTGGTCCTAAATTTAACCCATGTCCTTATCCCAACCTTAATGCTTGTATTAAATTTAACCCTTGTCCTAATCTAAACCCGTTAATGTTAACCTCAGCCCGAAACCTTATGCTAACCCTAACTTTAATCTCAACCTCAACCCAAAACCTAATCCCAGCCCTAACTCTGGACCTAAATTTAACTCTTCTTCTAATCCCAAACCTAATTCTGGTCTTAAATTTAACCCTTGTCCTAATCCAAACCCTAACTTTAATCTCATCTTCAACCCGAAAACTAATCTCAACCGTAACTTTGCTCCTAAATTTAACCCTTGACCTAATCCCAACCCTAACTTTAATTTCAACCACAACCCGAAATCGAATCCTAACCCTAAATTTGATATCAACCTCAACCCAAAACCTAATCCCAAGCCTAACTCTGGTCCTAAATTTAACCCTTGGCCTAATCCCAACCCTAATTCTTGTCTTAAATTTAACCCTTCTCCTAATCCTAACCCTAACTTTAATCTCAACCTCAACTCGAAACCTAATGCTAAACCTAACTTTAATCTCAACCTCAACTCAAAACCTAATCCCAACCCTAACTCTGGTCCTAAATTTATCCTTTGTCCTAATCCTAATCCTAACTCTTTGCTTAAATTTAATACTTGTCCTAATTGTAACCCTAACTGTGATCCTAATGTTTCTGATCATTAACTGAGTTTCAATGTGTAGAATGTTTTCACTTTGAGCGTTTGTAGATAAACTATAGACTAAAATAGAATGTTTGCAAACATTCAACATTGGCTATACTTCTCACGGTGGCAGCAGCTCATTTTCAGAAGTGGAAAAAAACAGAACAGAATGAAGCAAAGAAAAAATAAAAATTGGCAGTTATCGCAAATATTGTTGTGTTCGAGGTTGTAATGTCAAACGTAGCCAAGTACATAATGGGTTAGGTTTAAGTTTCTGATTTTCCAGCTTTTAAAAGAGCAGCGGCTAAGGCAGAAATGCATATTTGTGTCTGTGGTTAGCGATGTGTTTTTTAGATGTTATTTTATTTTCCAAACTCACTACGCATGCACTCATTGGCTGCCTCGGGTGGCCTGGCGAGGTGGACATGCAATGGTGGAGAGTCCAACAGTTGAGTGGAGTGCAATATAGTGAAGCTATATTGATTTTTTAAAGTTTACGCTGAGAGGCAGACACAGTCATAAAATCATGAAACTAATTATACGTCACTACACTACACATTATGTATTGTACAGTATTTAATGGAGAAACCTTTTAATTTGCTTTATAAGCCTTTGCTAAAGACTTTGTTTTTTCTGATAACTACCACTAGATAATGCTAATTTCAGCTAGCAGTGGGATCCCCCCAGTGGGATTGTTAACATGTTGTTTATGCCATGATAATGCCATTGTGTATTCACATTTTAGCTTGCTTAAGCAGTTGTAGCGCAGCCACTAATGTTTGACACAACATGTTTTCTTACTTTGTATGTTTTACGCTGACTCCCTTAGTAAAGGTTTAAATTTAAAGGATGTCTCTGAATCTTATTGGAGGAGCCTGTTAGCCTGTTAACTATCTGCCATGCTGGTCAGCTTACTCTACTGAAGACTTAGTCCACTATATTCCAGTTGCAATACATTATGTCTCCTTTAAGGGTCTCCTGTAGCACTTTTCATATATTCACCTTCATCTGTCTTTGTATCTGTTTTTGTGCACTCAGATTGAGGGCTTCAACTCCGAGGAAGAAGCATTTGGATGGCCCACCTCTCAGTACCCGCAGCGCAAAAAGGTCCAGGACCAACTGCTGCCATACCTGCGTCTGTACCAGACAGCCTCTGAGTTCCAGGCCCAGCACAAGCAGTGGCTCCATGGCCCCCTCGCCTCCGTTAACCCAGACAAGGTGGAGGGCGAAGTCAGCAACTACTGGCGCACTCTCTACAAGCTGGAGAAGAGCTTCCAGGAGTCCCCCAAGGCCCTTCACATCGCCACCTGCGTGAAGACGGAAGTGGAGGCTTTCAAAGAGCACATCCCTTTAGTGCAGGTGCTGTGACTGGAACTAAATGTGCCGTCTTTCTTGGATGAATATTCATTCGTCTAATGTAATGGGTCCCCGTAGTCATCCTTGGCAGTCTGCCAGCCTCTATAGCTATTCAATACTTGGGAAATCTATTCAACTGAAAATAAACAAAGAAACACGCCTCAGTAATGTGCACCTTCACTAGCTGATGTGTGGAACGATGAGGTGAATGATTAGAGGATCATTTTTAAAAGTGGCTTATAGTGAGTTTTACTTCTGTTGAATAGAAACTCTTAGAGTTGGAAGTAATCCATGAGAATATAACAATCATAATTATTCCAAAATGAAGTTTTTCTTCACTCACATAAACGGTTCACCTCTATAGATATGTTGAAAATATATCTTAAATTATCACTGTAGTATTAAAAGCGGTAAACGCTGTTCATTTTTTATACAGCTTAGAGGTTAACATTTTGTACAGTAGCAGCCAAAATGTGTATACATTCATAGTAATTAGAAACAATAAATTAATAATAATAATAACGCTAGTCATTTGAATTACTACAGTCTGGGGCTATTTAGACCCACCCTACTTCACAACAAAAACTGAAAACCTTTAACATGAATAAATGATTATGGTCGAACATTTTCCAATTCTACTTTTCTCTAAACTTCCAAACTCTAAAGTTCCAAGAAACTACCTGTTGAAAGTGCTTTTCAACAAGTTATTTTTTTACAGTATGAAAATTAATTTATACACAGACATTAGGGTTCGGCAATCTGACTAATTTTGATATTCGAGTGTCTGTAAGAGTTCATGAACTGATTTCAGTTAACGTAGAGCTGTGGCTTACATTTTTTAGGTGACAGTACTGGTGTTGAACAAAACTTGTTCATTATTGAAAAACGGGTAAATCAGAACTGTTTCTGAACGTCAGCTTAACCTACTTAGTGATAAAACTGCGCTAACCCTGCTATCTCAGTCACGTCCTTAACAACCTGCCCTTGTCAACGCACCCTCAAAACGTGTCTATAGCATGTACCAAAGAAGGCCTGCATAGGGTAAATGATGGTTCATTTTTGTCTTGGGTCTGTTTTGTGTTTGTACTTCAGCATTTGTCTGAAAGCGGACTCCTCAGGGGGTCCCGATCCACTTATTTGTTGCACACCAGGGTTCGCATGGCAGCGTTCTCACTTATTCTAAAGAACTGCACTAACAGGGTTCATTTTAATCGAGCCAAACCATACAAAGCGTGAAACTAATTTCATTTAATCTAAGCATAAACCTTGGATCACAACTTTAAGATTATGAAAGCATACATTCAGTACAATCTCCATAAGTGTTTTCTCCGGTAGGTGCTGTGTAACCCAGGCTTGCGTGACCGCCACTGGGAATCCATGTCGGCAGTGGTGGGCTTCCCCCTCAAGCCTTCCGAGGAGGTGGCCTGCGTTGCCCACTTCATCCCCCTGCGCCTGGAGGCCCATCTGCCCAGCTTCGAGAACATCAGCGAAGCTGCCAGTAAGGAGTACTCCCTGGAGAAGGCCATGGAGCGCATGGCGGGCGAATGGGCCGGCATGGAGTTCACCCTGCTGCCCTACCGAGAGACCGGAACCTCCATACTGTCCTCAGTCGATGAAATCCAGATGCTGCTGGACGATCACATTGTCAAGACTCAAACCATGCGTGGCTCGCCTTTCATCAAACCTTTTGAGAATGAGATACGGTAAGGCACAACCAGCATATGTGTGTTTGTGTAGGTTTACACACAGAATATAGATGTATGCTAAAGTTTGGGCACCCTGGTTAAATTCCATGTTTTGTTAATTTTCTGTAACCTTTCCAGCAACACCAGTAGTGACCCAACATTTGCATGCATCTGTTTGTTTACAAGGAACAGATGCAAAGATGGAATTTAAGATTGGAAAGCCGTGATTTAAAGGGATAGTTTAAAGGAATAATTTGCTCAACAATGCTAATGCCCTTAGATGTGTAATAAGTATTGTTTTGATTGTATTGGTTTGATATGCATTTCATATACATTACATAATATGCAGAATTAAATGAAGCATAATTCCACACCTATGTAGCTATATAATGAATTACATTAATATTTCGTGGCAGCTTTGAGTTTGCACTTCTGACATATTCCATTTGTTTCAAAAACAACTGAAAGATCAAAACAAGTAAAGGGTCTTTTATGTTTCTGTTAAACAAGATAGTAAAATGTCTTCGATTCCAACAAATGTGGCACATATTGTTTGGAATCAGCATTTTTGAGTTTCTCTGCATATTTCAAGAGATATTTCATGAGAGAGAAACGATTTAGATGAAATTACAGCATGTTTTTGCCATTGCTGGCATTCTGCAAGTAACTGAAACTTCTTAGAATGATCTTGAAAACCATTTCTGAGATATCTTTGCTATTTGCGGTTTGTTGTGCTCTGAGGCAAGGATGCGTGGCATGAACTTTTGAGGCATCGAGCTATGATTTATTTGCATATGTTAACAATCACTGTTTTATTTAAAGGCATTCACTGATTAAATCTAATTTGTCACATTTTTTTTGATTAAAAAAGGTGAAGCTTACATATACTAAATAGATAAATAAATACCCGCATTAGGAATAAATACTCTTGTAACTGAAATGCTTGAACCAGTCCTAGTGTTCATGTTAAAACCTCTATACAGCTGTGGATGGATAGATGGACAGATGATGAAGTTCTGTGTGGTCTTTGTGTTTGTGTCTCAGGGACTGGGAGGGTAAGCTACTCTTGCTGCAGGAGATCCTTGACGAGTGGCTGAAGGTGCAGTCCACCTGGCTTTACCTAGAGCCCATCTTCAGCTCTCCAGACATCATGGCCCAGATGCCTGAGGAGGGACGCCGCTTCACCACTGTGGACAAAACCTGGAGGGATACCATGAAGCAAGTCAGCCTGGTGAGACAGCTCTAAACCTCATATGCCAGTGCTATTCTGTAAATATCTTGGTCAGAGAAGAATGCTAACTCACTGGTACGTTTTAACATCTAACATAGCAAGTTGGTGTTGCTGGAAAGGTTATTGGGTCCAGCAGGGGGCTCTCACACTGTGGTCTGTCAAATTAACTCTTTAAAACTCAATTAAAATCTTTAAAACTCAAATTATTTCTATCATGAAACTACATAATTCTCTCTCACTGCTAACTAATATCAGATGTCAATAAGGTTATTTAACATACTTTCAGTGGATATATCCACTTTAAATTTACACACATACTTGTAAATATATACAAAGATGTATTCATAAGCAAACATATTATTGATAAAATATTGACACTATATTAAAATATACACATATGTAAAGGTAAAAAAATAAATCAAGTTCTAAACAGTAATGCTGCAAAAGTAAAAACAGAAATGTTTTTTTTTTTTGCAATTTGCAATAAAAAAAGACATTGTCATTGGTTGGGAAGACTTCACGCAACAAGTAGCAATCATGGTGAAGGTAAAGGAGCTTCATAAAGTTCTCATATGCTACAGCTACAGATTTTAAGCATCACTGTCAGTACAATTTGATAATATGCAACGGGAAAATTCATGGAACCACATGTTACGACCCGGTCCAGGGTCAGGCCATAACAGAGAACGAGAGTGGGCTCTCTCCCCAGACCTGCTGCCAGACCAGACACCGGACACCATTTAAACCAGAAAATGACAGGTTTATTTTCTTTAAAAGCTCAAACAAGTTCAGGCGATGGCTTCAGGGACAAGCAATTGCCAAAATAATAAACAAAACAACTAATAATTTCAAACTTAACTGAACTGAAAACAAAAGAAACAAGACATATAGGCTACCCTAACTCCCTACCGTAAAACAGGAGAAAAGGTAATCAAAACAACATGGCACCGTCCCCTACTTTCCCCAAGCTCTCAAAGCATAATCAAACAGTCACAGTTTTAACGAAAGCAGCAAAGCAAAGCAGACAGAAGTAGAGTGCCTGGCTGGTCTGGACAGGTGTTCTTCCAGGTCATATCAAAAGGGAAAGAGCCCTGAACGTCTCTCAAGATGGTGGCTTAGTGACCTCTTAGACAGCCAGGCGCTCCTGAGTAGCCAATCATGCACCTGCACACAACACAACAATGGAAAAACACACAAAATGGCCACAAACAGACATAAAGAAGGGCAGTTACGACTGGGGGTCGTAACACATGAGGTGAGATTTCTCTCAGATTAATGATGAGGAAGGATAAGAGAGAGGGCAGCAGTCACTCAAAAACCTGAAAGTATCTGAAGAACAGTTACACAGAGAAAAATAAACAGTGAACCGCGATCATCTTCATTCCAACACCCCAAGCTAAACTCCATTGCTAAGAAAGAAGTTCAGACATTTGTGCATAAGAATTCAGACAAATCAGAACTGCTTTGGAGCAATGTTCTGTGATCAGACATAGAACTCCTTGGTCCAGCCAAATGAACCAAAGCTCATCATGTTTGGGGAAACAAGGGTTGCATGTTAGATCACAAGAACAGCCACAGTGAAGTAGGGAGGGAGCATCATGATATGGAGCTGCTAATCTGCAAATGGTACTGAGACAATGCACACTATCGGAGGACACATAAATAGAGCAATGTATCAGGAGATATTAGAGCTTTCAATGAGACAATGACCCCAAACGTACAGCCAAAATAACTCAGATGAAGGTGCTTGCATGGCCTAGCTAATCTCCTGAGTCTCACTGCAAATTTATGAAGGATTTTGAAATTGTGAGACCCTTAAGGAGCTGAAGATAGTTTGCTGAGAGGAATGGGCCAAATCTGTTTGACCATGCTGCAAAAAGTGAAATACTTCTTTCCATAGACATGTTAACATGTTTTTACCATATCAATCATTTTTAAAATGTTTTCTTTATAACTATTAATACATATTTTTGTATTCATATTTATAAGTGCAAAGCCAAATGACATTATATATGTAAGTTTGAAGTGGATATATGCACTGTAAGTATTTTAAATAACAAAAACCAAACGTGTCCGAATACATTTTTATACATAAAAATACTCCACAGGGGCATGCATATTTAAAGGTAGAAATTAACATTCAAGCTTTTTTCTGGTGCTAAATATTGTTTCACATCTTAATTTCTATAAGGCTGAAGTTGGCTTCTTATTCTGCCTTTTTTTTTGTTCTAATTTTCCGTTCCACCTTAAATAAAGCAGCAGTTCCCCTGAATATAACAGACAGTAACATTACAGGCACGTGAATGTAACTGCTGCACCATTCAAGGTGGGACAGGAAATTCAAATAAGAAGCCAACTTCAGCTTCATAATCATTTGTCAAGTCATTGAGGTAATTTGTAATTTATGCTGAGCTCCCCCTTGTGGATTCAGAAGACATAACATTGGACAGCCCTAGACTGGACAAAGGGCTCATTTTCATTACATCTTAGATATCAATATTGCAAAGGCAGTGATGAACAGACGATATGTTGTGCAGCCCTATACAAAACCACAGAGTAGAAGTACAGTTGGTTATGACAGTAGAGACAGTATGTGGGCTATTGACTGTACCTGTTTTGAGCTGTGTGTTTTAATCAGTCTTACTTTACTGTCTCAGACACGCACACCACTCTTCATCTCAAAACTCTTTAGGGTGCAATCGCTATCCTCGGCTGCTATGAAATGAGACACATCGATAGCCTATCTGTTGTCCTTCTCAAAAAAATAAAAAAGCCACAGGGAGCACCATCAAATAGAAATTATAGATTTTGTCTGGGGGACTCAACCCTGGTGCATCATGGACAAAATGAGATCACCACAAAGGAAGGGGGTGCAGACAAACCCCCTATGTGTGTGTGCGTGTGTGGGAGGATGTTCGATTCTTTAAATATCACCCGATTACGTTCTGACTTTCTGCTGCGTCTACTTTTAATGGCTTCCTTCCGAACAAACAAATAAGCAAACAAATGCTTAATAAAACAGATGAGACTTTAGAGACAGCTGGGATGCATCTGGTACAGGACAACCTTGACAGGTTGATTCAGTTGCAGACATGGTACAATCTGGAACTATCAAGCTGGAGCGGCACGATCCCATAACACACTTATCGACACCACCACATGGTGTCTCTCTTCACCCACCGCTCTCGGCTGCGCTCTCCCTTTGTCGAGTAGGGAGATAAAATGCCTGGCGAATGAATTCAAAAACACAAGCCTTTTAATTAAGCCTCGCACCTCTCCGCGATCTCCTCCTCTCTTCACAAAAGCCGCGCATCGCTCTCGCGTAAGTGTCAGAAAGTGAAAATGCTGCGTTTTGAACGCCAGCCTGGCGCCCGTACCTGCCACAGCTTCAAAGAGGGGCTGGTTAAATGAGAAAGAGTGCAATAGGGGGAAAAAAGACTCCACATGGGCTGTTTTGCGATTACGGCAGGAATGTGAGGGAAGGGCCTTCTGCTGAAACATTTTTTTTTCAAAGCTTAAAGGAGTAGTTAATGTATTCACCACTTCTCCGTTTGGAGGTGATTAATCAGGACATGTTTGGTTTACAAAGTTTGCTTCTGCAGTTTTGCAGTGGAGCTGTGAGGCTAAAGTATCTAGCAGGTATCAGCTTATATAGGACCAGTTAGCATTGTGCAAACTGCATGCCTTAAACTTGCTCCATACTGTGTTTAGTTGTTAAGTAATCTCAAAATGGACAAATGTACAGACATGCAAGCTTCAAGACTGCTGTTACTACTGCGCTTAGTGTTTAGCAAGGATGTACATTTGGATTGGTTTGAAATCAAAGCTAATCCAAGCATATTTTAATACACATTCAAAAGGGAGCTATGTATGTTCAAGCAATATGAAATCAATAATGTATTAATGACACCAGGGGGGCAACCTTGGGAGCCTACTTATAACAATTCAAATGTACAGCCAAGTGGACCTGCAGTTAGAGTTACCATATTCTTATGATATCTTATGGCTTGTAAATCCATATTTAAAGCTACGTTATGTAAGATTTGGAGATTTGGAGACCTCTCTGGTGGAAATGTGTAATTGCACAGAACCTGTGTATGACCATTTTATAACATGGGTTTTGTTTTAGTCCCCTTCCCCAAGTGGATGAATCTGATGATTGAAAGAGAATTCAAATAGAGCTTGAATGAAGAACAAAACTTGGTGAAGGATATGTCTTCTGAATATGTGGCGAACTATCTACTATTGTCATCATATCTTTATCACTATAATGTTGATTTTGACATCATTTGAGACCTGACCCTTGAGCTGGACCTTCTTTTTGAGCCTGTATGTGTAACATCAATATGCAAAAACTCCCAAACCGTATTATTGTATTATTAAGTATAATGAAATTGAAATACATTCATTTTTTTGTTTGTCTGCATGTTGCTCCAAATGTGACATGCAAGACTTGAACTTGTGATTTCTCAACACCTCAGAGTAAACAGCCAAGGTAAATATGTGTACTGCTACATGTATCTCAGATCTTTAGAGCTGCAACCCTCCAAAAACGTAGTTTAGGGTTTGCAACCCTGAAAAACAAAACAAAAAAAAGACAGAGGAGGGCTACCACATGAGCTGCAACGTCCTTTTTTATAAATAGTAGCATATCATTGTCTGTGAGAAACCACATAGGCAAATCTATTTGAGATTACTTAACAAAACTGATAACTGCAGTTTGTACAACACTAATTACAGCAGTATATGTTTCTATTATCTGTTTAGTACATTAGCCTCCAAAACATTTTTTTGCATTCTAGCATATCGTACCTGAATTATGTGACTGTATTTTCTGTGAAATGCAAAGATTGGATAGAATTAGACAGTACTCAACATTAAAGTTCTTGGATTGGATCAGGGCCCGAAACAACTGGTTCTGGACATGATCAGAGTCGAATGTCAATTTTTATAAATTATACTATGTCTTACAGTGTCAGAAACCAAATTAGAAAGTCTGTTTGAGATAACTTAACAACACCAATGAGGCATTCAAGCTTGCACAGTGCTAATAAGTACATTATAAGCTTCCATTGCTTGTTGGCTACATTAGCCTTGTATCTCCAGTGCAAAACTAAAGATGCAAACTTTAGACATCCAACATTTCTTGGCTGTTTGACTGCCTTTGGTGTAAGTGGAAGGTTATGTATTATTATTTTTTTTTGGCCAAACTATTCCTTTAAAGCAGTTTAAACCTCACTTGGATGTCATTACCCTCAACATAATGAGTGTATAATTACAATAGCCTTTGATATCTCGGCCTAAAGAAATGTCAGCTGCGTACCAATGAGCGCACGGCTCAGCTTTGTCTGTCCATGGCGAATCGTTGCTGATAATTTGATTTCTTCATTTAATGTGAGGGGGGCATTAATCTCTTTACGTTGTAGGCAGCTGCTCCCTCCGAACCGCTGCAATGTCCTGTGACTCCGGGTAATAAAACGGGCTTTCTAATCTTGCCTCTCCACGCTCTCTTCCATTACACTCACCCAATAGCTTCTTTTCACGCTTTAAAAAAGGTGATTTGGAGGAGGCTTTGGCGAGCACCATGGTCATTACCGCCCCTTCATTACCCACTAGAAGACTCCCCCTTTCAGAGGCCGTGTTTGTTGTTGTTGTGTTCCAGAAGCGATCTTCGACACTTCAGCTCCAGTCACCGTGGGAAATAGAAAATCAATAGCAATCAGAAATGGAGGGAAGGAGGGGGTGCACTTATTATCTGCTAGACTTTGGTCAAAAGCATCTACGTGGAGAAGAGAGGAAAAGAGGAAGGCCGGAAAGGAAGGAGCGTTTCTAATCGTTTCCTCTGTCTCAGATGACAGACAGACCTCTGACTCAGCCCTTTGGAAGGAGGTTGAAAAGCACTGGATTGAATTAGTTAGCGGCGGCGCGTGAAGCACCTTCACAACACAACCTTTTTTTTTTGGCTTAAAAGCAGTGGATTTGACACAACTGTCTTTTTGAAATGAAAGCTCCCATCTGTGTCGATCCTCCACTGGCCCTTTTTTCATCTCTTGGTAATTTGTTGGAACTGTTGGGGCCTGATAGTTGAAAGAGCTACAGTAGAAACACTGAGGCTTTTCAGAGCATCAGCTTGTGTCTTGTTTTGAAAGCGTTCTCCCACAGCAACTGTAACTAAACTTTATGCCAAGCCTCATTTCGATCAGAAAAAGGTCAGTGTGTAAATGTGGCTATACTGCGCACCAATGTCTAGATGTTTAAAGTGTCTTACTGGATCGACTAATATTATTTGTCGGTGTTTTAGATAAAAATGCATTTTTAACTAGAGGGGGAAAGTTTGTTAACAAACTTTAAGTTGGCTTGACAAAGCTCTTGCTATAAAATCCCAGGTGGTTGCTAAGACCTTACTGTGGTATCCCAGGTGGTTACTAAGGTGTCGCTAGGCTGGTGCTGTATTACCCAGTGGGTTGTTAAAGTGTTGTTAGGCCATTGCTATGGTATCCTAGGTGGTTGCTAAGGTGTTGTTATGCTGTTGCTGTATTATCCAGGGGGTTGTTAAAGTGTTGCTAGACCATTGCAGTGTTGTCCCAGTTGATTGCTAAGGTTTTGCCTAAGCTGTTGATACAGCATCCAGGAAGTTGATAAGGTGTTGCTATACAATGTCTATGGTAGCTTATGTGGTTTGCTAAGGCATTGCAAGGCCATTGCTTTGGTATCCCAGATGGCTGCTAAGGTGTTGCTTGGCCAGTGCTATGCTATTCCATGTAGATAGCTGTGGTGCTGCTAAGCCAAGCTATGTTATCCCTGGTAGGATGCTAAGGTGTTACTAGGTGGTTGCTATGGTATCCCAGGTGGTTGCTAGTAAGTGTGTATATATGTGCTAGTATGTGCAACTGACTCAAAAGCACTGCTCCATTTACATATAGACTGTACAATCTTGCAAAGTTTCATAAGTTGGCTTCTTGATAAATAGAGACATTACTTACAAAAATAAATGTGCTATTGATTAAAAGTGTTAAATCTTCATGTTTCAGCGAGCCATGAGTAAGATAATGTCATGTCATTCGTTTGTTATCACTAGCTATAACTGTGACTTTAAAAGTTAATTTACAAATATTTGATGTCTTTTGTCTTAGGACAAGCACGTCCTGGCTGTTGTGGCTATAGAAAAGATGCTGGAGAAGCTGAGGAAAAGCAACGAGTTTCTGGAGCTCATTTTGAAGGGCCTAAACGAATACCTGGAAAAGAAGAGACTCTTCTTCCCCCGTTTCTTCTTCCTGTCCAACGATGAGCTGCTGGAGATCCTTTCAGAGACTAAGGACCCAACCAGGTACAGCAATAGAGCCATAGAGAAAGCACAAGTTACACTTTCTAAAGTTCTTGGTATAGAGAACGGCTGGATGGGCCTTACAATAATGTGTTTTTGGATCAATTAAAATTCTGTTTGTCTTATTGGAGAAACTGATGGAAATTCATTGTTCTTGTTACACTGCAGTGAAATAATTAAGGACAGAATCAAACAATGATTTCAAAACTGGAGAGGAGATAATGAATTTTCAAATAGTCATAAAAAGACTCCTGCATATAGCTTAAGGCTACCGCACACCAGACCAGACCTTCCTTTGCACTCTACTATACTGTAGATTCAATGGAATACTGCTTTTAACATCATTTAGTGAATTTATCATGTTTTATATCAGCTAACTCTTTTTAAACTCACTGTTTTCAAAAGATACGAGGTGAAATAAGTTACGATGTGACTGGGCTAATAATGTACCTGAGGTAAAAACAGATGCTTAGCAATTGTCTGTTTATCTTAACGACTTAAGATTTGCCTTTCTCAGTGTAAATTTCATGCCATGTCACCTACTATGGATTTGTGATTTGAGTGTAATATAGCACAGATGATGAGTAGTCACTCCTTTTTCCTGATGTTTAAAGCATGCGTTAGCCAGTAGAGTTAAGAAGCCTGTGTGGAACCTTTATGTATGGGGGTTTTTTTGGGGGGTGGAGAGTATTATTTTTTTTTATTATTATTATTATTATTCAAATGAAACCATCCCTAGGACAATACGGTTCAACTAGGCAGTAAAACTATTGCTTTTTCTTAGATAAAAAAAAATATAAAGCCTAGCAGAGAACCCATTACTGATTTCATTTATAGCTCGGAACGTATCAGATCTTTTGACAGTGTTTGGTTGATTTAGAAGCTTTTGTCCTGATTAATTTGTTTCCTTTTTATTTCTAAATTGCTAGATAATTGGGCTAGAAGCAATAGACCACATGTCAGAATTACTGATTCCAGATGTACCTTTTCTTGCTGGTTATTTACTGAATCATAAAAGGTGATGCAAGGCTGGGTCAATTTTTGTCGTGCGGCGCTGCAAACTTTACTTTGTAGACAGTAGACCTGGCTGGGTGAAGCCTGTCATAGCAAAATTGGTTATACGACAGATACGCTACTAGTCTGGGGACTGTTTGTTTTTATCTCCTCTCAAACCCCATCACTAATAGCGGCTTACTTCCAGAATTGGACAGACTGGTTTAGACTTTTTGCTTGTTTGCACGCCGGTGAAAAATGAATGTGGCACTGAAAGATATCCTAATAGATGAGACATGACTTACGCAACAGCTTTTTAAAAAAGTTGCCAGACTATATGAACTATGAACCATGTTGCTGTAGCCGAAGAGATTTTTTTTCTCAGCCAAGCTAAGGTAGGAGGACGTTATGTAACAAGTCTGCATGCATATGAAAGCATAGGAATTTGTGCTGTCCCTGCAGTCTGGTTTGAAGGTGTGACTCCTCGTAAAGGCCAATAATTAAAGCCCTTTGGTTTCAGAGGGATTAGCGCTTGGAAGACAGTAGGCTTCTGTGACTAACTACAGCAAAACTGTATATAGGCATTATATAACTGTGTGTACATGTTGTGATCTTGCTGGTAACTTTGATAAGATGATTGTCAAACCCTCTCCAGCAGAATGGAACCTTTGAGCCCCATTTTATGACATTCACCCAAAGTGTTTTTGTTCCACCTCCATAATCATCTCCCACATCAAAATCAACACTCATCTTTGCTCTTTGCTGAGCACGATTGATGCTTTCGTCCATGTCTTCATAATGTCTCTTCGTTGGCATTTCTGATAAAACTTTGCTTAGTTTTCATCATAGTCCGAACTCAAAAGTTTTTACCCACCTGGATAAGTAAATAACATTTCACTCTGACTCACTGGCTCCTTACATTAAAAATGAAGGGTTCTTTGAAGCAACAATATAGAACAACCACATTTGAGTCCCTAAGAACTTTCCAGGTTCAAATGATGCTCTTTGAAGAATTGTTCTTGTAAGTGAGAAGTGTAAACATATATATTATATATATATTACATATATCACTGTTGTTGGAATGAAAGCTTGTATCTCCAAAGTGATAACTTTACAGGAGAAGGACAAAGCATACTTTACTTTTAATGTAAGTCAATGGAACCAGACTTTTTTCCAAGTAATTTTGGGTCTTTTCTTTTTGTTCATTTATCATGAAATCTACACACGATGTAAAGGGCAAAAGGTATTTTCAGAATATGACAAAAACTCAAAATCGACAAAAACGGAGATACAAGGTTTTGTTCCGACAGCAGCGATATATTACATATATACTTGCTATGTATATGTCTGGAAAACTTTTAACATTTAAAGAATCTGCTCATAATGTAAAGATTCTATACCAGTTTAAGCTTATGTACCAGTAAACCTTATATGACTGAATAAAGTTAATAGATGACATTAAATAAAAGATAAAAGTTTAGTCAAATCATCCTGCTCTCTGTTAAAGTCTACTGGGCTTGAGGTGGGCTTGGTTATGTACTTGGTCTACTTAATAAAGTCACTGCATAGATAATATGGTTAAACAGTACTAAAGTCTCATCTGAACAACACCAGTTTTACATAATTGCTGGCTACCGGTAAACAGTGATTTAGATGGTTCTAAGTTTTAACATGCCAGACAACTTTGCTTATAATCCAGTCAAACTAACTCATTTTTACCATCTAGCATTCTCTAAACTTGCATCAGTGAAGCTACAGTGAGCTGAAATGAACTTGTATGAATGTGTATAAAACTGTTTAGGCATTCTTGCTAAGCCTACGTTAGCTTCTAGTGCTAACAAGGTTATTAAAGCAGAAGTAATCTAAGCTAACAGCTTCACGGATGAATATACAGGTTTTCTTGATACTTGGCGTTAATGAAGCTTCAGTTAGCCTGAATAAACCTTGTTGAAAAGATCCATCCCACATCCTAGTGCCTGTGCAAATGCTACATTATTTAAGATGGAACAGAAAATTTGGGTAGAAAGCCAACTTCAGCCCTGTGAAACAAACAACATCACCCAACACCCAAATGCTCCGGAACAAAAACTTTACTTTATATCTGCCTAACTGGTTAGCAATGGTTCATTTTCAAAAATTTAAGACTACAGTAATGATTTTCTCAGTATATCATTCTAAGTTTACCCTCATCCTGCTGCCTGCTCAAGCTCAAACTCCCTTCAGCAGCCTTATTATGTGAAATAGTCTATCTGATTCAAACTTTATTCAGCTATATTCATTTGTTAGGCTACCTGGTATATGTACTGTCAGCATTCTAAGTGTAATCTACAAACTTTAATCATATCATTATATTCTGTAACAACTTAAAAATGGGTAAAGTATGTTCAGGGTGGTTTAATGCCATCCAGATGACGTCTTTTTCAGGAAAGGCCTTGATTATTTCAGCAAGACAATGACAAACCACATTCTGCATGTACTACAACAGCATTGCTCCGTATTTAAAGAATCTGGGTGCTAAACTGGCCTGCCTGCTGTCCAGACCTGTCACCCACAGATAACATTTCTGATATGAAATGATAATGGAGAAATGTGAATATGATGACACAAATATCAGTCTATATAATCATAATAAGCCATCCAGGATGTGTTAACCATTTAAAAAAGGACATTTTTGAGTCAAGAGGGTCTTTAAAAAATATAACTGCAGTAAAATATGGTACAAATTTGTTCCCTCACTAAAGGTACTGAAGACATACCCTTGAGGGTACCAGTTTAGTCCCTTTTTTGGGGCCTGAAAAACATCTCTATTTTGCTGTGATATTATACTTAAACAGGGTCACCAGCAGAGTCACCAGTGTTTGTAAAGCTTTGGAAGGGTCTTGTATGGGTCACAGAGACGATGGACTCGATCTGTAATTCTCTGACCTAAAGTTGGTCCCAAGTAGCATCCTACATTGGCTTGGTACCATCCAAAGATTGGTCCTTAAAGTGAAGCCTTACAGAATGTAGGGTTTATTTTTCAGCACCCTAGTTTTTAAGGCATGTCTTGAAGCGCAGCCAACACCCTGTTCTGCCTACACTGATGGCGAGTTAGGCAAAACTGATCTCTCCGCTGCCCATGCCGTGAGTCCTCAGCAGGACCAGAGGAGCAAGGACATGTAAAAAGCAATTTAGCGGTGCCTGGCCTTGGAAAACTCATTTTGAGCCTCTGAAAATCCTGTACTTACTGTGGGAATTTAATTATAGAATCTCTTCTTCTCCCTGTGACATTCTGGCCTACTTCCTCTGCCGCGGCTCCCCTGAGCAGGGCCTTGGCTGATAAGCAAGCCTTGTCTTATTTCACCCAAGGTATTTGTTTAATAATGAATGTGTGTGCAGACAAAGGGACTTTTTGCCTCCACAAATCTTGTATTCGCTTGGTTAAGCTCGTCTCTCTCTCTCTCTCTCCCTCCCCGTCCCCTCTTTCTTTTCTTTCTAGTGCTCTCTCTTGATTGTGCTCTCTTCCTCCCTCATTCATATCTGTCTCTCTCTCACACATACTTGCGTTATCCCTTTGTCCTCCCCACTGTCATTGCATCTGAGAATTCTGCCACATTCACGCATCCATTCCCAAGCTTTTCGGAGAGCCGAATTTTGAAAAGTACCTCACAGTGCAGCTCATTATGCAGGTGCGTGGGTTGGAATCCTTCAGACTAAAGGAGGGAAGCCAGGTTAAATGAGGATAGAATTTGATGGTGACACCAAGTCTGCTCTTCTGGAAAAAGATAGATAAGCGGACACTGTCCACTCGAAAACAGTGACTTTACCTAAGGGAGATAAAAAGCATTTTGAGGCAAATGCAGGGCATTGTGAGGCAAAATAGTCCCCAAAGAAAACTTACTTGTTTCAGATTTTCCACTATTTTAACATCATCAACTTTACATAATAACACCGAGAAGACACATGTAGGTTCACTGGTGGTTTTAGATAGTAAATAAAATGGCTACATTTGTGTTGTAGACTTGTAGAGTCTCTACAGTGAACAGTTTCACACCAAACCATGCTGAATGACTTTGTTTACATCTCTACTGTAAAGTCAATTCATATAATTTTTTTACAATTACATAGTGACATAATTTATTGCATGAATTACATTTACATTCAGTGTACATTCTGTATCGATGACAACTGACATAAACCTACATAAACATTTATAAACAGCCAAAAAGACTGCTTTTGTTACTTTGATGTCATGTTCTCTTCTGTCCACATTCATTTGTCCATATATTGTGGCTTAAATCTTTTAAATAGTAAAATGAAGAGCTAGCTAGAACTGTAGGTTCAAATCAAGAACTATGTTAGAAGTGTTACTTTTAACAATGAACACTACCTTGGTCATTCCAAACTTTGTTGACAGTCTTTAAAGGCTGTGCCAGTGTAAATGCTAACAGAAGGGAGGTGCTGAAATTTTGACCACCAAAAATGGTAAAAAATGGCACTCTTGTTTTCATGGAACATGCTATAGCTTACATTACATTTAGTACGTTTATTTTATGTAATCTGTGTGTCCTGAATTTGAATATTCATTTTGTTGCATCGCTAAGTAAGAACTTGTAAGATTAACTTCTCCTTTGTGTCCTCCAGGGTGCAGCCCCACCTGAAGAAGTGCTTTGAAGGCATAGCCAGCGTGGTATTCACAGATGTACTGGACATCACCCATATGAAGAGCAGTGAGGGCGAGGTGGTGGGCCTCCTGGACACCATCTCCACCTCCAAAGCCCGTGGTCAGGTGGAGAAGTGGCTGCTGGAGCTGGAGTCTGGCATGCTGAAGTCCTTACATAAGGTGCTAGACTCTGCTTAGAGCTTCGGAGCAGTTCGATTCAGGATCAATTTAATGGGGAAAAGGCACAGCTGCGCACAGAAAGGTCCCCATAAATCAGCCCACTGAGCACAGTCAGTTAGATGAGTTGAAGAACTGGTGAAAGTGTGGAAGTTAATTAGGTGTCTTTTTCAAAGTCACTGAACCTTCAGTACTTCAGCCTTGTTCATGCAGAAGAGTTCCAAACAGCTTTTCAAAGAACTGTGTTCAGTCCGTGTTAGAACATACCGTCTTTAATGAACCAATCCATGTTCCGCATTCATTTGTAGCTACAAATTTGGACATGCTTTACAGAATGCTGGCAAAAATCCCATTCAACCTAGAGAAACTGTAGCGCACAATAAGCTTGGATGATTATGTAAATTTAAAGGATTATTGTCTGCAAAAGTACTACAGAGCCTTGCCTATGGCCTGGACTTGTCCTGATAGTGATACAATTACCCTATCATTACAAACTCTGCTAGCTTCTAATATTACTTAATAATTTAGATAATAAGTAACTATATGTATGGATAATTCTACCTAATTGGTTTAAAGTCAGAGTCCAAAACAATTTTTACTGACTTAAACTTAAACTTTAACTTAAACTTTAAACTTTCACCCTGTCCCTCATGGCCACATGGTGAGCAGTTACATCCCAGTTTTGAAGTAAATGTGTCCCAAAGTCTGAAAAACAGTGTGGAACATTAAATAGTCACTACTGAAACACATATTTTCTGCAATTTTTGTGTTTTAATGAAAAGTATTCTGATTTTATGTGTGTTAAACTGTTCAAAGCTGTGTTTGCTTGTCATTTGGCTGGCTAGGGTTTTTGAGTTCTGCTCAAAATGAGCTAAAATTGTCACTGACGACAAAGTCACTACTGAAACATTTGGTAAAGTTTAGCTAGAGTTATGATTGTTTTGGTAGTGACAAAATGGAATCTTCAGTTATTTGTTTTATTAAAATAAAGATAATTAAGGTATAGGGTCAGTCAAAAGCAAAAAGATTTTAGTCTATAGTATAAAATCAGTCAAAAGTCCAAAATGTGTTTTAAATGTAAAATCATCCATACACAAACAGGGGTGTCACCAGATTAATGGATGGGGGCTAAGTCTTTGCTAGGCAGTTCTGGGTTCATGCTCTGCAGTAGTCTCAAACTCTTTAGAGTCATGTTAGATCTGTGTCTAATACAAACTGTGAAGAGACAGATCTACTGTGTGCCAAATTTGATTTTATCATCCTTACTTCTCTAACAATTAATGCCGAATGGAGAATTTGGGGCCATATGTGGAGTATAGGTAGCAATATTAATGAAATTGTATCACACTGTGCTATGTTTGCCACAAATTTATATTGTAGGTTGGCATCTTCGCTGTAACTACTCACTGTTTCACTCTATATATGGTATATTTTGATTAAGACTTAATATTTATCTCAGTAAACTTTTAATCAACATCCTCCCACAACTACAACTGTTCAGCTGCTTCTTTGCAGAACAATGCCCCTGAATACAAATATGCATAAATACAGAAAAAGTAACCATACTTTAATTTAATGAATGGTTAAAAATTAAATAAACTAGGTATTGAATAATAACTAAATAATAGGCTTCCTTGGGGAGAACTTTGGCAATGGTTAAGCTAACACAATCATCATGTATCTTTTTGTTTATGTGTATTTATTTTAATGTGAGGGTTTTTGAACAAATAAATATTTTTTTATGTGCTCATCATAAGAGTTCACCTCATGTAACATCATAAACATTCACTTCTTCACAACAAATTTCTGAATGTTTTCTCTGTGGTGGTGTGTGCAGGTGATAGGTGAGGCCATTGAGGCTTACCCACAAAACCTGAGAATCAACTGGGTGCGAGAGTGGCCGGGCCAGACGGTGCTGTGTGTCTCGCAGGTCTACTGGACCAAACACATTCATGAAGCCATTGCCAAGGGACCTCAGGCAAGTTATTTCTGTTAGCTCACCATGTAACACTGATAGCACCCCCACCCCCCTCCCCCCACAGTTTCAGATTGACTCAGCCCATATCCTCCGTTTTTCTTGTATTTTGTTTTTTACTCCTGAGGTCCACTTATAACGTTTTTGTGGTTTTATGTATCAGAAATGTTGAGAATTCATTTTCATATGACCATTTTCAGTCTCTCTTTTTCCCTTACAATTAAACAGGCTGTTTTTGTTTCTCTGCCCTTAAGACTGATCTCTGTTCTGATTGGCTGTGCTTCATTAACAAAACACTCTCAGACAAACAATAATGTGAAATGGGCAGAACAAAACTGATGAATTATAAATAAAATATAAAATATAAAAATATAAATAGGCAGAAAAATGTAAAAGAGTTTTGTGACATCACAAAAACAATGAATTCAAAACAGGCTGTTATTTGCAGCGTATCAGGAGCAGGTATTATTTGGGTGGTGGATCATTCTCAGCACTGCTGTAACACTGACGTGGTGGTGGTGTGTTAGTGTGTGCTGCACTGGTACAAGTCGATCAGACACAGCAGTGGTGCTGGAGTTTTTAAAGATTGTGTGCACTCACTGTCCACCCTGTTAGACACTCCTGCTTTGTAGGTCAGCCTTGTAGATGTAAAGTCAGTTTGTGTTGGTCATCCTCTAGTCCTTCATCAGTGGTCCTTTATCAGCGGTCACACTATTGCCTGGATATTTTTGGTTCATGGATTATTCTCAGTCCAGCAGTGGCACTGAGGTGTTTGAACTCCAGCAGCACTGCTGTGTCTCATCCACTTCACATCCATTGTGAAATGGACCTGCCGAAATGGACAATGAGGGTAGAAAGAAAGTATTCATAATAAAGTGCTCAGTGAATGTATATAGAGCATTTTTGTATGAATACCTCCACCTACTAATGCAAATAACACATAGATATAGCATCCTTATCAACAAACTAATAGGCAAAAAATAAATAAATAAATAAAAATAAGCCCACTTAGCAGTTTTAATGCACAATTATTGAGTCCCTTTTAATGTATATCTTTTAATATATTTTTGAACTCTTTTTTGAAAATTCCTGTTTTTTCACTTATTTTCCTTTGACCTTCCCCTTCCTTTATGCAAGTAAATTATCTTGTGTTGTATATGTCTATGCTTTAGCTTTTGTTGGCAGCTGTACTTTTTAACTGTTTTATTGTGCCAATAATATCAAGGCTACGAACTAAATTAATAAACAGATTTGTCTGTTCGTTTCTCTCTTAGGCTCTTGAAGCTTACTTGCATCAGAACAACACTCAGATAGATGATATAGTGGCGCTGGTGCGGGGGAAGCTGTCCAAGCAGAACAGAGTCACGCTGGGAGCTTTGGTGGTGCTGGACGTTCATGCTAGAGATGTTTTGGCCTCACTCGTTGAGAAGGGTGTGGACGATGAGAACAATTTTGAGTGGCTCAGCCAGCTTCGCTACTACTGGATTGTAAGTGTGTGCATGTGTATGCAAGTTTTTCTACATGTAATGCACAAACTGACATGAACAGTTTGGGGACACCTTGCCTTTTAAAGTGTTTTTAACATTAACTGAGCACAAAACCTGCAAAACTGAAGGAACAGCTGTCAAAAGTCCTTCCTTGGGAATGACGGGAGAGCCCACGCATTTTAATACCTTGTTGTGATGTCAACACTCACCGCATCTGGGCCAAAAGATTTTCAATATGTGCTTTTAACAGAAGTTTAAGAAAGAAAAGTGTCAAATTTTATAGCTGTTGATGGCACTGTCAATTTTATTAGTAATTGAGTACTCTACCACTTATTTGGATGATTGATTGAGAAGTCAGTGTTTACCAAAAAAGACAAAAAGGAAGCCTTTGAAAATACACACATATACATATACAGTAATGTGTGAAAGTCATTGGCGCCTGAGCAAGGTGTTTAAAATATTTTGTCCCAGCAGTAATTGTGATTTTGCCTGTAGAAACACTATGTGCCATAATAATAAATACCTATAATGATACATACTGTAAAAAAAAATACAAAACTTGAGTTATTTTACATTACTGATACAATAAAGCAAGTAACATAGCCACTATGAAAAACTAATGCACAGAGCATATATATATATATATATATATATATATATATATATATATATATATATATATATATCTATATATATATATATATATATCTTTCTTCAAGATCTGACCATTTGTGATATCTAGTAATCGTCATGGCTGCACTTGTTATTATATAGCAGAATTTAATGCAGAAAAATTACCACTGCTATTTGCTGATTTCCACTTCTCTGAAGATTTCAGTGTTATATTAGGGGTAAGGTAGCAGTGGTGTTCACTTCCCACACAGGATTTAATACTACTTAGGCCAGCTCTACTTAAGTGTGGACATTTGAATAATTCAAAGCTTTTAACAGACATTCAGCAGCGTATTGTTTTCTTCATAGGTTGATTCTTCAGTAAAGCCTATCTGAATATTATTGGAGTATCCAGTTACCCTGATAGCAGTCTGCTGAGCCTAGACCTATTTAACCAAAATAGCTTTCTTTATATACACATTTACTTATACACAAAATTTGTAGTTTCATTTTACTTCATGTATATGAAATTTGTTATGGTGTGGGTTTTCCTCTGTTTCAGTGAGGCACATAACAGCGACTTCAGTTGTAATGGTGCCCCCTTGTGGAGAATCTGCTAAACATGGCTTTATGATGAGCTGATTTCAGGTTTATCATTAAAATTATGAACCAATTGAGCAGTCTTTTTTTTTAATTGAGTAATTGTGACAGCTCTAGTCAAATTATGACAATTGTTTAGACATTACTCAGTCTTTATACCAAGCAAAACACTTATTTTGTTTTTCTTAAATAAAAAGGAAGAGTGAAAGTTAAAAATTATTCTGCAAAATTCAAATATAGGCAAGGTGGTCTCTACCATGCTGAAGAGCTCAGGTCATTAGAACAGTCTTATTCTAACGTGCCTCTGTACTTCAGATTTTCTTTAAAAACTTGATTAGCTTGATCAAATTTGTTTCATAACGATTGCAAGCTCTGTAAGGCAATATATTTCAGGGAGCAGGTCGTGGAGCTGACTGTTCTTAGCAATGGAATACTACAGTTAAATTTTAGAATGTTATATATTTTAGTGATATATATTAGTTAATAACACATTAACGTTATTATGACTAAATGTTTCAGTGCTGTTACTGCATTTTCCTAATTTTAGCCCTTTGTATTGTAGCCTTATTGTTCATATACAGCTCTTCATGGCAAGTTCCATTAATGGTTCTCTTTATAAAATTAAAGTTATTTCCAGCTACTGCTATACTGTGAATTTGTTTATCATCAAAGTATGTTGAGTCTACAGTATCATTTACAAGGAAAACACACTATCAGTAATTCAACAGACGATACTGGACAGTCCTTAAAGGGAAAAAAACAAAGAAAAACAGTAACAGCGTGGAGTAACAGTTCTTTGAAACAAAATGTGACGTGGTGGTGCGATAGGGCTCCAATTGCTTAGGAGTTGGAACATGCAACCACTGTTGCTCTCACTAGAGATTCAGTTCATGTCAACCTGATGTTATTGAATTATTGAAAATAATGAATAAATTGTGATTAGTCCGCTCAACAAAATGCACTGCTTTTTAAGTGGAAAAAATTGAGCAAATAATACAAATTCAATTTATCACGATTAACTACACAAAACAGCGCAGTTGTCATTATTTATTTTATTCATTTGACAGCCCAAAATTTTTTACCAGGTACATAGGCAGATGATAACACTACACATATGCTTCTGGCATTTTCACTGAACAATTATTTCCTTAAGTCCTGTTTTTCCTATTTGCATGTGTTTGTAATGAAATTAGAGGGCTTTTTTCGAATAAGAAGTATCTTGAGGATTGTAAGTGTTTGACTTTTTCATTTTCCACTTCTTTTGCAATCCAAGTGATAATTTTAACAAAACCGGTGATGTTATTACACTCGAGACAGCTACTGCGGATTTGGCACTGACAGTCTGTGCTATTCTTTCGTATCAAGATTCATCTTGTGTTGTTATTTTGTCCTTTGTTATTTGTTTACATTGAATGACCAGTTGACAACCGTTGAATTATATTTTTCTGCTTCTTATGACTGCCTTCATCATGTATTTAAGTCAAGTTCCATAAGCCTTGAACATTCAGTAGCCATGTGAACTCCTTATTAAAGCATTTCACAGATTTACGCACAAGTAATATTCTTTTCAAATAAATTATGCAGAAATTATTTAAATTGACCTTAATGAACAGAGTTGAACAGGGGATAATAAAATTTCAACAAACTGAAGAATATTCATTTGAATAATCAGTGTTCTGCCATGTACAGATAAACAATGAATGAACCATCTCACTAAATTGGATCAAGTCAGTTCACATCTGTCACAAAAAATTGCTTTCTTTCATATCAGTAATTTATCCTAATGTTAATATCAACATGTCTAAACCTATTAGCTCAGTTTACTCTTTCTACCTGTCCCTTTTCTGTGTAGGAGAACCACCTTCAGACCAAGATGATTAATGCCGGCCTGGCTTATGGCTATGAGTACCTTGGCAACACTCCACGTCTGGTCATCACACCCCTCACCGATCGCTGCTACAGGTCAGAACAAACTTACCCAATATAAATTCTATGAAATCATCTTAGGCTGATGATTAATATGTTAATAGAGCACTGCATGCAAGAGGAACTATTTAAACTTAAACCTAACACAGCATGAACGCTGTACACTGACTGCAATTTAGCTATAACTAACTTAGCTATTACTGTAATTTCGCCCAATAGTTACAACCTCATTTCCAAAAAAGTTGGGATGCTGTGCAAAATGTAAATAAAAATAGAATGCAATGATATGCAAATCATGTGCATCATATTTTTAAAGGAAAATACTACAAAGACAACATATCAAATGTTGAAACTGGGAAATTTTATTGTTTTTTGAAAAATATATGCCCATTTTGAATTTGATGCCGACAACATGTTCCAAAAAAGTTGGGACAGAGGCATGTTTACCACTGTGTTTCATCACCTCTTCTTTTAACAACACTCTGTAAACATTTGGGAACTAATTGCTGTGGTTTTGAAAGTGAAATGTTTTCCCATTCTTGTTTGATACAGGATTTCAGCTGCTCAACAGTTCGGGGTCGTTGTGTTTTTCATTTCATGGTATGACAAATGTTTTCAGTGGGTGATACTGTTGTAATAAATGCAGAATGTGGTTTTACATTGTCTTGCTGAAATAATCAAGGCCTTCCCTGAAAAAGACGTTGTCTGGATGGCAGCATATGTTACCAAACCATGTATATATCATTCAGCATTAATGGCGCCTTCACAGATGTGCACGTTACCCATGCCATGTGCACTAATGCACCCCTATACCATCATGAACACTGGCTTTTGAACTGTACACTGATAACAAGCTGAATGGTCTTTAGCCCGGAGGACACAGCGTCCATGATTTCCAAGAAGAATTTTAAACTTTTCCATTTCCCCTCCGTGTATTTTAAATGAGCGCGGGCCCAGAGAAGGTGGCAGTATTCCTGGATTCTGTTTAGATATGATTTCTTCTTTGCGTTTTAGAGTTTTAACTTGCATTTGTGGATGCAGTGATGAACTGTGTTTACAGACGGTGGTTTTCAGAAGTGTTTCTGAGCCCATGCAGTGATTTCCACTACAGAATCATGTCTGTTTTTAATGCAGTGGTGCCTGAGGGCCCAAAGACCACAGCCAGCAAATACTGGTTTTTGGCCTTGTCCCTTGCATACAGAGATTTCTCCAGATTCTCTGAATCCTTTAATGTCATTATGTACCGCAGATGATGAAAAACAAAATTTCTTTGCTATTTTACATTGAGAAATGTTATCCTTGAATTGTTGCACTATTTGCTCGTGCAGTCTTTCATAGAGTCGTGATCCCCTGCTCATCTTTACTTCTAAAAGACTCAGCCTCTCTGGGATGCTCTTTTTTTACGCGGTCTTTTTACTGACCTGTTGCCAATTAACCACCGGGTGTTTTTTTTTTGCATTACACAACTTTACTAGCCTTTTGTTGCCCCCATGCCAACTTTTTTGGAACGTGTTGTTGGCATCAAATTCAAAATGGGCATATATTTTTCAAAAAACAATAAAATGTCCCTGTTTCGACATTTGATTTGCACATCACTGCATTTTGTTTTTATTTACATTTTGCACAGCGTCCCAACTTTTTTGGAAATGCGGTTGAAATAACAGTAACATATAACATTTTTGCGGCGTCCAAACTTTCTTTACAAGCACACCCAACATTGCTATTTTGGTTACGACCCTCCTCGGATACATGTCAGTAAACATTTGTACATGCATATGAAGTTTAATCGTGATTGAAAAATTTCAAATTCCTGTGGAACTCCAATTAGACATGTTTTAATGTATCTTATAGAAACTGATTCAGAACAGGATGAAGTAGCAGCATAAACAAATTTCATGTCAGTCAGACAGTCTTTTGCTACATAACATTTTTTGGCTCATGAGCCAATTGGATGGGGTGCAAATTACAGACCTAATGAGCTGTTTTGGTAAATGTGGGCTGTCTTGTACTTTGAAAAAGCTGCAGTAGATGGACTTGATCTTTGGTTTGTGCATATTGTGACAGACTTTAAATGAAACTGTTGCATTTTTAAGTTGCTTATTAGTAATGGCCAGTTCATAATGTGTTGAATTTGACTCATGTGTCAATCAGATGGAATGAAAAAGCTTAAACTGATTTGGTAACTTTGACCTCCAGTTATTTAAAAATACTGCAATTAAAGGACTTCATCTTTGGTTTGTGCATATTATGACAGACTTTAAACCAAAATTTGCTGTTTTTTGGTCTAATTACTAGTAACAGTCATAGTATGATGTGTTGAATTTGGCTCATGGGTCATTTGGATGGAGTGGAAATTACAAAGTTAATGAACTGTTTTGGTAACTTTGGCTGCCTTTATGTTAAAATGCTGCAGTAAATGGACTTCATCTTTCATATGTTCATTCGTATGACAGATTTTACACTATGATGTGGTGTTTTTTTGATCTACTTTTATTTTATAATGTGTTGAATTTGACTGATGAGGCAATCAGACGAGGTACAAATTAGCTAAATTTGGTAACTTTGGCTGCAGATTACTTCAAGATTTTGCAGTTATTGGACCTGATCTTTCATGTGTTCATAGTATGAAAGACGTTATACCAAAGGTTGCTGTTTTTATGATCTGATTATTGATAATAAGCATTTTATAAATCGTTCAGGTAGACTTACAAGTCAGTTAGTTAGCATGCAAATAATACTACATTTTTTAAACGATTTGGCAACTTTGGCTGTAAATGACCTTTACTTACTGCAGTAGAATAACTTCTTCTTTGGTTTGTGCACAGTATGACAGACACTGAGTATGACAGACACTGAAGCAATATCTGTTGTACTTTGGAATATGTATAGTAGTAGTAGTGCTAGTACCAATAGTAATCGTTGTGGTTTGTGGTCACAGAAGAATTGCTAGTAATTTGTTGACTAGGATGCATTTATGTGAGTGTATGTGTTATGTAGTTTAAATTCATACTTGGAAGAAATATGCATTTTTTCAACTAGCCCTCACTGGGGAAGACCACCTGGCTAATGCCGCTGGGTAATTTGAGTTTGAGACCCCTGCTTCACTGGGACCTATGAGGACTTTTCCATAAATTATTCCACTGATGTTTATCTCAAAGAATATTAAGGAATCTAGCCTGTATGAAACCAGAGCTCTCAAGGGTTTTCAACTAGAGTGGCCTTGAATACTCTGCCAATTAGGCTTTGCTAAGCTAAAGGCTTCACTGATTAGCTAGCCAAGCATTAGCAGTGTTTACTGGAAAACCGTTTTTTAAAGTATGTTATCTGGAGAAATTGACACTTCTTTTAATGTTTGTAAAAATATTCAGTAAAAGGGTGCTTCAGGTAACTACTAGTGGTGCAAGCAAATATCTATTAAATGTCTATTAAGAAAAAAGGTATACTTTGGCCCAATCCCATTTCTGGAACTGAGTTAAAATGGGTAGTGGTTGAAATCTTCCCCTACGAAATGGGACAACCCTCAAATAAAAAAGAACATTGCTTCATTGACCCTTCCTGGATCGGGGCCTTGCCATGGTGGAAGAGTGTGGTCTAGGGATCTTCAGAGTAAAGTCGCAATATGCTCCTGGTAGGGTCTTCCAGGGCAAACAGGTCTGGAGTGAAGACCCAGACTAACTCAATCCAAAAATCCTCCATGACAAAAGGACACAGAAAACTGTGTACCCTGCCCGGGAGAGGGTTACATGGACCTACCCCTGGAGCCAGGCCTGGGGGTAGTGTTACACGGCAAGCGCCTGGTGGCCGGGCAGCCCACGTAACCCGGCCGGGCTCAGACCAAAAAGGCAACGTGGGGGGACCATGTGGGCCGGCCACCTGCAAGGTCCAGCATGGGGGACCAGTGCAGTGCTGTATAGGCAGTGGCAGTGAGGTGGCGGGGGGCCCTTGGCGGCATAGACGCCTGCGGCAGAAACTGGCTCTTGGTACGTGGAATGTAACCTCACTGGGGGGGGGGAGCCAGATCTTGAGTGAGAGGTTGAGAGGTACCAACTAGATATAGTTGGGCTCACCACCACCCACAGGGTCGGCTCTGGAACCAAACTCCTTGATAGGGGTTGGTCCCTCTCCTACTCAGGTGAGAGGCGCTGGGCAGGTGTGGGTGTAAGTGTACATGGTACCAGAGCTCCTAGGGTCAAAGGTCAATGATCAGAATTTGTTGTCGTTTCATCTGACTTGGGACCATATGTTCTGGACACTCGGGTGAAGAGAGGTGCTGAGCTGTCGACTGATCACCACCTGGTGGTGAGTTGGATCAGATGGCAGGGAAGACTAATGGTCAGACCCGGTAGGCCCAAGCGAATAGCGAGGGTGTGCTGGGAATGACTGCCGGAGGCCCCTGTTCGGAATGATTTAAACTCCCACCTCCGGGAGAGCTCTCTCATGTCCGGCAGGAGGTAGGAGACATGGAGTCTGAATGGACCCTGTTCAAAACCTCCATTGTGGAAGCTGCCAGGCATAGCTGTGGCCAAAAGCTTGTGGGTGCCTGTCAGGTCGGTAACCCAAGAACCCCCTGGTGGACACCGGTGGTGAGGGAGGCCGTCAAGCTGAAGAAAGAGGTCTTTAGGGACTGGATGGCCCAGAGGACTCCCGACTCAGCAGATAGGTACTGACAGGCAAAAAAGGTGGCAGTGGCAACAGTGATGGAAGCAAAATCCAGGGTATGGAAGGAGTTTGGTGAGGCCATGGAAAAAGAGGTTCTGGACAACTGTCCGGGGTGGCTTTGCCCAAGCTGTATTCGGCAGGGGTGGAGAAACTCTGACTTTAAATGAGGATATTGTCGGTCGGTGGAAGGAGCACTTTGAGGAACTCCTTAATCCGAGAGACATGTCTCCCTTGAGGCTCCCAGAGGCTTCTGGCGTGTCAAGCTCAATCTCCCTGGTGGAGGTCACTGAGGTAGTTGGCAAGCTCTTCAGTGGCAAGGCACCGGGCGTGGATGACATTCATCCAGAAATGCTCTGGATGTTGTGGGGCTGTCATGGCTGACACGCCTCTGCAATATTGCATGGACCTCGGGAACAGTACCCTTGGACTGGCAGACCGGGGTGGTGGTCCCTATTTTTAAGAAAGGGGGCCGAAGGGTGTGTGCCAACTGTCGGGGTATCACACTGCTCAGCCTTCCTGGGAAAGTCTATGCCAAGGTGCTGCAAAGGAGACTTCGACCGATAGTTGAACCTCAGATTGAGGAGGAACAATGCAGATTCCGTCCCGGCCGTGGAACAATGGACCAGCTTTTCACCCTCTCACAGATTGTTGAGGGGGCATGGGAGTTTGCCAACCCAGTCTACATGTGTTTTGTGGACTTGGAGAAGGCTTACGACCGTGTTCCCCGAGATATCTTGTGGGAGGTCCTCCGTGGGTGCTGGGGCTCCTACTCCAGGCCATTCAATCTCTGTACTTCCGGTGTGAGAGCTGTGTTCATATACTCGGCATTAAGTCAGGCTCTTTCAGTGTTAGCACTGGACTTCGCTAAGGTTGTGCCTTATCTCCACTCCTGTTCATGATATTCATGGACCGGGTGCCAAGGCGTAGCCGAGGTCAGGAAGGCATTATGTATGGAGGCCGGACGGTGGCATCTCTGCTATTTGCAGATGATGTTCTTCTTTGGCTGGATCGCATGCCTCCAGCGCTCACTGGAGCAGTTTGCAGCTGAGTGTGAAGTGGTTGGTATGCGGATCAGCACCTCCAAGTCTGAGTCCATGGTCCTAGCCCGGAAAAGGATGGCATGCCCACTCCAGGTAGGGGGAAAGGACTTGCCCCAGGTGGAGGAGTTTAAGTATCTCGGGGTCTTGTTCACGAGTGATGGGATACAAGCGGCGGAAATGAGCTTTCTTCGCAGGGTGGCGGGCTACACTCTACTTGATAGGGTGAGGAGCTCGGTCATCCGGGAGGAGCTCGGAGTAGAGCCACTACTCCTCCGCATTGAGAGAAGCCAGTTGAGGTGGTTCGGGCATCTGATCTGGATGCCCCCTGGATGCCTCCCGGTGGGGGTATACCAGGCACGGCCTACTGGCGCAAGACCTAGGGGTCGTCCTAGGACCCGCTGGAGGGCTTATATCTCCAAGTTGGCCTGGGAGCGGCTTGGGGTCCCCGGGAATGAGCTGGAGGAAGTTGCGGGGGACTCTGCCCTCCCAACTGCTACCGTGACCCTATCTGGACTAAGCGGTCAATGATGATGATGATTACTTCATTGACAGGCCACTAGCTGTAGGTGACCCTGCCAGTCTGCAGTGATAGCAAAGGAGGGTAAAGTTCAGCAACCTCGCTGCTCGGCTTTAGTTAAATTTATGACATCATATGCCTTCAAAGAGGGAGGATGTGATAATTATTTATTATTGCCGACCCCAGTTCTTTGGTGATGTGAAGCTGAATTCAGCTCTTCGCCAGTTTCTTGTCCGAATTTTCCAGTTCCACCTTAAATGGAGCAGCAGTTACATTCTGGCGCTTCAGGTGTCGGTACTGCTGGACTATTTAAAGTGGAACAGGAAATTTAGTTAGCTAGCTACCAAGACATTAGCAAATTACTAACGATTTTATGCTTGTTATGAAGAAAAGAACGAAGAAGATACTTACATTTGTGGGTTGTGCTTGTGCAGCTATCTTGCCGTTTTTGTTTTTTTTTTCTCATAAATCTTTGTTTGGAGAGTGCCTCTGAAAAACCTCTTTTTTGGGGGCCATGTAGCCCTAACCGTTCGTCCTACCCCTCTATCTTAACAAAAAACGGGACACCCTACCCCTAGACGTGAACATGCAAAACAAAGGACTAAGGGCTAAGTGGTAGAGACAAGGGATGAAATGGTATTGGGCCTTATTCTGTCTACTCGGTGAGTTAAATACAGAGAACGTTCATGCTAATGAGCACAGGTGCAGCTTCATAATTTACATATGACAAAAATAAACTCTTATTTTGATTCTGACTTGTTTTCTCTGTACTTTGAACTAGTCTGTCAAAATAATGACTTATTTTCTCAGGAATTTGACATAATTTGACCTGAACTCAATATCAAAATAGCGAGTTATTACCTAAGTAAGTATATTTAATAAGTATATTTCGAAATTATGAGTCATTATTTTGAGATAAGCCATTATTTTGACATACATTATTTCAACACACATTATTTGGAGTCAAAATAACTAAAAAAAAAACCAAACTTTTAACAAACAAACTTTTCACAGGGGTTAAAAAGTGCACATAGTCATCAGGTCAGTATTTACTGGTCAATACTTGGTACTTGGCAAAGAAATGACTCATTTTAATATTTTCATTTTAATGTTCATCTCCTCCCAACACTTTGAGAGGGAAACACCTACAAATGATTGTGCAGCACAAAATAACACCAAGTTTACACTTTTTCATTGAGCAAAACAGAATTATGATGTAGACAAAGGAAATTTCTTCAACATTTACATATTTAGAGAACATTCTTATTAAGATTAAACATATATAGAAGGTAACAATTCCTTTTACAGTTCCTTAAATTGTAGAAATTAACAAGTGTGTGCATAAAGTGTGAAATACAAAAATTATTTTGGGTAAAATGCTGAACCTAACAAGTTCTATCCATTAAGCTGAAAAAGGACATGATAATATACCACTTAACTCAATAATTATTTGGAAAAACAAGCTGGCAACTACAAGTAAACTCTGTTTTACTGTAATACTATGTGTTAAGCACAAAAATCATTGAGTCCTGCATAGTTTTATGGAATAAAAAGGCAGTGCAAAGTACAAAGCCTTTACTTTTAATTTCATTTTCTATTTCTATGAGTAATTATAGCACCTTTTTAGATGTGAAGCACCTAATGGACCCTCCCCTCACTCTCTCACATACATACTGTTGAGTGAACTCAATTTCAAGGCAATATGATGCACTAAGATTTTTGAGTTTCCTCAACAACAGTTTTTGTAATCACTCTTACTAAGGTTGATTTGCTTAACTAACTTAGATTTGGTTGTTCTTTTAACTTTAGGCTGCCAATAAAACAGCAATTTTTAAAAGGGGAAACAGCCTATATTACATACAGAATGCTTAATCATGTTACTGAGGTAACTAACGTAGCATTTGGAGTCAAGGACGTTTGGTTCTGTCCCAAGCAGAGAATCGAACCCCAGTCTGCTGGTTGGAGGGCAGGATTGTTACCCACTACACCATTCCAATTACCGTTGTTAGCTAAAGACAAAAATGTATTTATTTATTTTTTTAAATTTGTTTCCTGTTAATCAAGCAGCATTTTATCACAAAATTACAGAACTACAGGAAATCAAACCCTTACCACCCCATCCCTCCCCGTCCCACTGGTCCATCCATTCCTATTTCCTGTACATACTTTATACTATTTACTAAGTAAGATTTAGTGATTTAGTTTAAAAAAGAGAGAAAAAAGAATGTTAGCTTACAAGATGTACCTCATAGCCTTTGTTCCAATCTTTTTGTCACATCACAACAAATCTGTTTCCATGTCTCAAGAGTAGATGTTTTAACTTTATTAATCCTAGCTGTGGCCAATTCTAACATAACTATGTCATGCAGTTGAAATAGCCAATGTCGTACACTTAGATTATGTGGGTGAAGCCACCTCTGTGCAGTAATTTTTTAGCCGATGTTAAACCAGTGAGCCACATCTTCCTTTGTTTGCCTGTTAAGTTTAAATTGGAGTCATCATTTAGCAATAATACAGCTGGATCAACGGGAATTTCTTGTCCAACCAGAGCAGATAATATGGTAGTAACCTTTATCGAGAAGTCATTAACATCCCCACATTCCCACACCATGTGCAAAAAAGTTCCAATTGGTTGTTGTGGACAATAGTTGCAGTAGGGATGTACTGCAGTTTTTGTAAGAAAGCGTTTTCGTGGTGTCCAATATAACCTATGACAATATTTAAAATGGATCAGTTGATGATTGGGGTTCTTTGATGCATGAAATATATTTCGCCATACTATGTTTCAATCAATTGAATTAACAGATAGTTCCTTTTCCCAGATAGACTGAATTGGGAGCTTCTTATACAACGTTTCAGTAAGGTGAGAATATATAGTTGATACAAGACCATGTGGTGGCGCATTAACGACCCAGCTATAAATTGGATGTGGCTTGAGGTCTGTTCCCCATGGAATTCCGTATGCTTTGAATTAAATATATCATCAAGAGTTTTAAGACAAAAATGTATTTATGAAATACTTTGTTGAGACCAGGTGTGCTTGATAAAAACATCACCATCTGGTCTCTCACTTGCAGTTTGTATAGCACAGCAGAAAACACCTCTGCTCAGCAGGGTTTGATTCACAGCCCAGGCAAACACATCGTGCTGTACCAATTAGCAATGCTACGTTACATTACTTCTCTAACATGATAAAGCTGTAATATAAACATATATGTTTTTTTTTTTACAGTGTACTCACTCACATTTAGGAGGCAAAAAGTTGTCCACAAGAGGGCGCCATCAGCAGTCAAATTGCTTATAATGCTTCACAAGAGCAGTGCTTTGCATTAATGACGCTGTGTGTCCTTGTTTCCTAATAGTCATAAGGTACTTATAGGGTCAGGCTTTTTGGCATGTCTGGAACAGCTAGTCATTTAAACTGAAAATACACTTACAGAAACACACAAACAATTGCTCTTCTGTTTGAAACTTCTTGCTTTTCCTTTCCTGTCTCCAATCTCAGAACCCTATTTGGAGCACTGCACCTGCACTTGGGAGGGGCTCCTGAGGGTCCTGCAGGTACAGGGAAGACTGAAACCACCAAAGATCTGGCCAAAGCTGTGGCCAAGCAGTGCGTGGTCTTCAATTGCTCCGACGGCCTCGACTACATCGCTCTGGGCAAGTTCTTTAAGGTGAGGCAAATAGCACCATAAAAGTAATTATTCATTTTACTCTATGGTTTTGGAATTTGTTTTGTGTTTTGTGGGTTTGTAAAGCATAGCCTTGGAATACAAATACATTTAAATTCACTGAATGTGCAAAACTGAGCCACAAGATGACATTACAAAAGTTTTGTTTAGGCTTAAATGCAAAAATATTTAAGCCAATAAACAAAGAAAAGAAACACTTCAGTGTTTTACTGATCTAAGGGTTTTATGCTGAACCCCACAGAAAGAGAGTTATTTTGCCTTAGTCAACTGTAAGAGTTTCTTTGGAAAATTACTTGAGTCGTAATTATATTTCGTATTAGCTGAAGTGCCTTGAATGGTTGATATGAAAATGAAAGTCAGGCAGGTTAAATAGCACAGAGGCGGTTCAGGTTTGGAGGAGCACGTCCTTGTTCCTTTCTCATTCGTATTAAGATGTACTTTGAGCACAGAGTTAGAGATATAGAGAGCGAACCGCTAGAAAAGAACATCACTGGTTGCCATGGCAACAGGGGTTTTGCGAGCCCATCTTTGGAGTGCTCAGCGGTGAATCCTGAAATGTAGAAATTCAGCAGAATAGCATCCCCCTGCCTTCAAAGATGAATCATTATTAGCGTTTTTATTTCCTGAAATCTTTATGTAAAGTTTAAGCCCTTTGTGCAGAAAATCTGTACTTCCGCCTTTTGAACTATTATTCTCTTCAAATGGAGTCAGAACACTGCAGGTCCGGTTACTTTGATGTGAAAAGAACACAGATTCACAAAGCTAAAGATATGCACTTTTTTATGAGAGAAAAGAAACTATTACATTTTGATATCAAAAAGATGCTGAATACGGCGTCGAATATGGCCGATCGCAGGGGTGTCCTTACTTTTTGTGTTTGAGCGGGCCATAGTGCAATGTTCGTGGTGGGCCGGGGGCCAAAAAGACAAAACAGTACACCAATAAAGATAGTAGGTTGAGTTTTGAGAAGTATTTTATAACATTGTACAGTATTTTCATATTAAAACACCTCAAAATATGTGCAATTTAAAAATATGTTCTCTCATTGGATGAGGGCTGGGATAGCTTTCTGGTGGGCCAAATGGACCAAATGTCCTAGTGTGTTCTGTAACTCAACCAGACTGCATCAAATAACCACCAAACACCTAGGATGGTGGTCACCAATGCTGGGCCTGGAGATCTACCATCCTGCAGGAGTCTAGTTGTAACTACTATCTGCCACACCTGCTCGGGCAAATAACCCAGAGGTCCTTGATTGGCTAGATGAGATGCAGTAGTGTTGGGAAAGGGGGAGCAGCATGCTAGATGTAGCTAGGAACTAAACTCTGCATGAACATAGGTCTCGTTGTTGGGGGGTTGGTGACCACTGACCAAGTTCATATTACACACATTTAAATGGCAAATTAAATTTGGGCAGTCGTGGGCTGGAAGTTAGGGAACCAGCCTTGCGACCTGGTCGCCGGTTTGATCCCCTAAGCCGACAGTACATGACTGAGGTGCCCTTGAGCAAGGCACCTAACCCCCACCTACTCCCCGGGCACTGCGGATAGGGCTGCCCACCGCTCCGAGCAAGTGTGCTCACTGCCCCCTAGTGTATGCCTTCACTAGTGTGTATGTGGTGTTTCACTGCATGGATGGGTTAGATTGCGGAGGTGAAATTTCCCCATTGTGGGACTAATAAGGGTCTCTTAATCTTGTTTTTAAATGGGAATTCCACCATTTCTGAATAATTTAATCTTTGAGATGTAAACAAAGTTATACAGTGGTGGTCATAGGAACCAGGGGTTGTGAATATAGCAATTTTATTTACTGTCTTAGGCTAGCAGCGAACCTGCATATGTCTCCTGAATATTTGTATGTAATGTCGTTAATGATAAAGTGGTGGTAGAAGTTTTCTTTGGATACTATTTTTAAAAACTATCATAAAACATCCCTTTAGGCATCATATTCATAACCATTATGTGTAAAATCTGTCTATTGTGGCATTAAATGCTTTTGTACATGCCTGTTTGCTACATAACAATGACAAAATTGTGCTATTAACATGTCATAACGGGTGTCATATGCTGTCATGAGCTGACATGATAGATTATATTTAGTCATATAACAGTGTTATGTCACAATAACCAATAATCGTAATGACAGATGCTGTAATGTTAGATGTTACGATAGCTAAGTGTGCTCTATTTAGCCGTTTAAGCAATAGATTCTATTGCTATTGTTCTATTGCTTTTATACAACAGTTAAATAAATAAAGTAAGAAATAAATAAATTGGGCCATAAACGTGGCATTTAATATGTTTAATGTTAGCAGTTCCTTCTGCCAAATTAAAGTTCCTTAACAAGCAGCTTGTTGCTACGTCAGAGTAATGAACTACGCTCACTGACTGCATAGTCTGCTGTAAGCCACGCCTTTTGAAGTATGGACTGAGCCCTAAAACTGCCGCAATATCAAGTTTATCTCAGTGTTGTCAATTTTTGCTAAATCAATATTAATGTTGTTTTGTTCCAGCCAGTCTGTAAAGCATCTTACAGCCCATTTTGTTTGGCGAATGGTATTCGGTTCATTTCTGGCTAATTCTAGGTTGTTTAGGTGTTCTTTTCTCACAGCTGCTGACTGAAAAGCTTGCTTAGTGGTAATGACAGTTTCAGAATTTAGTGTAGTCTCATCTTCAGAGTCTGACCAAAACAGCTGTAGGTCAAATGTAATCTTAAAAGTATCCATTTTCTGTTTGTGTGCAAAGTAAGAAGTAAAAACGTTCAAATGGCTTGAGCTTGTCCTTGAGCAGAGTGATATAGTGTTTGTGTATAGCGTTTCACAAACACTGTATCGCTCCGCTTCTCAACCAGTCATTTTGTATAACATGACATAAAGCGTGGCATCTGTCTAGACAGTTAGTGGTAATGGTAACATGACTATATCACTGAACAAAATCTGATATACCTATGTGACAACATATGACATATTGACTTGCTATGGTCATATCAGTGTTATGTAGCAGGTCAAGTAAATTGTTACTGTTTTGTGGCTTTGAATGGTTTTTCCAGCATCCATGTCCTCCATATTTTCTGATTTAGGTTGTTTTTTTTCTAGGGCTTGCTGTCCTGTGGTGCGTGGGCATGCTTTGACGAGTTCAACCGTATCGACCTGGAAGTGCTGTCAGTGGTGGCGCAGCAAATTCTCACTATTCAGAGAGGTGTGTGGGTGTGCATATGTGTGTGCTTGAAGAGGGGCTATCTATATCTAAACCAGTACTCAATAAAACCACTCCGGAAAAAGCTGTACCCGACAAAGTAGACCAGCAGTGAAAGCGCTTCCCTAGATCCATTGCTCTAATCTGTGTTTAGAGTACTGACCCAGGTCTTTCTGTTTGTTTTCTCATGTTTCTGGCTACATGCTTACACATTCTGACAATTATTAGGAAATATTATTTTAACAAACATTATTACTGCATCGTTTCATTGAACTGTATTTTTTCTTTCACACTGGAGATGAGTACCATCTTTGAATATAGTTTACAGACATGCTCTGTGATGGTCTAACCCAGGGGTATTCCAGCCTTGGACAGCAAGTGCACAGGACAGTTTAGATGCCTGCTCAAACACACCTACTAAACCTGGCAGTTAACAGATGAGTTGAACAAGAACAAGAACAAGATTTTTTTAAAATTCAGTTTGTTTGGACAGCTGTGATTGCTCCTCCCATAATCCGACCACCAAACAACTGAAGCACCAAAAATCCGCTCAGTGGTCACACCAAAACGGGGTAACACAAAATTACGGGATAACACAGAGCGTGCTTCCATCTTCTTCTACCTGCATGCTGGCGGCACGTAGGTAGGTGCTTGCATTGTTCTTGCAGCACAGAGAGCCTAAGGATTTCTGTAAAATAACAAAAGCTGTGTAATTTTTTGTTTAGTTTATTTAATAGAATTTCCACGCTTGTTGTAAACTCTGCAAGTACTGTGGTAATTCTCTTATTTCATTATGAAGTTTTAATTGGAAAATGGGTTAAATTCCTGACAGGCCCAGTGGAAAATCCAATCAGAATTGTTTTCTTTGTGGTATCTAGGTAGACACAGCCAAGTGAGCTGTCCCATTGCTTAGGACTTTAGAAGCTGGACTGAAGGCCTTCCCTCATTAGTTTAACTACCAACATAATTAGGAAATGACAGAGGAATCAACCAATCAGGCTTTGATTTATAATAGGTGGTGACAAAAAAGGTCACTGACTGTGAATATGAGTCATAAGCAGGTTTCGGTTAGTAAGGAATGGAAAACAGCGACGGCAGCTCTATGCTAAGATTCTTTACTGAAAGAGTTACTGTAAAACTGATATATACAAGCTCAGATAAGCAATAATGTCTGTGTCAAGCTCCAAATAAGACGCGATAGGTCTTTTACATGTCACGGTTTAATTTAGAACTAAATTTAGAACATTTAAAAAATGTTCATGTGAATTACCATTTGCTCAGTGCTAATATAATACTAGAATCCCATATGTGTGCTAAATTAGCATTATCATAGAGTGTTGACAAGCTAGCTCTAATAATCACAGTTTGCCACTGTAGATTATCCCAGAAAAATGTTTTTTTTCTAGTTAGCAACATGTCATGTTAATTGGCTACATGTTTGTTTTATTCATTTGGCCACATTAACATTGTTTGGTTAACTTGTGTGGAATTTGTAAGAACAGGCTCTCTGAAGACCAGACTGAGATCCAGTAAGTTATATAAGTGGTCTGACTTTATGTCCAGGTATTGCAGCCCATGCAGAGATGCTGTTGTTTGAAGGCACCAAGCTGAAACTCGACCCATCCTGCGCCGTGTTCATCACCATGAACCCGGGCTACGCTGGCCGTTCTGAACTGCCGGACAACCTGAAGGTATTGACCACACGGTCCAGTTTCCCTTCATTCTCATAATCCCTTTATATTAGATGTTCTGATTGTCTGGAAAACTCCATCATAAACTAATTGAAGCATAGAACTATTTGACACTCAAACTGCTGGAGTTAATCCAATTTTAATGCTGATAATTGCTGCGGACATGGGTTTTACCATGAAAATTGAGTTACTAATGGCCAAGTATCAACTAAAACGCTCCTTCAAGTCACCGTGAAAACAAGGGTGCTGATAGCTTTTGCCAATTTCAGCTTATTTTTCAACACTGATTGCGCTTCGCGGCACTAATACCATGTCAGATTCTGATACTGTGTTAGCATTTACTGTAGGCCTAAACAGTTTTTGTATGGAGAGAAAAGATTAAAACAGACCAAACTTGAGGAGAATAATTTTTTCCATTATAAGAGTGTTAATCCAGAATGAAAATATATATTCTTGTCAGCAACATGGTCCTCAAATCTTTTCTGCAGGCCCTGTTCCGGACCGTGGCTATGATGGTGCCAGACTATGCCCTGATCGCCGAGATTGTGCTGTACTCCTGCGGCTTCGTTACAGCCCGTCCACTTTCCGTGAAGATTGTGGCCACATACAGGCTTTGCTCTGAACAGCTGTCCTCCCAGAGCCACTATGATTACGGCATGAGAGCCGTCAAATCTGTGCTGACCGCTGCAGGCAACCTGAAGGTAACTCTATCACAACATGTCATGGTTGAATCTTCCCAAACTCGAGACCATTATAAAGCGTGCGCCATTTGCAAGCTTGATGTAGCCTTACACTGACTGTTATTTAGGGGTTAACAATACGGCAAAAACATTATGATACATGATACAGTTTTTGTCTGAGTTTTCAAAAACTATGAATACAATGATTTTTATTCAACATTGCACACAGAATCAGAATCAGAATCTTTGCCAAGTACCAGATGTACAAGAAATTTCTTTTGGTGCAGATGTCAACATAAAATTACATCCAATTAAATAAATACAGGAAAAGATAAACTATATATAAACATAAAATAGACACAAACAATCTGCAAGTAATATAAAGGATGTACAATGGGAGATATGTACAGATACAATCAGGTACTGAAGTACGGAGGTACATATATACAGTATGTACACCTAACAGAATTGAGCAGCAAATATAAATATACATGTACATGTAAACACGTTAGTGCCAAGTGTGTGTGAGGAATAAGATGATTTGTACTCACAAGAGTACTTACATAAATGTCTTCAATCACTCAGAATCATAAGAGAAAAAAGTACTTGTTCTCTAGCTGCAAGCATATGTCTAATAGCAGTAGCATTATAGCTTCAGCACGTGCTAACCTTAAGTTGGCAACTCTTCAAAGGGGATCAACACCTCAAAATAATATTCTAGTGTATGTTACATTTTTATGCACTTACTGGTCATTTACTAGTGCTTGATAACTTTATCCTTACCTCGAACAGTAAACAATAACTAATTAAGGCTGCATAAACAGTGAGATTGAGGAAAAATTACACATGAAATCAGACAAAGAGAAGTATTCACCACTGTGTCATATCATCTGTTATTAGGTCATTGTTATTGTAAAAGTCGTGAGGAATGACAGTGCTTTCTTATTATTTGACATTATTTGTTAGCTATAGATTGGTAGCATTGAGAGGGTATGAGGATGACATATTTAGCATGGATAGTGCCACTTGCTGCTTGTCTTGGGTGGTGCATGCACATTTCAACAGTTGGTATCAGTCAGTCGGTGACTAAGTAGAAGAAGCAAAAATGCTTGCTAGTTAGCCCAATATCTCTACTTTCACAGAAAAAAATGCAACTCTTTAACTCAAACAACATGCTGGCAGATTTGACAGTCTCATAATGTGAAGTAGAAAACTGAAGAAGAATAGATACTGAAATAAACATTTCTTTTAAATTGCAGATTATTTGTTGTCTGTCTGCATTAAAGTGTAACTGGTGACTGTCCCTTAGTGCAGTCAGGCTTTTTTCTCACTTTCATTCTTTCTACATTTTATTTTTAAATCCTCAGGCATCATATTTTCATCCAAGCTTTGTGTTTATTCATTACAAACGTAAGCTCCCGCTGCTGCTGTCTTCCGCTATCCTTTCCCAAAGATGTCCAACTGCTGTTGGCTCGGTGCCCCTTATTAGAATAATGTTAGAGAGGGCCAGAGGAGAGGAGCTCCATCCCAAATCCTGGCTGCTTCCCTCCGTTCTTTCTCACTCTGGGTTAAAGCCAAGCAAGTCCAGAGTAGAAGCAGAATTTGCTTTCAATTCGTCTCGGACGAGAGGAGCGAAAAAGCAGCAGAGACGGATTTAGCAGCTCCTCGCACAACTCGGACACATTGAGGTAGAGCACTCGACTAGAACCTGTCCAGCTGAGTAAAGGTCTCCCCTTTACCTATGACTGAGCTGCAGGGTGCTTCCTTCTACCACACACCTGCTACTATACTGCTACTTTATCCATTAGGGGTGTAAATCTCCGACCTGGCTCAGTTTCTTCTTTAGGAATTCTTTAGGAAACATTTCCATGCATTTCCATGTGAATTTCACTGTGATTTAAATTCAGTTCTTTTTGAAAATAAACTGAATACATAAATGTGACTGGAGGAGCTGTTTACACAGAATATTGACAGTAAAACCAATACTCGGGGGGGGAAATTTATTTATTGATTGTATCCATGATACATCATCGTAGCAACTTAAACTATAAAGTTACGGAACATAAACAGCTCTTGACCAGTCATGGATGAGATTTTCTCTTTGTCTTAGATCATCCTGCTGAAATTGCTTGACTTTAAAAAAGTATTCAAAAAGTAATGTAAATTAATCAGATTGCATTGCTTTATTGTAATTATCCTTCAGATTAAGTCACAAATAAAATGTTTTACCAGGTAATCAGTAATCTGTACCAGGATACATTTAAAGTAACCCTCCCAACCTTGAGCACCGCCAGTGCGGACTGAAACACTGATTAAAATGAAAGCGTCTGTTCTGGACAACTGAAAACACTTCTGATATCATTGTTTTTAAGGGTGATTTTGAGAACAAGTATCATACCACAGTAGGGCTGTCCATACAGCATTTTACCAAACCTGAAGCTTGCTGTTTGGCCCAGCCCTGCTGTGATATGACTTCTTGTTCCTGACAAGTACCTACTTGGCTCCTCTCCATGTTACTGTAAGAGTCAGCATGAAGAGCTTTCACATGCATGTGCATAATCACAGCCTGAGTATCTAAACCTGGGTTAACAGAGGAAGTTGATAATCACTTTTGTAAAATGAGTTAACTATAGATCTTCTGTCTTATGATTGTTGAAAACATCTTAAATCTAGTGAATACATCTATATATTTCTCCCTGTGAGGTTGCTTTAAAATATTATAAGCATGTTTTGCTCATTTCTAGATATCTTTTACTTGTTTTATGTAATTTTATCTAGTGAAAGTGTCTTATTCCATTGGCAATATGTTAATTACATTAAATATTTGAAATAAGCAAAATTATCTGCATTATTTTACAGAACAAGTAAAATGATCTGCCAATGGAATAAGACAAAAAGTCTGGAAATAAGTTAAAATAAATAAGATTTCTTTACTCCACTCCTCCTCATATTTAATGTGATTGGCTGTTTGTCGTCAAGCTGAAGTATCTAAACCTGGATATTATTAGAATTAATTTTAACATTCCAAAAGCTAAATCGCCACCTTCAGACTGATGCATTTTTACACCCCTATCTTCTGGCCCATACATATCATCAGTTGGCCCTTATCATGGACTAAAAGTCAAAAAGATTGGCCTACTTATAAAATCAAAAACTGGAGTGAGGTGGTTTTAGGAGATAGAGTTAGAAATTGACCTTGAAAGCGCCTCTCTTTCCCTCCACTGTTTTCCCATTTAGATGGCATTGTGTCCTTTATGCCATTTCCCGAAAATAAATGCATCAGTGGCAATTTTTGCACCATCACGCTCGGGACTGCACCCTTTTGCCTGTCGCGAAAATTACTTTTGGAGGGAAAATATGTGCTCTTAGCCTCCTGGGCTCCACTTGCAAATGACAGTGATGGCAAAGAATGAGCAAAATATGTGTCAGCACAGAAGGAGTGTTTGAATTAGCCTTCCCCCAAAAGAGATCAAAGAGTTGTATGGCAGGCAAGTCTTTCCCTCAGAAGCTAACCTCTCAGTGCAGAAATATGTCTCTCTCTCTTTCTTTTCTCTCTCTCTCTCTCTCTCTCTCTCTCTCTCTATTTCTCTTTCACTGCCTCTTTCTCTGTTTGTTATGTCATAGCTGAAGTTTCCAGAAGAAAATGAGGACATTCTATTGCTGAGGTCTATCATCGACGTTAACCTTCCTAAATTTTTGGCCCATGATCTGCCATTGTTTGAGGTAAAAAAGCAAAAAAAAATGTCCTTTGTCTTTTCTCTTTTCTAGATGTATAGTGCTTGACTCATGTGTCAAACCATTGTGTATTTGCAAAACAATTTCATTGTACATGTTAAAGGGCCAGTATCATGGAAAATTGAATCTCCCTTGCATTTTTGCAATAAAAAAGATTGAAGATACATATAAACATTGTTAGTCTCAAAACATACCAATCACTACCCAGACCATACAGCCCATATATGGAAACTATGCTGCAAAAACAGCCCATTTTGAATTTGTTGTTTCTATGATGTCGTGAGAAACATCTTTTTTTAAAACATATATCCACTTACATACCCTACAGCAATATTAGCCCTGCCATTCATTTTTTAAGTTATGTGTTTCATGTCTGCCTCCTTTTTGAATAGCCAATCAGAGCTCATTTACATATATTAGTCTTAACCCTTGTGTGGTGTTCATGTTTTTGTTACTCAGTGGTCTGGTAGTCTAAAAATAATGGATGTTTATAATATCACAAGTGTTCAGCGTAGGGTTTTCTTTTAGCAGCTGTAGCCAGTCAGCAGCCTGTCCATGTTGTCCACCCTCACACACACACACACACACACACACACACACACTAACAGCAGGTCATGTAGGAGGTTAACAGAGTGAAGGGACACAGCACCTCCACACCTTTATTCCCTGTGGGTTCACCCAAACGCCACATATGTAATATAAATGTGTAGGGGGTGAACAGTGTGAAGTCACTGAAACTGTAATATTTTATATGTTCTTCACAGAAAATGAGCACAGGCCAAGGAATCTGAGGTTGAAAAAATAATAAATCGCATATTTCTTTCTCTTGGTAAACATTGAAAATGGGTCCCACAGACCCCAACACCACACAAGGGATAAAGGCACAGATACAGCCTGTAGGGGATAAAAAGAGGTTGCAAAATGACCATTTAAAATGTATTTATGACCAACTGTGGTACATAAACCACACAAATGTTACAGTTTTACCTCAAGGGAAAATCTAAAGTACAAGATCAGTGTAGGATATGGGCTCTTTAACATTGCCACAATGGAAACCTCTACTGGTCTAGGAGTAAATTCCATTTACTAACAACTCATTTTTCATGCTTTTGTTAAACTATTCTACCATTTCTAAAATTATGAAACGGTCTTAGATGCATTGAAAAATATGATTAGGTAAATGTGGTGAACATCATCTTTGCTGCTTGTTCCACTTTCTTCCACTCCATCTCGTCCAGGGTATCACCTCAGATCTTTTCCCTGGCGTCAAGCTCCCCAAACCTGACTACCGTGTCCTGCTGGAGGCCATCAAGGAGAACAGCGACAAGATGAACCTGCAGGTGACTGACTTCTTCGCCGACAAGATCCTGCAGATCTTTGAGATGATGATTGTGCGCCATGGATTCATGCTGGTGGGAGAGCCCTTCGGAGGAAAGACCAGCGCCTATCGAGTGCTGGCCACTGCATTACACGATATCTGTGAGAAGGTAATGTCCTGTTCTGGGCAGAAAGTTAATCAGTGCTTTACTCCACAATGTCTGGAAACTGGATGAAGGTGCTGTTATTTCAAAAATTACCTTGCAGGACAAAAGAGCAATGCAAAGCTGAAGGGGTCACAATATTCCAAGTGAGAGGGCAGTGCCCTTCTGTGCCTCTGATGGTGCTGGACCTGGTAATAATAGATACAAAATTATAGGCATCATTTGATAGTAAATATATAGGCTGACTTGTCCAATTCATATAAACTTAAAGGTACAGTGTGTAAAATTTAGTGGCATCTAGTGGTGAGGCTGCAGAATGCAACCAACTGAATCCCTTTCCGAGCGTGTAGTAGAACCTACAGTGGCTGTCAGGTTTTCTGCCATTGCCTGTCCTAATTTCCTTTTGCTACTTCATGTTTTAATTTGTCTGACGATAAGGATTCAGCTGCCCTCACTTTTTTGTGATAAATAATAAGTATAATCCTCCATTTGTCAAAATATGAGCTCTTAAACTCACAACACAAAATAGTTAGCCAGCACCGGCAGCAACCACAGATTCTTTTTTTTTCGTTTCTACGTTTTCCAACCGGTGCTATAGTGCCATCAAATTCAATCTGCTACTTCAATGTAAAATAGTGAAAGGCACCATCTAGAGCCAGTGTTTTTGGTTTGTTCACTCTGGGCTACTGTAGAAACATGGCGGTGCAACATAGTGCACTCAGTTGGAAGAAGACCAGGTCCATATGTAAGTATGAAGGGCTCATTCTAAACTATCAAAAACACAATGATTTGTAGTTACAGGTGATCAAACACTAATGAAAACATGGTTTTATATGCTATGTTCCATTTTCGCTAATAGATCCACTTAAATCTTATACACTGCACCTAATTTTTAGTTTTCTCCAACCCATGGTTGCTTCACACTGTAAAAAAATGAAAGAAGCAACAAGCTAAAGTAGAACTAAAAAATGAAACTTACTTGGTTGCCTTAAAATTTTAATAAGTTAAACAAATTAACTACAAATGATAAGTTAACAGATTGTAAAACACAAATGATTGTCTGTAAACTTACTCTTAGAGAGGTTATTTACTTTTTAAAGTTAAAATATTAAATAATTTTTACAGTATACAAAGAAACCATAAAAAAGTGAAAAGAAAAACAGTGTTATTTTGTACACTAATATAAATTATCCAGTATATTTGAAAAAAAGGTCAAGTACTAACCCAACTGTCAGCTTTCATCAAGCTATCCTACTGTACACACAGCTCAAGTACAGCTCACGGTGATGAGTGTAAAAAGCAGAGAATAACACAGAAATGCAAAATCCAAAGTAGAATCAGCATCTTTCATGTAAATTATGCAAATTATGACATCATGATCAATAGTTCAGAAAAAGACAGTCTGCAGAATTTTTCTTCTTTTAGCAAATATGAATAAATGTATATTTGACTTCTTCTTTTTCAGAAGCTCATTTAAATGCCTTGTAAGTAGCGGTTCATTGTACATCTAAATACCAAAATATTAATCCAAGGTCAGATGTTCAACTCCTCCATCCTACTAAAGTCCTACTATTATAGTATGCTTATAAAGTCCTGAAAATTGTGTATATTTTATTTTCTCATTATTCAACACATGATTGAGGAGCAGAAGAAATTTCTACTGCTCCTCAATCATGTGTTGAATAATGAGAATATAAAATATGAGAGCTATGTACTCCAATGTAAAAGCCCACAAACTTCTAACCAGGAAAACACTTTCTATGTCCAGAACTTCACTCTCCCTGCATTTCCCTCTGGTTTCTAACGACTTCCTAAAAAGCAGGAGGGTATATAGACAGTGAGGAAAACTAGGGACAGGTGCACATCATTATTACCTAATTACCATCTCATTCCATCACAAGCAAGACTTGGTCCTGTCCCCATTAGCTGTCGCCCAACACTAATGCCTTGCAGTGTTTTATTTTTTCTGTTCAGTCTCTGTTGGTTTATGTTGTCAGAAATCTTCTTAAAAACTATTTTTAAACTGTGTTAGGCTTTTTGAATTGTAATGATTTTGAACGTAAACTCTTAATTAAGGCTTTATCTGTATAAATATCTGTATATAAAGACCGTCACTACAGTTTTAACCATTGCTCCATTGTTACTTCCCAGGTCTGATTTTTTTTAAGATTATAGTAGCAACAGTTTGGACACAACTGAATGCAGGGCCTACATTTTTCTTAATCTGTGTTAATTTTACATTACATTCTACATTCTGATCTGAAAGTTTATACAAAAAAGCTTGAAATTTGTTTGTAGGACAAATATAAATAGTGAAGTTGATTCTTATGTAAAGATTTATTCCCAAAACAAACATTTTAATATACAGTTGTATGTAACATTTTAGGCACCCCAGGCGAACTGTTTTTGTAGTAACTGTTTTTTCTGCATATGCTAGTGCACAGTTACATTTGATTGACTTAAAAAAAATTAGAAAAAAACAAATAGTAATTCTAATATGTGAACACTACTAAGTTGATATTTAGTGACCACCCCTTTGGCAGATACCACAGCTTGCAAAAGATTTTTGTCACCAGCATTTCTTGAAGTAGGGGTGGACTTTGAGGTGTTTCGGATTATTGGTGTTTCCTGTGCTACCTGCTGCCACTCAACCAAGCAAAACAGATCCACCCCCAGCTTAACAGTTGGCACTTGTTCTTTTCATCAAATGCTGTTCCTTTTTTTGAAAAAAAAAAAACCTTATAATACCTAGTTCCATTGTTACTTCATCAGTCCACAGCATGCAAAATGCCTTTGGTTTAGCTAGATGTTGTATGCATAATGTTTGTGCAAGAAATACTGCACAGTAGAATGGTGTACTATCACTTCTGTGTCAGCTAAACCCTCCTGCAGGTCCTTTGCTGTCATATGGGGGTTTTGTTTCGTGATCTTGACCTGACTTCCACAGTTCCCCTTAACTGCCATTTCAATTCCTAATAACAATTCTTTACCTGCCTAACCAGTCCGAACAAGTCAGTTATAGGCTAACCAGTTAATCTGTTCTGAGCTTTTACAAATGGAAGATTCAAACTTTTTAACATATGCCACAATCACAGTTTATTTATGTATAGTTTTTTTTTTAAGTTAACCCCTTAAAATCACAGGTTTAGTACATACAAAGCCTTATTATCCAGTAAATACAGGGACTTCAATGCAAACTGGTTGAGCTATTCTTGCATTATAGAAGTGTGTTATAAAACTTTCGGCCAAAATAAGCTTTGTAAACTGTAAAGAAGTTTGTTTTTTTTTCTAAATACACCCCCCACCACCAGTCTGTTTTCAGCAGTCAACATAGTTTCACGTGTTATTTCATAGTTTTGATGTCTTCACTATAATTCAATAATGTTGAAAATAGTACAAATAAGGTTCACCTGTCTATGAGTAGAAACTTTTGACTGGTTTATTTTGGTAGTAATTTAGTATATTCTGTTATCAGTGGTGGGAAGTCTTTGCAGTTTGCTCACACAGTCTTCCAAACCTTAGAAATCTGATATAGTGTGTCTAGTTGAAGAGTGGCCTCTATTTCCAAGGTTGGCTCAGCTAAATAACAGTAAACATCAGGACTGTCTAGTTGCCTTAATAAAAAATACAATAAATTAAGAATTATTGAATGCATATATCACTAGGATTTATAAAATACTTATTCCACTCCTTATATTTTGGTTAAACACAGTGTTGCAATAGATGTTGCGTGGCAGTTATTCTACAGTAAATAAAATTAAGACACTGCATGCTGTGTAATAATAGTGATGTTAAATTAGCTACTGCTAGTTAATCAGCACAGTCTACAGCTCAGGGCAAAATCTCTTAAATACACACATCCAACTGATGTGCAGACTAGACGCAGGGAGAACGCATAGCTGTGCCTTGCGCAATTGAATTTTCAAAGAAATCTGCGGGCATACCTCCAAAGTTCAGTCTTAGAAATTGGTTCAGCGTTTTTTTTTGTTTTTTTTTTGCTTCTGGAACGCATTCATTGTTGTTAAGGTCTGGACCATGGGGTGGTCAGTCCATTGTTCTGAGATCACCAGCAGCTTCTTAGTTTGATGTGCCTATTTCCATTTCTTAGTGAGGGATTGTTGACAGCTACGCATCCTTTCAGACCCATAGCAGTAAGTCATCTTCTCATAGTGGAAGGATGGACAGAAACACCTGTGGATTTTTTCAGATCTGAAGCAAGAGTGGAGCTTGATTTTCTCCTCTCTCTTGAAGATGAAAGCTTAAGGGCTTTTTTTACCTGTTTTCCTTTGACTTTCTCCTTTTTTATCCCCAGAATTATCTCCTGAAAAATTTACAACCTGTATTTACTGGCCATTTTGACTGGAAATTAAATAAAGGATAAAGAAGGGTCTCTGTAGGTACTGTGTGAGGGATGTTTTCTTGGTTCAAACTTGCACCTTATTTCCACTTGAATTAAATATCAAGCCAGTTTTGTTTTATAGGTTACTTACTTTTGCCAAAACTTGTGCTGATACAATATATTTTATTCATGTGAAAATTATGTACATATTTAATTAAGCCAGTTCAGTGCATTTCTCAGTGCAGTTTCAGGGGTTTAAAGATTCCTAAGTCCACTTTCATGTAGGTCTACTGTCCATATGACTTGGTCATAAAAAAAGAGATGGAAGAAAGTAAGTTACCATGTAAAGACAAAGCAAAATCAACATCATTTGAATGCCACTCTTGCAATAACATTGTCTTTTTTCGTACAGGGCCTGATGGATGAAAACAGGGTGCAAATCACTGTTATTAACCCAAAGTCCATCACCATGGGTCAGCTGTATGGTCAGTTTGACCCTGTTTCCCACGAATGGTCAGATGGCATCCTTGCTGTCAGCTACAGAGCATTTGCCACATCTCAGGTGTGTACATTTTTGCACTGCATGCAGTCTAAGGATTTTTTCTGTACCTTTAATAGCTTAGATGTGTTTCCATCTTGTCTGCCTGCTTATCTAACCATCGTTCTGTTGCTAGCCGTAAATCACTCCTGTCTCAAAGTCACAGCACAGTAACAGTCATTATTAAGTACCATTACATTTATTAGAAACTTTTACCTTGGACTTAACTCAAAGTTTGAGCTAATGTTGGCCCAAGAGATATTATACTATATAACTTAGTCAGTTCTTATTTTCCTTTAGAAATTGTATTTTTGAAGTATTTTTATAACAAAATGCAGTGTAATGCTATGAAGTTTAAACCTGAATTCTTTATTTCTATATTGTCTTTTTGGTCCACCACAAACATTGCACTTCGTCCCCCTAAGAAAAAGTTTATGCACCCCTTGCTTTAGCACATACATGTTGCCATGCATAGTTTGTTGGTCACCCTCTTCTCCATTCGTCATCACTCATCACAGTGTCTGACCACACAACCACTATTATCCAGATATTATTTAAGAATGGCCCAGTCATCAGGCATAGCAGCATAGCCAAGAGCAACTCTGTTGTCAGAAAGTGACCACTGATGGAGATCTAAAGGATGGCCAACACAAACTGTGCATCAACAGATGGGCTGCAGTCTCTAACTGGACACCAGCAAGGTGGTACTACAAGGCAGGGTTTAGTTAAGCTCAAATAAAAACTGCCAACATAAAACTCTGCTGAAATATGTTCTTTACATGTCATTTATGTTTGCGTACTCTACACGGATAAAATCAAAGATGAATCAAATCAAAAGCTCCAGCATCTAAAGTGGCGCAGCCTTCTTCACACGCAGGCCATGGCTCGGGTCCCTCTGTCACCATGACAACCAGCCATGTGAATCGATGTCATCTTTTAGGGTCAGAGAGACTTAGCTTTCAAAGTGGAGTCGTAGCCAAACTCCCACGGGACTGCAGTTTGAAGTGTGCTCCACTCTTCCTGGCTTGTTAGCAGAACGAATGCCCATGCTTGAGCAACTGTTGGCAGGAGACAGAGTTTCCTGATATGATACAGCCCTCCAAACAGCAGTAAAGAAGAGAACAGGCTTACATATAATAGCTGTAATTGGAAAAAAAATGAGACAATAGAAAGGATGACGGGTGTCGCGGGCGGGGGGTTGTGTTTTATGTTTGTTTGTCAAGCATTTGCGCTTTGATTTGTCAGCGCCTAGCTCCAGGCGACCAGAGCAGCTTCCCAAATAGTCACCATTTTGTCAAGATGTTTTGGCTGCGCTTCAGCTTCTTGGTTTTTCAAAGGAAATCAAAATCCAGGCTTAAAAAGAAGTGGTGCTGCAATGCTACCTTGCGTACATGGTTAGGTAGATACAGTCATATGCAAAAGTTTGAACACCTATGGTCAAACTAAATGTTTTGTTAATTTTCTGAGTGAAAATAAGTCAACAGTAGACTTGAATATGGCATTTTTGGCACATTTTAGTGCAAAATTTCTGTGTTTGAGTTTGACATATTGGAAAAAATAAAAAATGAAAATATAAAATAAACATAAAATATGTACCATAACTTTTCCACAGGCCACATTCCATATTTTATTTTTACAATGTGTTCTATTGAGCAAATGAACAGTAATTGTGCATTAAAATGTGCAAAACTGCATTCTCTGTAGAGAGAATGTGTTCATTTATTTTCACTTAGAAAATCAACAACATGGAATTTGACCAGGGGTCCACAAATTTATGCATACGACAGTATAATTCAGTTCTGCAGTAGTTCACTTAGTTAATAGTACTTTACTTATGTTCGGTAGAGACTTGTGCACTTGTGTCTGATGTATCCTAAATGGCTCTTCATTAGATATGATATGCACTGTCTGTGTGCAGGAGCCAGTATTTTTAGACCTATGTAGTGCACTATGCAGGGAAAGCAATTTGAGGTTCAGCCCCAGTATGGGAAAAGGAATGCACGGCACTGTAAATCCCTTAGAGGCACTAGTGGAGATTGTAATTGTTATCGTTATTGGCATGATTAATTTATTGAGCAAAAACTACCTATAAGGCAAAGCTTTATGCTTTAAACACTGCTGTATTATATGTTCATCATATGACAAAAACTGTAAAAAGTGACTGCAGAAATCTGTTACAGTTAAATGATTTAGGCTAATATTAGCCTGAATAATTAGTGTTATAGATCCTACAACACATCACACAACACTGTGGATGTTTTGTAACAAGTGCTATTTCTAACATTATTAAGATACTTACAAAATTTGTAAAATTCTCTTAATGAACTTCCTGTCTATTCAGACTCCAGACAGGAAGTGGCTGATCTTTGATGGCCCAGTGGACGCTGTGTGGATTGAGAACATGAACACAGTGCTGGACGACAATAAGAAGCTGTGCCTGATGAGTGGAGAGATCATCCAGATGTCCCCGCAGATGAGCCTCATCTTCGAGCCCATGGACCTAGAGGTGGCTTCACCTGCCACGGTGAGGGATTTTGGGAATTGTAGTCCTGTATTTAGATGTTACAGTTCTATCACAAAGCTTCAAGGAGGAATTTCCTTAACTAACTCTGTACTGTGTGAATCCTGGTTTTTAGCCCAAACAGTTCTTTCATTATTTTTCCAGAATGCTTTGGGCACCTAAATAATTATTTTGAAAACAACAAAATTGGCATTTCAACCCCTCCACTCCATTTTTGTTGCCTTGGGGCAACATCATGCAACTGCGATACAAGAACACATAACGTTTATTAAAATACTGTTAGTAAGCGCATAATCACAAAGGCTTTATTCCATAAAAAAACATGAAAGAAGAAAGATCAGATCTTGGGAAAGATCAGTTAAAGTCAGATCTCATCAGTAATCAGAGAGAGAATTAAAAACAGACAAATTCCAATGGTAAGGCTTCAAAATAAACAGTGCTGTATTAGCAGCAGGAACATGATTGGAAATCCTTATTCTTCTACAGCCCAACACAGGCAATTTTCTTGCTTGAACACGTCTATTTCAACTTATCAGTTAACTATTAGGTTTATTTGCTGGACTAAGGCTGCCCAGTACTGCATCTAGATACCCTTTGCATACAGGTGGTGTTCCAGTAGTGCTAAGCAGATGTGGGACACAAAAAAGGAGATGCCAAGATGGGTGTGGTGTCAAAACCTTCATTTCCGTACTCATGTTCTGTGAACACTGGTTACAGAGTTAATGAAAATAAACTTGTGGACATCAGTACACATACAGATACTCTTCAGCCAAAGTATATCCTTGTTCATCAAAAAGGATCATAACTGGGTAGTGTTGCCCCAGGGTAACAATGTGAAATTTACATTTTACTGCAAGCTTAAAAGCAATATCTTACTAAAAACTTGACACATGCACCTTATTGAATAGTTCTTTAATTTCTGATCTACCAAACCCATATCAAATCAAGTCAGAGTTCATTTATATGGTGCTTTTTACAACAGGTATTGTCACAAAGCAACTTCACAGAAAAATCCAGGTCCAAGCCTCCATTAGAAAGCCAATGGCAACAGTGGCAAGGAAAAGCTCCGTGAGAGCAAGAGGAAGAAACATTGAGAGGAACCAAGACTCAAAATAGGAACCCATCCTCCTCTGGTCGACACCGGATAGCAAAAAATAACATAAATAACATTAATAAGCAAAAATATTAAAATAGAGAAAAGAGAAAAAACAGCCTGTCATTGGACAGAAGTATTTAGATTAAACAATGATAACTGATGAATACTGTTAGAGGCCTATCAGAGTAACAATGAGAAACAGATCTGTGAAAATCAGCCACTGTTACTAGTGTTACTAGTAACTAGTAACTAGTGTTACTATCATCAGAATGGTCAGTGGCATTCAGGTGGGGCTTTCTGCGCACTCTTGGACAGCAGAAAGCTTTATGCTGGTGACCTGGTCCATAAAGTGATGAGTAGGGGTACCCGGTCAAGGCAGATAAAGGAACAGCATCAGACCGCACAGGATGAGTAGTTTTTCAGCTCAGCAAAGAAGCTGAAAAACTATTTAAAAATACGAAAGGAATATCAAAGGGTGGGACTGTTAGACCATGTACCTGAGGCCAATGGTATGTGGTGGCTAGGTTAGCATGCAGGATTGAAGCTGGAGAATTGAGCTCCTACTTTGAAACTTAGGGCAGAAGAAGAGAATGAAATGACAGAAAAATACAAAAAACAGAGAAATTACAGAGAGAAATGTAACAAAACACAATGCTGGTACTTTTACAATGTGCTCTTTTAATCATTAATGTAGGTAAGAGTAAAGCCTTTTGTTGTGAAAGCTTTTGGAGTAATGTTCAGTCATGTTAACAGCTTCAAACTGCTGTAATATTTTCATTTGTATATAATACTAGCCAACTTGCTAATTCTATTTAGGCACTGTTTTTCCTACTAGCTCATGATTGTAGCTAGCTAGTTAAGTTATTGCCATGTTATTAGTGATTTAGCTACAGTGCTAGCTTAGCTGTGGGAGAAACAGTAGCTAGCTAGCTAGGTAATTGGCAAATGCAAAGGGTGGGAGGTAGCTTTACCAACTACCTCCCTAGCTGTTATTTCTACCATAGTATTAGTAACTTAGCTAATGTTAGTACTAGCCTAGCTAACATTATGGGTGCTTGGACAGCATTTTTACGGTTGTTTGGGAAGTCAGTCAAAAGGTCATTAGCGTCACTCTTTCACACTGGAAAACACGTCAAAGATGTTCCATTAGACACATGAACAGCAAGTCTTTTTTACCTGCTGTGAATCAGGATGTGGGCCTGAAAGCTTGTTTTGGCTTTTTGTCACCGCTAGCTAATCTGTTGAAAGTGAACATGATGAAACATCATGAAAATTAATCATTATGTTGCATAATATGATTTGCCCATCATTGATCTCTAAAAACAACGCGCCAGTTGGATTTCCTGTGACTTTGATGTTTGGGTGAAAAGGGGCTACAAACGAGATTATCTCGGTATGCGAGAGGAGGTTTGCCGATCCTCTTTCTTCAGTGGCCCACGCATTCTCTCCCTCCCACACACTACATCTACAATGGGATAATGACATGTTTCTACCACTGTAGTGTTCTGGAAATGTGTTTTATTTACTTAAAATTTTGTAAGTGAATATTTTTACCAGACATTGTGTCTGATGAGATTTTAATTTGCCGGAATTGGAGATTTTTTTTTTACCAGTCAAAGCGAATATTTACTATTTACAGGATAACGGATACCCTCACCCTCACACTGACATGTGTGTGCCTTATGTGTTATCCAAGACAAACACCCCACCCCCCATCTTGGGTCTGGGAAGAAGCCTTTTAAAGCCGTGGCTCTGCATTTTATCAGACAAGTTAAAAATCCGACACAAAAGAATTGCAGATGAAGATGGAGATTAAGGAAGGGAACGATGCACGCCTTCCAGGTCAGACAGAGCATGATGAGAGCATCAGCGGTGGTCTGTGTATATGTCTATTTTGTTGAGAGTGCCACCAGATCAGATTAAAGCAGGTATTGATTAGAGGCAGTGTGTTTCTGCCTCAGGAGAGCAGAGATAGAGGGAAAGAGAGCGAGAGGGTGATCAGATCTGTGTGGAATTGTGACTGTTGTGATGCAAAAGAAAAGGATTTGGCTGCAACACAAAGATACTTTTTTTCTGCCTATCTCTTGTTATCTCTCTGGCTTTCTCTGACTATCCCCGCTCATTTTGCTCTCTCTCTCTCTCTCTCTCTCTCTCTCTCTGCAGTTCTCTGTTGCTCTTGTTCCAAGTTCTCTCCTCTCCCTCTCTTCCTCCCTCCCTCCACATTGTTACATTTTAAAGCAGGCTCGATCCGCATGGGAGGCTAAACTGGAAACTAGAGGAAAGTTGAGCGGCTAACGAACTAGCGTACTCCGCTAAGGTCGTTCCATCTCCAGATGACTCCTGCCTCCCATCTGCGCCCCCCCCATTTCTGTCCGACTATTCCAATTCACCGTCCCCAGGTGCAAAAAATCTGACTTTCATTTCAGCAGTATAACCCCTACATGCTCAGCTATTCATCACAGCACCAGCTAGTGAAGGCCTCTTCCTCATAAGCGACCCACTGCTCCAGAAACAGAACTAAATCATAGAAAATTATGAAACAAAAAGAGTTTCAAAGCCTATCTAGAAAAGGCCTGAACCTATGCCATATAATCTATATGTTCAAAGGTATCCAGACACCCCTTCTAATTGGTGAATTAATCTACTGAAGGTGACCCATACTAAGGTGACCCATTGATGACATAAGCATTGCTTAAGAATGGGATGATCTGGAGCAGCTCCACATGAGCCTAACATCACCGTGGCCACTTCCAAGCATGGGCTAGAGGGGTCTAAAGCCCCTTGGCATTGGGCTGTGGAGCAGTGGAATTGTGTTCTCTGGAGTGATGGAGCTCCATGCAATACCTTTGGGATGAGTTGGAGTGATTCAGAACTGATCATCAGTAGCACCAACATCAGTATGTGACCTCACTAATGCTCATGTGGCTGAACGCATACAAATCCTTACAGCAATGTTCGAACATCTAGTGTAAAGCCTTCCTAGAAAAGTAAAGAGCAAAGGAGTGACAAACTCTTACATAATGCATTATGAATCACATATCGCATTATTTGGACACAGGTCATGTATGAGTATGGAGTATGGAGGAAAATAAGTGACATGAAACTAGCATTATTGAAGCTCAGTATTAACCTGCCATGCTGTTGCCTGCAGGTGTCCCGCTGTGGTATGATCTACATGGAGCCTCACATGTTGGGTTGGAGGCCCCTCATGCTGTCCTGGCTGAACACGCTGCCCTCTACAGTCAGCTCCATGCACAAAGACCTCATCACCGGCCTGTTTGACCGCACACTGCCCGCCTGCCTGCAGCTAATCCGCAAAGGAACCAAGGTGATCAAAAAATTTGACACAATTTCCCTGTCACCCCTAATATAGTCAGTCAGCTAGAACATGTTTGATGTCTAATGTGGCTAACAAGTAGATATGAATATTGAAACCTTAAGTATCAGCCAGTGCCACAATATTTATTTCTCCTTTAAAACTACTATACGTTAAAATGAGTTATTAATAATTGAAGCACTTAAAATAAGCTCAAAACATAGGCTTGTGATGCTAAGTAAAAAAGTGCAGAACTAAAGTAAATCTTAGACACTGAACATGTTTTAGGTGATTGACTACATTTGGGGTAAGAGGGGAATTTAGGTATAATTGATTTGGGAATGCTTTCTTGTACAGCGTTCTAGATTTTAACCAGATAAAAGTGAGCACAGATTCAAGAGAGTCTAACAAAACAAAAAATTACTGGAAAACCCAACAGGTTCTAGCTATTAACTAGGTAAGTGTTTGGTAAAAAAACAAAAAACTGTGCCCTATTCACTATATAGTGCACTATTTTGGGGTTCCACCATTTTGTAGTGGTATCTGAAAGGAGTGGAAAGTGTCTGAAAGAATGGAAGTGTCTACACAGAGCTCTCTTCACACCAGTTAACAGAGGTAAGTAAACTCTTATGTGTGTGTTTAGAGTGGAGTGGTGACATCATGTGATAGAATGTGTTTCTGTGACAGAATCTGCTATCGCATAGTAATAAGCGAAACCATATGACATAGTGGCTGATATTGTTTACTACCATCACCAATTCTGTTTCCTATAGTAGTGTTCTATATAGTGAGCCAGTGTAGTGATTAGGGGACCTTTTTGGACACAGCATAGGTGATTATATTAGGTAAAATGTGAGCAAGATTCTAGTTATTAAGATGAAGAAGGTCATAGTAAAATGATTGGACAATTATTGATGTGGTAATTAACATCACTCGTTTCAGCAAGGAAGTAGGAGTAAATGGTAAATGGTAAAGACTCAGTAATTCATAGAATCACTGCTTTATTTTGCAGTCCAGATTTAAGTTAGTTTATAGGTAACAGAAAGGTACATACTGTATGAAAATCTTATGTCTTCACATAGAATCATGTTTTTCTCTATCTAGCGTTAAGGGACTTTTTTTTCTTACTTACTGTTTAAACAAGTGGCATTACAGTGTAATTTAGTCTGGTTACTTGTGATCAAATAATTAATTCCTTTACCTCTATGCGATTAACCCTTCAAAGCAGACCTGCAATCAAAATATGACTCCATTTCCATTTTTCATTTTTTTCAATTAAACGAAATATCAAAATTTGACAAAATATGACAGTTTGACACTATCATTGGGATTTGTAGTCTCATAGAGCTAGACATTCAACGATCTTGTAACGAGAACATCTGGGGAGAACCATGAGAAATTAGGGACTGAATGTAGACAGAACGTAGACTTATTAGGTTCTGTAATTCCTACATCAATCCAATGATTCGTAATGGCGGAGCTCAAAATAGGGGGAGGTGGCCTGCTCATCAGCGTTGTCCAACAGACACCAAGCCTGTTATTAGTCAGTCAATGTGGTGAGAAGTCCTCCTAAACCTCTAATTAAGCGTGTAGAGGTATGTGTTACTGAGCTTGTCGATTTGTAATTAAAGTAGTTTTTTGGAATCAACTTTGCACACCGAACACACGTCTGACAAAACAAAATCAAACAGCATTCTTGAATAACAATAACAAATAACAGAAACAAAAGTGTCTGAATACTTGTTGGCCCACACTACAAGTTGTCTTAAATCTAGTAAATATATCTAATATTTCTCATTTTGAGGATGCTGTAACCTTAATAGAACTTTTTTCTATACATTTTTTACTTGTTTTAAGTGATTTCAATAAAATAATCTCACTATATTAGTGTATAATTTGGTTTGTTTCAGGCTTATTTCTTACATCAAGCCAAGTTACCTGCCATTATAGTGAGATAATATATATTAACTTAAAATATATAGATAATATATTTTTATTAAGTGACTTAATAAAATCACATAAAACAAATAAAACGTTTAAAAATAAGTTAAATAATCTTATAATAAGATTACAACAGTCTCAAAAAAGGAAAATCTCAGCAAGATTTATAGGAATTTCACTTGACCATATGTCATTTTCTTGTAGTGTTCCACACTGTAGAACATCTGTTGTCAGCCACCCTCTACCCTATTGATTACTGGTCAATTTCTGACCATAGGGCCACTGTTGAGCAGATATTAGCACAGCAGTGACACTGCCATGGTAGTGTGTGTGGTGTTATCAGACACAGCAATGTTAGGGTTTTTGTTAGGGTGGCTCACCACCTGAACATATTAAGCCAGTGCAGCTCTGTGGTCAGAAACTGACCGTTAATGAAGGACTAGAGAAAGGAACACAAGCTATGCATCAGCCTGCAGTGTTTAACTGTGCACCGGCATGGTGTAACTACAAGGTAGGAGTTTCTAATAAAGTGGCCCTATGTGTTTATATGTTTATATGTGTATCACTGAGAATCGAACTTTTCTACATGTATGTTTTGAGCCTGGTTGTGTCAAAGAGTGAAGTATTCTGCTGAGCCCTTACAGCTACATATAGCACTCTTTTTCACAACGCTCTCTGACACTTCATAAGAATTTTTTTTTCTCATGAATTTGCCTCCATGAGATGAATATTTACTCACTCCAGGCTTTTTTCAGCCTCCTGAGAGTTAAGTTGGTAGTTAGCAGAACTTCTGGTGTCAAACTGCGGCTTTGGAGAAACTCACAAGGCTGCAGCTCCTCCAGGACTCAGACTGGAACATTTTTTACAGGTGTGAGACAATCTAGCGTGCCTGTTGCATACAAATAAAAGTAACAGTCCCCCACCTGCTGTAATTTGCCAAATAAAATGAAGTAACTACATTCAAAATGGCTATATATTCTGCAGCCTATCTGCTCAGCACAGACTTTGCATGTGTTTTGTCCCAGTAATCACAAAGCGTTGCAACTATGAGGCTTCTTTTGTGCAGACGTACATGTATTCCAGCCATAGCAGAATAATTATGCATTTTTCAAGTTGCATTCTCTGCATTCAGTTTTTCAGCTAATTAGGGCAGTGTACTTGGCTAAATGCAATATCTCATGAAGCAGCAGAAAAGGTTTTACTTCATTACTTTTATTCCCTTTCATACTGTACACTTTTGCATTAAAGCTTTTGGCTTGTGCAGTACTAGTTACGAAATAAGATTCTGCATATTCATTTGTACCAATTTTGGATATAATGGCCGTTATTGATTGAAGTTGAGTATGGTCAAATCTAATTGTAAAAGTTTATTAGTTTAATCTTTGGCTTATCTGTACGATCAAACTCACGTCTGGTAGGAATGTGTGTAAATTTGAGCGTATGAGTTTAACAGCCTGAAAAAAATGCCTGATTTGTGCTTAACTAACCAAAACCTTTATCAGTGTCATCTATAATACCAGTAATAAGAATATTGATAATTTGTGCACATCCGTTATAAAAGTGCATGCATGTACTTATTTTACAAGCATATTGGTATAAACAACAATTAGTATAAGCAACTATTCCATGTCCCATTGAAGAACATATTTTACACTGTGCTTTCATGTTTTATTCTTTCCAGTCATCGTAAATTAAACATTTTAGAGTGTGCCAGTAGGGAGAGCCATACAAATCAGTCTCATTTTATGAAATTGAGGAAATTTTATTTTTCTGTGATATGAGCCCTGTAATAATTGAATAATATGCATGCAGTTGAAACCCTTACAATTTCAGGGTTGTTTCATACAAAGACTTATTATTCAGTAACTACAGGGACTTCAATGAAAAATAATGTAGCTATTTTTAGGTTATAGACACTACAGCCTTCACATTTGGAAGCTTAGAATATGATGGTATACCACAACAAGCACATACGCAAGTATGTAAGTAAGTAAATAAATAAATAAATCTAACCGTTTTCTCGTTTTCTGATGAATTCCAGGAGTTGTCTCCAACGTCAGACACCAACCTGGTGAATTCTCTGATGAACCTAATGGACTGTATGATGGATGAGTTCAGGGAGGAGGGCCAGATGAAGGGCATGAACGAGAGAGACATCTGCTCTTGGCTGGAGGTAAGACAGTGCAGAGAACTTCAGATTCACATTTACAGCACAGGGTGTTGTACACACTTACGTAGTCCTCCATGATGATGAAGTTTGTCACCTACACAGATTTTAAAATTGTATTTAGCTTAAAATAAATTATTAAAAATATTTAAATAATTTATTATTAAGTTACTTACTATAATTAGCTCCAGTAAAGCTTAAAATTCTAATACTTTATTAAACATTTGTAGTCAGAAAGTGGTTTACTGACTGATATGATGTCAGATACAGTCATATGCAAACGTTTGGTGCCGCTGGTCAAATGACATTTTTGTTGACTTTCTAAGTAAAAATAACACGCCCTCTACAGGGAACACACTTAAAGAAGATATTTTTTCTGCAAATTAGTGCACAATTCACTTCATTTGCTAAGTTTAACGTATTGGAAAATAATTTTCACTTTTTAAATATTTTTTTACAATTTTTTTCCCCCAAAACAATAGATTCAGCAAATAAACAGTAATTGTGAATTTAAATTTTTTTATTAACTTAGCTTATTAAGTATTAACTTATTTTTTCTTAATAAATAACAAAAACATGGAATTCGACCAGGGGCACCCAAACGTTGGCACATGTGTATGTCCCGTTTCTCAAATGTGTAGAGTGTGTTTCAGGGCTCATCATGTTAGTGACTATTCAACACATTGTTTCAGAAATATTGTGGAACATTAAAATCTCTGCCTGTCCCAAAAAGTTACAGTAGAGTTGTACATAAAAGTATGTTCTTTGTGGAGGATGTGTGCTTTTCACGTTTGCCCAAACTTTTGCTTACGAATATCTTGGATGTCCACTCGAGGAAAAAATAAACTGTATAAACATACAAAATCTTACATAACCCAACATATTTCCCAAATATTTTTAAGATTGATACCGATTTCAATATTTGAGGATTTAAAAATCCGATAAATCTGAAATGGGGGTCGATTTTTTTTTCTTCAGAAATACATAAAATAAGCAAAACTTTTTACTTGTCTTAACATATTTTATGTGTAGTTATTTTGGAGTCCTCTGCAAGATAACATTTAGTAATAAACTTGCGACTTTGGGATTTCATACTGTAGTGTTACGAACACAAAAAAACACCTGTCATATTAGCGTTTAAAGAATTTAGTGATTAACCAGATTACGTGCGGGATCACCTGAACATGGCAAGTTACTCATAACTATACCGGAACTCGTTTTTGAGGTGTGAATAGTGTCTCACAGTATGTCAGTGTGCTCTGCGCTTTAACAAAGTAGTGCCATTACAACACATACACTAGACACTGTCTGTTCGTGCTGATCAATGCTTTATGCAGATTAGGGAAAGCAGAGGTTTTTATGTGCACGTCCTGAATTCAAAAAGTAGTGGGGTGTTGCCCCAGTACTTTGAAAAATGGTGGGTCAAATGCCCACTCTTCTCTGTGGCTCCGGTGGCCCTGACTTTATTCATGTAATCTCGAGGCTGAAGTTGGCTTCCTTTTTGCTAGCTTCCTGTTTGAATTTTCCCTGTCCATCTTAAATGGTGCAGCAGTGACCTGAATGGCTCAGGTGCCGGAATGTAACTGCTGCACCATTTAAGGTGGAATGGAAAAATTCGAACAAGAAGCCGGCGAATAAGGAGTTGACTTCAGCTTCGTCATTTAGACAGAACAAGTTTAACACTATAGTTTAATTGCTCATTAACGTTAGTTGTTTTCCCCGATAAACACAGCATTAGTTGGCTTTGTAGGTAACCTATTTTATCAGTTTACAGTGTTATAAGCTGCTGTAAGTGATGTTGCCAGAGAATATATAGTGACAAGCTAGGGAGAAAATGTAGGATTGTTGTTTGCTTACTCACTAGAACTGCCACACTGTTCATAAATAAATCTATAATCAAGGTAAAGGTTCATGCGTTATAACATGTCATCCTCATGCTAGAGATTTGGATACATTTTACATGTTATTGTAACCAGTTCAGCCTATATTGGTATAATAAAAGTGATTGGTTACTCTCAGTTTTGCTTGCTCTATAAAAGCTGGCAAAATAGCATAAAATCATGAATTACTGAAATGCATTATCTGTTGTCTGCTTACTACATGGGTTTGCTGTGAGTAGAACCAGGCATTTTGTCGGGTCATATTCAGAATAGGGTGAAAATTTGAGGCTCTGAGAGAGAGAAACTTTTTTTGTCTAGGCGGTACTTCATTCACCATCTCCCATGCCACTGTCTTTTATTATTGGCTAATTTCATCCAGCTCCAGCAGTGCGTCCTAATGGGCTGCAGGTGCGAGTCATCAGTCTAAGAGCGGGGGCGGGCGCTGTTTTGTCGCTCTTTTGTTTGTTGATGTTCCAGCGTGGTGTGGCGCTCAGTTCGCTGTCTGCGGTGCTGAAGTGCCGTTGTTTTGTTGACGCTGCGTTATCTCCAGTCCAGTTTTCAAAGTTTAGCTCGTTTGCCAGACATGATATGGAAAGAAATCATAATGTTCAAACTAACATGAGCAGTTATTGAAATACAATGACAATTTTACACATTTGCTGATTTAGGATTTGTTATAGAAAACTGAGGGAGATTTTAGATCAGGGCTGTGGCCAGTTTTTACGTAAGAAAATCCTTAAGGGAAACTTAAAAATAAGTGTCCTTAAGCCTTTCATCTGCTGTCAAAGGATTTCTACTGGGAAATTAAATGTCCCATATTATGGAAGACAGAATTTCCCCTGACTTTTTTGAGAGTTTGATATAAACATCTCAAACATCTCAAATACCCTACGCCCTACATGGTGCACTACATAGATCTTAAAATAACATCCCTATACACAAACTGTGCATAATATGTCTAACAAAGAACCATTTGGGATTCAGCCATTGCACAATTCTCTAGTAGATGTACTGTTTTGATGTTGAAGCCAACATTTCATAGCTCACATAGTGCGCTAGACAGGGAGTGGGGAGTCATTTGACATTAAGACATGGTTAACCTCTTGAACCCCAAGCTGACAATTAACTTGTTAATATTAAGATGTATTATTCCTTAACTACTATGAATTATTTGTTATAAATATACAGATTTAAGTGTAATTGAACATACTATTCACTCTCCAGTGCGTACAATCCTTATATGGAAAAACGATGAAATGGAACAATGAAAAACTCATTTTAACTTGTTTATTTTTGTGATGTCACAAAAACCAATGCATTTAGATATATTGACCTATTCAGTCTACAGCGCTTGAGCCCTGCCCATTCATACTAAAGTTGCATGGAGCGTTACAGCCCAGACTGCAACTTGAATGAGGGCAATTCTAAGGAGTATTACACAAGGTTATACACAAATTATGTGTTTCTTTAGTAGCTTAGCTAAAAATTCAGAAAAATGCCTGCTTGTCTCCATAGCAACAAACTTTATATTAAACATGGTCAGAAAAACAATCATCTTAAAGAAATATCTTCAGAGGTTCATAACACTGTATTGAAACGGTTAAAATCAATTCTAGGTCCGCTTAGATAGTTGATAAATATGGGCCGACCTCCGGCTTTTACACCGTCCTCAGTTATCATTGTAGCAATTTAGCCCCAGGCTAACTTTTGCCACTTTTATGAAGCTGTTTTTCCCCTCTGCAGTCGGTTCAATACTGTCTGCTTCTCCTATGTCTGCAGGTGTGATAATCTTTTTCCATCTACCCCCGCAAGACCTGGGAATCATATCAGCACGAAACCCCCCCGACATGTAGCCCCTAACGTGTGACTTCATTGATTGGTTCATCCATTGCCTCCTATTGAGCCATCACAGCGAGAAGCAGAATGCTAAAAAAACAAAAAGAACCTTATTTGTTTACACTCTGGGAGCCGAAGCCATTTTGTCCCGAATCGATGCCCATAGTGTTTTTATTGATTGTGTTTTATATACTTTAGAAATGTGATCTTGGTGCAATCAAGTTTAGAAAGTTCTTATGAATAATTGATTGAGTTAGCTGTGGAGAAAAGGTCAGTGTCAGACTGTGGTTATTTAATGAAAGTGCAATAAAATATTGCTTTGCATAAAAGTATTTTTAGTTGGTTGTATCGAGTTGATCAAAAATATGACCTTATGGTTGTTCTTTGGTGACCAAGAGAAGTTTGTGCATGTAGTGAATGCATGTAGGGCTGCAAACTGTAATGCAACTAGTTGTGTGTTGCGAGTTGCATGAAATGTAATTTCCGTGACACTTATGCGAAACGATTCAAAAAGAATTAAAGTTGCATATAACATATTTGATTATTCCACTAGTTAGGAGGATAGTAGCTAGTATTTTCCATAAATCGTTTCATTCTAGCTGCATTGAATCAGATCTGAGTTGTTATTTAGCCTACATTTGGGTGTTTGTATCATTTAATGTTAAAGAGGAGGAAACTAATAACCTAGTAAATCATGATAAAACAGGCTAACGAAGCAGAACAAGCATTAGTTTCATAAACCAGACTTCTGCCTAACATCGGAGAGTCTGGTGGGTTTCATTCCACCATCTAGTTTAGGAGGACAGGCCTTTTGACTGAGAATATAAAGTGTAAACTTATTAAAGAGGACCTGTTAAGAGCAATCAGTGACAAATTGGCAATTGGCAGTTCTTCATTTTGAATGTGTTTTGATAAGCTTTACCCCACTAAAGTTGAATTGAACTGAATGGAATTCATTTGGTGGGTAGCAATGTTAGCCATGTAGCTTCAGTTCTAAAATAAAGAAGTAAAATGTAGACATAAAACATCTTGGCTGATCGACTACCTCTAGGAAAAGTTGAAATATTGGTCAAAATAAATTTTTTGCCAAACTTTTTGTTTAAGATACACGTAAAAATTAAAGTAGAAGGTGTTCGAAGTGTTACTCATCTGTCTTACAGTAATCTTTAATGCTATAATACAGGGCCCTAGCAAAGCACACTTAAATAGCTTTTCCTGCATGTAGACCTGATTTAAACTTGATAATTAACTGTTAAAGGAATATGACAAATCAGCATTATGTTAAAGTATTGAGGAACTCACTTCCAGGTGGATAAAAACTTTGCATCTTACACTCTGTCCCCCAGGTTAAATTTGCTGGTGCTGGACCTGGGCAGTGGAAGGATTGATTTCCAATATTTTGGAAGTCTTCTTAAACCCCTTCCCAGGCTCATAAACATCTACAACCTGATTTTGAGCTCTCCTGATTTAGGCATAATGTAGACTCCAGTAAAACAGAGCAAACCAGACCAAATAAGACATGCTCCTCTAAGATATTCTCAAACAGTGTTCTAATCACTAGCACCTGATTTCAATTTGACACATTTGAAACGCCGATATATGTAAGGGATTCTGTACTAATCCAAAGAGTTATATAACCAAGATTTTGGAAAAAGGAAAGCATTTCTAAAGTTATCTTATATATATACCAGTGGTACATGTTTAATGAAGAAGTTCACTTTATAAGGGTGCTTTCCTGCAACACATTCAGAAACAACAACTGACCCAAACATGAACCAACTGCACTTACAGTTCCAGGTCATTTTCTACCTGCTCAAGAGACAGCTGGAACTATTTATAATAACCATGATTAATAAAAAAAAGCGTCTAACTTGGGTAACTTCACCTTGCTAGCTAGTTAGCTTACCTCATTGATTGATATGAAACGATGTACTGCACGGTTCTGCACTGCACACCCACACACACACTCAGACTCTCATTTACACAGGATCATGTGTAGAATCAAACTGTATTTATTTCTCTGTCAAGTGTGAAAATATGAGCAGAAATACTCGTTCTGTGGCTACTAGCATAAATGCTAATAGCGTTAGCTTCTAGCTTATGTCACTGTATAATGAACATTTTACAAAGTAATCATTCTAAAAAAAGAAATTAACACAGCAACATATATCGTGCTTTTATTGATGTTGTAATAGTGCTCCGTTGCTTGGTAGCTTCATCTGAAAGAGTTAAGAATTCTCTAAATTGTCATTCAAGTGTTAGCAAAGACACGGAATCCCTCAGGAGATCAGTACAGCTTATACCAGCTCTACCTGCTTTAAAAAGTTGGAAAACGAGAAAAACTAAAACGAAAACTGAAAATAAAAGCTTTGCAATATGGCAAAAATATATTGTCATATATCATTTATATCATATCATATATATATATATATATATATATATATATCATATATAAAATCCATTACATACTTGGGTACATTTGGCATTGCAGCATCAAACACAACAAGATTTTATTGTGATCACCAATGTTTTGTCTGTTATGTTTGTATTTATTGTAAATTGTGCCATGAATTAAGCTGCCTCCATGCTGACTGGATGCTAGTTATCCACCCGGAAGTATAGCCAACCTTTTTATTTACAAACATTCTGATTTGGTCTATAGTTCGGCAAGAAAAAATCCAATTTACACAATTTTCACTAATGTAGTCAGTCAGCCTAGACATGTTTGATGTCTAAAGTTTGCTTCTTTTGTTTTGCACCGGAGCTACAAAGCTAGCTAACAACTTGCTTGTTTCTTTCTTTCTTTCTGTCTCTCTTTCTGTCTTTGCCAGGGTATTTTTGTCTTCTCCCTGGTGTGGTCAGTGGGAGCCAGCTGTTCGGAGGCTGGCCGGCTGAAGTTTGACGGGCTGCTGAGGGAGGTGCTGACTGGTGCACTGAGTGAGGAGACTCGGGAGCGCCACGGGATCCTGGAGCACGTAGAGCCGCCAACAAAGCAGCTGACTGTGCCCTTACCCACCGAGGGCACTCTGTACCAGTACCGCTTCATCAAAGAGGTTAGTCAAAAGGGAAAAGAGGCTTGTCTTATGAGAAAGGGGCATTTAATAATGAGTTTGAGCGTTTCTTCCCAGTTTCACTTACTTTTCTTAAGTTTTGTATGAGTTACTTATTTTGTAACAGCGGATCAACCCTGTTGGATCACTGTAGATCAAACCCCTCTGCATGATTGTTTTCATGACTGAATTATGTAGAAACTTAGTGGACTTTAAATCATGCAAGATCCAAATGCAGTAGTCACAGTCATGTGAAGAAGTAAGTACATCTCATGAAATGTTTATTTTTTGACATATGTGGACATATCAGTGTTTGATATAGGTTTTTATAGTATAATAGTGTCTTTTTTCTGTTTTTTTTTTTTTGTTTGTTTGTTTTTTTAGTTTTTTTCTGAATAGGTAAGTACATGCCTAACTTCAGTAGCTGGAATTGCCCCTTTTGGCAGAAATAATTTTATGGTAGACGTTTCTTATAACTGTCCACCAGTTTCTGACATCTACTGGGAGAAATATTTACCCCAGGTTTCTTGCATGTACATCCCATTTCAAATCCCCTCACAGCATTTCAATGGGATTCAGATCTGGGCTTTCTTTCCTTTCAGATCTTTCCTTTTCTTTTCCTTTTGGGCCATTCTTTGGTGGAGTTACTTGTATGTTTGAGGTCATTATCCTGTTGGAAGGTCCACTTCTTTAGCTTTAACGTCTTTACAGATGGCCTCATATTCTCCTCATGTACTCTCTGATATGAAAGATTTCATAGTTGATTCTATGATTGCAAGTTGCGCAGCACCCTGAGGCAGCAAAGCAGCCCAAACCATTACATTTCCACGACTATGCTTCACAGCTCGTATGAAGTTCTTTTGATCCAACCCTGTATTAGGATTTTTCCAAACATAGCTTCTGATTCTGTGTCTGAACAACTCTGTGTTTAAGTCGTCTGTACATAGGCATAGGACTTTGTTCCAGAAGTCGTGATTTTCGCCTAGATATTAATTAGCAAACTTTATTTTTGCCCCGTTTTTTTTATTTTTAGACAGCAAAGCCTTCCTCCTGGCGCACCTCTCATCTTTCAGGCAGTAATGCATGCACTTTGACAACAGTGGCAAGAGCTACCTAGATGCTGTGATGAAATTTTGGGGTTCTTAGAGACTTAGCATCTTACGATCTGCTCTTGGGTTAAATTTGCTGGCCTGGACAGTGAAAAGATTTGTTCCAGTATTTTGGAAACCCCTTCCCAGACTCATATGCCTCTGCAACCTTCTTTTGAGCTCTTTTGATCTAGACATGATGTAACAAAGAGCCAATAACAAAGAGCAAACCAGATCAGATATCTGAGGTTTAAATAAGACATGCTCCTGCAAGACATTCTCTGATAGTGTAATCATTAGCACCTAATCAGGTGCACCTTCAATCTGACACATTTGAAATAGTGATATATGTAGGGGTGTACTTACTTTTTCCACATAGGAAAACTGCATTTCTGTTTATTTCAGTTGTAGAAAGGTTAGGTGACACATTGTAACACATTGTAACACATGGTTTAAATAAAGAAATCCATGTATCTAAATATGTTGAAAAAGTCTGAACTTTGCATGGCTTGTACTTCACTTGAATGTTTTGGTATGAGAAGGGATTTGTTGAAAGACAGCGGCAACAGGTTCGATCGTGCCTTCATACTGAACATAAAACCCCACTTACAAGAGGCATACGATAAACACCACTGAATCTATCAGGTTGAAGTAATCTCAGCACCTTCCCTTTGTCTGAGGTATGAGGTGCGAGGAACTGATTATCAGCGTTTTGGTCCTAAATGCACATTCTCGCGATGCTGAATGAGGTGATTTGTCTCATTATTAGTTATGTGTCATGAGCTTTAATTCTGTGTAATAAGACTTCATGCGTAACTTCGTCTAATGTGTCAATTTCATGGCTCATTAAATTCTGCAAATCGCTGTTTCTGGAGAGCATTATCCGTTGTTTTAATATGAGGATTTCGAAAGAAGCCTCTGCTTCAAAGTGTGACCCCAAAGAAGCTTAGTTTAGCTTTCAGGGTTATGGAGAGTCACTATACTCTTACTAAGAAGACTCCAAAACTAGTGCGAAACTTTCACTTCTTTTTTAATTTGATGTAATTTGACATTAGATGATACGTATCTGTGTCTAAAACAGATTAAACTATTTATTAAACAGTATACAGTAGACACAGCAGTTAGATTGAATACCCCATTGCAGTTTAAATTAAAAGCAGTATAGTCCATAAGTAACTGGACAGTGACAGAAAGTTGTTGTTTGGCTGTGTGTTTCAGTATATTTAATATAAAACAAAACATAAAGTACATGTAAGCTTTAATTAGAGGGCTTTTACATGTATATTGGGTAAATTCCATTTATATTGTGTATTGCCTAGGGGTGCGGGAAAAAATCGATTCTTAGATGCATTGCGATGCGGACGTGAATCGATTCACAAATTTCAAAAATCGATTTTCTAAATATTTAATTTATAACGGAACGCAAAAGGCGGAACTTGGAAGTGGGTAAGTGCAGCACCCGGACAGTCTGTGATGGCACATAACAAAAACACAACTGGATGAGTGAGAAATCCGACCGGCACCCTCTACATTAAAAGCCAGGTTAGATCAGGGGTCACAACCCAAATGATAAGAAGAGCCATTTTGTCCTTTTAACAAAAATCAAACCACCTTGGGAGCCACAACATTTAATGTCCAGTATCTGATAATGTCGTTGTATAGGCTAAACAATATAAACGAGATCGCAGATTTACTTTGCTGTGCTTTAAGCTTTAGCTATAGCCGCTTTTCTCCCATCTCAGCCAGAAAACTTTTCCTCAAAAACTAGAGCAGTTTCTTGTAAAATGTCTCTCAACATTCGGGCTGTCTTATGAGGCTGAAGTCACTTCTCATTCTCCAGCTTGATGTTAGAATTTTCCCGTTCCACCTTAAATTCTGACTGAGGCGCCGAATGTAAATGCGGCATCACTTAAGGAATGAGAAAATTCGGAAGAGAAGCGACTTCATCTTTGCGACTTTTTACTGTTTGACAGTCTCTCATTGCAGATTCAACTTGCCAGCAAACCAACTGCGCTGCTTATAAATGCGAATAACGCATTGTTGCTAGGTGACCTGCAGTCTGCACGGCAATTCTCAGTCGTTGCGAAACAGGGCTTTCGCGCAATGTTGCACACGTCACGTCTCGAAGATATTTTACTGACACAGAACTTAAGAAAGAAATAAGAGAAAACTCACGTCAACAAGAATACTGATTACTAGAATGCTAGTGCCCTTTCTAGCAATATGTTAACACTGGTGCAAATTAATATATTTTGACTGTTCTAGATTAAACTACATTCCATAACAATACAAAATACGTTCAATAGGACCTGAAACTTGCAGACCTTATGATTATCCTCATTATCATGTATTTTACCTTGTATGTAGCAGTATCAGTAAAGAGTCCTGGCATAGAGCTGCTGCTGTTTTCCATTCCTAACAACCAAGTCAGTGACGTTTCTAGAACTTCCAGTGAGAATTTTTCTCCTTGTCCTGATTGACTGAGTGCTGGGTGGTCCAAATCATTTGTTTTTTCTCTCATTTATAGCCTGGGCAGCCATAGAGTCCAGACTTTTTTGCCTTGGAGAATGTATTAATAGCAGCCAGAATATATGGAAAATGTTATCAAATATTACAGTGTTCTGGTGTAGAAGTCGATAACCACACCTTTAACCATTAGGAGTACAGAGTCAAAATAGAGCCAACTTTTGTGCCTTTATCCAGTTATATAATAACTGCACTTTATAATACAGCTTTGTGCCCCAAAGAAATGAGGATGTTCATAACAATAAATGAACCAACCAATTAGAATAGTGTTCTTTGCATAATGCAGATTCTGCTACTAGCTTGTGTTCATTATTAATCAGCTTAGAATTTTTGATCATACAATTTCTGAAAGTGGTAAAGTGGCACATAATAAATATTCTGGTTATTCTTTTGCTGATTTCTACAAAGCAAGAAAACACATTAGATCTTTGTTTAATCATTATTGAGATATTGGCTTTTGAAATACTTATATCAGAAAGTGTTCCAATATGCAAATGAGGTCTCTAACCAATCACTGTACTGCCATGTGCATCATGACCAATCCAGCTCCAGATGAGCATTTCTGTGGGTGTTTTGGTGAGTCAAGGTAACCTCAATACAATCAAGGTAGTAAATTATTTGTTCAAAATAATGCAGACTGGTCTTTAACAGTGTCATATTATAGATTCACCAGTACATTTTAGTAGATTTCCAAAGCATGTCATGATTACAATATGTAGCAATATAATCTCAGTACTAGTTATTTGTCCATATTGTGCAGCCCTATTACAACAGGAACATTTTGGTACTGGGTTTAGGTAAAAAAAAAATTGTCCCCTACTGACCACTCCATCTTTGGATTTGCCTTTTTGTCATCTGACTCAGGGTCCAGGAAGATGGGAGCTGTGGACGGACGAGCTGAAGCAGGCGCCCCCGATCCCCAAGGACGTCCAGTTCAATGAGATTATAGTGCCCACAGAGGACACAGTGCGCTACACGGCTCTGATGGAGCTGCTCGTCACACACCAGAAGCCCGTCGTCTTTGTGGGGCCCACAGGAACTGGCAAGAGTGTCTACATCATAGTGAGTGTCTGGGTCTGCTTTCTCGCTATGCTTTGGACTGGGCTGGCCAGGAGCTGGCCAACTTCTGTCCTTGTGTTCCATTTCTGAGAAAGGGACTCACAGACTTCCAAGTGTAGGGTAAAATAGCCATTATTATTAAATATAACAGTATTATTTCTAAAGGATCCAAATGTTGGAAAACTGAAATTTCCAATCATTAATTTTTATTGCAGTTTTAACTTCCAGTTTCTTTACTGCCACATTGGCCGATGGCCGTTTTTTGGGGTTGATTTTTATGAATGGTCAGCAAAGATATTAATTATTTATTTACTCAAAAGATTCCACTTTTACATTTTACCCAAAGCTTGCACTTTGCAGGCTAAATAAAGACTGCTATGAAACATACAGTCCTAACAGATGCGTGCACCTCAGATAAAGTGTTCAGAGAATATTTTTCTTACAGAAAGCATCCCCCACTAAAATCACTGTAATGGCCTGTTCAGATATATCAAATGATTCACAACATCTTTGTAGTAGGGATCAGTTTCTGACTAAGTGTGCAGTGTAAAACAATAGAGAATGCGTGAATACAGGTATGCTTGCTGTCACAAATGGTCTGTATATGAAGTAAACAGCCCAAAGCCATTTTAAACATATCCTACCAAAACAAACGCAAGAAAACAAGCTCATGACAAAGCTCATATGACAAAAAGAAAAAAAGCTCACAAGCTTACTGAAATGTCCCATGCTTTACAGGTAAGTTATGAAGATGACTACAGAAACTTCAGGACACAGTGTCAAAGCACTGTCTTAATAAAGCACCAAAAGCTACTCGAGTGCTAATAGTATCCCCTTGTGGAAAATTTTCCACCTACTACCTAGAGTGAGTGAGTGAGTCATTTAGTTAGATAGTCACTTACAAATCAGGTCCATGAGGCGCTTTTACCCTTATAGGATTTCCAGGACATCCCCCAGCTCCCCTCCACAGTTTGAACCCTGACATTACCTAATGATAACTGACCTTACTTTAATAGCACAGCAGTCTGCTAGTTAGCTAAGTGTAACCTGGCTGTTATCACAGCAAGTGCTCCATTTTCAGCCTGTACCCGAATTTAGTTCAATCATTCAATCAATTAATCTTTATTTAAGCTTGGAGTACATTGAGAGTCACTCTCATTTTGCAGTGTAGCTAAGCATTAGAACAGAGAACTAAAAGGATTAAAAAAAAATACGGTTAAAAATGTAGTAAGCTCATTGGGGTTCAAAAGTCTGAGACCATTAGTGAAAATGCTTCTATTTTGCATTCTTTTGTTGCGTAATAATTTATCTGATTAATTACTAAGTCATTCTAATTTATGTCATTGTAAAAAAAAAAAAATTAGAAAATATATTATCAGGAAAATAATTTGAATAAAAAGTGGAATCTGTAATGACAGCATGCACTAGAGCTGCAGGGACTCCTGAGAGTCGTCTGAACATGAAAACAATATGACCTTTTTGTACAAGGACCTTAACATTGTCAGTTTCACAAATTTAGTGATCTAAAATGGTGTAGAATGTAGAATATTTTGCATAATTTTTCTTTGTTTTACATTTTTGACAGTACTAAAACTATCTGTTGTTTATTTCAAGGTTTAAATTCCCAGGCTTTAACTGTGGTCTCAGACTTTTGGACTCAACTGTGTGTAGCAAATATGAAGTTTGGCAGAGTGAATGGGAAGAAGGTGAAAAAGAAATGGAACTGAGGGTTTCTTTCTGTGTTGCTAATATGTCTGTCTCTGGAGGTATGTGGCTCAGTGGGGTTTTGTTGGTTCCCCTAATCCAGCACACCTGACTCCTCTCAACAGCTCATTCTCAAACCCTTCATTAGTTGAATCAGGTACATTACTGCAGAGAAAACACTAAACCACGGAGGGCCCTCCAGCGCTTGATTTGAAGAACCTTGACCTATCTTGCTCATTGTTCATTTTATTGAAGTGCTTATGCCATGGAAAACTGAATGTGCCTCAGTTTCAAATATTTAACCATTTCTTTTCCTCAATATAAACATTAACATTTTAAAACGTACCATTCAGCCCTCAGTCAAACCAACATGTTTACATGTTCATAGTCAGTTATATGCATCGGGGTCCAAAAGTCAGAGACCACTACTGAAAGTGCTTGTATTTTGCTTTCTTTTCTAATTTAACACAATGTTTTACATTACAAATCACGTTGTCAGCATAACAATCTGAAAGAAAAGTAGAATCTTTGAAATTTTAACATGAATTTCAGAATTTTTAGCATGTGGTGGTGTGTCCCCTTTTTGCTTTAATTACTACATGCACTCCAGCTGTGTGGGCTCCACAAGTTTAGGCAAAAGCTTCTGATCAGCAGATCAAATGCACCTGAGAGTCGTCTGAACACAAGCTTCACTGGAAGAGATAAGACTGAAAACAATCTGACCTTTTTCTATAAAGGCCTCAACAATTTCACAAATTTGCTTGAGTTTAAATAGTGATCTAGAAATAGTGCAGAATTTTGAATACTTCTTAATTTTACTCGTCATAACTTTTCTTCATGTTGATTTTTTAAAAACTCTAATACTTTGGGTTGTATATTTCCAGGTTTACATGAAAAAAACATCAGATTTTTGGACTTTGGATATATGTCTTAAAGGCGCATAAAGAAAAACACCATGTTGTGAAAATGAATTATGCTTTTGGTATATAAAACCATACGTACTTCGTAAGTGGACTATAAAATGCAAAAAAATGTAGGAAACAGCTGCTTTGAAGCCTGCAATATGAATTTTTATTTATTAAATCTTTAAGGCCGATGCAAAACATGGCTATGGAACGTCTGCCGTTTAATCTGCCCTCCTCATTTCTCATGGCTGTTGTTGCATGTATATATGTTAATATAAGCAAAGATCTTTTATGAAAATCTATCCACATCTTTGCAACACCCCCAGGCAGTTATTTCCACTCATATAAGACCAGTCTCCTATCTCTTTGAAAGCGGAGAGACCTATAAAACTGAAACTACAAGCCAAATTAATGTTTCAAAAACATTTGAACATATTTGATCATACAATTTGACAAAAACAGCATAAACAGTTTGTGCCATTTGGCTCAAATAACACACAGGAAAGCTTGTTTTGGCTATTTTGCATGTGCATGACTCCATAACGAGGGGGAGTTTTTTCGGCTAGTGGCTTAACCTGCAAGTTTATTGGCTCTTTTTATGCAAGGGTGGGGCTTCCCTTGTAAACAAACTCCATGTTGAGCATTACAAGCTTTCCTGTTCATTTTCCATTATTAATTATATCAACGTCCCTGTTATAAGTCACACATCAGTCTCGCTTTTATCTCTACTCTGATTAAACAAAACAACAAAACAATAATGAGTGCTTACCGATTCAAACTGTGATGTGAATTATATATTATATATTAGCATTATCATAAAAGTGTTTTGACATTTATAGCCTGACCAGAAGGCCCAGCTCTTATGGTCACAGTTCTCCAACGAATAGCAGGAGGCCTCGCTGTGGCTTTCAAACTCTTTTAGCCATGAAGCTAGTCTGGCAGGGCTCTACTCCAGGCTATTAGTGTGCCTCTGAGGAAACAGCAGAAGACAGGTAGAAATAAACAGCTACCCACAGGAGCCCTGTGCCTACCTGTTCGCCTGAGAAACATTTAGTGAAGGTAGGGGGGCTGCAACTGTGCATTTAGCTCTGGAGGGGGCTTCTCGCTGCCTCTCTCCACACCTCCCTGTCAGCATGGCCAGTTGAGCGTGGCGGCAAGAGAACGCCACAGGAGTTTGAGTATGTGTGTGTGTATGTGTAGAGCTCAGGCGTGTCAGCGACTTGTGATAAATGATCTGACGGCCCGAGACGGACGGCGACCTGCCGCGCCTCCACCCCCACCCCACCCCTTCACCACCCCATCCCTCCTTTCCTCTGTTCCAGGGCTCCTATTTTTGGTGGAGTGCGCAGGGAGCGATGCAGCCAGCTGGAGATCCATCACTCTAACAGCCTCATCCATTACCCGCCTCGTTATGCTCATATTTTATACACACATGCACGTACACATGGTTTCACACAGTAGCTACTCGCTCCCCTCCTGCTAGGCCCATGCTCACTGTAGATTAACGGCTACAAGCACAAGACCGCCCCAAATGTGCTCGGAGGCAAAGTACTTTTGTAGGTTTCTCCACTTTGAGTGACTGAAACAGGACAGGGACGCATTTTGGACCAGCGCGTTTGGCAACACAGTGAAGGGGACGGTGATCAGACGATGCGTACATGCCCTTAAAAATGTTGTAATGCTTTTAACGGACTAGCTCAGCAAAGTTTTTTACAGTTTTCACTTTATCCCAGATGTACTCAGTCAGCCAAGACATGTCCAGCCATTTAAGGAAAAAAATGAAATGCAGCATGTTTATGTTATTTATAATAATAGCATTTCTATATCTCTAAATATCTTTCATAGTTGTTACAGTTTGAATACCCCTGAATTACGTTTTATTGATTTTCTAAGTAAAAATAAGCGAACGCATTACAGAAAACAAAATAAAATATGACATTTTCCTGCAAATTATAGTGCACATTTCTTTTTATTTTTAGTTTACATAATATAATAAAAAACATGAAATAAACAAAGAACCATTGCTTTTGCACAGGCCAAATTTTATGTTTTCTTTTTCTTTTTTCCAGTATTTAAAAATTCAGCAAATAAACCGTAATTGTGAACAAAACTGTGCAGAGGTGTGTTTTCTGTAGAGAATATGTTGTTTAAGCAAAAGAACATGAGAGGGAGTGTGTTATCGTGAATTTTCTGTTTGTGCGCAAAGTACGAAGTAAAAATGTTCAAATGGCTTGAGTGTCTCCAACAACTGTCAAAATCATTGCTTAGCAACGGCATCTCAGCGGAGTTATACAGTGTTTGTGAAAAACCTGTGATGTTATGGCGAAATAACAGCACGGTTAGAGCGCTTCTCAGCCAGTCAGCTTGCGTAATAAATAGTAAATGTGTAATAAATAGTATTTAAAAAATATTTCCACTTCCTTTTGTCCTGGCTGCACTGAGCAATCTAGAGTGTTCTGTTATTTTTATTCAACACTTATGCAAAAATAAAGAAAACATAAGGCAAAGTAGCTCCAAACATGTATCAAACATGCTTTAATATTGGCAAATCCTTCGGCCAAAAAGAAATAGTACCCTTCTTTGTTACAGATAAAACCGTAAAACTGACAATATGAGGTTGAGCTCAGCTTTCAGTGTTTTCTGGTTGAAGATGAATGTGGTTTTGTTCCAATCAGTCTATAAAGCATCTCACGGCATTTTCACTGTCTTGAATTCTTGTGTCCACACCCAGGACGGATTCTGGGCTCGCTTGGGGGGGAGGGGCTCATTATCACTGGTTTGCTTTCACACACCAGCATTCCATCCGAACTGTGGATTGACTGCATACTTACATACGTCACTTTTTTGCCTGCTGGTTTGCAGGTGGTAGGCACTAGCTTCATGGGTTTGCTGCTTTTTTACCTTAGAGACAAACTCAAGCGTCAAAGAACAGCGCTTTTTGTCCACAGCAGTCCTTTCGCCGTCATCTCAAAACTTGATAAGGGAAGTAGTCGTGATAGGTCGGAGCAGTCACGTCTCAAAATTAACCGATCACGTAAGCCCACATGTGCTGCCCAGAGTGTACAGCCTCCACACGTGCAGCGAACCTCACCAGACCACCAATTTCAGAAAAACCAGAGATCAGTTCTCTGGACCACTCTCAACTCTCACACTTGGCCAAACAAACTGAACTTGCAGAGTAAGGTTTCCTGGGTCCAAACATAAGCTCTAGTGTTTAAACGCCCTCACAGACCATCTTGTTTACTGAATTGTATTCTGCTGCTGACCATAAAGCTTGCTTAGGATGAGTGTCAAGTTTGGAATCTGATGTAGACGTGCTGTCCTTTTTCAGAGCCTGACCAAGCAGACTACAGAACGAATATCATCTGATAGAAGTTATTGTGTCCATTTTTTATTTTTGGTATGTGCTAAAATAGTGACCATTAGCTATGACATAAAGCGAGCAACTAGTGCACAGCAAGATGATAGATTTATTGTGAAAATAAAATTACTTATTAGATAATAGCATGAGTAGGACACTACTTAGCCAATGAGATTGTGTTGTCAGAGCTGTTGTATACACGTAACAAAGATGGTTCTTCAAGGGTTCTTTAGTAAAGTAAATAGCTCTATTTGGAACCATGAGTTCTGTATAGAACCATTTCATGCTTAAATAGTTCTTTACGTGGTGAAATAGTTCTTCAGATTGATGAAGAATGTGTTGTATATGGTTCTATGTAGCACCAAAAAGCGTTCTTCTATGGTTACAAGCTTGACATCGTGACAATAGCAAACCCTTTTTTGGTGCTGTATAGAACCAAGTGCAACACATTCTCCATCAGTCTGATGAACCATTACTGTGCAAAGAACCATTTAGGCATGAAATGGTTCTATATAGAACTCAGTTCTAAATAGAACTGTTACCTTTTCTAAAGAACCCTTGAGTCTTGAAGAGTGAATCTTTTTTAAGAGTGTATATTTTGAGTTAGTGAGCTAAATCGGGCTTAGTATGGTTGCAGTCTTTATTCTGGCCACACAATGAGTGTTCATTCCACTAGTAGGACACACAAAACAGTCCCATCGAATCCACAAAAACAGCACTTTGCAGAACATGTTGCAGTGCTTTCCCATACAATGCAGCCTCTTAAAAAGAAGCCAGAAACGATACCCAACTGCATCCAGGACTGACAGCCTAACAACCCATCAATTACCAGCTCCACCTGTGGTGGCCAATCAAATTTCTGAGGGCCCAAAGTTATTCTTCTTTACGTTTTGCACTGGAGCTAAGAGGCTCACATAGCTAACAAGTAATGGAATCTAAGGCTACGTTTACACTGCAGGTAAAAGTGGCCCGAATCTGATTTTCTCACCAAATCCGATTTTTTTGTTTGGCCATTCACATTATCTTTTAAATGTGATCTATGTGCGGCATTAGTATGAAACGGATCACGCTCCTAAACTGACCAGCATGTGCAAAAGAACAATGCTTCACGTTTCTTCACGTGGCTCATCCAGAGGTAAACAATCATGATCTCCAATGAACACGAGTCGCTCCCGCAGCTTCAGTTTTATCTTCGCCAGCATCACAGGAGGATCATTAAGCTTCACCGAATGACAGCTGGGCTCATCACACAGAATGTGTTCCAGCTCACCGTAAAAAGGGCACTTCTTTGGTTTGTGTCCTCGGATTCTTTAACCTCTGCTTTCAGAGTTTTACTGTTATTTGACGCTGCACCCTAGCCCTCATATGGCTGCCTTCGGTCAGTTCTTCTGGAATCTCTTCAAACACAGAGTGGTTGCGAAAAGTGCCTTCTAATTTTTTGGTACAGAAACATCAGCCTAAATGTTTATGAAGTCTCAGCAGCGCGGAATTATGACAAAGTCGCATGAATTCCGATCTGCAGATTCAGAGTCGTTTTGCCGCATATCGGATACGTATTGTATTTCAGTACCACATACGAAAGCGTCTCAAATCAGAATTGAAAATGTCAGATTCGGTGTGCTTTTTGCTGTTCACACTGACACACAGATGACACATTTGTGTTGCATATGAAGAAAAAGATTGGATTTGGGCCACTTTTACCTGCTGTGTGAACAAAGCCTAAAGTTGTTAAGTAATCTCCAATAGTCTGCATGAGGTACTACAGTGTATACACATAGTCGTGTGCAAAGGTTTGGGCACACCTGGTCAAGTTCCTTATGTTTGTTAAGTTAACATAAGTTAACATATCCTCTCCAGAGAACACATGTTTAATGCACATTTTAATGCATACATTACTGCTTATGTACTAAATTTAACATGTTGGAAACAAGTCATAAACTGTGGCCTGTGCAAAAGTTATGGCATTTTGTATTTTATCTTTTATTTTTTTCCAATATGTTAACCTCAGTAAATAAATAGAAATCGTGCACTAAAATTGGCAAGGGTGAAAGGGGGTGATCACATGTTCACAGGAATGCGTTTAAGTCAATAAGCAATCACAATCGTTAAGCAGTCACATTTAAAGAATCTTCATCCTTGTGAATCAATAGGCACTCAGCATTTCTCACTCATGTTCCACTTATTCGCTCTCTCTGATTCATCTATTCACACACAGAGAGAGCTGAGGCTTTGTCATTAATATATTTAAAGTGTCCCACTTGCATTAAGCACTGATGTAAAAAGAGTTGAAGGCTGGAAGAGAAGAAAAAAGTTCCGGGCTTCTTATTCAGCGGCTGAATCGCCTCGCAGGTGCAGATGACTTCATCTCCCTGGTTGAGGAGGCGAATGTGAAATCACACCATTTATCAGACGAGTGTGCTTTCAGAGGCCTTCGAGTGATTAAAGAGACACTATGTGTCACATGCTTAACTTCTAACAACCTGTTCCAAGAACTGGAATACAGGATTTGGTCTTTTCAAAGAATTCGATCTGATCGCAGAGATTTGTGCTTTTTTGGCCGTCACCGATTTGACCCATGAAAATGTAGGCTGTTTGTATCTGTTATGTGTTATTACTGTTTGTTCCTTAAGGGCGTCAGATAAAAATGATTCCAACTGCAAGAACTTGGATGTAAATACTGTGTCAGCTGGCATTCGAAGCAATAATGCTCTCATTAGATTGTATTTCCTGGGTATTTTGTCGCTAACTGCGGCTAAACATTTGTTGACTAATCTCTGAAATATGCTGCAAAAGGGTTTTGTCATGAACTGTACTATTTTTGAATGTATGTACATTAATGTGAATGTTTGGTCAGGCAAACCTTGTGTTCTATGTTCTATATATGCTTTATTAGAAACACCTACCTTCAAGCTCCACTTAGCTGGTGCACAGTTGCAGTTTGTGTTAGCCATCCCATTGGCTTTCATCACTGGTCAATTTCTGGCCAAAGATCTGCTCTCAGCTGTAAATATTTGGCTGGTGAACCACTCTTAGCCTAGCAGTGGTCCATTACCCAAATAATGCTTGGTCCACAGTGGCCAGAAACTGACCATTCGTGAATTTAGCAAGTGAGTGGAAGTACAAGGTTGGTGTTTCTAATAAAGTAGATGATGATTATAGACCTTGTGCTCTGCACCCTGCTGATGCGTTTAATTTAACATCTTCTACACTCCACAGGACTTCTTGTTGAATCATCTGAACAAGGATGTGTACAACCCTCTGCTAATCAACTTTTCAGCTCAAACCACAGCTGCTCAAACCCAGAACATCATCATGTCCAAGCTGGATAAGAGGCGCAAAGGAGTGTTCGGCCCACCTCTGGGAAAGAAAACGGTGTGCTATTATCATCCATTATAATACATCCTAATTATAAAGTGCAGTATAAGTTACAATCTATTTTAATTTCTACTGCTACAAGCCTCTGTCATGGTCTATAATAACGTCTTTCTATTCTAATCTGTGCCATCAATGTGGAATGAGATGAAAGCATTTACTTCTTTGTGATCACTCATATCTACATGTATTTACATGATACCAACAGCAGTACACTACTATAGCTGCTAAGTTCTATTATAAGTTTTAACATGTTGCCTTGTATCTATTTGATATGTCTGTGTGCGTCTGGTGTTTCATTACTGTTTACATACATCCAGCATGTACTCATACAGCCAGTGTCAAAACAGAATGGCATCACTGATGATTGAAATTTGAAAGAAATCCCATTATTTTCAGAATAAAATGATGAACATGTACACGTTTGTTCTTTAGGTGGTGTTTGTGGATGATGTGAACATGCCGGCAAGGGAGACTTACGGGGCACAGCCACCCGTGGAGCTTTTACGTCAGTGGTTGGACCACTGGAACTGGTATGACCTGAAGGACTGCTCCATGATCAACCTGGTGGACATTCAGATCATGTGTGCAATGGGGCCCCCTGGTGAGTCTAAATTAGATATTTAATCAGGACTGAAATTTTGATGCAAACCTGAATAAAGCCCCCAGCACCTAGCCTGGTCTGGCCCAAGCCAGCCCATAGCAGGTTTTGAATTGTAACCCAACTGTAGCCTAACTAAATTCTGCCCAAACTCCACTGTAGCCTGACAAAATTCTAGCCCTACAAAATGATATGCCAACCTGACACGATTCTGTCCCTTACTGTAGCCCAATAAAATTATATCCCAACTTGAGAAAATTCTCTTCCTGACTGTAGGCCAACAAAATTCTGTCCCAACCTGATGAGATTCTGTCTCAGCCCAGCAAAATTCTGTTCCCTACATGACAATAAACCTGAAAAAGTCTGTATCAACCTGACCAAATTCTGCCCAAATCCAACAATATTCTGTCTTTGCTCAACTATAGCCCCACAAAATTCTGTCCCATCCCAGAAAAAGCCTGTCCCTACCTGACCATAGCCAGACAAAATTCTGTCCCAACCTGACAAAATTGTCTGTACCCAACTATAGCCCAATGAAAGTCTGTCCCTGATTCTCTAATATTCTCTAATATGCTCTTAAATTTTTGTCATGGTCAGGTGGTGGGAGGAACCCAGTGACACCTCGCTTCCTACGCCATTTTAACACAGTGACAATCAATGAATTTGATGAGAAAACCATGTACACCATCTTCTCCAGGATCCTGAACTGGCACTTGACCATACGGTAAATGTGATGTGTTCCAATTAGTGATATAGTAATAGTAAAATAGTCATTTTTTGTTTTCCCTCAGATCTAAAAATGCAATAGTACTTTTCTTGCTTTGTCGCCATGTCTATATGATGTGTTTCAAGTTATTATATGATCAATTTAGAAGCAGGTTATAGGAATACTCATAATTCAGAGATTGCTAATAATGAAAGCACGCTTGTAGGAGTCAGGTAGCATTGTGCAAAAGAGATCATGCTAACTGGACTTCTCTTTCTTTGGTAGTCAACCCAGCATGTTGGGTCATGTGTTCCTTTCATGCTTTAGAAAAACTCCTGAAATAAGCAAATGCTCTTGCTCTTGTTCTCAGACTTCCTTTTCCAAAGCCCTTTGCTAGCCTTACCTCTCTGGTAGTTGCCGCTACCATGGCCGTTTATCAGGAAGCCACAAAGAACTTGCTGCCCACACCTGCCAAATCCCATTATCTCTTCAACCTGCGAGATTTCTCCCGTGTCATCCAGGGCGTTTGCTTATCTCGTCCAGAGACTGCAGATGACCCTAAAGCTATTAAACGCCTTTGGGTGCATGAGGTAATTTTCTTACTCAACCACATTGTAAAAGCTATACAACACTGGTGCTTGGCTTTACTGTGGGGTTTAAGAGCTAAACAAGTAAAATGTAGTTTAATTCTTTTTCGCTGATGATTATACATGTTGTAATTTTATGTTAATTATTTCTCACTCGTAGCTCATTTAATCAAGCAAAGAGATTTTGTTAAAAGTGTGGATTCAAAACTTGACATCGATATCACATTTAAATTCGTAAGTGGAAAAGAAGATACTTTATCATAATTTGAATTTGCAGAACAGCTATCGTGTGTAAAGTCTTGTGTTGTGGAAGGAAAATTTTCCTTTTAATTTTTTCAATGTTTTTTTAATTATTGAAAGTATGAAGTGCAGTCTCAAACCTGTTATCTGAATATAAATGTAATTCCTTATGTACTTATGTATCATTTATGATGTAATTATGTAATTACATGTAAATAATATAGCAAAATGATAGTAATAACATTGGACTTCTAAGCATGAACCATCAAAGTGAAATTTATTCATATATAATTAGGTTCTGTTTTAGTTTTTGTAATGATGGAAGAATTATTCTTTTGATAGACAAGCTCCCAGCTCTGAAAAGATGTTGTACTTGCATTATCTTAGGTGCAGAGGGTCTATTATGACCGTTTGGTCCACCCATCTGACCGCACCTGGATGGTAGATTTCTTGCAAGAGGTCTGCCAGTCCCAGCTTAAGGAAGACTTCCACGAGCTTTTCAAGCACCTGGATTTCGATTCAGATGGCTGTGTGACAGAAGACGACCTGCGCAGCCTCATGTTCTGCGACTTCCACGACCCCAAGGGCGAAGACCGCAGCTACCGCGAGGTGGGTGACCTGGACCAGCTGCGTCAGGTGGTGGAGTCCCACCTGGAGGAGTTCAACAATGTCAGCAAGGCACCCATGAACCTGGTACTCTTCCGTTTCGCCATCGAACACGTCTGCAGGATCTCCCGTGTCCTCAAGCAGCCTCGTGGTCATGCGCTCCTGGTGGGTGTCGGGGGAAGTGGTCGACAATCCCTCACCCGCCTGGCCGCCCACATGGCCGAGGCTGAGCTCTTCCAAGTGGAAATCTCAAAAAGTTATGGCACAGCTGAGTGGCGTGATGATCTCAAGCTCATCCTGCGCAAGTCTACATTCGGCGACACCCATGGAGTCTTCCTCTTCACCGACACCCAGATCAAGATGGAGTCCTTCCTGGAAGATGTCAGCAACCTGCTCAACACAGGGGAGGTGCCCAACCTCTTTGCTGTTGACGAGAAGCAGGAGATCTGTGAGCGCATGCGAGTCCTGGACCGCCAGCGGGAGCGGGACAAGCAGACAGATGGAAGCCCGTTGGCACTTTTCAACATGTTTCTTGAGCGCTGCCGCAGCCAGCTGCATGTGGTTCTTGCTATGAGTCCCATAGGAGACACTTTCAGAGGCCGTTTGCGACGTTTCCCCGCCCTTATCAACTGCTGCACCATAGACTGGTTCCAGGTGAGGACCAAATTTCTTTCACAGTGGACCCTGGTACCATCTATTGCAAGGATTCTCAGAGGACTGCAAATCAGTATTTATTTTGAATGAATCTTTGAATGTCACAACATTTAGATCCTTATTTTAAAATGCACTGAATATACTGAATAGAGGTAACCAAAGGGGAGTGTACCTATGTTTCCAGGACTCTGTGTTCAGCTCTTTATGTGATACATCCTACCTCAATATGATAAGGTCATCTGTAATGTCAGAGAACAGAAAGTAATGTTTTTTGTAATTTAAACTAAGTGTAGTATACATAAGCTTTTTAACTAATTGCTTTGTGTGGTGCACTTACCTTCTTTTTGTTGTTGCTAGTTGAGTAGCCCTAACAAGTTAACAGAATTAAGTAACAGACTTCAGATGGTGAGGTCTCGGGTTTGGGGAAATGGTGAAGGCAAGTTGACAAGGATGAGAAAGTGCTCAAAGATTCCACTGCTTGCACGAATGCTGACTTTGGTAATGCTTCACAAGTTGTTTATATTGTAAAGTTCAAAATATAATTATAACTACAAACTGTTAAATGCTGCTGTCACTGAACATATTCTTCTTGTTTGCTTAGAGTGATTTTTAATAAGGGAGTCTATTTGGAAAGAGCATATACATAAGGTATAGGTGTTTAATGTTGAGGAAATATAATTGTAACATGGGAACATAGAGCATTTCCCATGGAATTTTGAATTCAAAATTCATGGAAATTCAATGAAATACAAAATTTACTTATATAGTGCTTTTTTACAAAGACCCCAGTTGAAAAGCAGCTGTACAGAAAATCTGAGTGAAAGGCTCGAATGAGCAAGCCAACTGCAACAGTGGCAAGAAAAACTCAAAAAACTTTGAGAGAAACCAGAGGGCTGTTTTCTAGACATTTCAATGAGAAAATAAAGGGTGCTGGAACCATAGAACCCCAGGAACATTGGAGTTGACCCTATCCAGATCCAGGCCAAAGTCCAACACAGTTGGTGATTTTCTTGTTCAAACACCAACTAAACCTGGTAATAACTGCTTAAACTTAAATGAGGTGTATTTGAGCCAGGAAATCACCAAATCTTGCTGGACTGAGGTCCTGCATGAGCAGAAGTGGGCTTTAGCTAAGGACCCTAGATTTATGATTTTATACCACTCCCTCATCTCTTTACTCTCAAATGAACACCATGACCACTGAGTGCCTTGTTGTACCGCCTTTCTTGTATTTTTCCCTTAAGAGCTGGCCTGAAGATGCTCTGCAGGCAGTGGCTTCTCGCTTCTTGGAGGATATTGAGATGACGGATGACACTCGCGCGGGCTGCATCGACATGTGTCAGAGCTTCCACACCTCCACCATCAATCTCTCAGCACGCTTTCTCAATGAGTTGCAGCGGTACAACTACGTCACACCCACCTCCTACTTGGAGCTCATTTCCACCTTCAAAGTTCTGCTGGAACGCAAGAGAACGTAAGGTTCTTCAGTGTCTGGAACTGGCTGTATGGTTTGTTTTCTTTCTTGTAGAGAGTTAGTTGGTCGAGAGTGTAAGTGACATGATCAAAAATACACACCGTATGTCCAAACGTATACAGGCATTACCACCAGCATGAAAATGCTAATTTGCTAGCACACCTGTGGGATTTGCATGTTATGTTGAATATTTACACCAAGCTAACAGTGGTATACATTCACATTACCATCCCACACTGAGGTTAATGCTACTTATGGGAGCTCCAGCCTGCTGAATGTTGTAATAGACATTTAGGTAACATATATTTTAAAGGCAAACTCTGAAAATGTTAGCTTCTTAGCCTGAAAACTAGGTAACCTCTGCTGAGCTGATCAGTCTAGATGTGCACTATATGTCCAAACAAATTTGGACACCCCTTCTAGTTAGTAAATTCAGCTTATTTAAGGTGCCCTTATTGCTTGTATGATCTCCATAGAAAGCACTGTCAGTAGAATAGGATGCTCGGGGGCTGCATGTGAGCCTAAGGTCACCATTCATTGGGCTGTGGAGCAGTGGAACTGTGTTTTTTGGAGTGATGGTGCTCCATCCAATACCTTTGGGATGAGTTTGTGATCCAGAACTAAACTTTTAGACATACAGTGTGCACTAGCCAGCTACTTCATTTAGTACACCTCTTTGTTTCTACACTCATTGTCCATTTTATCAGCTCCATCTGCTGTATAGATGCACTTTGTAGTTCTTCAGTTACAGATTGTAGTCCATCTGTTTCTCTGGATACTTTGTTGGCCCCCATTCACCCTGTTCTTCAATCAGGACGCCCAACAGGTCCACCACAGACTCAGCACTGCAGTGACACTGTAAGAGTGTATTGCACTGGTACAAGTGGATGAGACACAGCAGTGTAGATAATGAGTGTAGATACAAGGAGGTGTACTTGAAGTGGCCAATCAGTATATACTTCAATTTTTATTCAACGAATGTAAACTTGCCATAACTATCAAGAACAATTTGCACATTTAATAAATAGGGTTTCCTTCAGTTTTTTTGTAGTATACGCAATTATTCTTTGAAATTCACACACAAGATGGTCATTCACTAGAAGCTCAAGCTACTACACTAGTGCTGTTTATTTGAGATCTTAGTAAATCAGTGACATAGTTTAGTATGATGTAATGTTTCTAAAGAGATGACCCTGACATTAACGTGCTATTTCCTTGTCTTTGGCAGTGAGGTGATGAAGCTGAAGCAGCGGTACGAGGTGGGCCTGGAGAAACTGGAATCAGCCTCTGCTCAGGTGGCCACCATGCAAGTGGAGCTGGAGGCTCTTCAGCCTCAGCTCCGCGTGGCCAGCAAAGAGGTTGACGAGATGATGGTGGTGATCAAGCATGAGTCTGAGGAGGTGGCCAAGACAGAAAAAGTGGTGCGGGTGGACGAAGCAGTGGCCAATGAGCAGGCCATGGCTGCCAAGGCCATCAAAGATGAATGTGATGCGGACCTGGCTGTAGCCCTGCCCATCCTGGAGTCAGCTCTTGCTGCACTCGATACGCTCACCCCACAGGTAGAGAAACACACACATACATACTCCTATAAGCTCGTGGTTGTTGAGTATTTGAAGAGTCAGAGAATTTTTACTGTCTAGAATTTTCATCAGCTGATAATTCCCAATGACTATTCTTGACCTGCCTAACCAGTCCTAATGAGTTGTTCAAGGCCCAACGAGTTGAACAAGTTGCCCCCAAACTTTTCATGGGTGTGCTTGCATTTCTGACAAGAGGTGAAGAGTCCAGTGTATTTGTAACATATATATATATTTGTAACCTATATGCGTGTATTACTGTTTTACATAATGCTGTAGGTGAAAATATAAAAAATAATACTTTTAACTTACACTATGGCCCAATCTGTAGGACATCACAGTGGTAAAGTCTATGAAGAGTCCTCCAGCTGGTGTCAAGCTTGTGATGGAAGCAATCTGCATCCTGAAGGGCATCAAACCTGACCGAATCCCAGATCCCTCTGGCTCCGGCAAAAAGGTGGAGGACTTCTGGGGCCCAGCCAAGAAGCTTTTGGGTGACATGAAGTTCCTTCAGAGTCTGCATGAATACAACAAAGATAACATCCCACCGGCCTACATGACCATCATCCGCAACAAATACATCACCAATCCTGACTTTGTGCCTGAGAAGATTCGAACAGCCTCCACTGCTGCCGAAGGTCTCTGTAAATGGGTCTGTGCAATGGACTCCTACGACAAGTGAGTTTAGGAAATTTAATGCATTTGAAGCATTATCATAGTCGATAAAAGTATGGTGGTAATTTTATATTATTTATTTATATGTGGAAAAATTGTTTAAACATAAACAGTTATCTATATATAGTTGTACGCAAAAGATTGAACACCCCACTTCAAATTACATGTATTTTGATTTTCTAAGTAAAAATAAGTTGACACAACCTCTAGAGTACATGCTTCTGCACATTTTAATGCACAATGAGTTTAGTGAGTTTAACATATTGGAAAAAATAAAACCTAAAATATAAAACATGCCATTTTTTCCAATATTTTAAACTCAAATTAACAGTAATTGTGGATTAAAATGTGCAGAAGTGTGTTCTCTGTAGAGAATAAGTTATCATGTAGGAAATAAAAAAAACATGGAATTAAACCAGGGGCGTACAAATGTAAGCAGAAGAGGAGACATTTTATGATCCTTCTTAATTTTGCTATAGTTCTGTCATTTTTTACAATGAAACAAACAGAAAAAAACTCAGAATTTCAGTCCTGAACCTGCAAATACAAAATAGAAATTGTAATGTAATTCCTTAAATAGCTATACAATTAATTATTTAAAATAGACAATTATGCAATTGGGTATAAATAGTAGAGCAAAACAACAGTAATGACTCTAAGGATTGACTCTGCACTCTAAACGCTTATTTTTTGGTACTTTCTCTTTTGTGGAAACAGCCAGTAAATGTTGCCAGTGTAGCTAGATCCCAGCAGATTTCTAATTGAGGGGTGTACGAATGATCACAGAGTTTGAGAAACCATGTATAGTAAGTGCCATCTGCAGACTGTCTGCACAGTATGATACTGAGAGTGTACAAAGCTATCATAAGTATAACTGTTTCTCAGTACACTAATATGGTTCTACTAAAATATTAACAGTGAAAGGTTTGGACTTCTGTTTATATAAGCCTTTTCTTTGTGCTATTTTCTTTCCTTTTGTAGGAACATTGTATAATGTTCAAAAAACATCTTAAACAGGTGATGCAGTCATATGTGGGGAAAAAAATGAGTTTCCATAAAAAGATAAGCAAGGATGGATTATAATTATTTACTATTTAAGACTTTAGATATTAAAAAACCTACACATAGTTGACAAAGGAAAAATCAATATAAAGTGTCTTAGTAAGGCGTTGAGCCACCACGATCTGCCAGAACAGCTTCAGTGCACCATGGTATAAATTCTACTTTCTCTGGAACTATACTAGAGGGATGGAACAACATTCTACCAGAAGATATTCCCTCAGTTGGTATTTGATGATGGTTATGGAGAGCGCTATCTAACACATTGCTCCAAAATCTCCCACAGATGTTCAGTTAGACTGAGATCTGGTATATACATACTCATAAAACCTTTCAATGATCTCTCGTGTGTCATCATACTGGAAGAGACATAGAGATGTTTCGTCATAGGATAAATGTGATTAGTCAGAATAACTGTACAGATTTGCAGTGACCCTTGCCTCTAAGGAGACAAATGGACCTACACCATGTCAGCAAAAAGCCCCCCAAAGCATGAAAGAGCCATTGGCCCCCTCACTGCAGGGCTTCAGCATTCAGGCCTGTATTGTTCTCCAGGTGTACACTGCACATGCACTCTCCCACTCGTGGAGAACATGGTGGAGGATGACTCATCTGACCAGGTCACTGTTTTCCACATCTCTGGAGAAGACAGTGCTGATGGTTTAACACCATTGACCTTTCAGATGGTCATTCATCTTTGTAATGAGGGGCTAATGCACTGCAGCTCTACTGTAACATCTCTGTGTGTGTGTAGTTGTGGATGGACTGTTTAATGCAGACAGTTCGATCACATTCTGCACTGACGATCTCAGTAACCTGAGCAACACCTGCCTTTGCATTTCACACTAATTCATGAGCATCACAGCCATTGAATGTGCAGTTTTGGCCACAATTACCAACCCTGTTTACTGATGCCCTTCCCACAGATTTACTGTAGTCACTGTTCCTTTTGAAACAATGGCCAGTTGAGCAGTTCTTTGAGATGGAAGGTCATTCCGCCATAATGAACCAAAGACACTCTTTTAAAGTCAGTTCCTCTTCATCCAAAATTGAGGTCAGATAGGCCTTCCCAGCATTTCCAGGCTTGCCACAGAGCATGGTAAGGTGTTGATTGCTTAATTAGATAATGCAACACATCTGACAGGAAGCATCTGATAGGTGTGCTATTTCTCCACTCATTTATTCAGATTTTTCACCTGTCTGCACTGAAACACTGACAAAGCAAGAGAAAGTAAACTTTAAAAGAAACACTGCTATTGTAATAATACCTCATCACTTTCAACCATTCAGCAGAGCCTGCACTGTCTTGTAAAGACTTGTTTTTCCATTGTTCTCTATCTCAGGGTTGCTAAAGTAGTGGCCCCCAAGAAAGAGAAGCTGGCACAGGCGGAGGGCGAGCTGAAGGTGGCTATGGAGAGCCTCCAGAAGAAGCAGGCAGCTTTGAAGGAGGTCCAGGAGAAACTTGCCAAGCTGCAGGAGACCCTGGAGGCAAACAAGAACAAAAAGGCGGACCTGGAGAATCAGGTCAGTGGGTGCATCATTCAAACGGTACCTTTTAGATTGAGTGGCGGATGTTAGTGAGTGTCAATAACCCACATAAAGGGCCACAGTTTTGGTCCAGCCTCGAGTGAATTTATTTGATTCAAATATGCACATAATTTCAACATGCATAAGAATATCACATACATATTTTTTGCCAAAAGCAAATAAACAGAAAGAAAAAATTATGTAGATGCAATGTATTTGATTCCTGTGGAAATGATGTACACATAAATTCAATGCATCACTTTTCCATTCATGTTACATCATATTTTCAAAAGCCAACCGCCTTCGTTATTAGCATCGCTGATTACATGATTAGCATTCTCTTTTTTGGCATTCCTCTTTTGCAGCTGCACAGATCATTTGTTTTCATTCTTCCTCCGTTCCTCTTTTTTCTTCTACAGTCTACAGAGACAAAAGACAAATGTCACATAGTTTTGGATGGCAATCGACCGTTCCCGTTTTGCAATATTTAATTGACAACAAATTCCACCCTTTCAACGATCTCTGCTCTTTGTGTCTGAGCTTTGTTTACATCCTTTCTTTCTGAGGAGTTTAGTTTGTATTTTGGTCTTCAAAAGATTTGAACCCTTCCGCCCCCATTGTCTTTTTTCGTTTTGTCTTTTCTTCTTTGTGTTTACTTTCCTTCGGTGCGTCTTGCCGTTCAGCCTTTGAAGTCGGAAAAGAGAAGCTCTTGTTTGGAACCCACCCTCTGCGCATACACACACACGCACTGTTCTCATTTGTCTATGGAGGCTGGCTGTCAGTCGACTGGGTGTTTGGGTAACCACCACCAGGGCCTTCTGTCTTTTTCTGCCCTATTTCACTGCCTTTCATGTCCCCTCCCCTTCCCTTCCCCTCGTCTCTCATCTCGCCGTGTTTATTTTTTCAGGTTGTCTGTTTTTCCCTCTTCAAATGGGGAAAATTGTTTATGCCATGCTCTCCCAAGCATGTCGAACATGCAGGCACTCACATGCACAGGGACGAACTCAGAAACTTCCCCCAGAACGCTACCTTTGAATGTTCTTTTTGAGGTGAGGCGGAAGCGTTTAGGTTTAATTCAGCTCCCTTTTTCTCCTTTTAAAAGTATTTTAGCTGCTTTTTTTATCTCTGCGAGGCCGGAGGGGAAAATGTTTCAACACAATGGGAAGGATTTGGCCGTGGCAAGGAAAGTAACAGCCTAGTTTGCTGAATGCATCACAGATCATAATGATCGCAATGATTTAGAGGGAAAATTTTAAGAGGCACTCATTCAACCGTCTACTGAATATTATTCCCTTTGGGAAACCAAATGCTTCCATCCATAAGGATTTATAGTAACAGTTATGATTATGCTATATTGATTACTAAAAATGGAAATTTGAGTTGTCAGCCAGTGAAATGAATAACAGCAATAACGTAATGGATAATCTATAATAATAGGAAGGGAGAAGGCTTACATAAAGGATAAACAGCTTACATTATATCCATACATACAGTACTTGCATACTAATACACACAGCACAATGTAATATTTAGATAAATTAAAGAATCAGATATAAATGAATATCTAAACTTACTGACTAAATTTTATTTTTACTCATAATTAATGTATTACTAAACAAAATGTTGTGTGATAGATATGTAGTAACATTAAGAACAAAAACTTAATTTAGACAGTATGTAAAATGCTAAGAAAAATAGTGATTGGTAAATTCTCACCTGTATTGAATTAAAAACAGTCCAAAACACAATGTTGACCTTATCAACTTTATGGTTTGTTTTGTTTTTTTTTTCTTTTTTTTTTGTATATATATAATTACCCATTCCAAATTTGATGCCTGTCTTACTTTCCCAGAAATTGAGACAGGAGCATGTTTGCCACTGTGTTGCATCACCTTTCCTTTTAAAAACGCTTACTAACTGAAGACAGACAGTTTATCCAGTTTTGAAAGCAGACATTTTTTTTACCATTCTTCCATCTTCAGTTGCAAAACTGGACAAGGCCTTCATTGTTGCATTATGCACTTCATGACGCACAAAAACACATTTTTAGTGGGACAGGTCTGGACTGCAGGCAGGCCAATCTAGCACCTACACTCTCTGATTTCACAGCTGTGCTGTTGTAACACGTGCAGAATGTTCTTTATCTTTAAATATTATCGTATGCAACTACACATACCCGTCCCTGAAGAAGACATAGTCTAGAAGGCAGAATATATTGTTCCAAAATGTGTACATATCTTTCCGCTTTGATGGTGCCATCACAGATGTGCAAGTTACCCACTAATACCCCCCCCCTTACCATGACAGACCCTGGCTTTTAAACTTTTATTTTTATGATGTAATAATCTCCATGGTTCTTTTCTTCTTTGACCAAGTGAAGACGTTTGACATGTTTCCACTGTGCATCTGTCCTTTCCAGATGAATCCGGAGAAGTTGGCAGTGTTTTTCGACATTGCTGACATGAGGCTTTCGCTGAGCAAAATACAGTCCTAACCCTTTGTGGTCCATGACCTCACTCGCGTTTCAAATTCAATGTTTCGCTATCTTTGCAATAATACAGTGATGAAATGCAGTTCAAACATTCCATCAAACATTCTAAACAGATCATACATGACTCACATCTGGAGTTATGAGGCTGTGAAGAGGGGTTGAGATACAGGTCGTCTGCCTCTCACCATGTTTAGTTAGTGGATTCATGTGTCCATCTACATTTTGTGTGAAACTGACCGGTGGAAATCACCAAGGACTGAAGTGCATCATGCCGGAAATCGTTCATTCTTCATTCAGTCCATTTCGGAGACGCATGTGAAGTTCACAGCTGCTGAAGTTACAGCTGAAGTGTATTTTGAAAGTAGCGACGAAGATAACGGAGCATTTTATTATGAAACATACGGGGTATCATGTTATATGCAAGTGCCTTTAAAGGAGAATATTGAGAAAATGCCCTGAGACCCCAGAGGGTTAACGTGCATTTGTGTATGCTGCAATGAACAGTGTTTATTGACAACGGTTTGTCAAAGTATTCCTGAGCACATGTGGTGATATTCATCACAGAAACATGTCAGTGTTTAATGCAGTGCCGTCTGAGGGATTGAAGGTCACAGGCATTCAGTTGTAGTTTTTGGCCTTGCAGAGATTTCTCCAGATTCCTTGAATCTTTTGATGATATTATGCACCTTAGAGGGTGAAATACGTAAAATTCTTACAATTAGAATGTTGGTTTATTCACTGACACATTTTTTAGTAAAGTGGCGAGCCTTGAGCCATCCTTGCTCATAATAGGACTGGGACTTACCCAGATGCCTTTTTTATAACCAAGCATCTCACTCACTTTCTTAATTTAACTCAAGTGTGTTTTGGGCTGTATTCTTTCGCTCTTTACTGAGTAGGATTTCGACACAATATCCATACTTTCAATTAAGTACATTTTTTCATATATTTAAATTAAGATTATTGTCTTTGTGATGGAAGTTCCTGCCATCCATGACCCAAAAATGAATCCACTTACAATAAAAGCCATTTTTCCTTTTACCATATTGATCCAAAATTAAGGTCAACTGTTTCTGCTCAGCATTTTCATACAAGCCACAAAGCATGGTAGATTTTGTCTTTAATTACTCACCAGTCTGTAGTTTTGATGCCATGCTATGTGAGAGCTTCATATAATAACTATTGTTCTCATATTGTTGGCATCTTTAAAAGAAGTAGGACTCCCACACCTCCGCACAGGAGCTGTTTTTATCCACTGCTTTTTGAATTGGCACAAATATCAAGAATATGGATATATATCAGCAAGACACAGACTGTTTGTGAAGAGAAGATGACAGCTTTTTTAGTGGATCAGCATGGGCTGTTGGTGAAGAGGAAAAGTCAGCTTTTGAGCTGGATGGGCGCTGTCTATTACCAGCTGTTTTGCTACACCATGAGTGCATGAGTATGAGGAGTCTATTCTAAAACAGACGCGGTTGTATGCTTCAATGCACTTTCACGCCTCACTATAGTCATATGCGTCTGTCTCACATACACAGTGCTTAAAAATTCTTAGATTATGGAAAATATGACTATTTTACCTTACAACACCTCAGTCAAAAGGCTTATAATGGAGTTTGAGACAGTTTTTTTAAAACAAAATAATAAAAACAAACAAAACATTTAACATTAAGTATCAAATTGTAAAGAATTTTGCAAATACAAACGATAAGAATTTAACCAAACCTACTAATCATGTTTAATATAATTTTACCTTGTCTTTATTTTCATTTTTGTCTGTTAGAGAATTTTGCTGATTGGTTCCCTTCTTTTGGCTCAATAATCTTTTTTTGCCTCTTTTTTTGGCAGATTTTCACAGGTGGATGTGTCTGAAAAGTACACATTTTAGGAAAAAAAAATCCCTTTTATGCCAGATGTAGCGTTTTGGCTGAGACATGTTTCAAGTCCAAATGTTGCTTCTATGTTTTAAAACTGGATCAATGAGGCTAACATTTCTAACAAGCACTGGAACTCAATAGTCTAAAAAAACTAAAAATTTTTCCTGTAAAAATACGGGCACGTTTCTTTGTGTTTACAACTCACAGTAAGTCATACTGTGTCCTAAACCACATTGCAAATCTGCACTACCTTGGTGAAGATCTTGAACCAGTTTAAGCGGGTTGAGATACGTTTTAGGGATGTATTTTTACAATAATGATTTGGGCTATTTGGGTGACTTTTAAGTTCTGTTTGTTACCAATTATAGCCTCATAGCTCTGGTTCTAAACTATAAAAGCACAGTTTGGACTCCAAGTGTGTCTTGGTTGATCGACTACGTCTGGGAAAAGTGGAAAATTGGGTAAGTTAGATGTTTTTTTTCTGCCAAACTATTCCTTTAAGTGTCTATTGGTCAACTGATTTTGAAAGTTCTATCCTTAGATCCTTAGCCACGTCCACTTTGCAAACCGTGGAACATCCCCTAACATGGCTGATCGAATTGTAGATGCGGGATTAATCAGATCAGGGTTTCTTCAGCTGTCCAGTTTTGGTGAGACTGTGCCCACTGCAGAATTGGCTTTCTGCTCTGGGCTGACAGAAGTGGATCCCAACATGGTCTTCTGCTGTTGTAGCCCATCCATCTCAAGGTTCGACATGTTGTGTATTCTGGGATGCTTTTCTGCTCAGCACAGTTGTACAGAGTGGTTGTCTGAGTTACAGTAGCCTTTCTGTTACAGTAGTCAGCTCAAACCAGTCTGGCCATTCTCCATTGACCTCTCTCATCAACATCAGGCATTTCCATCCGCAAAATTACTGCTCACTGGATGTTTTTTCTTTACAAAATTCTAGGAGATTAGCAGTTATAGAAATTCTGAAACCAGCCCGTCTGGCACCAACAATTATGCCACAACCAAATCAGTTACAGTTCACATTTTTTCCCCATTCTGATGGTTGATGTGAACATTACCTGAAGCTGATGGCCCGTATCTGCATATATATTTGATGTGTCTTAACCTTTAATTGGTTCTTATAGGTTGAGCTGTGCAGTAAGAAGCTGGAGCGGGCAGAGCAGCTGATTGGTGGTTTGGGGGGAGAGAAGACACGCTGGAGTGAGACTGCGCTACACCTGGGCGAGCTTTACAACAACCTGACCGGAGACATCCTCATCTCAGCTGCTATAGTAGCTTACCTGGGGGCTTTCACCTCTAGTTACAGACAGGTACACACATACAAATGAGACACTGCCCTTTCATTTAGTTAATTTCCAGTCCAACAGCCATTAAGTACAAATGATTCATTTTTCACCATAAGGAAAAATGCAGAAAACTGCTTTAGAAAATATGTTTAACTGAAAATTACGCAGAAGCCTCAACATAACATAAGTTATTTTTTCAGTATTTATTGTGCTCACTTTTTATTTTAACAACGGCTTCCATTCTTTTCAGGAGACCCGCTTTCAGTTTCTCAAAGAAATTTGCAGCCACACCTCCAAAGTTTGGTCTTAGAAGTTGGTTTAGCATTTTCTGAAGTAAACCCATTCAGTGATGTTGAGATCTGGACTCTGGGGTGGTCAGTCCATTGTTCTGAAAACACCAGCAGCTTGTGTGTCTGTTTCCTTTTCTCAGTGAGGGCTTCTTGACAGCTAAACAAAATTTCAGACCCATAGCGTTGAGTTGTCTTCTCACAGTGGAAGGATGGGCAGAATCTACTCCAATCTACTCAGAAATATCTATTGACAAATTAATAACTTGCATTTAATGGACATTTTGACTAGAAATAAATGAAGGGTGGCCTCTGACTTTTGCTCAGTACTGTATACACACACACATATCTGCTACATATGCTAAAAATGTCACCTCTGTTACCTCTGTTGCTGCAGTAGCCTATCTTGTAGCTTTCACCTCACAAGCTTTATATGTGAGTCACTGAGATATGCCACAAAATTGCAAGAACCTTGATTTTTCATGGGTCAACATTTGGCTTATTGCACAACCTTCCTACTGTCCCTTATGGTCATGCTACTTGAGCCAAATGTTATTCTGGACAGCTCTCCAGAAGCATTTAAATGATGGTACCGAGTATGCCATCCAGTTTCTGCAATATTAAAGCCAATTATTTTTTGTCTAACTATGTGTATGATGAAAAGAAGCCCCAAGAACCCAATTAAGTCTAAGCACTTTGCCAAGCTCACCCATACTTAAAGAAAGTGGTAAAGTTTTTTTTTTCGCATTAGGAAAACTGGACTGCTTGGTAAACATTCAAAAGTTGTTTTGATCAGTGGTTCTGACCTGCTGTGAATTTGCAAGTGAGGAAATGAATCACAACTCCCCCATGCCCCTTCTCACACATATAAACACACCCACCCATGTATTCCCATCTTCATAGTTTTCCCTTGACCTGTGCATTACTGCAGTTAAATACTGTTGTGATAACCTACAATCTACAAACCTACAATCTTTTGTCTCTTCACTTACATTTTGTGATGTTGTTTGTGCATGGGAACCTACATAATGTCATTATTTTAATGTTTTCTGCTTAGAAATTGGGTTTATTATGCTACTTAGGGAATGTTTATGAATTGTAGAAGCTATTTGTTCTCCACAAATACAGAAAGACATGGTCCACACACACAAACACATGCACGCACATCATAAACATGCCCACTAATGTATTACTACCTTTTTTGGGACTTTTCATTGGACTTCGTCTTACTATGGCCAGTGATGGAAAGGGCCGCCCACCCCGTCTCCATAGTAACACGCTCTGCTGCAGTCCACCCATGAGTTTGGAAGGTACGGTGAAAGCAGCACAAAAAGTCAATAATAAAAGTGGTTGTTCCCATTCTAGTTAAACCTGGGTGGTATACTTAATCTATATAATACATAATAGAATAGAATATCTAGTCTGTTCAGTGTAGTTCACGTTTTTGATAAGTTATGTGTCATTGTTGAAAATTTTAGTAAGTAAGTGAATTTTCCAATTCCCACAACAAATTAGCTCATTGGCCACTGTGATCCTGCTAAACTCAAGGTGCGAGCTAATTAGATATCTAAATATATGAAAATGTAAAAGAATAATCCTGGACAATTTTTACCTTCTAGCTAAGTACATCACATCTTATACAAACAAGGTAGCTCAGTAGTCACAATTCTACTTTTATTTTGTGTTTCAATCTTTTACTCTGGCTTGATTACAATGATTAGGACCAATCACAGTCAGGAGGAGGTCTCAGAACAAACAATGTGGAGATTAGGACCAATTACAGTCAAGGGGAGGTCTCAAAATGAGTAATGCAGTGATTTAGACCAATTGCAGTCAGGAGGAGGTCTCAGAACAAATAACACGGTGATTAGGACCAGTCACAGGCATGGGGAGGTCTCATAATGATTTATGCAGTGACTAGGACCAATCACAGTCGGGGAGAGTCTCAGAACAAACAGTGTGGTGATGAGGACCAATCGCAGTCATGGGGAGGTCTCAGAACAAATAATGGGGTGATTAGGAGCAATCACAGTCGGGGGAGGTCTCAAAATGAGTAATGCAGTGATTAGGACCAATCACAGTCAGGAGGAGGTCTCAGAACGAGTACTGCAGTGATTAGGACCAATCACAGTCGGGGGAGGTCTTTGAACAAACAAAGTTGTGAGTAGAACCAATCACAGTCAGGAACAAGCAAAATTATTATTTTTAGCCAAAATAACACAGCACCACAGAAACTTAAACCACTGCGTTGTTTTGGCCAAAAAGGCATCATTTTGCTTGTTCTGAGACCCTGTCCCACTGTGATTGGTCCTTTATCACCACATAGTTTCATTTTTAATGTCATTTTCATTTGAAGTATATTGCTGGCTTGAAAATATGCATAATATTAACTTCTGTTTTCCAACATTTATTTTTGTGGTGGGGTTTGTGGAGGTATGATGGATCTGGATGCTGTTCCACCGTGTCACGGGGGGTTGCATAAGCATACTCCACACCAGAGGTGTGTGTTACAAATGCTAAATGCGGGTGAGTGCTGGCAAACACCATAGCCCAAAGCAGGTGGTTGCGAGCAGGCATGACGTGTAGTTTAAGTGGGTGGGTGTGGACAAGAGCGGCACTAGATTTTGCGAGCGCAAGTGGACGTGATATGTGATTGAAGCAGGTCCAGTTATTAATAATCACGCCCTCTAACTGTCATGATATAATGACTGTTTTCCATGTCATTAAGAGACACGTATTTTTTAGACAGAGAGAAAAACAGAATGAACACACACACACATGCACACAGAAAATGCATTCGCATGTTTGTCAGGCGACACATCACGAGTGTGTGACACCTCGCTGTCTGCTCCTCCATTTCATTTCCTTCTCAGCTCTTTGTTGGACGTGAGCGAGACAGCGCGGGCCCCGCGTTTCTAAATATTTAACCTAATCGTTTTTTATGAGCCACACACGGAGCAATATTAAAATGCCTTCGCGCTCTCTCCGCTGATGTTATTGGCGTGCACGCCTCCTCTCAGTTGTCTATTTTTATCAGCCAACTGCCATGAAAAATGAATGAACCCAGGGAAAATATTTGGGACCATGCTGGGAGATAATGTTGCGAACTCAAAGCGGTGGTTCTGAGGAGACGCGAGTGTTTTAACTTCATCATTTTCTTCACTGAGAAAGCAATATCTTTTACCGCAGAGGGTCCTTCTGTAAAAGTCAGCATGGAGGCTTATGGAACGCAGTCTATTATTCATGTGTATACAAAGCCATTATTGTACAAAGCACAAAAATAAAGCTGTCTAAACATCTCACTTTTATGACAAAGCAGTTGTCTAAGCATCTACCGTACTGTGCAAAAGTCAAAGACCACCATTCCATTTATTTAATCTCCGGTAAATATGTACATAAAGTTCTTCAGGAAAAAAAATCAGAAAACATATTCTTTAGCAGATATATGTTTAGCAGAAAATTACACGTAAGCCACAACAACTAAATAGATTTTTCAGTACTTATTGCGTTTACTGTTCACCTTTATTACAGCTTCCATTCTTTTTAGGAGACTCACTTTCAGTTTTTCAAAGAAATCTGCAGACATACCTCCAAAGTTCAGTCTTCAGTCAGGTTTAGCATTTTCTGCTTCTCACCATCCAAGTAATCCAAACACATTCAGTGATGTTGAGGTCTGGACTCTGGGGTGGTCAGTCCATTGTTCTGAGAACACCAGCAGCTTCTTTGTTTGATGTGTCTGTTTCCTTTTCTCAGTAAGAGCTTCTTGAACAGCTACACAATTGATTTTCTCCTCTCTCTCAAAGATGAAAGCTTTAAGTGCTGTTTATCTGATAGGGGCAGTTTTGATGGTCTACCAGGTCTTTCAGGTGGTTGTTAGGAGGAACATTTTCTCTGTAGCTTTTAATCATTTTTCGGTTGTTTTGACTCAAAGTTGAATAAATCACAGGTGGTCTCTGACTTATGTATAGTACTGTAAATTTGCTATATATAACTGAATTATCCCATACACAGTTTGTCAAAAGTTTGGGAACACCTAGTTGTTTCAATAAGCATTTTCTTTGTTGGTTTGAAATGACATACCTTTGCAAAAACTGCAAGGAGCTGAAGGAACTGACAAAAAGCCCATTTTTAGGAATAATATGAAAGCGCACACATTTTATCCCATTGTTGTGATGTCAGCCCTCCTCAGCACTTAAATCTTTCAGGTATTCAAACAAGTTAGCACCTTTGGGCCAAAAGAGTTGCAGTTTGTGCTTTTAAAAGTAGTTTGGAAAAAAAAAAACTGTCAAATCATTCTCTAGGCAAAACTTGCTCTTCATGTAAGGAAAGGTACTTTGATGAACATGAAGCAAGTGTTGAGGTATAAACTCAAAGTATTAGCAGAACACAGCTTTAAACACACATCAAATCATAGTATTTTTCACTAAAACACTTACTTAACTGCACAAAATCTGTGTTGCTGTAGTGACAATTCCTAATGTTCCACACTGATTTTCAGACTTTAGGACATGTTTACTGCAAAATAATGGGATCTGCTTACCATGTGGCAATGAGGGACAGGGATGCAGTCTCACTTCCTGCTTTAAAATGCAGTGGTGGGGCTAAAATAACGCTTTGTGTTTCAGTAATGACAGGAAAATGTGGGGCAGCGTTTTTTGATTTTTGATTTTTTTTTTTTCAATTTTGAAATAAAACAAAATCTATAAACTAATCTAAATCAGCTTCACTTTAAAAAGACAAAAAATCTTTAAAAAATGAATTTGACACTTTGACAAACATTCTACAAGTCTCTGGAGAACGCCGTTCTTTCAAAAGATGTTCCCTCAGTTGGTGTTCTGATGATGGTGTTGGCAAGAACTAAATAAGTTAATACATCCTTTACAGAGAACACACTTCTTCACAGTTACTGTTAACAAATTGGGAAAAAATTAAATACAAAATGGGGCCTTGCATAATTTGTATTTTATTCTTTATTTTTTTCCAATATGTTAAGCTCAGCAAAACATTGTGCAGAAAATGCCATATTTAAGGTTCCTGTAGAGGATTTCAAAAGAAGTTGTCACTTTTGATGGACAGTGTGGATTCACACAGACAATTTTGCTATTGTTGTCATTGCATTGGTTACATTTTAATGTACATAGTCTCATGCAAGGTTTTCACCCAAACTATGATGCATTATTATTATTGCTGTCTCTACTCAAGCAAAGCCTTTGCCGGGAAAGGTTTAAGGTCTCTTTTTGTGTTCTTAGTATGACTCTTCAATTTTTGAAGAGCTGTGTGGGTGTGACATCAAATATTCACAAGATCAATATGCAGAACGTCAGCACGGGATGAGACATAACGGTGTTAGATGCCAAAACAAATGCAGCTCTTTTAACAACAGAGACAATTATATAGTTGTACTTGCTGGTGCTGAAAGACGCATGCGTCTTCCAACCAGGACAAATTAGTATGCAAGAGACTGGCATTTTGGATTAGTCAAATAATAAGTTTAACTTGGTTAAGTACCTACATTGCTTGCCTGAAACTGTTTGATTCACAAAACACTTTCATTGCACTGAGGTTCACAGAAATGCTTCACCCAAGAAAGGTATTGTTGCTAATATTGAATGAAGCTTGTAAGTAGCACCGTGCAAATTAGCACTACACTGTCTGATCCCCAGCTGTCAGTGTGAGCCATGGTAATATTTTTTGGAAGTATGGTTAATATCACAAATTTTAATGCATGGTTACCATTTATTTGCTGAACAGATAGTAAAATAAAAAATGTGTTGTGTGCAAAAGTTTGGGCACCCTCTGGACTTTATCTGTGTGCGTTTGTGGTGACTGCAGATAGCTACAGATGAGTGGATTGGGCTGTGTAAGGCCAGGGAGATCCCCTGCTCCAAGAACGTGTCCCTGATGCACACTCTGGGAGAGCCCGTGAAGATCCGAAGCTGGACCATTGCAGGGCTTCCCTCGGACAGCTTTTCCATTGACAATGGCATCATCATCTCGTAAGTGCCTGTGCCTCGAGTTCTAAAATATGAAATGTTGCACATTTTCACACCAGGTGTATGCATTGCCTTGGCAGACTTAACCTGAATGTAGACAAAAACTTGGCTGTAAATAAAATAATGAGATTATGTTGTTGAATTTTGCACTACTTAAAAAATAGTGAGAAATACATGATTTACATTTGGCCCTTTAAAATTGTTAGATAGGCTAGATATGAATGCCATATTATACAGAGCACCAACACTGGGAATTTTATTTCATTTCATTGAGAGTACCCAAAACACAACAATAAATCTCTGTTGTCAGAATAAAACCAAATCTCCAAAATGGTAACTTTACACAAGATGGAAAAAACATACTTTAATTTTAATGTAAGTCAGTGGAACCCGACTTTTTTTCAAGCAGTTTTGGACCATTTCTTTTGGTCCATTCATCATGACATTAACACACAATGTAAAGGGCAACAGTCATTTTCTAATGATGTCAAAAACTGAAAAATGACAAAGATGAAGATACAAGGTCAGAACGACAGCATCAAAATATTAGACAATTCAATAACAATGTTGCATGGGTCAATACTGTAATAATGACAAATGTTGATATGTCATGAAACCTCATTGTTTGTCACGTGTCACATGTGCTTACCCCATGATACAGTCTAGCTTTAACCCATGCAGTCTTGTAGAATGCAAACAGATTTGGCCCTTTCTAGTCTTTTGGGCCTTTTGGTTTAATATGCACTGTATGTAATAGCAATAATACTATAGTAGTACTCATGAGCAAGCTGCAGGGAAGTGCACAGATAGACCCCAGGAGGACTGGAGCCCCTGCTCTTTTGCCTTCAGACTGTACAAGTGCCTTCTTTGTGGTCATGTATAATAATTGTGTTTTATATGGCTATTATTCAAGATCCATTTTAGCAAGGCAAAGCTTACGCTGCGTTTACACTTCTCCAGCACATGAACATATCCACCTTCTTTGGTTGCCTGCATGTGGGTGTTATAAGGGCGTTCATTTGTTCATTGGCTGGATTCATTTGCATTATGTCCCCCAAACTCAACACACCGTCCCATCACACAGCACTTGTTCTCATTGGATGGAACCAACATTAAAAATGTAAAATTGTATTAAAAGTGAATGGTATACGTTGCAGTGCACCGGGAATAGAGCTTATGGGTCGGCTCAGGTTCCACAAGCTTTGTTGCTCTTGGGCGCCCTCTCTGGTGCAGTACCATCGCCCATGGAGATTTTGCCTTTGTTTACGCCGACCTATCACAAGCGCACGTTTCACCACAGCGCTGGAAATTCCACTGAAAGAACTCTGAGAATCTAGCGTCAGATTGCATAATGAGTTATTTCGTACAACCAAACAAACAGTAATACAGGGCGATAATAACTTTCTAAACCAAGTTGTCTCTCTGTGGAGCTCTTACATAGTGTTGCAGGTCCAGAAGTGGAAAGAATTAGATAGCAAAGAGAGTAAAGTTACCCTTGTACCCTAGAGATCAGGGTTCAAAACCCCATTCGGGCAGTAAGGCAGATGACATTAGCGACCTTGATAGAAACTCTCTTGGTAAGCGTTATGCTGTAAATTATACTGTTTCATTATGTTGCTCTTTTTTTCCTTTAAGCCCCCGCTCCACAAAATGTCTGTGCACGGGCCTGAACAACTGCCCAAGGAATGTGCTTGAAGGTAGTAACGACCACTGTTTTATAGGTTTTAATGGCCTTAAATGATGCTGTATGGCTTCTGCATAAATGCCCACGTTGATGGCAAAAGCCAGTGAGCCCTTTAAATAAATAGCTGCTCCTTTTTTCACTCATTTGGTGCAGAATAAATAGGTTGCGCCACTCGATTTGAAACATGCAGGGGTTAAGCAGAGCTAGCACTCACTTTGATACGTGCTTTGATGTTCTGATTGGTCACAGATAGTCTGCAATTAATCTGTTATGTCAAACCAGAAAGATGCAGCGAGGACTTCTGAATGTGTATTTATGAAAAGCATGGGGAAAAGGAAAGTGTGTGATTATACATTGTTGAATGCAGAAGTTCAGTAGCTCTAGCTTCAGAGAGTAGAAAGGCTCAAAGAAGTCAACATGACGAATGTGAAAGAAAAGATAGAAGTGGGTCATTAGTATGAAATTGTATTGCACATAGCAAGAAGCTACGTGGCAACTAGGCGAGTTTCTTAATCTGTAGGTTCGGGAGCAGTTTTGAGAAATGTCTCAGGTGAAGACGGATGAAAAGCAGAAGCAGGAGTGGTCTATCAGCATGGCCCGCCCAAGTTGACACAGCTTGAGGCTCAGTGACTCTATAAACTTTTTTTGTGTCTTAGCAAACCTCAGAGTTGGGTTTCTCTTGCTTTTAACCCGAAAGAGGAGCTGCAGTTGAGAATGTGATCACAAAAACGGAACGTTCACTTTGCTGCCTTTGTCACTCTTTTGCTGAGAAAGTCTTTGAAGATGCCGCAGAGTCTCAAAATATTTTCATACTGAAGAAGACACGCGGCGCTTCTGCTTTTGAATTCATTGTACTAGCGCAGAAATGGAGCTTTGATGAATATGCCATCTATCAATTACTCAGACTTTACCTTCACTGCAGAAACAGATACATGGCTTCTGATTCATCTTTTTTTTTTACTTTAATAAAGCGAAATCTTGTCTTGTCACCGACACCACTAATCGTGCACTCGCTTACCCGAACAGGTGTTTTTCTTGACTTCAGATGGTCAGCTGAACAGCTATTGATAGACTTGGTTGTACTAAATCATATGTATTATTAATTCTTGCAAGTTTTTGTATTGTATTTCTGATTATTTTCGTTTATTCTAATGATATATGGTGTTTTACAGGTGCAAGCAATGCTTATTGTCAGATAAATGGCTTTAAAAAAAGGGTGACACCTGCTGTATATATAAATAATATGATATATTTAGCAAATAAACTGTAAACGTGCTGAGGTGTGTTTTCTGTAGAAAATGTGTATATGAGTATATGAGGTTAAATTGGGTAAATTGGGGCGTGTCTGTTGCCAGTGATATGTAAATAAGGTCAGCACAGGTGCTTGTTTATATGTACTGAAGCTGATTCATCAGTTGTGCTCAAATCAGTTTGTTTTTGTCGTACAACAGTTTCTGCACTTGTTTAATGAATAAGGGCCAATGAGTGTAGATACCAGGTAGGTGGATCTTATAAAATGGCCAGTTAGTGAATGTCCAAGGTACGTGTTTCTTATAAAGTGTATGGTGAGTCTGCTGTTCAATACTGTTGAAACATAGTAAAATTGCATTAGCACTCTTGACTAAGCTGACCAATAAAATGAATTTTGGTAATAATGACCTTAGTGGCATCCGTATTACTGCCCATGCTCTCAGCTTTAATTAGCGGTCAGGTACATGCACTCTGATCATTCAGTTGGCATGCCAAAATCACTGTTTGGTCTGAAGGATAAAGCAGTTATTTTGACAGCTGGGCTACTCTGGGGAAACTACCTTCGCTTGGATACACACAGTTTGCCTTGACAGGAGTTGGATTGCAAGTGCTTTCTGCTCCAATTCAGTACCTATAGTAAGTACTCTCCTTTTTCCCAGGTCCCTTTAGAGGCTGTTTTTTATAAATCCTACAATGAGGCCAAATGAGTTTTTACAGCATTTATTGGAGAAATTTGATGTACTCAGGCAAGCCAGCTTTGATTCACTGCACAAGGTTTTTTTTGGACATTAGTTGGTGGTAGATGTTCTTGGGAAGCAATATAATGCTGCTTTAGAAACCTCTGTGATGATGCTTGGTAATGCACAGGCAGCCATTCTTGGGAATGTTATATTGAAAAGTTAATTAAGTTTCGAGTGAGTAAAGATTCTTTAGAGGAGAGTTATATGCTCAAATGGAAAAGTGCTACTGAGAAGCATTATTCTCGAGAACAAAGTAATAACCTTCTTGAGTTTGCGTCCCCAAAGTAGACACAATATTGAGAGCCTGTAGAAGTGAGAAGACTAAATAGTTCTTAAAGGGAAGGTGATATTTAAGTTAGTCACAAGATACTTATTCATGAAGTGTTTTTATGTTTGCTATTTTCTGCATTGTAGAAACAAAACTATGACATAACATATGGATATTTATGCAGTAACCACAAAACCTCTGTTTTAGATTCTTCAAAGTAGCCCCTTTTTGTCTTGATGCAGGTTTGGCCTCCTCTCAATTAGCTTCATGAGGAGCCACCTGAGATGTTTGTACATCAGGTTTGAAGAAGATCCACATATACTGAGCACTTGTTGGCTGCTTACTTGTTTGTCATAATTTAAAGCATACAAACATAAGTGTTTTGACCACATTGTTGTCACCCTATCAGGTGCTTACAGGCTTTTGTCTGTATGTTAATGTATGTTAATGTATGTAATGGAAATCATTCTTCTCAGATGTTCTTTACACATTCCTCACACGTTCCTCCTTTTTAGTAACGCGAGACGATGGCCGCTGATGATCGACCCGCAGGGCCAGGCCAATAAGTGGGTGAAGAACATGGAGAAAGCCAACAGCCTGCACATCATCAAGCTGAGCGACGCTGACTTCGTGCGAACCCTGGAGAACTGTATCCAATTTGGCACACCAGGTGATTCACTGCGCACCATTTGTCCGTCAATGTATATTATTACAGGTGGGCTCAATGCTTTTTGTATGTTTAGTTTGGAATTGTATTTCTTTATTCTTTCAATCTTATTAACCCTGTTGAGCTGAGCATCTCTTAAGCCATCCATTCTGAGAATTTGGCAGTGGCTTCTTAAATCAGCGTAGCTGCGTTTTGTGCACACCCACGTTGGCCAAAGTGAAAATGTGTAGAAGCTTTCTGTGTGCGACCGTGTTTTCTATCACTCTATAAAAGATGAAGGAGGCCACCTTTTTTACTGGATGTGGTGTGAGTTACTGTGCAACCTCACACTGTAGTCGGTAACAACAAAAAGAGAGAAGCACTAACCTGTCCCAACACCTCTTCACTGTACTATGCTTGTTTGCTGACTTATGCCGTAACAGTTATTAATAGTCATTCCTTTTTCTTGTTAATTATCATCAAATTTATCATTACTGGGGTATTTTGCTAAAAGATTTATAACAACGTGACATAATGGAAATAAAAATGCCATAAAACTACATCTCTATTCTGAATATGTATGATACTATTATCTTATTGATAATATTATTTGTTTTTATATTTTAATATTGACATATACAGTATATCAATACGATAAGTGTAACTGTAGGCATACATTTGTTTACACAGTTTTGAATAGCTGTATGTATGTTATTATCTGTGGCCTCCCAGCATTACATATCAATGCAACAACAGCATTGAGAAATCTTTATTAATGGAGAAGAGCAGATTAAATTGTGTCCTTAAAGGGTTAAAGGAATAGAAAGTTAAAGAAATTATTTTATTATTATCAACCAAGACATGTTTGGTGTCTTGAAAATTGCTTCTTTAGTTTTACATTGCAACCAATCCCACCAGCTAGCATCATACAAACTGCATGCCTACATTATCAAAGTTTGCACCAAAACTGCACTGAGTTATTAAGTAATATCAAACAGGCCTGGATTCTGACACTGTATGGCATTTTCTATACTGTTATTTATAAAATTAACAAAAGACAAATCGAACAAAGAAGGTGCTGGTGTTCTCAGAACAATGGACTGACCACCTCTACATCACTGAATGTGTTTGGGATTACTTGGATCATGAGAAGTAAAAAATGTAAAACCAACTTGTAAGACTGAACTTTGGAAGTGTGGCTGCAGATTTCTTTGAGAAACTGAAAGTTGCTCAAAAAAAAGAATGGATGCCGTAATAAAGAAAAAGAGTGGACGTCAGTCATTCAAGCTTCGGCATGACTGCTACTGTTTTAGCCATGGCACATCATTTTGTCAATTTATACAGAAATCACATAAATAAGTCTTTTTGAGACTCTTTAACACTTTAACACAGTTGGAGGCAAGTGTATGATGATCCAGGCACACACTTTGAGTGTTGCTAATTGGTGAGATGTGTGTTTTTCTCACTTGTTAGCTGCATAGCTGCAGTGCAAAACTAAAGAAGCAAGCTTCAGACACCAAACACGTCCTGGCTGATCAGGTACATTTGGGGTAAATCGGAAATTGTGTAAATCTGATTTTTCATCAGAATATTCCCTTAGACTGCAGTCTGCATCATTCACAGCTTGTCTGTCTATATTACAGGACAATTTACCCCCATTAACTTCCTTTGTTATCCTCTCAAATGGATCATTTGTTTCATCATTTGTTTGTTACGCGGCCTGAAGCTTTTGATGAGTTAACAAGGCAAATCTTCCCCTTATTTCTTTCACCAAGGAAAGTAAACAGATCTGGCCACCCCGGGTGCAATACCGCGCCCCCTCCCCGGGGGTCTCCCTTCACCCGCAAACCCAAACTGGAGATCAAAGCAGGAGCTGGAGCTACAGATACCTGTTGAGAGGCGCCGGCTCACGCCTTCTCTCCTCAGGGCGACATGGAACGCTCGTTTCCCAGATTTCCAGACTGCACCGCTGCCCGCGAGCGCTATCCACCGACTAATTTCACACATCCGCTCCTCCGGGGCGGCCCAGACGCAGGCGAGAGACCTAACACAGAAACGAAAGAGTACGCAAACTCATCCTCTCCTGCTTGTCAGCTCCGTCCCTGAGAGGGGGAGACAGACGAAAGACGGACAGAGCTTTTGTTTGAATACAACCCCCCCGGCATCCCCAAAGTTTTTAGCCCTGAAGATGAGTTGTCGTCCCCCAATTCCCACCTCAACAGCATGCGCCCGACTGCGCACCCTTTGAGTAAATAGCTGTTATTATGAATCATGCTTCTTTTTGTCGCTTATTTGGTTGAGTGGGTGGGTAGGTGGGTGTTTTCGCACACCGTGAGCTCCACTTGGCATAAAAGAGTTTCGGGGGGGGGGACTTAAAGATTACGTACACTGCCTGCTGTCAAGACAAAGCACATGTTTGTAAATGGAGACATTATTTCAAAGTAATATTGCCATTGTTTTTATTCAATTTTAGTCATTTATTCATTCATTTTTTATTTATCCTTCCTTCCTTCTTCGGAAATGATAGCTTCTTGACAAAACAATAGTGATTTTGAAGCCTTTTCAATCCATATTACAGTTTATCAAATTTAGAAATGTATAGAAAAATGTGGAGATTTCAGATTTCAGACCTCAAATCAATGATATTTTAAAATTCAATTTTTAGTCAAGTCAGATTATTTACAGCAGCAATGTCATACCATATATGTATTTTCCTATAAACTTCGTGTACCATGCCATGTTTCATATTGCAACATGTATATTATCGAGATATGTTATCCTATCTTGACAGCCATGTACTGTTACAGACTATCTAAACTCACCATACTGTTCATTTCTCTCTTCATACTGTTTATATTTATGTGTACTGTTTATTTCTCCTTCAGTGCTGCTGGAAAATGTGGGTGAGGAGCTAGACCCCATTCTTGAGCCCTTGCTGTTGAAGCAGACTTTTAAGCAAGGTGGAAGTGTGTGTATCCGCCTTGGAGATTCCACTATAGAGTATGCACCAGATTTTCGCTTCTACATCACAACTAAGCTACGCAACCCTCACTATCTACCCGAAACTTCAGTCAAGGTGGGACTCCATAACACACACAGACACACACACACACAATCTAAGGCAGTCTTTTCACGGTGAAACTTTCATGCAACTTTAATTGCTTGAATCCTACCTGAAACTAAATTGAACTTGAGGTGCCTAATGTAAAGCATCCTGCAACTCACTTGAAACTCAGTCACAACAGTTGCATGTCTCATCTATGTGGAACAAGTTTCATGGCTGACTCAAGGTTGGTAGTTTTTCATTTTTTCAGTTTCCTGAGCCACAACAACAAACATGAGTTTTTTAAAAAGTTACTATTCCTCTAACCAGCCGTGTTAACTAGCCAGCTAAAGGAACATTGTAGTGCCTCTGTGTATTATGTCTATTAAAATTTGAATAGTTGTATTTGTACCTTGTTTTTTTGGCTAATTTATCCTTCATGAGTGCACTGCTAATGAAGTCTTATCATATGTTGTACCTTTTGAAATACTCAAACTTACTTTAAAAGGATCCACTGGTCTGAAAGGAGTTCATATTTTCGAATGTCCCTGAGTTTTTAGTTCGAGGTTTAAAAGTACACTGATGGGGTTTGTTGGGGCCCCTTTCACTCCTCATTACTTGCTAGCAACTCAGCACAACATTTCACACACAGAGATCCAATGTCCTAGTTAATCTGATAACAGAGTCACAGTGTGGAAATATTTCACTTGAATATATTAATTAAAAATATCCAAGATAGCTTCCATTCTGCCAGCGTAATGACCACTAGGGGGCACTGCACAAAAGGGTCAGAAGATAAGATGATAAGCAACCAAAGGGTTTAGCTTTATTTACAATGATTCTAAAGATCTCAGTCTCTTCGTGTCTCTCAGATGAGTTCTCAGAATTTGTTTGGCTCCTGAACAGGAATTGTAGCTCCACCCAAAACTTTCTGTGAATTTCAGCAGGTATCAAGGGTGTGTAATAAAAAGAAACACACATACACAGCTGTGCAAATTTCTTCATTACAGCCAAAAAAATCCCAGAAACCTCACAGTGGAACACACTAATACACAGACATGCATACATTTCTACATGGCAAGCAGAGTAAATCTCTAAAAACGCAGTCATCGTAAGACACTGTACAGCGCTGTTATTCAGGACAATACAGGGCATTCGCTTTCAGATACACATAAATACACACACGGATCTGATGCTCTTTGTGTGCTTACTCATCTTCGCTGTCCAATTTCAGATAGCAGTGATTTTATCTTGAGATGAAAGGCAGACAACTCTGAACCAGAACAGAGAATTAGAGACAAAAAGGCTGCACAAGTGCTACAAAATCACTTAAGGCTAAGATACTGTCATTTGGCTCCCTCGCCACACACTAGATAAAAGAGAAAAGATCGCTGCCAGAGATTATAATAGGGGCTCGCTCGCTGTGGTTATCTCTTATTACGTTCAAAGCAACAAAAGTTTGAGTCATTTTTGGTGCCCTAACGTCCATAGTTGGTATCATATATCCTCACTGACCACTTTATTAGAAACCCCTACTTTGCACTTTCATTCACAAGTCTCTTTGAGGTCCACCTTTTTACTTTTTTGGGTACCACTATATACCGATCAGACTGTGTTCCATCTGTTTCTCTGCATACTTTGTTAGCCCCCTTTTACCCTGTTCTTCAGTTGTCAGGACCCCCATGGACCCTCACAGAGCAGGTACTATTTGAGTGGTGGATCATTCTCAGCACTGCAGTAACACTGGTGGTGGAGTGTTAGTGTGCCTTGTGTTGATACGAGTGGATCAGACACAGCAGTGCTGCTGGAGTTTTTAAACACTGTGACCACTCACTGTCCACTCTATTAGACACTCCTGCCTTGTCAGTCCACCTTGTAGATGTAAAGTCAGAGACAATAGCTCATCTGCTGCTGCACAGTTTGTGTTGGTCATCCTCTAGTCCTTCATCAGTGGTCCCAGCACGCTGGTCAAAGGACGCCGCCCACAGGACGCTGTTGGCTGGATATTTTTGGTTGGTGGACTATTCTCAGTCCAGCAGTGATACTGAGGTGTTTAAAAACTCCAGCAGCACTGCTGTGTCTGATCCACTCAGACCAGCGCAGCACACACTAACACACCTCCACCACATCAGTGTTACTGCAGTGCTGAGAATGATCCACCATCCAAATAGTACCTGCTCTGTGAGGGTTCATGGGGGTCCTGACCACTGAAGAACAGGGTAAAAGGGGGCTAACAAAGCATGCAGAAAAACAGATGGACTACAGTCTGTAATTGTAGAACTACAAAGTGCACCTATATAGTAAGTGGAGCTGATAAAATGGACAATGAGCAAGGAGGTGGTCATAATGTTATGCCTGATAAGTGTATATGTGTACAGATTATGCACTATTTGTCAGCCTCCTTTTACCATATTCCTCATTGGTCAGTTTCTGACCACAGGATCAGGGACCAGATATTGTTGTCCTTATGTTAGATGTTCTGCACAAATTTGACTCAACTGCCTCCTGCTACTGTAGCCTGTTTATCTTTCTGTTTTTTTTTTGTTTTTTTTTTGCTTTTTTTAACCCAACTTTCTCCCCAGTTATGTCATGGCCAAATTAACCCTCTAGCTAAATGCTACCAAGCATAGAGGATGAAGACTTGGACATGCTTTTTCCAAGTCACATGAAGCCAACCCCCACATCTTTTCAAACTGCTGCTAACATATCTTGTGGCATGGGGTGAATTTTCAGTGTCACTTGCAGAAGTGGGCCTCACCAGCTTAGTATATCACTTAATGATTAGCATATTTAAGAGCAGTATAACAAATATAATAAACTAATTCTAAATAGACTTTCTAAACTAGTTCTAAATAGAAGCAACCAGTCACATGAACAGTCATGTAAATCTTGTGAATTATTTTCTTCTTAGCTATAGAGACAGCAGAGCCTTCAGACAGTCAGGTAGCCACAGCTGTGGAAAGTGCTTTTAAGAAAGGTGAATATGTGAAAATAAAGCTGACTGAAAACAAGTGTGACCTACGGCAGTCATTTTCAGTCATGACTAACACAGATGGACACCTGTTGTAAAGGCCCATGGATGGGAGTGGGACAAATTGTTTTGGTTTTGGGTGGGAGTGGAACAAACAGACCGAACAAAAAAATCGCTCAAATCGAGTGCTTGGAGGACAACACTAACTGCCAATTCTGTTACATTCTGCTGATAGCTGACAGAGTGCCGTGTTTGCTAACATCATGCTGAGTGAGGGAGCCCATCCAGAGAAAGAAAGGCTAATCATGCTGTCATGGACTCCCAGTTATGGATGGCTGTGGCATCACCTGGAATCAAACACGTAAACTTTAAACAGTAGAGCCAACACTTAGTTGGGAGACCTGTTCTAGAAATATCAATTTGCTGTAGTCAGTGCAGTATCATGATTAAAATGGGTTAATTTCACATTTCTATTGTGTGTTGAATTTTAGTTAACACTACTGCTTAAGAGAATTCAATGCAGTTTTTGTTTGAAAAACTGCGTTAGTTGATTTTTTCATTTTTCTGATATATCATCATCTGAACAAAGACAGTCAAACACGCTATTCCACTGTCGTTCTAAAGTTGTTGCTGAGTGCTTTGGTTTCTGCGGCTATAGCAGTTAGCATGCATTTAATTCTGGTCACCATAACTATCTCTACAGCCTTTCATTTTAGTGATGGACCTTTCTCAATATAGCGGTGCATGCAAGTCACCGCCATATTGAGAAGGCCGTCTACAGTAGTTCTACAGCAGTGGTCCTCACGAGAACCACCCTTCCAGCAATTCACCAAATGTCAACCCATTTAGGAAATTTGTCTGCTAACTTATCATTACACATAGAATGCAACCAATACAAAATGATGCACACAAACTGTCGTTGTTAGTTGTTGTACTACTTCATACCAGGCAAGCGGTGCTGTTTCACTTGCTGCTTGTCACTGTAGAAGTTTGTACGAAATGGTGAGTTTAGTGGAGCATGAGGGTCGATTGGTGGGAAACTGACCATAGATGAAGGGCTAGAGGATGTTTATGACAGATAGGCTACAATGTTGGGGTTTGTAATAAAGTGGCTAGCGAAAGTAAAGTGAAAAGTACACTTCAAATGTTGAACATAATGATTCCTCCAAACATGTTGCTGTAAGTGTACTTATAAAGAACTTGGTGAACATCTCAGCACCTCTAGATGCTCTGTGCAGTGACGTAGGCAACAGCACATGACGCCATGCTGACTAATCACAGCCAGGGGATGAAATGGTGTATACTGCACCACACTAACTTAATCTCATGGTTTTGGACAATGAGATGTAGTTTTGCTTTGAAACTTTGATTTTCACTTTGTTTTGCCCAATTAAGCTTACATTAAATTGAGATTCAAGGTTGGTAAACGCATGGCAAGTTGTGGAAAGCTACTTGAAGACCTTTCAGCAGAGTAGGCTTGCAGGCTAAGCAGGTGTAAAAAGCTTTATTTAGAAAACTCAGTATTTAACTCAGTATTTAAGGTTAAAGCTGGTTAGGCATTAGTTTCCTCTGAAGTTTGTAATGGAGCAACAAGCAAGATCATGCTGATCTATTTTGCCTAATTGTTGGATGTTCGCAGTGGAGGTGCCAATGCACAGCTGCAGGGGACAGGTGCGGCTGTGTGGTGTGTGTGTGTGTGTGTGAGTGTGTGCATGCACCCCTAATAAATCAGTTTCTCCCCAACAAACAGATGCAGAGGCGAAGTAGAGATATTTCATGCAGCGACTTGTCTCTATCATCATCTACCACCGATAAAAGCCTTTATAACATAGAATTCACTCAGATATTCATTGCTGTGTTTTTGACTCTCCACTCAGGCAGTGAAAATCCTATGAAATGCTTCTTGAATGACTCCTCTTTGTCAATATTCATAATATTCACATGACGCTTTTTGACCAGAAATGAGGCAATTCCCAGTTGTATAGTCTTCTTCCTGCTGCAGGAAGCTGAGAGTGGATCTTCTCAGTAAACTCAGGGCTGTTTTAATTTTCTTTCCAAGTTCTCTTTTGTACCCTTTGTTCTCTGGCAGGAGGTGTAAGCAGTAATCAAAGTAAATGAATAAATGAATGAACCTTTTCATCGACATCCGCTTGCAATCCATTTCAGCTTGCAGTCTGTGGTGAAGAATGCCTGCCTGTCATGCTTGGCTTAATCGATCATGTTCCATTTCAGACGCCACCGTAATAGCAATGACGTGGGGTTGATTTACCCAAGTAATAAAAAATAAATAAATAAACCCAAGCAACATTGTTGAAACAAGGCAATTAGCCAAGATTTCTCTTGACAGAGATGACAGACAGGCACCTCGTTTCTTTAATTACCTGGGCTTTGATGAACCTCTTCAGTTTCAATGAATCAGTGAGTAAGTTTTTGACGTGGGGATACAAGATGAAAATCTTTTTATAACCTTTTCATCCTTTACAAGGAATGTTCTGATCCGGCGTTTATCCCACCGATCCAATCAGAGTATTTTATTTTAAGAATCAGACAATATCGATTCAGTCATAGTTTGTACAGCCACACAGTTTAGGTAAGATATGCTAGGCTGCCAATTAATATTACAGTAAAATTACTTCATGTTTATTTTGTGGCTCAAATAACCATTTAATTGTGTGTTTAGCTTATGATCCAATTTGATTGACCTACCTGATTTGGCTACAAGTTACTTTAACATTCTGCAGTGAAATCACTTCATTTTTGATATCTGCAAAGCAGTAAACACTCTGAATTGATATGTTTTGTTTTTTGTGAACTACATATGTGAAAAAAAATAATGTTGTAAATTCACTGTGATTCCACATTTCTCCAACACAGCAACCAGCTCCTTTGTCTTGTTTTTAAACATGCTGTTTCTGCTAATGCTGGTGTTAACCAGAAGTAAAGTAACAAAGAATGTGTCCGCAATAGTTTCATTTTCAAGCAGTCATAAATGAAAAATGTGGTGGGAGTGTATTTTGTACAGTGTAAGAAAAAAAGGTACTGTACAGGTACATTTTTGTGCAACAAGGTGAAAACATGAAAATGTACCCTCCAAGGTACAACAGTGGTCTTAAGGTCCAGTTGTGTACCATAAGTTTAAAGGTTTGCTACTAGGTTTCATAACCTAACATTTTAAAATTAGAAAGTCATCTGAAATGCTTAGAGTTAGACGGGGTGTATGGAATCAAAGCAGCAACAAAATATAATTAAAATGGAATATGGTGCAATTATGTTCCCTAACTAAAGGTTCTGAAGACCCTTTAAAGTACCACCCCAGTGACAATTTAGTACCTTTTTCTGAGAGTGTAAATCATCCCTCTTTGGACAAATCTTCATATCTTCATTTTTGAGTTTTTTTCATTTTTTGAAATGATTTGAAATCACCCACTGCCCTTTACATTGATTTGAAATTGAATGATGAACAGACCAATAGAAATGCTCTAAAATGATTTGTAATGAATAATATCTAATTATCAATTAACATACATTGAAAGTTAAGAATGTTTTTTCCTTCTTCTGTAAAGTTGTACCTTTTTGGAGATATGAGGTTTTTTTTCCGACAGTGATGAAATGCACTGCTTGCTACTTGTGGTAAGTGGCAGAAAGTAGACTTGAAGCCTAATAGCTGCTCGCTCACATTTTATACAGCTGTGGTTAGCAGAACTGTGGCTCAAATACAGTCAAAGCACTGGCACTGCAGATAGTATGTTTTAATATTCCACTGTAAAATAGTTACTGCAGATATTTAGATCTTGTTTGTTAACTTGTTTGTTTATAAAACGGACAACAGAAATATTACTTAACAGGCACGAATTTTCCACAGATTTTACATTCCAGTTTTCCATGTTCACTCACTGTTTAGGTAACGCTTCTGAACTTCATGATCACGCCTGAGGGTATGCAGGACCAACTGCTGGGCATCGTTGTGGCACGAGAGAGGCCGGACTTGGAAGAAGAGAAGCAAGCCCTCATACTGCAGGGAGCTGAGAACAAGAGGTACACAATCATTTAAAATCAGAAATGCCACTGTCTGTATAGATTCTGAGACATTTTAGTACAAATTCTTGTTAGAACTGCTGACCTACATTATATAATCACCAATCAAGACACAAATCAAGTGTAGATAGTTCATCCAGATCTAATTTCTGCATGCAGCATTAACATTCCTAATTCAGATTTTTATGGCACCAGTATAAATAGGCTTATACAGGCTCTGCTTCGTTTGCTTTTATCTTACAGTCATGGTGCATAACGTTCTCGACATCTAAAGTTGTTGAAAAAAAGATGGCGTGGTTTGTATGTCTGCTTAGCGGCTACAACTGAAGCATGTAAATTCAGAAGAAAAACACACAGCCGGGTGTGTTGGGATACTTGTATAAAGGGCTTTTTGCATTTTAAGCTTACCTTGAATGCATATAGATTAATACATAAAGATAACTCATTACAAAGGGAGGTGGGAATAGTACTGAAAGTTGTGAGTGGAGTTAATGTGACACCAAATCATGATTGTAATTAAGCTGTGTCACAGACTACATGCTACATTCACAAACATGGTTTTACTTGTCTTTAAAATCCTTACAGGAAGCATTTTAGTGCCAAACGTAAACAGAGCCGTACTGAGCTCTAGAACAAGTTTAAATACTCTCATAAAGGGTGAAGCAAAAAAATGTTATGCAACCTGAGATCTTGCTCTGTTTTCAAAGCCTGTAAACTCTTCCATCAGATTAATTTAAAACAAATGGACCAGTTCTTTTAAGTTATATCAGGAAAAGGTGTCATATTCACGTCCAGTGTTTCATCATACATGACTATCATAAGTTGAAATAAATGTTTAGTTGTCTTTTCTTTTCTTAAACGGTAGATGGGCAGGGTAACTGTGCTAAAAAGAAAAAAAGAGTTTTTTCTATCTGCATTGCTTGTATTTCTTAAATATATAAATTTCTCACCTACAAGTCACTGCTTGCTAGGATATCAAGCGAGTTACAAGCCAGACATATACAGTGATGATTTGAATCAGGTTTATCAGTTTGGAGAAGACACAAGGGGAATGGGAACTGTGTATCTTGGAAACATCATTAGGTCTGGGAAAGTAGGCACACCAACTAAAGCACTGTATATTTGGAAAAATCTTAGAACCTAGATGTACACCTTTTGTGAAGTATAATAACTCTGCCGTTGTAAATTCCCGCCACTTTGTTAATTCCTCCCTTGTCCTGCAGACAGCTGCAGGAAATCGAGGACAAGATCCTGGAAGTGCTCTCCTCGTCCAAAGGTAACATTCTGGAGGATGAGAGGGCCGTTCAGATCCTTTCCTCCTCCAAAGTGCTGGCCAACGAGATCTCAGAAAAGCAGGCTGTCGCAGAAGTGACAGAGCAGAAGATCGACGAGACCCGCATGGGCTACACACCCATCGCAGTCCACTCGGCCATCCTGTTCTTCTCCATCGCTGACCTGGCCAACATTGAACCAATGTACCAGTACTCACTAACCTGGTTCATCAACCTCTTCATTCTGTCCATCGACAATTCTGACAAGAGTGATGTCCTGGAGCAGAGGTGCGAGGCTATCACATTTGTTCAATAGAAGTTATTTGTCTTTATATGAAAATGCTTTTGTAGGATATATAAAGATATATTAAGTGGAATGGGGTACAGTTTCTTAGTGCTCCCCATGGCACTGGACTAGTTTACTATTTACAGCTCTAATTTATATTCCTCTCAGAGTCATTTGTCTTCATTTCTTATTAAATTGAAGAAGACCATATCTATTTATCCAATACATTATCTAATCAATACTTCATTAGGTTAAATTGTTAAGTTTAACAAATCCATTTGATGGCTGGGGGTGTTGAGGAAAAATCTGGAACCAAACTTTATTCTTCAGACCAGCTCATTTACATATCAGCATATCATAAAAAAAAAGAATTCTTACTGTATTTATACAGTATGGTCTATGGTCAGATAAGCTTTTTGGTAACAAACTCAAGGTAGATTTTGTGCAAAATTAGATGGTTATACAGCAAAGAATGTTCTTCCCACTGTTGTTAAGTATGGTGAGGATCTGTGATGTTTTTGGGCTCCAAAGGCCCTGAGAACCCTGTTAGGATAAATGGCATCATGGACTCCAGGACATACCAGAAGATTAGATTTCTCTCATATTTTCAGGTGAGATTGAGCTAATTGACCACAAAGACATTTTTTTGTGATTTTTTGCTCCAACTCTAGTTTACCCCACATTTACAAAGGACCAATAATAATGGGGCTGACTATATACATACGACTATAGCTTGCTGCTGTGTAGTTAAACCCTTGAAGACATCTCTAAATTTATGCTTCAGTAGTGGTAAAATATTGAAATTCACTCTGGAATTTGAGTCGAAAACTTTTGCACGTTGATAAGTTTTGGTTAGTCATTGATATTTTATTCTTATCATTATTATTGTGAGATATTACAAATGATACACACAATGGGCCAAAGAAGCACCCTTTTTAAGCTTGAAAGGACATCACATGTCTTTCGAGTCTGTGCATTGCTATCGCACTATGTTCTGGGGGAGAGCTCTCTGTCTTTTACACTTTAAAAGCCGAAGAGAGCGCGAATGAAGACATCCCTGCCCCTGTGCCCATGTTTATCATCACAGCGCTGTCTTAAGCGGTCAGCACAGCTGTCTGAAGCTGCTTTGAACCTTCAGTCAAGTGCTCGCCAGCTGAGCCACTGAGATACTAGCTTCGCTCTGAGGCCAGATTTCTGGGTGAAAGGGAAAACTCCAACGCTAACAGTGCATCAAATCAAAGGCACATCACACAGTTCTGATGTATGTCCAATTTGTTGCTTTGGAGAGCATTTTTATTCACTCAGCCTAGCATGTTTGACTGGTAAACGGTAAAGCTCAGCAGCTGGAAAGCAAGCCTATCACTTTCTATGACTAACACCAGTTAGTTCACAAACACACAATGGCTTTCCAAAAGGAGAATCAAAAACATGCAAATTTGTCCTTTTCTTCAGTTTTTCATAATTTATACCAGCAAAGCATATTGTTGATTCAGTCCCGTACTTTTTTAGGATAGACATCAGCTTTTTACAGTTTTCTTAATGCAGCATTTAGCTAAAGTGATACAGGCCTTTTATCAGCAACAACTTCCGTTTCTATATAAAGAACCAACAGAGTACTAATTTTAGCCCATTTCCCAAAAATATTACAATAATTATAGTATTATCTCCATGTTTAAGGACCCCTAAGATGTCTCACTATGCTGGAGATGTGACAATTTTAGAAACACTATAAATATATGTCAGAAGCCACTCTGTCTTATTCAGTTTATATTATACACTGCAAGTGAGACAACTTATAATACAGCAGTTATTTATTCGGGGGCCTGTTGAACAACTAAAATAATGAACGCAGACTTCACATGAGCCTGAATGTGATTTCCAGTTGACTGCATGTTCTGACCAATTAGTGCACATTTCATACACAGTACTGTGCTGTCAGAGACCACCCCACCCCTCCATTTATTTACTTTACCTTTATTACAGCTTCCATTCTTTTTAGGAGACTCTCAGTTTTCCGAAGAAATCTGCCATGACTTATTCCCACAGTTCAGTCTTATAAGTTTTTTTCTGCATTTTCTGCTTCTTGTGTTTGATTTATATATTTCCTTTTCTCAGTGGGGGCTTCTTGACCAGTGCACATCCTTTTAGACCCTAGCATTGAGTTGTCTTCTCACAGTGGAAGGATGGACAGAAACACCTGTGGATTTTTTCGAATGTGAAGCAAGAGTGGAGCTAGATTTTCTCCTCTCTCACAAAAATGAAAGCTTCAAGTGATGTTTATCTGATGTGGACAGGTCTTCCAGGTGGTTGTTAGGAGTTCCATTTTCTGTGTAGCTTTTAATCATTTTTTGAACAGTTTGGGTTTAGCTTATATCTAACATTCTCAGAAATATCTCCTGACAAATGATTAACTTGTACCTAATGGCCGTTTTGACTGAAATTAAATAAATGATGGTCTCTGATTTCGAGGGGAGCTGGAGCTTTTCAGTTTGGTAGTACTTTTGTTAGTTTGACGCTCACTGATTTCTTCAAAGTTCTCCTGTGAGCACTGTTCAGCATAGGCTGCCAAAGGTGTTAAATGTTTTGTCTTGAAAGCCATTTAAAAGCTATTTAAATGAGTGTGCTACAATCACAGATTATATCAGAGCAACATACAGCGCACTGCACTACTATGGATGGTTCAAAGGGTCAAACTACAAACTACTGTGGGGGTTAAAACACAATAATTTATTGCATTAACGCATTATAAATGCATTACTTTGACAGCCCTGTTTATTTATTAACATTTATTAATAATTGCTAATAAAGCAATATGTAAAATGTAATGATTAATGATTATATTTAGCATGTCATCATTAATCTTTATTATTATTTTAAGCATAATTTACCAAATCTTCTTTTTATTCACCACTCTTACTTCACCATCTGTGTCCAGACTGCAGATTCTGCGAGACCATTTCACCTACTCGCTGTACGTTAACGTGTGCCGCTCGCTCTTCGAGAAGGACAAACTCCTCTTCTCCTTCTGCCTCAACGTTAACCTGCTTAAACATGACAAGCTTGTGAGTGGCTTCTCTCGCCTGCCTTTCCATATCCATATCTGTCATCAGGACTTCATTTAAGATGCTGAATGACAAATTACTGAGTATAATGAGCTCATGCAAGACAATGCCTCATTAATGACACATGTACCTGCTCTAAAAGCATATATTACATGTACAAATAATTAAGTCTGACAGAAAATGCATTTTCTTATGCCACAAAACAATCCGTCATCTGGAGTCATCTGTCATACTGCATTGATCTTACACGTTTAGAAGTGAAATGCATGCGTGTGATTCAGCGTAACTCACACTACATCATTTTGTCACTGTCAGTGATTATATCAAATGGTGCGGCAAAGGTTGCAGAGTATAATTTATTTTTGTTTATTTTTTTATTGTAGTGTCTTAAAAATGCATGTCCATCATGTTCTGTTGTCTTGAAGGAGATCTGAGGCATTAGGCATAAAGCAAAACATTATCTTAAAGGGTCCCTATCATGGGCAACTAAACTTGAAATAAAAAAGTTGGACGTAGCATCATCAGAGTTTCAAAACACACTGTTTAGCAGTCAGGTTAGGAACCAGAAGGTCGCCAGTTCGATCCCCTAAGCTGACAGTACGTGACTGAAGTGCCCTTGAGCAAGGCATGTAACCCCTAACTGCTCCGAATCTGAATCCATTGTTTTTGTGATGTCAAGCCAACACATTTTCATATATCTAATTACAGTTTAGCCCCAGCCACTCATCCTGAAATTATAACGAGTGTTTCAGCCTGGACTGCTGTTCAAGTGAAGCACAATATAGGACAGCCAATCATAACAGAGCTAATTTACATATTTGGTCATAAAACTGCATCTTAAACTGAAGAATGTCCGAAAATGTAGGACATGGGCCTTTTAATAACAGATATAGGTTTAAACCCTTTTAGCGCTTGATATGTGAGATTGTTGGTACATTTATGTTTAGGAACCATATAATAATCATTGGTCAGTTGCGAATGTTTAATGAGAACCTTAAACCAACATGTAACAGATTCTCTGTACTGTTGTACTGTTTTTTATGCTCTCATACAACCAGCTTAACGCATGAAAGGTTTTCTAATTAGCTGACAAGTTAAACAAGGTGTGTACAATAAGTGAAAAACGCTAAACTGCCCCTCTTTTCTGTAGTAACAGATTTACTCGTCTGGGGTGGCTTTACAGTAAATGCTGGAATATTGCTGTGAGGATTTGAATGCATTCGTCCTTGAGAGCATTAGTGAAGTCAGGTACTGATGTTGGATGATCAGTTCTGGATCACTCCAGCTCATCCCAAAGATATTGGATAGAGCTCCAACACTCCAGAGAACACAGTTTCACTCCACAGCCCAATGCTGGGGAGGTTTAAACCCTTCTAGCCCATGCTTGGCTTTGGGCATGGTGACCCTAGCCTGACCAGTGCTTCTCCAGAGTGTCCCATTCCATTGGTCAGTGCTTTTCTTTGGAGATTATACAAGCTATGCAAGCACTATTGAACTCAAGTCAGCAATGGGTGCATTATCAGGTAGCTGGGTGCATCTTAAAGTGTGTATGTATATATGTACAGTATATATGAATGTATCCTGTAAGATGGGAAGTTTATCTGGAAGTCACAGGTTGGTTGAAGACTCTCATCCCGTTGTCTTGTTTGTCATGGAATCTTCACAGCTGATTTAAGATATGATCATTATATGGTTTCTAAACATAAAAAATGAGACATGGTTTTTTTAACCCCGTTAAAATCCCAGACTTATTATTCATAATGTCATAATGTTATGCCTGATTGGTGTAACTATAAGACTGACTGACATTATAATTATAACCTAATCTTGATTTTTTAAACATTTATCCTACAGATTGATGAAAATGAATGGCGTTTTCTGCTGACGGGTGGCGTGGGACTGGACAACCGTCACTCCAACCCCTGTACCTGGCTGCCCAAGAAGTCCTGGGATGAGATCTGCCGGCTGGACGAGCTGGAGCACTTCAAGGGGCTGCGCAAGGACATGGCCCGCCTCAGAGACGGATGGAAAGAAGTCTATGACAGCAAGGTGGGTTTCATCACACACACGTTCTCTCATGCTGAACACATTAATATGGACATCATTGTTTAATTGTTTAAATGTTTTACAAAGGATCCTCATCACACACCTTTTCCTGGAGAGTGGCAGGAGAAACTGGGACAGTTCCAGAGAATGTTACTTATCCGCTGCCTGAGACCAGACAAGGTGTGTACTTTTGTAAACACAGAGTTTTTGCATGCTGTAATGCACATTCATATTCCAACACATTTAGCTAATTCATAACTTTGTGCTACTTTTAGAGTTTAGTTCCGAGCCCTAGTCAGCCTGTTATAGAACAGTCCGAATTTCAATTTCAATACAAATCCAATTTCAAAAAATTGGGACAGTCTGTGAAATGCACATAAAAAACAGAAAGCAGTGATTTGTAAATCCACTTTGTATTTAAAGGGAAACAGTACAAAGACAAGTTTTATTTTATCAATTTCATTGTTTTTGTAAATATAAGCTAATTCTGAAATTGATGCCTGCAGCTTAAAATTGGCACGGGGCAAATTAAGACTAAAAACATTGTTTAATGTTTAGAAAACATTTTAAAAAATGTAATTCATGTTTGGATATGAAAGGAACGTCTAGGAAAGACTGAGTCCTTTATGAGCAAAGATGGGTCAAGGCCATGGATCATTTACTCTACTAAAAATGCATCAGCAAGTAGTCCAACTGTTTAAAAACAACCTTTTTTTATTAAGCTTTTATAAGGATTTTAGATGTTTCACCCTCTACAGTGCATAATATTAAAAGATTTAAGAAATCTGGAAAAATATCTCTGCAAGGCCAAAAAACAGCTGAATGACCATGAATTTCGACCCCTCAGGCAGCACTGCATTAAAAACCAGCATGTTTCTGTCATGATACCACCACATGGACTCAGAAATACCTTGAAAAATCCTTGTAAATAAACACTGTTTGTGACTGCATCCACAAATGCAATTTAAGACTGTACTATGCACAGTGGAATCATATGTCAGCAACATCCAGAAACACTGCCAACTTCTCTGGGCTCGAGCTGATCTGAAATGGACTGATGCTCAGAGGAAACGTATTGTGGTCTGACGAGTCAACCTTACAGATTGTTTGTGGAAATAATGGACGTTGTGTTGTCCGAGCCAAAGAAGAAAAGGACCATTCAGATTGTTACCAGTGTAAAGTTCAAAAGCAATTGTCATGATATGTGTATTAGGGTAACGCTGAAAGAGATACACACATTTTGGAGCAACATATGCCTTCCAGATGCCATCTTTTTCAGGGATGCCTATGCTTATTTCAGCATGACAACACAAAGCCACATTCTGCATGTTAGTGCAAAAGCACAAAATACATCAACAAAGGCCCCATACAGTTGCACAGCTGAAGACCTGAACGACTGAAGAATGGCAAAAATTCAGTGGTAAAGATGCTCCTCACTCAACTTTTTTGGAACATGTTGCAGGCGTCACATCTGGAATGAGCATATATTCACAAAAAAACGAATAAGTCTAAAAGATAAAACATTAAATGTCTTGTTTTTGTAATGTTTTCAAATACTGTGTGATGATAAAGTTTCCAACAAAGACTCCACTGAGGTTTGCTGAGTGGAGTGCAGTTACATCGTTAGAAGAGTAAGCTGATAACACACATTTTAAGGAAAACATATCGAGGCTTTACTAAGGTTTTGTTCTTTGTTTAGTAAAGCCCAAATTAGACACTTCTAAATAAAAGTAGTAGCCTATGGTCTAAAGTAATCCATTAAATTTAGATCTTAATAGTGTATAATTGGCAACATTTTATTCCTGTAGGTTCCAGATAGTATCAAGTAACTTCTGTAATTTATTACATTAGAGCTAATAAGAGTTTACTAAGTCACTAAAACAGCATTAAAACAGTTCTGAAAATGATACTTTTTGGTAGCTATCATGCAATAGAAACGTCATAGAATCAAAAAGAATACAATGATACTATATTTGACTGAAAAATATATTGAATATATCAACTACAATCAAATCAAACATTAAGGGACAGTTTCCCAGATAAAGCTTAAACCTAGACTAAATGGGATTTGTAATGGTGAAACACTTTTGGCATTGCAAAGACCAGGCTTAATCCATGTTCATGAAATATTAGGGGTCAGTTTCCCAGACAGGGATTAACCCTAGCCCTGGACTAAATGTTCCCAAATCTCCATTCAGAATGCTTTGTAATTCTAGGCTAAGCCGGCACTTAATGCAATAAATGTAAATGTAATAATCTTGTACACTGTCTCTCCCTCAGATGATCCCCATGGTTCAGGAGTTTGTGTCTGACAGCTTGGGCCATCAGTTTATTGAAGTCCCTCCCTTTAACCTGGGGAAGGCATTTGGGGACAGCCACTGCTGCGCTCCCCTCATCTTCATCCTCTCACCGGGATCAGACCCCATGGCAGCACTGCTCAAATTCGGAGACGAACAGGTACAAGCTTCAATTAAATATGCATAGCTCTGCCTAGTACACGCTTCCGTTCCTGAGGTGCAGCTGAGTGTGCTATGTCAACTTAATGTTTTATTCCTCTGATTTGTTTGCAGTTCCTTACGTTTCACAAACTTTTAAAGTTTAAAACCTCAAAGTGAACTTCCCTATGGGTTTCTGTGCTTCAACATTTGGGCCTAAATTACTTTTTACTTCAGCTAGCATACTTTATAAGCACCTGCAATACCCAGACACACTCTTCACTGTCCAAAACCAGACAAGTACCTCATAGCTGTCATTTGAGGTGGGGTACGGACCAAAGTGGTCATAAACTACTACAAACGCTTACCTTTATTGTTTATACATCTGAAACTTTTCACAACAGTGAGGAAAACTGATTATCTGCTGTTTTGTCACTTTACTGTATTTCCATATATTCTACATTCCATATGCACTTTATCAGAACCCACTTTATGAGTTACACCTACGTTAAATGTCTAATTTTATACAATAAATTGCCAAAAGTGTGTGGCTTGAACAGCACATTCGTATGCTTGTTGAACATCTCATTTCAATACAGTGGGGTTAATATAGAGTTGATCCACTACTCTGGGAAGGCTTTCCTCTAGATTTTGTAAAATGATTGCAGGGATTCACTTCCACTTAGCCACAAGAGCATTAGTGAGGTTGGGCAGTTGTTTCTAGTTCATCACAAAGTGTTGAATATGGTTGAGGTCAGGACCCTGTGCAGGCCAATCCGTATCTTCCACATCAAACTTCTTTGTGGACCTTGCTTCGTGTACGGGGTCGCTGTCATCTGAAAAAGGGAAGGGCCTTTCCTAAACTGTTTCCACAAAGTTGTAAGCATACGATTCTCTAGAATGTAACATTAACATTTCTCTCCACTGTAAATAAGGACCCATGCTATGAAAATCAGGCCATTATTCCTCCTCAACCAAACTAACTACCAGCATGCCACTATGCATACTGGTAGTTAGCATTTCCCTGGCATCTGTCAAACCCAAAATCGACCATCAGACTGTCATATAAAGAAGCGTGATTCGTCACTACAGAGAATGCTTCATAGATTACTGCACATGGTGATTTTAAGCTTATAATGCCAACCAACAGTTCTTGTGCTGAAGTTGCTTACATTTTGCAGTTTGTACTGAGTGTATCAGCTAAGCTCTGCTTGTGTGGCCTAATGCTTCATGCTTCAAGCTATTTGTTTTCTTCAGTGTGTCCACTTCATTGTAACAGCACTTACAGTTGACAAGGGCAGCTCTAGCATGGCAGAAATTTGAAAAACTGACTTTTTGGAAAAGATGGTATGATTTTTAAAGTCTCTGGTGCTGGGTATTTCTAAAGTATACAAGGTGGCTGCTAGGGCGTTACTTGTATCGTAGCGACAGAAGAGCAATGTACAAAGATTTGGCCACATAGTTCCACCATTCATTCATGCGAAGAAACGTTTCCCTTTATATGTTGATATGGGTCAAAGAACAAAAGACAGGACTTCAGCTTAATATGAAGATAGCCAAACTGAAGCTCTTATTTTGGATGTATTCTGAGAAGAAATGATTTATTGCAAAAGACCACTATGCTAAGAAGAGTTAAAGGTAAAGAAGAAGAGGATGATCAGCTACAAGTTGGATGGATACAATCAGAGGAATCATGGACATTCTGAAGCCTGAAGACCCAAACAGAAGACAGAAAGAAGGAGAAACACTACCTATATTGTCGCCAGGAGTCAGAATCACTTGACAGCACCTAATAATAATATCAATGCAGAGTCAGATTAATTCTGTTTACCCATTAAACCTAAAACCTACTGATGCATTAGCTTGAGTTTCAGGTTGCATCGCATTCTGCAACAGTATTATTCAGAACACTAATGTCTCTCGTTTTCAAGGCTCTGCTATGCTAAAAACTGTTGTTTCTGTGGTACTACCAGGGCTTCTCTGGGAACAAGTTGACTTCACTGTCCCTAGGCCAAGGCCAGGGCCCCATCGCCATGAGCATGATCGAGACGGGTGTGAAGGAAGGCACCTGGGTGGTCTTACAGAACTGCCATCTGGCCACGTCCTGGATGGCAACTCTAGAACGGGTGTGCGAGGTATGGCTGGAGACCAACTGACAAAACCAGTGTGAGCTAAAAGATGTTGTGGTGCTTGGCATGTGGTAATGGCTAGGGCTCAGAAACGAAATTAAAAAGCAGAACCAATATTTTTACATTTTCGTTCTTGCATTCCAACTTCAACATAACAGGTTAGAACAAAATTAAGATATATAATTTATTTTTTAATGTAATTTTGATTGTTTTACAGCCTATATGTAGGCCTAGTATAATTGTTAATCAGGTTTGTGAATCAGTTAGTTGCTCCTAAGTATTGCAAAATATGTAAGTATTTCTATAATTATTTACTTGTTAAGCTTGGTTTGCAATCATAACAACCAGGCCTGGTTATCAGACTAATGGGTACTTTAATATAGTGAGATATCGTGGAAGACGTTTAAAGTAGCCCTATTTACTTTCGTTTATACATGAATTGTGTAGTGTCTGTGGTCAAAAAGCCTGGAGATGCTAATGTAGCTATGGCTACCTCCTTTGTTCATGGAATTGTCAGCTCTCAAGATGCTATGTGTAAAATGACAAGAAAGCATATGTTGATCCAAGGATATTTGGGAGTTTGGAGGTATGACAGCATTTTAGTTTAAATTTTCAGTTTAAGTCCTTGCAACATTGTAGGCTTCATAGAACGAAGCAATAAAAATATTTGCCAGTAACAGAGATTTCAAATTATGGAACAGTTAGAAAGATTACGTTTTTCGTTTCATTTTGGTAGGAGTTAAAGTGGGTGTCTAAACCTGTATTAAAGAATGCTGTGATTTATGATGGGAATTAGTGATTATGCTTTTGCATGTTATTTCCAATAATAAAAATGCAGTGAAAGATAAATCATTGCAGGGCAAGTTACAAATAAAACAACTGATTAAAATTCTGCTTCATACAATATCTGTTGACTATATCTCACTATATGTCCCTCTATATGTTCCTCTAGCTTTGTTTTACAGTATTTTCACAATTCCTACTTTAAACCACTTTTCAATCCCAAATGAAACTTCTGTCAGACATTTTACATCTCGATTTTATCCAGGAGCTGAACCCGGACACCACTCACCCAGAATTCCGTCTGTGGCTGACCAGTTACCCCTCACCCAACTTTCCTGTGGCCGTCTTACAGAACGGCGTCAAAATGACCAACGAGGCCCCCAAAGGGCTGCGCTCTAACATCATCGGCTCCCTCTACATGGATCCTATCTCTGACCCTGAGTTCTTCAACAGCAGCTCCAAACCGGTGGGCATAAATCCAGCACCAGCTGGTTGTAGTTTCAGTCATAATAGAAGTCATATCTTTGCAGAAAGTTATTAGGGAATATTGGATATGTGGGTGTGCTGGTAGATAGGGTTATGGGGAAAGTCATTGATCCTTATGGGTGTTATTTTTATTGTGCATCTGCTAATGTAGTATTTTGGACACCTAATATTAAGGACAGCTAACTTTTCAAAATCTTTCAAATAACTTCATATATTAAAATTGCACTGTGTAAGATTTGGGGATTTGGACACCTCTCTGGTAGAAATGTGTAATTGCACAGAACGTGCAAATGAGTCTGATGATTGAAAGAGCATTAAAAGATAAAACTTGGTGAAAGACGTGTGAGTGAATTATCTACTATTGTCATCATACTTTCATTAGTATAATGTTGATTTTGAGATGATTTAAAGCCTAAACATCCAGCCGGAGCGTCTTTCTGAGCCTGTCAATGTGGCATTAATATGTAAAGATGTACAACGTTGTATAAAAACTCCTGACCTGACGCCTTTGACTTTTAAATGATTATTTCAGCGTTTACAAAATGACTCACAGCAGCGCATGCTAACTATATTTTAGCTTTTTTTATTCTCTTCATTCAGTAATGATATTTTATTTCATGATTATTTTATGTTAACAACAAAGTCTAACATAGTGCAGCTTTAAATTAGCGATAACTGTCTGGAGTGCTGTAGTCTAGTCTATTAGCATGACCAGCCTAACTACAGCAATATAACTAATACACTCCTATAATAAGTAACGAGATTGATAAATGACATTACTAATACACTATGTAAATACCTATCACCAGAACTTTTACGGGCCATGCCACTAGCAGGGGCCCACAGGCTGTTTCATGAGGGGCCCAGCCATGTCTGTGTACATGCTTGTCCAGGACGGTTTAAAATTGGATTTCGATGTTAATGTATTTTTTTCCTTTCTCATTTCACATACAAAGGTAGCAACACCCAAATATGCTTTATTGTGCACCACTGTGTACAAAAGCTAGTGTTCTCATAGTACCTATGCAGCATAGTATATACCTATGTATTGCATAACATACACTTTTCACTGTTGCTTTTTAATAACTGAAGGAACAACAAACCAAATCCCTACCTTGGGAATAATACCAAAGCCCACCCATTATATCCTCTTGTGATGTCAGCACTCAAACCTTGGGTGGCAATATAATGATACTTATCGATATGATGAGCAATTATGTTGTATTATGGCACATTGTTTTCTGAGCATATGCATAAGGAAGCAAAATTGGTCCTTGTTACTTGGATTTAGTGGAGCGCAGTGTGTAAAATGCTGAATAAAAATCATTGTATTCATAGTTTTTTGTAAATCTGATTCTTTATCTGTTCGAACATATTAAATCTCAGAAAAACAGAAACACAAAATATTGTGACACATAGCTTGTATCGTGAAAATGCCTTGAAGTGTTGTGATGTGATATTTTTGGTATATCACCCTCACTTATACAGGGAGATTCACTCGAAAGAGGCCCCGAATATTCTGTTGTAACTCCCGTTAGGATGAAGCAATCTGAACCAAAAAAATAGGGTTCATACCTTGAGGTATGTGTAATCGATTGCATTACATGCGATGCTGGAAGTGATCTTCCAGACACATGAAGGGGCACGGTGGTGTGTACCCTGAAGTTGCAAACGGAGGTTAAACCTCCCAACGTCTCCCCAGCACCTACCTCATCGCTCCGACGCAGGGGCATCCTGGCTTGTTCGAAGCTACATATACTGAGGAGCACATTGCTCATTGTTTCATTCCGATTGCTTCATCCGAGAGTTATTACAGAATATTCAGGGCTTCTTTCAAGTGAATCTCCCTGCAATTTGGACTACTGTGTGCTTTTAACAACAGTTCGTGAAAAAATGTCAAATCATTATTTAGGCAAAACTTGCTTTTCATACCAAATGAAGATGAACCTTGCTGATTTTTGCAGAACAAACACTGACTATTCGCAAATAGCTGTTTTATGTTAACAAAACTTTCACAAGTATTTTTTCCTATTTATTTGGAAAGTTACAGTGAAACATTCTGCAAAAATTTTAAAACAAATGCAAATTTTGATAGGCAGTGTTTATTTTCTGTATGTTTATGTTTCAGGCTGTCTTTAAGAAGCTGCTGTATGGTCTGTGTTTCTTCCATGCACTGACCCAAGAGAGGAGGAAGTTTGGCCCCCTGGGCTGGAACATCCCCTACGAGTTCAACGAGACTGATCTGCGCATATCTGTCCAGCAGCTGCACATGTTCCTGGACCAGTACGAAGTAAGGACATGCACACGTTCAAACACCCGATCCTCTTCTGCTCCTCCTTTCATACCTACATCAGCCAGTTCTCACCCACGGTTGTTGAGCCACTCTATTACATGTGCTCTTAACAGAACCTCTCCATGTCTCCAACTTCATTTCCACACACACCAGCACTTCTTTCATAAGCCCCTGCGAAAGGGGAGAAAAAAGAAACCCTTGACATTTTCCCAACTTCAGAGGCACCCTCCACGCTCCTCTCGCTATCCCTTTCAAAACAAGCACTCTCTACATAAACTGATCAAGAAACTCCCGGAAAAATGCGCTGACATTTCCTTCGCAGCCTGCCGCTCGGTTCGCGGCATTAGCAAGGGAAATTTCAGCAGGAAATGTCACGATCCCAACGTTCACGGTATCACCTTTTCGTATATAACCCCAACCACCCCCGCCACCACCCCCCGCTCAAAGTATACTGAACCGACTGACACCTACTACTGGCATGCATAATGAAAAGGGCTTTTGGTGTACAGTAATACTTCACTCAGGGGTATGTTGTTTATTTTCCCAATCAGTTTAGAAAATGCACTGTAAATCACACTGTTCTGTAGCACTTTGTAAGCACATCACAGTGTTTAGTTGAGCTGTTCACCTACTTGAGAACAAACTGGGGAAAGCTTGACTGCAATATCAAATAAACACTGGTGTTTATTTGATGTTTGCTGTGAAACTTTCCTCAATTTGTTTTCAAACAGAGGAACAGCTCAACTAAACACTGTGACACGTTTAAAAAGTGTTACAAAAACAAGTTCACAATCTACAACTTGGCGTTACAGGCGCTAATATATGCTTTTAAAGTAGCTGTACACAGAGGAGGTGGGCCACAACTTAATGCGGGGAAAAAATGACACTATATACCCAAAGGTATGTGAACACCCCTCCTAATTATTGAGTTCAGGTGTGTTAGGTGTATAAAATCTAGCACTCAGTCATGCAATTACTGGCAGTAGAATGGGTTGTACTAGCTCAGTGCCTGTAAACGTGGCAGTTTCATAGGATGCCACCTTTGCCACAAGTCGACTCATAAAATTCTGCCCTGCTAGATCTGCCCCAGCCAACTGTAAGTGCTATTATTGTGAAATGGAAGCTCAGCCACGAAGCGGTAGACCATGCAAACTAACAGAGCAGGAAAATCTACCTTCTGTTATATCACTCACTAAAGAGTTTCAAACTGCCTCTGAAGCAACATCAGCACAAGAACTGTGCGTCAGGAGCTTCATGAAATGGGTCTCCATGGCTGAGCAGCTGCACACAAGCCTAAGATCTGACCTCCCCAGATCTGACTTGGGATTACATGGTTCACTTTGGAGGAAAAATATTCCTACAGATTTCTTTGAGAAACTGAAAGTGAGTCTCCTGGAAAAAAATGAAAACTGATATATTTAGTTGTTAAGGTTCCTATGTAAAATGGCTTTTTGAACAGGAAAATAAGCAATTGAAGGGGTCTCTGACTTTTGCACAGCACTGTGTGTAACTGTGAGGTGTTTTATTTTGTAACCACAGGAGGTGCCTTTTGATGCGCTCCGCTATATGACAGGAGAATGTAACTACGGAGGCAGAGTAACGGACGACTGGGATCGCCGGACCCTCCGTACCATCCTCTCCATTTTCTACACAGCCAACATCATCACAGACCCCCATTATAAGTTTGACCCCAGCGGCATTTACTATGCACCACCTGAGGGAGATGTAAGACACACACACTATTCACACGCATTATTCATTATTATTTATTTATTTATATATATATAAAGGCATGCAGTCTCACTTCCTGCTCTAAAATACAGGGGTGTGGCTAAAATAAGGCTCCACCTCCTGACTAAAACTCTTTGTGTTTCGGTAGTGACTTGAAAATGTGGGACAGCATTTTTAAATTTTTTTATTTAAAAATTTAACTCATAATAAATCTTAATTTTTCAACTTTTCAACAAGATCTTTTAAAAACAACATTGCGCAAAAATGCAAAAAAAAGTAAGTATTATGTTTACAAGTGTAAATTTAGGGGTTGAGGTTTGGGACAGACACCTCCCAATAGAAAGTACCCTAGATATGATGACTTTGTATATATTTAGCTTATTAATATCTCTATTAATGCTTTGGGTTTAAATAGACGGTAACATAAGCCTTGTAAATGTCTAAGGTCTGAATACAGCATTGTTTTTTTAAAAAGTTCTTTACTGTAGGACCTCAGTTTTAACTAATTCAGTACACATCATACACAGTCCTCACGTGTGCCACTTAATACAGTGGATTTAACAGTTTGTTTACTTGAAAAAATCTCTGTTTTTGATGGTCGCTTTCATGTAAATACAGCTATGAATATTAAACAATCCATTAAAATGTTAAACCTTCCCATTTACATCTCTGCGTAATTGTGTAATCTTTCTTTATTTGAGCTCCTTATCACATGAAGATATTTATTTTAAACGTCTAAGTGATGTAACTCGCATATAATAAGCAAAATGTATCATTTCTGATTTACCTCGCTGCTCTTTTTTTTTCCACAGAAACTTCTGAAAATCATTATGAGCTCTAAGTTCAATAACTAAGCACAGTGGGACGCCGCCAGTGCCACCATCTAATTTATTTGCGAGCGCATGTATAATCTACACTCAATTTTATTTGCCATTTTCTTGCAGGATCTTTTATTCATGAGTGTTCATTTGCATAGTCATTATTATAAATGTCAGCAATCTCAGGGGTTGCGTGTTTTAAGTGTGTGCCGTTATTTAGTGCCTGTGCTTTCTGGACCTGTGCCGTTGCATCAAGAAATGCCTCATATTTTTTTTGTTTGCAGCACAACGGTTACATTGAGTACACCAGGTCGCTCCCGCTGTATCCTTCACCGGAAATCTTCGGCATGAACGCCAATGCCGACATCACCAAGGACCAGGTGGAAACCCAGCTCCTGTTCGACAGCATCCTGCTCACTCAGGTTCCTTTTCTCTACTAATCAGTAGAAAAGTCTGATGAACGCTCGGGGCCAAATGCACCGTCATTAGGTTTGCTGTGATTTAGAGTTTAATCCCCAATGAGTCGCATGGGTTCTGAAACTCCATTGCTATGTCCTCAGAAGCACTTGCGGTTTAAACGAACCCCAACTGCTCACACATCTGCCACTAGATGTCACTGTATCTCAGGTTTAACTGAGGTTTATCTTAAAGCTGACAAAGACTTGGTTTTACTGAGGTGTAAGGCAAGATCTTTGTAATTGAAGCGCATCTTCAGCTCATATTTTTTTTATATTCCATACTTATAGGCCTGTATACCTCCCACCATAATGTTTTGTGAACTTCAAGGCATGTTTTTAATAAATGCTATATTGCTTAAATAAACACATTGAGGTACGTATTGTTCAGAGAAACTAAAGATAACCTGTGATGATCCCTATTATCGACTTAAAGGGAAACCGTAGCAATCTCAGCAAACATTTCATTCATTTCCTCACACAGAACAAAGAAGGCTGAACAATTACAAATTATTAAATGTTTAGTCGGTGGTCCATGTGCAGTATTAAAGTGGGCCAGCTGTGCAGCTTTTTGTGAGTGTTGGACACAGGGCTTGTCCCATTCAAATGCCAAATACCATGTAGGTGCACTTTGTAGTTCTACAATTACAGACTGTAGTCATCTGTTTCTCTCCATACTTTGTTAGCCCCCTTTTACCCTGTTCTTCAATGGTCAGGACCCCCACAGGACCACCACAGAGCTGGTATTATTTGGGTGGTCGGTCGTTCAGTATGTTGCCTATAAACAAGCACAGTGTGCTTGTTTTGAGAAAACAGTCAGGTTTAACAGCTGCGTTTAATAGCTGCATGTTAGACCCCTGAAGTTACTGGTTTAACTAAACCAGTGGTAAACTGAGACTAAACTGCTGCTAAGCTAATGACAATGCAATTGCCCTTTAAAGTCGAGGGCTTTGGCACTCAAATCAAGGAAAACTATACAACAGTCAGCAATGAGGGGAGAAATCAAAGTTCATCCATTACCTGGAGAAAATATGTCACTGTAAACAAGGGATTGACTGAAATTAAAATTTGTTGACCAGTATTGATGATAAAGTGGAATTTTTGCCAATACCCAGTTTTATCAGCCAACCAATATGTAACTGTAACAAAGCAAACACAGATCTGCTCATTAGGGTGTGCAGCCTATACCGGATAAAGTGAGTATAAATCACAACAGCTGCAGTGCTCAATTATTAGATCTGATACCAGCTATCCTGTGTCCAGCTATCAATAAAGCAACTTTACAGCTCTGCTAGCTACCTTAGCATGACACTCACGACTGTGGGTTGATGACTGTGCCGCTCATTCTGAATGTTACAGATTTACATTCAAACGATATTTGAATGTGACTTGCCATGACATAGTATTTCAATTATGTATTATTAAAGAGCATATAAATATAAATAAATAAATTAACAGTATTTAATTAATGTAGTTCACAAAAAGTGATTTGATTGATAATGATAATTATTTAAAATATTGTAATTATAATAATAGCAAATAAAATTAAAAAGAAACATCAAGCTCAGTTACAGACATCAAGGAGAAAGTGAAAACTGTTAAGGCTGTATCAGTCCATCAATTAAAACCAAAATTAACAGATATAACCATCCTAAAACCCAAATGGTATCAGCAATTCACAAGTAATCAGAGTTGGCTTTCACAACAGAACTTTGTTTTTGACATCATTGTTTAGGCCTCCCTTCAGGCCTCCATTCACCTTTGAAATATTAAATAAGTAGAATTCCAAAATAAAAAGACTTTATATATTCCATTTTCACATAATGTTGCTTATAGGCAACATATACATTTAGGCAAATCCTCATAACATATATATATATATATATATATATATATATATAGAGAGAGAGAGAGAGAGAGAGAGAGAGAGAGAGAGCGAGAGAGAATATAGAATTTATATAATGATTTATATGATGTTAAATGTTCAAAAATATCTAAGGAGAGTTAACTGTAAGTGCAAGGTCAGTTACAGAGGTTGAGAACAAAGTAAAAACTGTTAAGTTTGCATCAATCCATCGATTAAAACAACAAATAACAGTTATAACCATGCTAAAAAGTAAATAGCATCACTAGCTACATACATTCCATTTTCACATAATGTTGCTTATAGGTGACATATACATTTAGGCAATTTCTCTTAAGATTTATAATATACAATTTATATGATATTTAATGTTAAAAAATATCTAGGGACAGTTAACAGTAAGTGCAAGGTCAGTTTCAGACCTTGAGGAGAGAGTGTTAAGATTGTGTGAAAGATCACTTTTCAGAGAGAGCAGCGCGTATGCTAGGTTTTAAAGACACAGGGAGTTCCTAGAACTTTAAAGCAAACTTTGAGCTGACTGAATTGAGTTCCTGGAAGCAAAGTGGTTTCCTGGTGTCTCCATAAGAAACTTCTACATGTACAAACACTGGCATGTAGTATGATAAAAACTAGTTGAAAATAGACCTATCACTCAGTAATGTAATTCTGTTGTCCATCATTAATCCAGCTATAAAGTCTGTATGATTGCACACCGTGTCACCTGTATAGACACTACCCCCCCCCTATTAATAACAGATTTAAAACCAGTTCTGCTTCTCAATATCTCCCTGCTAGTCTCGCACGTCTGGAGGAGATGCGAAATCATCAGACGACATGGTGTACGAGGTGGCGGCGGATATTTTGGGCAAGCTGCCACGGGACTTTGATACAGAGGCTGCCATGCGCAAGTTCCCCACCAGCTACAACCAGAGCATGAACACTGTGCTGGTTCAAGAGATGGGCCGCTTCAACAAGCTGCTGCAGACCATCCGGGACTCCTGTATCAACATCCAGAAGGCCATCAAGGTCAGAACCTTAGAGGAACCTTAGGAGGTTCTGAGATCTTATGATAACTTGCATGCCAACATATATATAAGTTAAAAGACAATAAAACAATTGAAAAAAAAAAAAACAACTTTAGAGAATCCTTCAAGGAACCAAACTGGTTAAGCAGGAACAGTCTCCAGGTGGTCACTGATTTGGATTTGAAGCTGAAGTTATTGAGGTCAGGCAAACATACATGAAAAATAGCTTTGAGCTTTATATCAAGGCACTCAGCTGTGATATAATAAATGCTCAGCATGAGAAACAGTTCTCACATGGTAGGCGTGTGGTCAGTCAGACCAGTGGGCATGAAATGGACTTACATCTACTTTATTAACATGAGTTATTTGAAATACAAACCAAGAGTTATATCACGCCTTATGAAAGCAATGCTCAAGAATTTAGGTCCAAAAGAGCATATTGTTTTTCAGTAGAATTAAATATAACCAGACATCATATGAAAAAATCAGGACTTTATTTCTAAATACTTTGAATGAACCTGGATATTTGTACAATAGTACAATATGTACAATCTTGAAAAGCTTGAAAAACAGAAAACAGTTCTATTACATTTTATAATCATGTTGTGAAATAATGTTTTAATTTAGTGCACATCAATCCACAGTTAACAGTTATAATAATCATTCTTTTTTTTTTTTTTGGATTTTTAACCCAATTATCTTCCCAATTTAGCTGTCGCCAATTCCACCCGCTAGTTAGGACTCCCCCAATCACACGATACTATCAATGCTAGGAGGGCGAAGGCTAACACAGGCTTCCTCCGAGACCTGTGAAGCCAGCCACCGCATTTTTTCGAACTGACGCTCGCGCAACGTCATTGAACAGCTGAACGCGTTCGGAGGAAAGCGCCAACCGCCAAATCTGTTACGTCAGCTAACAGACGCAAGCACTGACTAGCATCACGTTGAGTGATGGGGGAGAAAGAGGGGCCATCCTACCCAGAGAGAGCGAGGCCAATTGTGCTCTCTTGAACTCCCGGCTACGGTTGGCTGTATCGAACTCGCAATCTCCTGATGACAGGGCCAACGCTTAGATGGTTGCGCCACTCGGGAGCCCTATAATAATCATTATAAAATGTAAACAGTATCAACAATTCTCACTGACCTACGACTTTAATGACTATACCTCCCCCCCCACAAAGCATGCTAAATGTCCCTATTCCAGCATTTCTTTAAATGTTTCCATCTGGCTGCTGACCAAAAAAGTATGTAAGCTATAAGTTAGCATTAGCATTATGTTTCAGCCTATTGCTTTATTGCTATATTGCCTTTCTACCAGCACCTATGCTAAATGCTACCATCCCATATAGACAACAGCCACTGAAAGTTTCTGTGTAGCCACTAAATAAGATGGGCCATAAATGCTATGTAAGCTACCCTCTTTACATCATACAAGCTCATGTAACCACTGAGAATCCCTATGGTGTCCAATCCTGTCTACTAGCCAGGCTAAAAAAAAAAATAATAAAAATAAAATAAAATAAATTACCTTTAGCATTCTTATTTGACCTATTATTTTAATGCCTTTACTTTCTACCACCATGCTAAATGCTACTGAACAGCAACAGTCGAAAACTTTCCATCTAGAGGCCTATATCCATGTGATGTCTACCAAATCCTGACTACTAGCCCAGCCACTGATCTATAGGCATCTATACAACCAAGCTAGCATTAGTCTAACTCTTAACTGGGTCATCAAACAAAAAGTCTGTGTAAGCTAGGTTAAGTTAACCTTTTTTTTTAGCTGTTCTTTTAAAGCCTTTACTTTCTACCACCATTCTAAATGTTACCGGACAGCAAAATTTGAAGACATTCGGCATCCAGAGGCTGAATTTGATACAATCCATCCGTATCTTACTGCAGGCCTTTCTCCTGGAGTTCTTGCACACATGCCAGGCCTCCTTCTGCCTTTAGAAAGTTTCCCTGCTGTTTGACTGACAGCTCCAATCCTGGTTAACACGCTCCTCCTCTCTCTTGATGAGGGAGCTGTGCTACCTGCCGTGGTCTGATCACAGGCACTGGCTTTCATTTACACACTGTGGACCCTAATCCCATAATCTAACCTTAATATAATCCCTTAATCTCTTCTGGCTCCCATCTTGGGCTCCTGCCTTGGGGCACCTCTCTTTTTCACCTCATTTTGTGATCTCCAGCCTCTCCCTTTTTGCCTGCATTCTCTTTGTCCTCTTATCCCTCTCCACTACCGCCCTCATCTCTTATGGGCTTGTTAGCTCCAGCTCCTCTGGAGAAGATGAAGTAGGTATCATTCTTTAATCTCTGCTGCTGTTTGCGGAGGCCCTCACTATATGAGTTCCGTTATGCGGGCAAGACTGAACTTTGACTGACGGAGAATAAAGAGGTAGAACTTTTAAAGCATCGGGCCAGGTAATATCCAAGCGCTTTTTAATGCAATCTGAATACAGTATAACTGAGATCACAATAATTTCATCTTCAGTAAGAACTGAATTGTGGTTCAGTACTAACTGCTACCAGTACAAGTTAGCAATCTACCTTCTTTGTCAAGCAGCACTCCCTTGAGGCTAATTATTTCAGTTTTACTAGCTTGATAACACATTAGAATGTACATAAGATAAGCATAAACACACAAATCCCTGAATCCACAAGTAAACAAGCACAGATTAGGGATGCATTTGGTTAAAGGGCCCTAAAACTGAAGTTAAATATGTTATTTGTGATGTTATGCAGTATTTATCAGCATCTTAAATCCTTCAAATTCATTTTTAAAAATGTTTTTGTATTTTATTGTTTTTATATTAGTGTCATTCATCAGTGTTCTCCAAAACCTGGCATGCATCGAGAAAATACGTCATTAAAACTCATAACCATTGGGAATGTGTGGTGTCCACCAAACCTGACTGGTCTAAAGGCTAATATATACAACCCAACTAGCTTTAGTGTAACTCTTACCTCAATCATCAAATTAAATCGGAAAAAAGAAGTCTGTCTTTATTCAGCACAAAATGGATGCCAGAGATATTTTTTACTCTTTTTAGCCAAACAAATTTAGCAAAATTGAGGTAAGGTACAGCCAGGTACCTTGCTATCTAACTTGTCGCTTGTTGTCCACCTCGTTTCTGTCAGTTTGTGTCATTTGAGTAATCAGTTTTCTCCATTGTAATGACGATTTAAAGGATTTTATTGCAAAAGACCACTTAGACCACTTTTAAGAATTTTCATTTATTTGGTGATGTACATTGTTATGAGTGAGCTTTACACATATAAGAAATATCAGTGCTATATTATGATTAATACCACCTTTACTAGAGAAATAAAAATGTGTACATCTTCAGAAGAGGGTTTTTGTAGTCTTTCAACTAGAAAATCTAACTGCATCACCACTGTAGGATGTGGGTAAGCTTGTTTACAACAGAGGGTTAAATTATTAATTTTGGCTTAGGTGTCCCTTTAAGATAAGCAGACTGAAAACTTTGTTGATGAAATCTATATTTGTATCATGAACAACTAGCATTAGGCATCCTCCACAGCAGTCATCTGTAGTGTGAAGCCCTGTGACTTTTCTCAAGAGGTTCCATACATAAGTTGCATAACGTAAAAAAAAACATTATATGCCACAGAAGTGTTTGTTACAGAGTTGCCTGCATTTTTAGCAGGGTGACACATATAGTGATCAAAGCGCAACAAAAACTTGTGTCCAGGTTGCATCATCTAACGAACGACAGGGATGTGCCAGGCACGTCATGAATCTGAACATAGAAAGGGTATAGCTATGTGTTTCGTGAGAGGATATTTCAGCAATAAAGCCTTTATAAAGTCAACAAAATGACGAAATATAAGTTCATCCCTTAAAGCATCTGGTTTAAGAGTGTGTTTGCCACTCGTGTTGGTTTTCTGCTGCAGGGTCTGGTGGTGATGTCTGCTGAGTTAGAAGAAGTTGTGACGAGCATTCTGAAAGGCCGTATTCCCGGCATGTGGATGAAGAAGTCTTACCCCAGCCTCAAACCACTGGGAGGATACGTCAGTGACTTCTTGGAGAGGCTTGCGTTTTTGCAGGTAAGCTTGAGCCATTCAGACAGTACTGTGCAGACAGAGGCAAGTCAAAACACCCATTAAGTACCAGTTATACATTTATCAGTGTCAGAAAAAAAACAAAGTTAACAGATAATTACACAAAAGCCACTGACACTAAGTAGAGTGTCAAATCTATCACCATTTAATTTATTCATTCTTCATTTTCGTGCACCTACTGCCACTTAGACTTTTCCAATCTTAAAACCAATGACCAAACCAATCAAAAACCTCCCAAAGGAGTCATTGACATGTTCCCCTTCAAAGGGAAAGTAGCATTCATGCAAAACAGTCATTAAGCATTAGTTTTCAGCAGATATTTCTGAGGAGATTAGATATAAGATAATCCACTTACGTAAGGAAGAAGAAAGTCAAAGTGAAAAAACAGGACTCCGAACAACAACCTGGTAAAACCTGGTAGACCACCAAAACCGTCCCCATCAGATAAACAGCACTTAAAGCTTTCATCTTTGAAAGAGAGGAGAATCAGGCTCCACTCTTGCTTCATATCTGAAAAAATCCAGGTGTTTCTGTCCATCCTTCCACTGTGAGAAGACAACTCAAGAAGCTGTTACTGAGAAAAGGAGACAAAAAAGAAGAAAATTTGCACTAGAACACAGATACAGGACATCTGAGATGTGAAGTGAGGTTTTATGGACTGATGAGTTGAATTTCTAGATGGCATTACTCATGAGAAGCTGAAAATACAGCCAACTTCTAAGACTGAACTTTGGAGGTGTGGGAAAAATATCCGAAAGTGAGACTCCTGAAAAGGATGGAAGCTGTAATAAAGGCATAGTAAATAAATGAAAGGTGGTCTGTAGCTTATGCACAGTACTGTATATGATGCAACCACTCCTGTTTTTGTTGGACGTCAATAATGAAAAGTAGAAATCATCCATAAGAAAATATTAGCTGGGCATATTTGTGTGGCATATTTGAACATACCTTGTTCCATTCCAAGCAATTACACCTATTTATTTCATCAGTGTAGGTATCTTCATTTCAGATCTCACACTCACCAGACTTGTCATCCTACATGACATGAACGATGCAGTTCTTTTGTATTAACACAGTGTGATTAACACAGAATGATATTTTGTGAAAAATTTCTAAAATAGCATCAGATATTCAAGGTCATGTCAGGAAATTATTTATCATTAATCCTTATACAAAAGCGAAAACATTTGAACATCAAGTAACCCTATATAGTTACATCTAAACAAATTTTAATAATGTCATTTTACACAGTTTTGGAGAACATTTTATTTATTGAAGTATACAAAAGTGTCAAAATTAAAGACAGATTAATTAGGTGGTTCTGATAGGGGTTACATTTGAGCAGAGCTTCTCTGAACTGCTGTAGTTACCAAATGATACCTTGGCATTCATTGCTAGCTGGTTTTAAAACATTGTATAGTTCCTTTTCATGTGTACCATGGAATATCTGCATAGATCAGTATGTTTTAAAATATTATTTAGAGGTTAAAATACTATTTAAGTGTAAATTCTCTAATGGACATATAGGATGACTCAATAGCCTAAAGCAGAGGTCTTTAGATCCACACATATAATCCAGTTTCCGGTCCTGGATTTTGTAATCACTTGTAGTTAACTGTAACTGATTGGCCACTTTAGTGTCATTACTTACCAGTGATTACGAAAAACTGGATTCCAGATCAGGATTGGAAGAGCTTTGGCCTAAACTGTATAAGATGGTTAGCTAAGCTTCTTTACAATGTAGTTCTATGCAAACCTTTTAAAATATTCAGTCAAGGTCCACGTTTTAAAAATGTAGTGAAAATAAGTTAACACCTCCTCTACTGGGAACACACTTGTATATGGGATTTTTCTAAAACTTTCAGTGCCCAATTTCTATCCAGGGGTGTTGAAACTTTCACACACGACTGTGGAGGTCATACTGGCATAACCACATTCTGAACCACTGATGTAGATAGACAGGTATCTGTACCCAGAATGCTTCAAAGGCAGCTCTAGCAGCATTCCCAGTAGAGGAGAAGGGCTTTCAGGAACATTATAGCTGTCGTTTTAATAATCACCTTTCTGAAGGATCAATTAGCGGTCCTTATTACTTATACGAACCATTTGTTAATCACTCAGAAATAATAGCTTTATATAATGTAATAATAGCTTTAGAAAATCGGCATGTGGCCAGCTTGTTTTCCATATGATTTGGTCTCTTAATAGGCTGAAAGGAAATTGCTTAATCGCTGGTGTGTAAATTAGTGCAGCAGAGTTCCCGCAATGGGTTCAACAGTGCATTAACACAACACAAAACAGCCAGCTGGTCCAAAGTATTCCACTTTACAGTAAGAAGCGCAAGAAAATCACATGCGCACCATCTGACTCAATGCTCTGCAATATGTGCCGTGCACTCGAACACGAGCGTGTGTAGTAAGTCCTGTAGGTAAGCCTCTTGATGTTTATTTTAGCATGAGGCTTAGCGCATTACTGCGAATGGCTTACACGCATTCACGGGCAGATCTGTTGGCAGAATCACTGTATGTCACGGCCACATTTAAGTGCTGAGGTGGAGTACAAAATGTACTTATTGTATGTAAGTGTGAATAAGAACAGACGCTGGATTTTGATTATGTAAGCCAGTAAGACAGGCTGAGAGTAAGCCAAGGAAATATACTGATACAGATCCGAGATTTTTCCATACTGACGCACTGGAGTGTTCTAATTTCCACTAGAGGACCTTAGAAAAGTATTCAGCCTCATTAAGAAGTCATCAGATTCATCTGGATTACAAATGACATTTGCGCAGATTGTTCCAGCCAGTATTTTTATTGCAAACCAGTATGCTCTAAAAGTACACCTCCTTATTTCTACACTCCTTGTCCATTTTATCAGCTCCACTTACCACATAGGAGCACTTTGTAGTTCTACAACTACAGAATGTAGTCCATCTGTTTCTCTGCATACTCTGTTAGCCCCCTGTTCTTCAGTGGTCAGGAACTACACAGGACCACCACAGAGCAGGTATTATTTGGGTGGTGGATCATTCTCTCCACTGCAGTAACACTGATGTGGTGGTGGTGTGTTAGTGTGTGTTGTGCTGGTATGAGTGGATCAGACACAGCAGTACTGCTAGAGTTTTTAAATACCTCAGTGTCACTGCTGGACTGAGAATAGTCCACCAACCAAAAATTTCTGTGACCAAGGACTACAGGATGACCAACACAAACTGTGCAGCAACAGATGAGCTATCGTCTCTGACTTCACATCTACAAGGTGGACCAACAAGCTGTTGTTTATGATTGGACAAAGTGTTTAAAAACTTCAGCAGCACTGCTGTGTCTGATCCACTCGTGCCAGCGCAACGCACAGTAAAATGCCCCTGCCATGCCATTTTGATTAAATGTAAATTAAAATGACAGCAGCTTTCTTCTAAGGCACTGGTGTCCAGTCTCATGTGCAAAGGGCACAGAAGCTGCAGCTCACTGTTTAGCATTTCTGCCTGTTTAATCAGTCTGTCTCAGTCTTCAATCACTTATGTGAGCTCCTGCTTGTTGGGATAAAAACCTGCAGAGTAAGATTGGACATGCCTGTTCTAAGGGATGTAAGGGTTAAACATCTGCCATGCTTACCTAAATCTAAAATGTTAAAGAGCATGTGAAGTTGTATAGATTAGGTAGGAGGCTGTCTCTGTAGACTACAGCTCTGGCTATACTGGGGTAATGAAACTACTCAGCTCTCACTGTTGTTCTGGTGGTGTTTGATCAGTGGAGCGTTCGGCATTCACTTGGTGCTGTTCCTGGCCATCTCTAGGGGTGGTACGATAATGGCACGCCTGCGGTCTTCTGGATGTCAGGCTTCTTCTTCACGCAGGCCTTCTTGACAGGAAGCCAGCAAAACTACGCTCGCAAGCACACCATTCCCATCGACCTGCTGGGCTTCGACTTTGAGGTCATGGACGACAAGGAGTACAAGCAGCCTCCTGAGGACGGTGAGGAAGAGAGAGTTTCTCCTTTATTGTTAAACACAGGTATATCTGAATATCTGAGACAAATACTTTGTTAATTACAAAAGAGAATCCCTGCATTTGGTGAACTCCCTGACACTGAGAAACTAAATATTGTCAGGAGAAGGGCAGAATGCTGGGCTTTAAGCCATTTTGTGGCCATAGGCTATGAAATATTTGAGGACCCTCTTAGATGAAGATTTTATGTATACTATATTAAAATAATGGCAGGTTAACAGTAGTTCTTCCATTATATCTACTTACTTGAATAAGTTATTGCTGAAAAAATCTTACCTTTAGAATTTCTAAAGAACTTCCTTTTCCACATTTTCTTGAGGCAAAGTCGAATGTCACACGAACGATGACATAAGGGCCACACAGACCTTGTGACGAAGATGTGTTTTACATACTCTTGTGCATACTTTTGAATATTAGTTGAATACTAGCACTACCTAATTGAATACTAGCTCTAGCGATCGATACCAGATAACACAATAACACAATACGAATAGAGAACAATTAATGTAAAATATTGAATATAGAGAAATGGAAACAAGAAAGCAGCCTATTATTGGATAGAAGTATTTACAGTAACCAGTGATAACTAATGACTACCATTAAAGGCCTATCAGCATAATAATGAGAAACAGATCTATGAAAATCAGTCACTGTTACCAGTGAACACCAGTGACTACTTGGTGGAATTGGTGGAAAAATTTGTCAACCCTTTATTTTTCTTTTTTTTTTGGTTTTGTTTTGTTTTTTTACTTTTACAAATCTTTTATGCAAACACATACTGACTCTTCCTTCCTTGTGTTTACTGCTGTTTCCAAGAATTAACAACCATTTGGTTGTCTCTGTGGTCCCTCATGGCCAGGGGTGGATTTAGTGACTCAGGGGTCTTGTGCAAAAGACAGGAATGGCACCCCCTGTTTAAATTTGTTAGCCTCTGGCCTTCTGAGTAGCGTAACCGTCTACACTGCACGTGAAATCATCTTGAATTTTTTCGATATATCTAATATTTCTCAATTTGCGATTGTTGTAAGAATGCTGGACACTTTTTAATTAAATAGTTTTATGTGAAATTATCTCATTATATTGGCAGAAACCTCTGCTTATTAAGAAATAATACTTTAAATAAGTAAAATTATCTGAGAATATAGCAAGATATTGTGGTGCAGATTAACTCAGAAGGTAATTAATGAGTAATGAGATTACTTTTTTCCAGAAAGTAATCAGTAATCTCATTATAGTTTAAGAACATAATTAGTAACTTGTAATAGGTTACTTTTTTAATAATTGAGAGTGAAGCTATCTAAACTAACATAATGTACTGCTGAGCCTGTTCTCACTAAAAAAATTGATTTTCTACATAATGTAGATTACATGTAGATTATTGTCTTGTTCATACCAGTCTGTCTTTACACAATCACATCAAGTAACAACATAGAATAGTCCATTAAAACCATGACCGCGGGGTGAGGCTGTACTGAAGAAAAGGAAGTTACTGAACAAAATATATATATATATATATATATATATATATATGTAGAGGAATAGGTTATTTACCATTAAGATATACAATATATCTAATTTATATTTATCAAGGGGTTCTAGATGCCTGCCTACCTGCTCACGGAGTCATAAAGGTGTCTGTATTTCCTAATTTCTGCTACCAGCCTCTCCAAGTCTCCAAGTTCCTGCTAGGTGTCCACATCGGCACCGCCACATTGTTAGAAAATGTTTCATGTGGATGACATGGTGATCGACAGACAGAGGACAGGTGTGCTAATTGCTGTTTTTAGAATGATGACTTGGTAAACAGTTTATCAAGATAACGTTAGCTAGCTCTGTAGCTAATGCTAACCTTATTAGCGTTTATTCTTCGCTACACTGTAAAAATCATGCAACCGTTTAACTTACAGAAGTTACCCGCTTGACCTAAAACTGAGTTATGAAAGGGAAAACACATTATGTTACAACAGCGCAGATTCGAAAGATTACAGTCAATAAAACGTCTTTGAGTGGAGTTGAGAGAGAGAGAGAGAGAGAGAGGTGGGTGAAAGGGCTGAAGGGGTGCAAGGATTTGGAAACAGGAAGGAGAAAGAGGGAGAAAACAAGGAGAAAGAAGAAATGAATAAAAAAGGAATGAAGGGAGGATAAAGCACAAATGAAAAATAACAGAACGGAGCAAGGGACAGAGAAGGAGAGAGGATCCATTAACCCCTTGCTGTGCCCACGGGCGATCAATCACAGTCAACATTCTGCCGCTCTTTTACATCAGACCCCCACTGCTCTTTCATCAGCGCATGATGAACCTCTCTCTGGAGGGGGTCCCAGTCAGACACACCCGGCTCTACGCAGACACACTGGTGTGTGTGCGTCTGTGTGCCAGCGAAAGGCCTCGAAATGAGTGTTTACAGAGATTTTGATGCTGTTTGGGTGGTCTACTCGAGGACTTCCTGTTCAGGCTAAACTGAAGGGCTGGTAAAGGCATTAAAAGCTTGTGATTAGAGGTTGTGAGTGTGTTTGACCCACTGTCTGTCTTTGCTCGTCTTTCTCAGGTGTCTACATTCGCGGTTTGTTCCTGGATGGTGCTCGATGGGACCGGAAGACGAAGCTCCTCGCTGAGTCTTATCCGAAGATTCTTCATGACACCATGCCTGTGGTAATTCACTTATTTGTGTTCCTTCAGAAACGGATATATATACTGCACAGTCCACAGTATTGCATAAAAAACATTAGCTATAGTATATAAACCTGGATCCACTGGGCAAAAGCACAACAGTAAAGCTGGCTTTTTTTAAAAAAAACTGTGAAAGAACTAAAAAAAAACTAAAAAGTGCCCTGAACACACTGTCATAAGTATTAGGGGTGGGTGATGATACGATATCATGATAAATTATGTCTTCTAAGCATGTTGTGGATATCGTCAGTACCTAAAGAACACTGACACACTATTTCATTACAAGTGAGCATAATTAGGCCTGCTTAATTGGATGTGGTGCAGCGCAGTTCATAAAACATTGAAAAAGGACTTCTGATAAGATTATTATTATACAACCTTGTTTCCAAAAAGTTGAGACGCTGTGCAAAATGTAAATAAAAATGAAACACAATAATGTGCAAATTGTTTAAATCCTATATTTAATTGAAAATAGTACAAATACAACATATCAAATGCTGAAACTGAGAAATTTTATTGTTTTTGAAAAATATATGCCCATTTTCAATTTGATACCAGCAACACATTTTTTTAAAAAAGTTGGGATGGGGCAGCAAAAGACCGGTAAAGTTGTGTAATGATAAAAACCACATGGTTGAACATCTAACAACTAATTAGGTTAATGGGCAACAGGTCAGTAACATGACTGGGTATAAAAAGAGCATCACAGAGAGTCTTTCAGAAGTAAAGGTGGGGAGGGGTTCACCACTATGTGAAAAACTGTGAAGGCAAATAATGCAACAATTCAAGAACAACCTTTTTCAATGTAAAATAGCAAAGAGGATTTCATCATCTGCAATACATCATTAAAATATTCAGAGAACCTAGAGAAATTTCTGTATGCAAAGGACAGGGCCAAAAACCAATACTGGATGGCTAGGATCTTCAGGCCCTCAGGCGGCACTGCATTAAAAACAGACATGATTCTGTAGTGGAAATCACTCCATGGGCTCAAAAACACTTCTGAAAAACTCTGTCTCTGAAAACAATTCATCACTGCATCCACAAATGCAAGTTAAAACTCTACCACACAAAGAAGAAACCATATATAAACAGGATCCAGAAATGCTGCTCATTTAGAATGGACTGAGGCAAAGTGGAAAACTGTCATGTGGTCAGACGAATCAAATTCAGAACTCTTTTTTAAAAATCATAAACGCCATGTCCTCTGGGCTAAAGAGGAGAGGGATCATCCAGCTTGTTATCAGTGCACAGTTCAAAAGCCAGCATTCGTGATGGTATGGGTGTGCATTACTGCACATGGCATGGGTGACTTGCATCTGTGAAGGCATCATTAATGCTGAATGATATATACACGTTTTGGAGCAACATATGCTGCCATCCAGATGACGTCTTTTTCAGGGAAGGCCTTGCTTATTTTGGTAAGACAATGCCAAACCACATTCTGCATGTATTACCACAGCATGGCTTTGCAGTAAAAGAGTCTAGGTGCTAAACTGGCCTGCCTGCAGCCAGCTTGTTAACTGCGATGTTAGCTCCTTGGCTAACCGCAGCTGCACACAGGTAACCTCATTATCACCAACAATGCTAGTTAAATACACTTTTTGTGCTGCAGATGTGCACTGAATGATCTTCAGAAACACAACATGCTGCTGTTAGAGGCCTACCAGAGTAACCAGATACAAAACAGATCTATGAAAACCAGTCACAACTGTTAGAAGCATATCACAGTGAAAGAGAGTTTAATCCATGATCATCAGTGACTGCTGTTAGAAGCCTGTCATGACGACACGTTAGTATGAATGTGTGAAGAACTCAGTATAGTGTGAAGCAGAACGTTTATTCCATCTGACTGTCATTATAAATGCTACATCATTGTGATCAACAGGCTTCTGAGTACCAAAGAGACTTAACATGCCAGTAACATTTTAAAATCTAAAGAGCCTCTGTGGATTTTTAAGGTTTTTTCTGGTCTTTGTTCTTCAGAAAGGGTCCTCCTCGACCACCTTTTAGAGCCTTCTATTTTATCACTCACTTCGTTTGCGTCCAGCACTAGGTGCGTCTTTCTTTCTAAGCCTGCTTTAATTTTTCCATTTCATGCCTTCAGAGAGCAGCGTTCATTGTCGACTGAATGGCTGATGTAAGGCAAACGCACAAGCGCGGCTCATGAGGGAGGCGGTCTCAGTTTCTCGGCGGAGGGTCTGAGCTGACTCCACATTTCGCCGCTCGGCTCCTGGGAGGCAGGGGCTTTTCATCTACGCACAATGCCGAAAAAACCCTGAAGAAAGCCGCGGCAAAAACAAGCAGCCGAATGATTAATTATGGCTGGCGTGACCCAGGAGAGAGCTCTCTCATGTTGAGCTTTTGTGTTTCCCAGTTTTATCTGGGGGCTTCCGAGAAAAAAAAAATGTTTCTGCACAAAAATCTCACAGTGCAGTTTGTTTCCTCTTTTCTTAGTTCATCACTTGACTGGAGCACTTTCTAATTACATCTTCATACAAGCTACTGTATGAATAGTGCATTAAGTGAATACTGTATTCATACAGTATTAAGCAAGATTTTTGGCCAAATCTCTTCTGGCACATTTCTGAGGTGCTGGGAGACAAAACACTGGACAAGTTTTATAGTTGTTTTTTTTTTTTCCTTTTTCCCCATTGCGCACAGTGCATGCACACGCACTATGAATTATGCATGAGCATTTAATATTCAGACATTCCAGGGCAACTTAATACTGAAATCAATTTTTTTGACAAGATCAGAACTTTTATTATTATGTGTGGAAACATAAAACTTGAAATGCAAATTTCTACACTCTTCCCTCATTATTCAATTCGGCTGATTGGCTTTCAGGCTGAATTGTGCATAAACTCACACGCCTGCACATCTGTTAAAACCACACAAGCCTAGAATATCCTTCCGCTGTGCTAATATAGATAACAGTCCCAACACGCTTGCTGTTTTGTAACCCGAAAGGCCCAGTTACGCGTAGGCAATTTTTCTCAGATGAGTTGACATTGTTTTGGAGAAAAATGTCACAGGTATATTACACTTACCTGAAAAAGACAAGGGCATGAGGAAACCTTGAATGAGAAGCCAAAGGAAACACTGCTGCTGCCTGAAACTCATCACATTCTAATGCGTTTGTTCAATATTCTAGATAATGAATCATAGAAATTCTGCTGTGTTTAGTGTATCACACTTGTTCACCTAAATTGACATTGGTTAGACAATTTAACATCATGAGACAGTTTAAAAACGCAGGTGTAATGTTTCCTCAAGCTGCGCTGCCCTTTAAATATTCATCAGCCTTTCTGAAGCACAGTGACTTACTTTGCTTGATTGTCGTAATTACAGTGAGGGATTGGGTTCATGTACTCAATTCATCAATCAGACCTTTCTGTCATTGTAAGAAATCTTCCCAAGAATTTTTTCCAGTGTTCAAAGAAAAAGAAAGCAGTGGCCTGTCTCGAAGGAACTTACATCCTCCTGGGAAAATTGGGGTGTCATTTTGAACTTTACCTTATATGTATTCATGTTTTTAAAACCTTCTACGAGTTGAACAACTTTACTTGACAACATTAAAACACTATTTTGATGGTCTTCTATAGGTTATCTACACATGCTCAAACTGTTGAGAGAATTCCATCGATTTTCAAAAATCTCTACATAAATCAAAGTAAACAAAGTCGATTAGAGTGATTTGGTGTGAAATGGTCCATCGTAGAGACTCAGATTTCTTTACAGTGGTGGTGATAGGAACCAGGAGTCACCATGTCTACAACACAAATATATCCATTGTATTTACTATCCAAAACACCAGTGAACCTACACACTGATCTAAGCTTTTTTGAGCACTGTTGTAATATACAGTGCTCTGCATGTACCTGTACAATGTCTCAGGCATCTGGCAACATAATCATAAGCATTTAATATGTAATAGCTTTCTGTTTTGTAGCTCTGAGATGCATTAAACTACTGGTCCCATATAGCCATTCACAATGTACAATATACTCTTACATCCAGCCCACAAATCATACTTAAGCATACATAAATATTCCCATCACTCAGACTAGTTACCCAACATAAGTTCTATAAAATCAGTTTGGACTAATGTTTACAATTAAAAGCAAATAAGAGCGCTGCATGCAGAGAACTTGATGCAGCATGAACGCTACACAATATAATTTAGCTATAACTAAGCTATTATTTGAATTTAAAATAATAGTTAAATCTGCCTTCGTGGATTAATTGACATAGTGGTAGTCATAGCTTAAAACTAAAACAAAAGGAAATCTCTAATGAATCCACTGAAAATGCAAAATTAATCAGCAGGAATGCCACTGCTATCACAATAAAAGTCCCTTATAATTCTACTGTTGAATGTAAGTATACTTGATGTAACTGAACAATAAAGTACTTCAACACTTTGTTTGTGTACTACTACTACTGCTATTACTACTACTACTACTACTACTACTACTAATAATAATAATAAACTTATACCTAACATTTTATCTTATAAAGTTACGTAAAATGTATATGGAAAAACTTTCAAAAAAAAAACTTGAAAAATATGACAGGACACTGAGATGGACACTGTATCTGCAGAAAGGCACTGAAATGATTTCGCATCATACCACCCTGAATGACTGTTTACATTTCAACAACTGAATCAGTTTGTCTTTAAACTATCTGGTGATTGTTAGGGTTAGGGTTAGGTTTAAGATAGAACTTTAGGTTTTGGTTGAGGTTAAGGCTAGGGTTAGAGTGAGTGTTGGGTTCAGGTCTGTCCAAGTGTGGGCCATCAGAACGTTTAGTTCAGCCAGAAAGTTATATTTTTATACCATAAAGAACTTTAATTCTTATTTTCCTTTTACATTTGCAAATTGCATTTCTGAAGTATGAATTTTAGTACGAAAATATAGTGAAATGTTAAAAGTACAGTTTTAAAAACTATTTGAAACCTACCTTCTTTATTTGTGTATCTTTTTGTCTTTTTGGTCCTCAGTCCACAAGACAAAAAGTGTATTTTGAATTTAACATATATTAAGTCAAAGTCAGACGAGGTGAGCATCTACAGTGGACCATAAAAATCAGTTTGATCAAAGATTCCCTTCATTCACTCATTGTAGAGCAGGAGAGGGTCACCTGTTTAATATCCAGTATATGTTCACATCTGTAGATTTGGCTGAAGCCCATCAAGAAGCAGGACATCCCCCAGCGACTGTGCTACGTTGCTCCCGTCTACAAGACCAGCGAGAGGCGCGGGACGCTGTCCACCACTGGTCACTCCACCAACTACGTCATCGCCATGACACTGAACTCGGACGTTACCCCCGATCATTGGATCCGCCGCGGCGTCGCCCTGCTGTGCCAGCTGAACTCGTGAAGAACCAACAGCAAACGGATTAAAGACGAGCAATTTACTGCACTGTATTATTCAATTACATTCTATTCACAAATATCACTTACTGAGGCTCTGATTGTGATGATTCCGCATCTGCGGCAGGTTTTATTGATTCTTTACAATTTATCGCAAAATTTCAGAAATATAGAATAAACATTCTGCAGCATATAGCCTATATTCATGTTTTTCATTTTTTGGGTCACTAAGAGAGTGAGGAAGTGGTGCACAGTGCCCATTACTGGCCTCTAACAACCATTTATTTTGTATAATACATAATGAAAATTGATCCAGGGCCTGTCAGGCTGAGACGTGACAAACTCCATATTGGGTTTGACCCTCTAATGACTTATGGCTTGTATTAACAATCACTCAAACACAGAAAACACTTCGCAAACTTTATTTTCCTCTCGGCAAGGAAATGCACACAGACAATCAGCAAGGATGGCAAATGCGATGACAACATTTATACACCCAGCTTTTCTCAACAGAAGAATTAAAAAAAAAGAAAAGAAAAAAGACCAAAGCAAGACCAGGACCTTCATACTTTCATATTTTTTGCTCTTTAACCGTCAATGCCATGAAGTATCCTTCGGGGTAAACAGATATTTTTGGTCAAACACTAATCAAAGCTGCCAAATGTTAACCGAAATTTTTAATGTAAAGATGTGCTGCACAGGCTGAGATTTACCACATGCTCAGGGGAGAGTCTAGATTCACAGAATTTAGTCCAACAGTCACATTTTTTTTGAATCACTTCAGCATCTGTAACCTGATTCTGGGATCTGAGCTACACTTTGCCTACCTCAGAGCAAAGACTGAAATCATGCCCCAACGTAAGCATTCCTCACTGAATTTCTGTTACACAAATGAACGAAGAGTATAACTGAAACGAAAGAAAGTTTAACACTCAGTGTTCCCATCTTCTGCTATTTAATAGTAGAAATCAAAACACGGACAAATCAACTCGAATACATTTACTTCATGCCTCATGCATGTGTTTGATCGAACGAAGCACATTTGATGAACGCGACTGAACATAACGATGCACCCGACAGAACAAACAGACGTCACACAGTGACAGGATAAGTGCAGATCGCACACGTTTACATGCCTCTGCCTGTTAAAACCCCGTCGCGCACGAGCAGCGGAGACAATGGAATGTCTGGAGGTGAACCCTCAGTCAGCGTACAGCCGACTTAATAGGGGAAAGGCGAATGTCAGAACTTAATTAACAGGACATTCTGTTATTTAGGTTACGTCAAACGTCCAAGTGCAAAATTGGGCGAAGGATTTCAAAAACGTTGAAGAAAAATTAGAGCTTGGCCTTGCGATCGCCTCAGATTGTCAAAGAAAATTTCGAACGATGCAACCGAACAACCGAATCTCTGGAATCTCAAAGAAGCCGAATGCAAACTTGATTTTTAAAGCTGTACAATGTAAGATTTAGGAATTTGGAGACCTCTCTGGTGGAAATGTGTAACTGCATGAAGATTTTGGATTGTGCTTTGGACCCAACAAGGAGATGAATCTTTAAAATCAATATTTTTGTGTGTCCCGACTCAGTACTGCTTCCTTAAATTTTAACAATACAATCTTACATAGTGCTGCTTTGAACAGTTACTTTTGAAAGTCAGACTGTCCTGAAAGTTATTTTTCTAACTCTGTATCTAAAACCCCTTTAATTACTCATTTCATAAACCGTGTAAAAAGAAAAAAACAGTGGCAGTACATCTAGCCAGGTAATAATGTTTCCATGCTGCTCGCAAAAGTAACGTGGATGTCTGAGAAAAACGTATGAAATCTCTAAACAAAAGCCACTGCTAATGAATCTGCACTGTTTTAAACAAGCAAGAGTCGATCAAGAACAAAATCATCAACGCACACATATGTCCTGTGTATTGATATGATGTGCTGGTCTACTTTATCTAACTGACGCAATCCTTAAGAACTACGCAAAAATAATGTACTTGACCTTGCCAGGAGACTGTTCAAGTGTTTAGGCTGTAAGTCAGTTCATTTCATAACACTGTTTACTTTTCTTTAGGCTAATACTCAAATGGTCATCGAGCAGGGCCGAAAACTAAGGCTGATTGGATTTAAAAGAATGGAAAAAGAGTGACGAATGTAGTGTGCGTAAGAGAAATTCCTGCAAACAGGAATAGTGCACATAGAGCAGAATGAAAAACAGGGATGAAAACGAATCAAAGCAGCAACAGCTGGAAACACAGAAAAAAGGCTAACACAAAAAAAGGCTGCCTGTAATTCCCAATACAGTACCCATTTTCTCAGCTGGATCGCTCTACACTGGAGGAGCGTGTAGCTCTATGATCTGTGATTCAGCACCACGATGGTAGGACAACACCAGACATAACACAGTAGGACATATCACATTTTGTCATGAAGGGGCCACGGGTCATGCCGCGAGCATACTACAAATGAAAAGGGGCTAAACACGAGTCTACCGGATGCACGACTTGATGCTCGAGTGAACTGGGTGTCTGCAGTAGCTGCCTCTCTCTGGGATCCATCTTCATTCACAGATTTAAGACTGTAGTTAAATTAAAGGGATGACTCTAATTGTGAGTCATTGTCAGTGTAGCGATATAGAGAAGATATGTTCACATTTTCATTCATCTACAGATATCTATGCGTCCCCACATATGAAATATAACCCAAATATTTACACGTTTAAAGGTAGAGGACAGGATCCAAAAGAGAGACTAGCAACGAGCGAGGTGGTCGTCACATCAGCGTTTCTCCATCATCGCTGAGCTGAGTCGTACTGTTTCACAGGAAGCAGAGACACAATGGGTGGAAAAGGGTCAAATGTAAACGTTGTCTGCATGTCTATGTCCACTGTAAGCCACTGAAGGCCCTCCTTAAGAGGGACGCAAATGAGACATGAGGACACTTTGCGCCATGCTTGGAGGACGGTAACCGCCATGGAGACAAAGTCACTTAAGAGCGAAGCACGGGGCATGTAGCTTGGGTCCCCGGCATCCGGCTAGAAGTTCAAGTCCAGCACGATGTGGTCCTCAAAAATGGCGATGAGCAGCATGATGGCAAAACCGGTGAGCATGCCCAGGTTCTGCAGGACAAAATGACCAAGGTGGCAGCGTTTGTGCTCTTCACTGTCGCCATGGAGCATCTCGGGTAGCTGGTGAGGGAAGGAAAGGGAACTTCATTCAGAGCATGGATCTTAAAAGTTTAACTCTCTATAGTAAGGCCAGAATAGGAAATTTAGGTCTATAATCAAACTAGCTGTTCAGAAGCAACGGGTAGTTCAGTCTTCAACAGTTGGCTACTAATATTAAACACGATTTAGATTAGCAGATGAAAAGAATCCGATTATTCAGATTTGCGTAAAAATAGGTAGTATAACCAAAAGCAGTAGTTTTATTCATCTTTATGTCTGAATTGTATCTGTAATCTGTTCATTTTTATAAAGTTCCTGGTCACATAACATTATTGATTTTCTACATAAAAATGAGTTAATACGTTCTCTACAGGGCACAAACTTAAATGTTACTGCAAATTTTAGTGCATGATTAACGCATGATACAGTTTGACATATTGGGGAAAAAAACACTAAAATATAAAATTTAAAACAATTTGTAATTTGACCAGGGGTGGCTAAACTTACACGTCAATGAATGGGGGGGGTTAATGAAGCTGAACGGCTAAAAAAAAAATGTTTCTAAGCATTTGTGCAGGACCTCCTGTATAAGGATAAGGATGTGTTGTAATGAAAAAAATAAAAGAAAACTAGTATATTTCAGTTTTTCTAAAGCCAACAGGTTTTGGGCAGCTAATTGCTTTATTATAGAATATTACTGTCGCCGAGTGCCGACTGGTTAGCGTTACTGCCGGCGAGTGCTGACTGGTTAGCGTTACTGCCGGCGAGTGCTGACTGGTTGGCATTATTGCTACTGAGTGCTGATTGGTTGGTGAGCTGATCACCTTCTTGGCTGAATAAAGCGGTTCAAGCTCACTGACTCGTGAACATGCAAGAGATGCCGTTATAAAATCAAAAGTGCTCGAAAATATAACAGCAGTGTTGAAATACTGTATGATGTTCTGCATTCAGAAAATTAGTGCATTATTCTATATAAAAAGGTTAAGCATTTACAAGCTATATTTTTCATAAAAGCTCCATAAAAGTCTATCCATTTCGGACTTGCTCAGGAGTGCCCTCTAGCATCTGACAAACGCACAAGACTTTATTGAGCAGCAATTCTCCTCTCTACACATTCTCTGGCTTTAGCACAAAACCAAAGAACCAAAGTTCACACACCACAACACATCCTGGCTGATCAGATACATTTGAGGTAAGAGGAAAGGTGTGTAAATTTTGTTTTTCACCAGACTTTTCCATGTCACTGTATGAATTCCATCTAGCTTATCATGATCTTATTAATACTCACCATGTCCACTAAGGCTACATAGAGAAACATGCCGGCAGTGACGGCAAAGATCCAGCTGGTGACGTTGTGCGTGTATTGGCCCACAGCTGTGCCAATCACCATGCCAAAGTAGGCCATGAGGGCTGAGAGCAAGTTATACACAATGGCCTGCTTCACTGACATGCCGGCCTTCAGCAGCACCGCAAAGTCACCTAGAAGCAAAAACAGACATGGTGTCATAACCACACGTCAAACCATCCAGCACGAGAATGATTCATTGAGGTACAACCCAACACACATGTATAAGTATGTACTTAATTCCATGGCACTAATCGCCAAAGCACATTATTTTAGTTGATGAGCTAAAACTGACAATCGCTTCTGCAGAGAACTGGCACTCAGTCTGGCTCCTCAGGCGAGAGACAGGCTGGCCCTAGTGGAAACGCTCTTGATCGAGAGCCAAGAGAAGCCGAGCCGACGGCCTAGATTCCCTCCGTGTTTTGTCTCCTGTCCTCCTTTCCTGCTAATTACTGCCTAGAATACATTAGTGCACAGCTTGCACATCTATCAATCTAAGGAAAAATTAGGGAGACACGGTGCTCTTGACTAAGCAGTGCCTTTTTTTTTCCCACTAACTTGCGACTTTCCCTTGCTCGAGTTCCCTCTTCTACCGTGTCACCGGGAGCAATTAAAACAGCCGTCAGAGGCAATTAGCCGCGCCTCTGGGTGGTAAAGACCACTCATCATCACTGCGTCTCGGGCTCGGAGAGCCGGCCTGTCAGGGACTCGTCCCGTTTATGGAGAAACACTAGCAGACCTATCAGTCCCGCAGGGTAGTGGAAATGTAAACAGCAGATTGGGCCACAAATAAAGACACACACTTAGAAAAGGAAGCTATTTCTAAAAACAGCTGAACAGGTAGTTTTAGTCTTTTACATGTTTGGTCTAGAAAGGAACTCTAAAATAAGCAGACATTCCAGACAGGTAACCTAATATTTTAGTTTTTTGTTGCTGTATTGTTTCGTCTCAGACTTGATTGATTAGTACACCGCCCTTTCGGTCAATGTTTGTTTTCCTCCCATTCAAACGGAAAAGGAGGGAGGAGTACAGAGAGAGATGGATGGAATGCTCTGCTCTGCTGTCTCCCAAGCTGATGTCTGGGATGAGGTCGATCGATCGATATGGGATGTAAGAGGCATCATTGGAAATGAAAAACCATTACTCACACTAGTAGAATAAATATTGCAGGGAGGCACCAACTTCTCTCTGGCCGGGCAATGTTTCACATCAACTGACGCCACCCTTAAGGGCGGCTTAACCTTTCTTATATTGACTGTATATTGTATATGACATAACACATACATGCAGCGCACCAATGGTGTTTGTACGACTGAGGAAATGCTGCTATGAACGCTGACATTTCCACTCTATCCTCCTCTACATGCTGAAAGCTATCAGAACCACCTACCCAGTTCATGAGGTAACTCGTGGCAGAAAACGGCAACAGATGTGCTGATGCCTCCTGTTATATTGGCACTAAAAGCAGCACCTGCAAACGAAAAATAGCTCTTCTGTAACAACCATATCAAGCATTTCCTAATACCAATGTTTAGGCCTGAATTAAAAACCACTTTTAAAACACTTAAGCACTTAAATCACTTAAGATAACAAAAAGCTTATTCTGGTGTAATATGCAAAATTATTTTTCCTTGCCAAACATAAAATGCGCAAGAATAACTGAAAATATAAATACAAATGTGCATTTTGGAACATGCAGCACAATTTCTTTTTGGTGTGATGTTTCTCTTTTCATCATTTCAGCACTGAATATAGCTTGGCTTGTGCTGTTATGAGTGAATGGCTAAACGTCTCCCTCCCCGTGTATGAAGAAGAATAAAAAAACATATAATTTGTGTATGTATACTAAGAATACTAATATTAGAATAAATACAAATAAATATTAATACAGTAAAGAGAGATTTTATGTACGTCACGGTCTCTGTTTATAATTTCCAAAACTCTCTTCCTTGAAGCCCAGTATTATTTGTATTATTAGTATTATTAGTATTAATTAGCTCACAAGATAATCAATTGTTTTTTCCAATTTTTTCCAAGATTTTTTTTTTGCTTTTTACTGTATTTATGTTTATTTGCATCTATTCTAATGGCACATGATGTGTTTACTGGTAAAAAACACACTTCTTGCCAAGACAATTGGTTTTAAATAATTTAAGTATTTAGGTGCTTAAGACTATTGCACAGTAGAAGTAGTTTAAACTCCAAGCGTTTGCTTTTGGGATTTTGGAACAGAACAGTGTCATCAAATTATCAGTGATGTTTGCTTTATTGCCAAGCCTAACTCTTTCTTAGCCAATTCATCAATACTGAACAGATCATTTTACAGAGCACTGCTGATCTTACCGATGGCCAGACCATCGCTGAAATTGTGCATGCCATCACCCATGATGACCATCCAGGCTATGCTGGCTATCCCAGCATCCTTCATGTCCTTGTCTGAGTGACAGTGCCCGTGATGGGAGTGCCCATGACCATGCGAGTGTCCTTGGCCGTGTTTCTTTGTCTTAGCCTTTCTGCCGTTTTCTGTTGCGGTTACGGTCGTCTCTTGTTGAGAGTGCTGTGTATCTGAGATGGCCAGCTGAGTCTTGCTGGGGGAATCCAAAGGCTGTAGTTCATTCATTTGAGTGTCATTGTTGGACCCTGTTTGGATAAAAGTTGATTTAATGTGTCTTGCTTTTTTCCACTGATTTTCCAAAAGTCCTGTGTAATTAAATGGTTATGATATGAACATTATTCAGAATGGTCTGATGTGAAATGCTCCAGATTTCTGAAGATTTTAATGCTTCTAAAAAAAATACCTCATGGAAATAAATTACTCAAAATAATTATGAATACGATGCCTAAAGCTGGAGACATTGCTTTATGATAGTTTTGCAATAAGGTTTTGATTTAAAAACTCTACTTCTTCCTAAAACACTGCTCATGGTGGAGAGGTACATGCAGGACACATGCAGGACACAGCATGAAGCAAAATAGTCCCCAAATTTTTTTTTCAGATTTATCACTACTGTACCATCAACTTTACATATAAAAACTCAGGTGTATAGGTTCACTGATCATTTTGGATTGTAAATAAAATGGTTATATATGCGCTGCAAACATCAGTACTCATGGTTCCTATTATCACCACTGTAAAGAAATCTGAGTCTCTGCAGTGAACCATGTCACATCAAACCACTCTGAATGACTCTGTTTACATCTCAACAGCTGAACTGAATTTACTCAAATTGGTGGAATTCCTTGAAGTTGGTACAAATGGAAAATGTCATACTTTATTATACTATCCTGTATATATTTTAGTGCTTTGCAGTGTTGTACAGTTTTCTAAAGCAGGTTAAGGAAGAACTTACCTTCAGTCAATGGTCTCAAATGTATCCACTCAGCATCTGATCGCCTGTTCAGCTTGTGGTCTGACAACTTTCTCCCAATCTTCCCCTCCTCACCTCTCTTTTTCCTCCTACAGAAGCTACCCTGCAGGGAGCAAATGAAGGCCAGACTCTTTAGAAAGAAGAAATACTGCTTCTTTTATCCTTCACTCGTGCTGTCTGGCACTAGTTCTAACAACTTCTAAAACATACTTTTTTATTTCTCTTCTTAGCACCTTCATTTATTGTCTCCAGCTTCTTGGTCAGTTTGCTTCCAACATTTTGACATTTTATGCCCTAAACTGACCTAATCCTACGCAACAGTTTGCTTTCCTGTATTGGACAGCTTCTCACCCCTTGGTCTTTGTAATGTTTGACCATGCTGATGCAGTGTTCGATGATGAAAAGGAGGTAGATTCCTGCCAATGCGGTCAGACCCTTCCACACACCATCAAACTGAGTGAGCAGGTCTGTCTCATCTTCCTCTCCTTTGTGTTCTCCGTGACTGTGGTCATGGCCTCCTTGAGACTAGAAAATAAAAACAGACAGATGTAGATGCCGGACTGCTACACAGAAAAACAGAAACTGAGACACCAGCCCTGTCATTCTTTCTAGCTGAATCTTCTGAGATCTGTTGCCAGTGGCAGCGCATAAGACAGCTGCTACTCAAACCTGATTCCCAACTGTGGGACACGTGTCAATCTGAGCAGTGCCTTGATCCACTGTACCTCAAGACGGGCTCTGAGTGCTACAAAACAAGCACAATGATAGAAGCGCATTGGCCATTAAAAAAGAAAAAGAAACCATTTATGTTTTTAAGTCTCAGACTATTTCTGTATGTGTTGAATAAACAAAGCAGCGCTCCAGACAAACGTTTTTAAGAACCATCCCAAAAAAATACTGTCAGCCATCCCATAGTGAAAACTGACCGTCCAAAATCTCAAGCTGTTTTGTTTACGCTACATTTCTCTCTTGAACTTGACACAATTAGAGGTGGGCAATATGGCAAAAATCTAATATTGCGATACTTCAAGAAATTTCCACGATACTCAAAATACACTGTATGTCACAATATATATTTTTTCAGACATCTAAACAGTTGAAACAGAGAAAAAAGAAACAGCACATTTTAAAAAATACTATCAAAACCTGTGAACACAAAGAGTTTTATTCAATATTTTGCATACTGTGTTGAACTAAATCCAATTAGCCGGGACTAATTTTGCTCTGTTTATAAGGAAACTGTTGGGCAGTGTTCTACGGGTACTGATGATATCCAAAAAAGCATACTGTATTGTTACATAATTTATTATGATAATGATATACATTGCCATACTTCCTGAAATAAAACACAATCTTGTGTAAATTCAGGTTGTGTTCAGCTAAATACTTCTTAAAATTGTTATATATGAATACTGGAATGTTGTTGCTCTTCAGTACCAGCGTGCATTGCAAAGAACATTGTAAATAGCTAATGAACAGCAATTATAAACGCTTATTAAGATTTAGTACATATGATTTTATGACTGTGTTTGCAGTGTTAAGTTTATGTAAAGAATCATCCCGAAACAGTTTAAACATTGTCCTCTATACTATTTTTTTACTGTCCTTGGGTCAACAGGGCAGTATTAGTCTGGAACCCTGACAAAGGCATTGGTGTGAACCAACAAACAACTTTGGTCGAAGTAATGCAGGCTTGTCTGCTAGCATGTCACATTATTAGTTCACCAATGTGTTTTAATAAATTAAACGTCATGCAACTGTAATACACACATCATATAATCATGATACAACCTGTCGACATCAAGCAACTCTACTGTACAATGTATAACACACTGTCCTTCAAAATTTTTGAAATTACTGTTTTCATTAATATAGAACCAATTTTGATGAAGATTTGTGTATAAAAATAGTTTATAATGATGCTACAACTTTGTAGCTTTCAACTAACTTGTAGGAAGCTGTTAAAAAATCAGAGCTGTAAATTAGTCTACAATAACTGAGGCAGTTGCATAATGTTGATAATGAAGTTCTTATAAAATTAACAACCGGGTGCCTCACACTTAGGTTCCAGAGGTAATCAAATCTCAAAGCAGGTAATTACTGTTCATAGATAATTATATAGATAATTATATCGTCAATCATTTAACATTAAATAACACTTAGTGAATAAATGTTAATATGACAGATAGACAGTAATGTCTATATAAATGCTAAATCCACCATTTCTACCTCATATTAAGGGGGAATTTCACTGATTCCATCTCAACCATTTAATTTTGCATAATTAAATGGTTGAGATGTAAACAAAGTCATATACATATATATATATATATGTATATATATATATATATATATGGCTGATGTGATGTCCACACGGATTGTGATGTCTACAATGAAAATACAGCCAACACAAGTAAACCTATACAGTCTTCTGGGTTTTTCTATGGAATGTTGATGATGGTAAAATAGTTGGAAATCTAAAACAACACATTTTCTTTGGGGTCTATTTTGCCTCACAACTGCCCTGCACATATCCTTCCATCATGAATGGATTTGAGGCCAAAATCCCCTCAAAACAGTCTCTCAGACATCCGGCAGCATATTCTTAAACATTACATGTAATAACTTTCTGTGAGGGAGCTTTTAGAGGTGGACATCTGGGGCCGAAAATTCCTATATTTTTGTCCACGTTAAGATCTGACAGGTCAAGATAGGATTTTTCACAAATTTGTACTACAGAAGCAACTTTGATCTTAATTTAGGAATCTTATCTTACAGCATCTTATCTCAAGTTAGGAAATCTTAATCTACTCGATCGAAGTCGACAATCAACTGTCATGTCTGTTACCAAACAACCAACTATGCGCACAGCTGAAACATAAACATGTAATCAAAATAATCAAGTTAATTAGCCAGATAGCTATAGTCACTGATGTAAAACAGGTCAAAGAAAACTAAAGCGCAATAAACTTGAAGTTAGGAATATTGTGACCGTGCTCTATGCTGTTTATGAGAGCATCGCTCCTCTCCAGTTTCTGTTTCCCGAACGCTTTAGTCAACCATGCTAACACTATTCCTCCTAAGAAACAGACACATGTTCAGCTCTGTCTCATTATTCACAACCATCACTGTAATACTGTAGCAGCATTTTGCCAGTTACAGTGAACTAAGCTGCATGTCACTGCATAAAACGATAGAAACAGCCAGTTTCAGAAGTTAAGACACCTCTGGAAAAGTTAGAACAGTATTTAAGAAGTTTTGTCTAGTTAGGGTGTAATACTGTTTTTATTATGATTATGAACTTAAGAACTGTTGTTCTGTAATAGCCTTTGTCCTAAATTTACACCTAACCGAAGCTGTCATGGTAACTGAACAGGTAAGATTTCAGAGTTAATTATTTTCTGTAACACGGCTCCTGGTTCCTATGACCACCACTGGGAACAGTTCTGACTCTCTAGAACGGAGCATTTACACCAAACCAGTCTGAGTGACTTTGTTTACATCTTAACTGTTTAATTATTCCCCCTTAAACCAGCCTCTTGAACAAAAGAGCTACAGTTGGGTCTGACAATCTGGTACTCAGGTACTCACGTGAGGCAGCAGGTGGAGGAGGGCGTCTCCGCTGAGGGTCCCCACGGCCAGCGCCACCAGGAAGGTGAGCAGGAACTTGAAGCAGGACTGGTTGAGGATGGGCACCAGCACCACACCCAGCAGAGACAGCAAGCTAATGACCGTGATGGACACAAAGCCCCAGACCCAGATCCACACTGGACAAAAGGAGACACAAACTACTCAAGAACCACCACAGAAGGCTAACAGTTGAATACAAAACCCTGAAATGTGGAAGCTAAATGGTTCAGAGATGCACTATCAGTCAACAGCGCTGAAGACATAAAAATATGAAATGCCATACACAGAAGCAGCTTCATGATGAGCCACCTGAGATGCTTTTCAAACAGGCCTGAAGAAGATACACACATGCTGAGCTCTTGGCTGCTTCAGATGTTTTAAAATAAATTTTTTACAATTTTGTAGGTTTGCAACTTTGTTTTTAATGCTAAAGATCCTAGAACCATCTGTAGTAGCCTAGGCTGAAGGCCAGATGCTCATGCATTTTATATTAAAATACCGTGAATGTAGCTTCTTTCATTCAAATACAGAACAAACCCTGTGTTCACACGCATGAATTACTTAAAGTAATAAATACTATAACAAAATGCACCGCATTACAATCTCTATAGGCTCAAATCTGAGCAAGTCAAATTAACTAAACAAAATAATATGATACATTTTTTGATGGCTGTGCATTTTTGTTTCAGATATAAATTCTTAAATAGGCATAAAAGTCACTAATTGGAAGCATTTCAAACATCCAAGCCAAATCCTTTAAATCAAAATGTCTTTATTCTGATGAAAAACAATCAACTTTTGACCAGTCAATATGCACAAAATGTGCACACATGACCAAAGGTAATTTACTGCTTGACCAACAATGAACAACAGAGTGTTCTTTTGCAGTTAGGCTTAATCTGGCTTGTGGATTGATGCAGTAAAAAAACTCCACATCTACATGCCAACACTTCACTGCTAAGCGACTGCTTATTCCTGCTACATCACGTGACCTAGTCAGTCAAACAGACCCCTGACAAGAGGTCACATTTAGTTCAGGGTTAATAGCACTGTTCAAAATCCTGCTTGAAAGGACAACAGGCCATAATATTGTGTTACAAAATATAGACAATAACAAACATTCCACAATAACAAAAAAATATCTTTAGATAGGCTACGGATTAAGATTCACCATTGATAACGCTGATGAGTTCCACAAGTTTTGGGCAGGAAGCAAGACAACAAATCTGAATCCATTTCTTTTTGCACAAGGTCATCACTGGCTATGTTTACATGAAAAGATTTTTGCCGAACCAATTGAATACACTCTGATTATATCTTAAGACTGAGGTGTTTATGTGCGCACTCTCCTGAACAATCTGATGGAAAATCTCTGTTTAAATGCACACAACAAGTAATCTGATTCAAAATTACATGCATACATAGAGCACCACTTAATGTAGACGTTACCATGACAACGAGCATCACGTGAGTCCAGTCAGAGTGAGACCAGAGTTTTCAGTTGGCACGCTTGTGTTTTTCATTACTTTAAAACTACGACAGACTCACGAAAACGTACGTCACTTGTACTTATTAAAGAAGGGCGAGAGGAAGACGGCATATTCTGAGACACATAAGCTGGACGCCCGTCACACCACAATCTTTTAAAGTTCAAAGCATAAACTTCGCCTCCTCTTCAGACCAGTTTCTGGCTCCCGCCACACTGAACATTATAAACTTCCGCTATGACGCGAACGCACATGTGCAGAACGTACCTAAACTTTCTGATTGGGAATGTAAGCAGATACAGACGTTTACATGGTAATCATTTACAGGATTACCCACCTCGTTCAATCTGACAGAATTTGTATTCCGAATGGCTTCAATCGGACTAGTCTATTCCGACTGAGGTGTATAGATGGATGTATTCTATTCCGATTGAGCTATTAGTAGGATTATTATTGAGGGATTAGAAGGCTGCATATAAACGTGGCTACCATCATCTAAACTTGTGTCAGAGTAGACAGATGGTTTGACACTTACTGACTTATGGCTTGAAAATGGTGCACTGTGTTCACTTATTTGCTGACCATGTAAGTGAAGTAAACTTTTGGAATATTTCAAATTTTGAAATAAGATATATTATGAAGTAAATTTGGGATAATTTCACTTGAAAAGATGACATTTGTTTGCAGTATAGCGACCGCCTGCTTAAGAACGTACAGTAAAGGTTTATTCAGTAACTTAACACTACAAAGTAAAGTGAGTGGAATAACCATGCTGCTTAAGATAACAGCAATTAGCATTTGCTATTTTTTGTCTGAAGTTATGATTCACAGCAGAAAGAAAACTGAATTTACACCAAAAAAACTTGCTCCACAGTCTTTTTGAGAAGCATGTTCTCTGTCCCTGGGAGACTAAAGCAATCATAGTCAGACGCAGATCGCTAATTACGTAGGTCTAATAAATAGCACCCTCAGGCCTGAGCCCAATGAATGCGCCTTTAAAACAAAGTACCTCTCCCTTTTCACAGTTCTCTGATGTCACGGCAATCTGGGTACATGTGGTTACTGAGTAACGAATCAGAGGCCTTGATATAATGGATTGTTGTTACATATTTAGTCGATGTCTGGATTATCTATTCAGAAGTTCTGCGGCCAAATGGATCCACTCCCTGATGATGGTCCCTAATGACTGTGTCTAGAGATCTTGCTTTGAGTTTAAGATTACCTCTCAGTAACTGTCACTTCAATGTAAATGCAAGCTAATCATGTTCAGAGGTAATGACCTTTTAGGGTTGATGCATTTTCCACTCCTGGCAACCGCAGAAGCAGATCGAGGCACATGATCCTGTTCCTCAGGCGAGAGACACCCAAAGACAAAGGCAGCGTTTATTCAAAATTAAATGTTCCCATGATCATTCGGATATTTTGCTTTGACTGTCAAGTACTGCCATTCAAGACTGCATTCTTTCCACAGTTTAAATGTAAAATAAAATATTATAAATTACAAGTTGATGATTTCATGTTAGTCAGTATTACTGAAGTCCTGGCCAGAGTGTTGCTGCAGTTTGATACCCTGGGAATTACTGCCTGGCTTGTTTGCCTCGTTCAAAGTCAAGTGATTTCACAATTTTATTACAGCTGATTACAACCCTGATAACACATCTGAGATCCTGGAAAGCCACAAAAACCTTTCAGCATTGTGACAATCCAAACTCATACGGTTGGTTTGCTTGAGTTGCTAGATTTAGTTTCATAACATAGTGCACTGCAAAAAATAGCATCTTGTCAAATGAAATTATGCGAAATCTATATTTAAAACTAATTTAAAGATAATTTAAGTTTTACACATTTTTACTTGTTTAAAGTGATTTCAGTAAGTAAAATTATAAGCATATTTCTAACAACAGGCAAAAAAAAAATCTGCCAATACATTGAGATAACCTGACCTACTAAAATCACTTAAACAAATAATCTTATAATAAGCTAACCACAAATTTATAATGAGAAATATTAGATAAATCATCAAGATTCAAGATAATTACACATGACAAGATACTATTTTTGCAGTGTAACATGTCTGCTACAAATGATTTAAAGAGCACTGTAAACAGAGAAGGTTCTTATATGGCATTTGGTGAACTGTCAACCAGAAGCTTGAATGGTTTACACGATCATGTTGCTCATTAAGCCCAGATGTCAACAAAGCTATTATGTGATGACCATACAATACTATATTTCCTATTCAAAACAGGTCGTAAAAGGCTGGCTAAAGCAGGCAAGGGACAAAGAAAATCTGATGGGGTCAAAATTAAGGTCAAACTGAAGTGAAGTGACTCAAGTTCAAGAACACAAAGGCTTGGTGGGGAAAAAAGACTAGACAAGCGCCACACAAAAAGCCAGCAAGGTCTTTCTTGAGTGTGATCCAACCACATAACTAGTTATCTGTAATATAAGTTATTATGAGAACCACAGTCCTTCTTGAGAGGATGCAGTTTTGCATCTAAATGGTTACAACTGTACTGCAGGCCTCTATAATGTACTTTGAGTGCAGCTCCACTCTCAACCTGCACATCTTCTCTTCTGCCTCTGCCTTTCCACAGTTTATATCTTGTTTTAGAACTCTCTGAACCCCAGTGTTCAGATAAAATCAAAGAACCATGTTCTGCCTGAGAACAGAGCAAAGCAGGAGGTACTGATGATACAGTAAGAAGTGAAAATGCTTTCTTTCTAATGTAGTGCAATTTTTTTTCATTACAAATTATATCAATATAATATGAATCATTAAAATTTTGACACGTTTCTTTTTTTTATTTAATGTTCACTGGAATAGCAATAAATGGTACACATGAAATTTCAATATGTTTCAGCATTTCTCAGCTTGTGCTCTTCCATCTCTTTTCTTAGTAATTGATAAGCCCCCTTTTGCTTTAATGACTGCCTGCACTCAAGTTCCTGAAGTTTGTGCAAAAGCTTCTGATGAGTAGATCAAATCCACCTGAGAGGCGCCTGATAACAAGCTGCACTGGAAGAGAATCTGATATTTTTGTACAAAGGCCTTAAAATGGTCACAAATTTGCTTCAATTTGAATAGTGACCTAATTTTACTCATCATGACCTTTCTTTCTTTTACATTTTGTACAATTCTAAAACTTTCTTTTGTTTATTTCCAGGTAAGTGAAAAGAAACCGGTTTTCAGTGTGGTCTCAGACTTTGGACTCCACTGTATATTCTAACCTCTTACACAAATAAAACCCACAACACTTTTGGGACATTTCCCGGTAACGTTCAGGCTTTGTGTCATTCACACATACAGCCTTTAAACTAATTTTCCAGGATGCACACATTCACATTTGCCATGAGATTCCCAAGAAACAGGATCCACACAATGAACGGCCAGCAGCACCTTCATTTGTGAATCATGAACAAAATACACTCATGCAACGTTTTTTTTCTCTGAAAACTGAAAACTCGACTGTCGAAACTGCTCTGTTTTGTGTCTGCTCCTATGCAATAGAACCCATGCTCACGAGGCATGTGCATTCCGACTAATTATGATATTGAACAGATCTCCTGTTAACCAAGTGTAAGGAAAAATATTATGTATTGTATATTATTATGTATTATGTATTATTATTATGTATTGTCAGAGGCAATCAGCTTGTGAATCACCTATAGATGAGTTAGACCAACCACAAGCAATCCATGTGCTGTTCCACAGCCAACTGGCAGTCTATATTCACAAAACAGGGCTTTATTTTATGGAAAATAAATGCAAAGTGCAATACTGATCAGAAAAATTGCAATTAGATATTTTGCCCAAATGGTTCGGCCCTAAATTCTGTCAGCGTGTTGTTGTACCTGACAGTTGAGGCGCTTCCTGAACATCAACCTGATGGTAATGTCGGATGCAGACACGACTGTCTATTTGGTAGAGCAGGGCGGGACACAGGTAGGTGAACTGAGCCGGAGAGATGAGCGAGTCGGGGCTCAAACCGTAGTGTCGCAGCAGTTGGGTCAAGTTCAGACACTGAGAGAAAAGGAGGAAAAAAAACAGAAGATATGTTCAGTTTCACACTAATGAGTCAATGACCAACAAAAGGTAAGAAGCATGATCACAGATCAGGTACTGACAAATATGACACATTCTGTACCAAACACAAATAAATGCATAAATACAACCCAGGAACAGGTGAATACCTGAGTAGTCCAACCAAATTTTGGCAAATTCTTTTCACCAATAATGTTTTAATCATTAACTGGCAAGCCTGAAATCAAGACTGGGTAGTTCCAGTTCTAAATTCTGAGCGGCTGAGCCATGTTCAAAGCCACTGTAAAACACCTATACGCACACATTAAATTAATTCAGTATTAAAGCACCAAGATATTAAAACGTGTTCATTGCATTGGCCAGGCATAAGCAAGTATATGAAGTAAACTAACTGAAACCCTATTAAATATACTCTCATAAGAACCTGGTATCATTTACGACTGTATTTACGATTTTATGAGCAAAAACTAATAAGGTGACGAAATGTACAATGATGGAATACATAATGATGAGCGACTAAGTTCTATCTTCTAAAGTTACTACTTCTAAAGTTGTATGTATTACTTGTTGCTAATTGAAGTTGAAAGGAACATAAATGGAATGACTGGGGCAAGAGACCATGTCCTTCTCTATTCTGCATGCCTATGTGTAACAATCTCTTCATGCTGCCGTGCATCATACTTTCTCTTACAGAATGTGGACAAACTAGCTGTTTGTCTTAGTACCTGCAGATGTTTGCTTTTGATATGGTACACTGAAGTGCCATGGTCCTCTCAAAAAGCGATCCCGAAAACAATTATTTTTAGCTGCGCCCTTCATTTTTAGTAGGCATATCTAACAGAACCAAGCGCCAAATGCACCCTCAGGCGTACAGTTCAAAACCATTCCTCAACTTGAATGACAAACCTGCCAAATCAAAATCAAATACAAACTATGAAATAAAATTAACATTTGTTTTAACTGACAGCACTGGCTGAACAATTTTTCAGTTGTTGGTTAAGTGTTACCTTAACTTCTAAGAGCACAGTGTAGATGGTAATTTAACTAAGAAGATCTTGACTAAAGGCCAAAACAAATAAATAAAATCATAATCATGACTCAGTAACAGTAAGGATAATTCATGAGTTATTTCTTGTACTAATAATTACCTCCTCATGTTGGTGAGGCAGATCTTCAAAATGTCCAGTCAGTGATGAGATGTTTGGATTGGTAATTTCTTCTGGTACCTCTCTTTTTTCTTTGTGTGACTGACCTTGGGATTGAAAATGGTCATCATGATCATGGTCATGGTCATGGTCATGGTCACTTCTGCCATCATCCAACCCAGAGCTGGTTGGAGCGAAAGTGTTTGGGTTTTTGTTGCGACTGCGTTGCCCTCGACCTTTGGTTGGTCTCCTGACCCTTTTGGGCCTTGTGGTAGGAGGCTGTGTGGGTGACAGAAGCTGAAAATAGGACGTCTCAGCATTGGAGGAAATCCCTGTGAGATGTGGGGATGCCTGGGTTGGCTGTGTAAGGCTAAGCTGGTCTGTCGTGTCTGGAGTGTGGTGGTGGTGGTTGTGAGGGTGGGGGTGTTTGTGGTGGTGATGGTCATGATGGTGATGGGTCTGTGTCTTACTCACTTCTTGGCTATGTGTGTGTGTGCTGTCTGGAGATGTTCCAGGGCTGTGGTCCTGACCCAGGTCATTGTTTTCTTGTGTGTCATCATGGCCATGATGGTCTTGATCTTGGTCATGGTCATAGTCATGATCATGATCATGGTCATGGAGAGACGTGTGGTCAATGTGTTGAGGTTGGTCATCATCCCGTTCATGATCATGGTCACGCCAGTGTTCATGATTGACGTGTGCATGGTCATGGTCAATGCTCTGAGTCTGTGTACTGTGCTGTTCAGTTTCATGTGCATGTTCATGATGGTCATGATCGTGATCGTGGTCATCATGGCCACTGTCTTTGTCCAGATCATGACTATGCCGTCCTAGAGGCCCACTATCTATAGTAGGTCTGGCTCCAGCAGTGAAACTGGGGCTGCAGGGCCCATGGGCTGTGGGCTGGCCTCCACTGGCCTCCCCATGGGAGTGATGGTGGTGGTTGTGGTAGGAGTGCGATTTTGGGTGTGGATGGGGATGCGGGTGGCTAGCCGAATGAGAGTGGAGGCCTTCCTGAACTTCCAGGAGGTCCAGGTGGGCCACATGGTCGTGGCCTAAATCATCATGCTCTAATCCCACCACCCGCACCTCACCCAGGCCCAGGCTCAGCAACAGGCTCTGAAATCCACGGAAATCCAGCCGGTCCTGTTGCCCATAGCGACGGAACAATTGCTGGATGTAGTATTTCTGTTCGTGCTCCGCCGCCTCGCTTTGGCTGCTGGGCGCCGGGTGATCTGACAGGCTGATGTACGGTGCTTTTGATATCTGCAGGTCGCTGTGGACATGATCATGGTCATGATCGGGGTCATGATCGTGGTGCTCATGGCCATTATCGTGATGATGGTGCTGGTGACCACCATCATGGCAATGAGAGCATTGATGATACAAGAGGGTGAGGACGCAGAGAAAGCAAAACTTAGTGTGTGCGTGAACTCTCATCATCTCCCCACTTTGACACCCCTGCAAATACAAAAAAAAATGACAGAGTGAACTTTAGCATGCTTTCTTTGTAAAACAGCATCACACAAGTATTTGTGACAGGACTACCTTGAGATTAATTCATTTGGGTTTCTGTCTTTTGGGTTGGATGGTTTCATTCTGCAACTGTTCAAGTGCACCAAATTGCACATGTGAGTGTTTGTTAATTGGTCAGAAATTTTGCAGGGGAAGAAAAAAAAAGCTCTTTCCAATAAAATAAGAGATGCTTAACATCTATGTATGTCACAATCAAAGTAAAGTTGATGTATTTTTCTTTATGATTGGTTTGTCAATTTTAACATAACTGTTCAGGTCGCTGACGCAATACGTTTCCTGATGCATGTACTAAAATCAAACACGCTGCTTCACTATTATTTAATTGCTCGTCTGCCATTATTAGCTCAAGCTGCAGGAATGATGAGCATCCAGCAAGAGTCAGATGTTAAAACGAGCAGATTACGTGTCCAGTACAGCAGACTTGCTTCTAAAAAAAAAGAGGAAAGCATGCTCTAGTGTTGGATTCCCTCACTTGGTGCAAACCACTGTGAAAATGTGTTCCCACCAGCAGCGAACCAAAGCAAGTTCACTTGGAAGCGGACCAAGGCCCACAGAACAAAGTAGTTTAGGAGTTTATATCACGTTTGGTCTAAAAGATTTTAATATGTGCTCACCACAACAGAAACAGACTTGAAAATGAGTATTTTATAACATTAGCAAATACACTAGAGGTTGGTTTTCCGGTCAGGGATCAAGCCTAGCCCTCGGAAACTGACCCTGTATGTCCACTTTTCCACAACCCAATGCTGAGGAATTTTATACTCCTCTAGCTGTCGACTGGCACTGGACATGATCATGACAGCTGCTTCTGAGCCTCCCATTCAATTGGCAATGCTTTTCTACGGAGATCATACAAGCAGTGCTACAAATAGTGTAGCTCTTTCAAGATAATAAAACCTTTGCAGTTATTTTGAAATTTTAGTGAGAACATTCAAATGCTCCCAGGGTTCTAATAGGTAACATTTAAAAACGTTTCTCATAAAAGAGATTACCGCAAATTCTGAACAAATGAGCTTCTATCCTGAGCAGTCAAAATACAGCAGCAGGAAAAGAAATGACAAATATGCTTTGATTAAAAAAAAAAAGTATCAGAAGCAGCCACATAATTCCAGTCAAGTGATCTCCACGCGTTTTCCAGGGGGCCTGATGGGCTCGCTGCAGGAGTGGCAGCCGGAATAGCCAAAGAGACGAGCCATGCTAATGCCAGAGCAGCTGGACAAAGCCCAGAGGCGTGGACACATTTACTCCACAGCTCGCTGCACTCAGCTTCTAAACGAAAGATCAGAAGTTTGTTGATGATGGAAAGCTGCCGCTCTGCTTAGCCTAACAAAGAGGCAAGTGTGAGAAAGAGCTTCATTACTAAAGACCTCAAACATATCCTGTAAAATTTGAGGCAGAAGCTCTGAGCTTGGGGAGCCTTGTGACTTAGCGTTGCGTGAGCTATTTAAGAACAGCAAAATTATTTATGCCGTTTGTGTGGGTTTGCATTGTGAATTTCGCAGCCAAGCTGGCACAAGAAACCAAAGGGGCCAGGTGGGCTTGTTCAGCAGACACGCCAAAGTTTCTGACTTAACTGTGGCGCACATGGTTTAATAAATGACAATGACCATGAGCACTTAAGGAACCATCTGAATGCGTGAACAAATGCATTCAAGTAGGGTCGCACGATAAATCGTATTTTTGTTATTATCATAATATGAGTTTGCGTTTAAAATTGGTTCTATAGCTCCAAAAAGGGTTTCACTATTGTTATGAGTCGACAAACCCTTTTTCAGTACTCCATAGAACCCTTTTTGCTAAGAGTGCAACAGTTACTGAATAAGAGGTCTAAATTACAAGCATAGAATTTTATGGGTTAACAAGGTTTCCAACCAGTAGGCACCCTATAAACTCCCTCTCTGAAGAAGGTGGATGATGAAGTCATCTAAATTTTTGATGCAGCACGAATTGGCTGGGTTGTGGCGACAATGCTGTTTTCATCATGGCGGAGGATTGAAGCAAACAGTCAAACAATAGAAAGCAATCAGATAAACAAATATAATAAATAGGTAATAGTAGAATGACTTTTAAAGATGTACAGTTAACCCACATATTATTTCTGCTTCGTATAATTTTAAAACAGCATCAAAACAGGCCACACCTGATTGCTGCTAGCTGCACATATTTCATAACCTTAGGGTTCTGTCTTTCCTGCACATAAACCACATGAATGAATTCTTCTTGGGGAAAACTACTGCCTTCTTGCACTTAGACTAGGGGTGTTACAAAATAATGTATCACATCATATCGGACTGTATTGCAGCATATCACAACTAGCATGTTAGCTTGTGGTTAATATGCTTGCTTGGGGCTAACATATTAGCTTGTAGCTGGAGCATTAGATAACTAAAGCTAAAGCACAATTTTTGTTTCGAATACAGTACTTTTTTAATGCTGAATTCTCTAATAAAAATGGAAACATTTTAAGGTAAGGCACATTTTCAGCCACTTATTATTGCATTGAATAATGCATCGAATCAAGACACGACTGTTCCATATTGAGCCAAATTCTGAATTCTGCGAATTGTTACATGCCTAATTTGACAGCAAAATTAAAAATATGACACAAACTGTGCACGCACAGGGCATCTAAATTCGAGGCACCCAAAGCGAGAGCATCACTAAGAATATAGTATATCAGCACCTCTGGATTTCTACATGTTCTTCTTGCACACCATGTTCAGATCCAGTTGTGACCAACACGTTCACTGCCAAAGTAAATTCAGGCTCCCAAACTGTGTCATAAGAGACCAACTTGAGGGGAAAAACAAGTCAGAGATGGTTTTAACTGGTAACTGGTACTGGTAACGAACACCCTCTCCAACTGGTATCAGAAACAGCTTCAGGTTAAAGAGCCTTAAGTGAAAGAAGCAGCTCGAGACTGAAGACGAGAAACAGTCCTAATCTTTTACTGTGGGAGAACCTTGTGACAGAAAGAGGATCTCGCAACTGAGAAAGTGTTGTTTACAAAAGACTGTAATGAAAAGAAAGAGAAAGACAAAGAACTTCTGCGTCAGAAAGCCTCTTAATCCCACAGAGAAATGTGCACTATGGAAGCACAATATGAAGATTTCTTTGGACTGAGAACCACAAAAGTTCTAGCTTTTCCAGGAAAATCAACAAAGGAGGCATGTGATTTATCAATTTTTGGTGCAGTAACTTTTGGCGCTTCAAGACTCATTTAGAAGCAGAGTGTGAAAGGTCACCTGATCTATTTGTTCAATCTGAACTTCCCTGTGAAACAGTAATTAAACAGACAATCAACCAAGACAATCTTTCTTCAGACCTTTTCTACATGGAAATGGAGACAGTAGATGTTCAATAATTAAAACTCAGCGGCACAATACAGTGGTCCATTTCTGAGCTCCAATCTGCAGCTAAAGTGATTCTTTATTGAAAGTTCCAGCAGCGAAGAGCAAATAAACCTTTGAACATTCACCAGCACGGCTTGCCAAGAAACAGCATGCTGCAAAAACAAAATCGTTTCTAGGGATCAGCTTGTAAAAAAGGCATTACTGAAAGGACCTACTTCGCTACTCCTGCCTTGGTGTCCCCATGCGGAGTACTTACACCAGCCAGAGTGCACGCTTCCCCGAGTGGCGTGTTAAATCGGGCTAAAAACGCAGACAAAGCGGGCCGACGATCTGGGGTTTCGGTTTCAAACGTAATTACAAGCCTCTCCCTCTGCATGCACACTGACAGTGTTTATAAACATGCAACTGGAGTGACCTCTGCACCCTGGAGGAGATAGAATAGGGCAACACCGTACACTATTTTTAAGAGATTGGCAAACCTCACAAATAACGCTTGTGTTGACCGCTCAATGAGTTCTTTGTTTGCCGGCATGACATTTTAGAAAACTCTGTCTTTCATTCATTTATTTATTTAATTTCTAAAGAAAAGGAGATTTAAGAGAAGTACAAGAGTCATGTGCTGCAAGAAATATCATGGGATGGTTCGGAATCTGTCTAAGTGGCAGCTGATAATGAAATGCAAACAGCTGACCGAGACGTCTCAAAAAGCTGTGAAGATGTTATGGGCAGCTTTTCCATTCTATATGCTCATATTTAACATGGAAGACAGCTGATAAGTGAATCATAGCCAGCTACATGACGTGTTATGGCTCTTCTCCTGCCATGCTCCTGAGGTACATGGGACGAATGCACAACCCACTGTTTTCCAGACAGAAACTTCTGTGTGCTCTGTTGCTGATCGTTTGGACGATTACAGTGACAAGAGGCACATGGGGTCAAAGACTCCCCATATCTGCTTCTTCAACTTGACAATGAATAAAGAGGAGTTTTGTGTGTACAGGGTGTGCTCATGTCACCAGCCTTGCAAACATGCATATACAAAGGAAGGCCGTGTTTAGAAGACCCTCAGGCTTATAAGGCGGTCAGGCGCACTCTAAAGCTTCCATAACTACAACCTGTACAATCTCAACTCAACATGGGAAACTTGTTCACCTCTAACACTACAGCAACTCGTTCACCTCTTACATTATGTAACTCTTAACATTAGCCCAAGACTACGGTCACGATGAGTTGCGGTGAATTCCCCAAAACGAGGCTCATTTATGGTAACCTGATAGTCAGATCTAGGGTCAAAAGACTTCTGAAACCTCTTTTTATAGTCAAACCACTTTCCAGTGGTTTTCAAAAAGTAACAAAGGTCAAGATGTGTGCCCTAGGGTGGGGGTTGGGAAAAAAAACATCAATCCACTACAAATGTGTACCGTTAAAACTAAAGATGCATTAATACTAATACTGGTATCAGCTCATTTATTTAGACTTATAAAAATTCACCAATGCCAACATCTGATAATAATGTGACGTGATCCCAGTGTACGCTGCTGTGCTAATGGACAAATGACTCAAACTGGCAGTCTGCTCACAAAAAGAAGTGTTTCTGACTCCATGGAGGTCAGACACAAAGTCGCTGGTCACTTAAAACATTCCACCTTGGCAGATTCCTGCCAGGAATACACTAATACACTGTCTGATTTTATTCTGTTTTTATACAAATGCTCCAATACATGTGGAGACCCGTTAGCTAGCAAAACAGAGGCAAAAAAGTTTTTACTACCAAAGTCCGTGTAAGCCAAGTAGAACTGTGAGAAATAAACATTAATGCTTTAAACTGTCCATGTAAAATAGGCAGTAGAGAGATCGTCTTGTCCAATCATGTACATTTCAATGTGGTTAGCCAAGCTGCTATAGCTCACTCAACATGTGTGCTCAGTGCTCGGAGCACAGCATGTTATTTTGAATGATATGAAATTGTCCGTAGACAGAGCTGTCTGTAGAGGCTGCGTTTCACGTAGAATGGACTGAGCGTTTTTGTACAGTGTGAGCATATAAATCATAGGCTTTTTCCAGACACTATGGTCTATTCAAACATGAGTCACCAAAGTTTTTTTAAAAACAAACAGTGTATGGCTGGCTTTGTTGGACATTCCACTACAGCTCAACCAGCCAAACAAAAAACTTCAGAGGTAAAACTCCACAAGTGAGCTTCTCGGATTAGCCTCAGATGCATCAGACTTGGATGTAATTCCTGCTACTCGATCCAAGGTAACTCTTCCAGCAAAGGTAGCTAATGCCCTTCATTTAAAATCAGCTGAATGATTTAACTGTAAAGGTACATTACACTCATCTATACTAACAACTACTTAATTCTAAGTAGGTAATTCAGCATGGTATCAGACTTAGTATTGGTGAGTACTAAAAACATGTACTCACACTCTGTCTGAAAAAATGCTACTGATGCACACCTACTAATAATCTATAGTATAAAGGAAGATCAGCTGCTCTACTGGTAATCAAACTGCTTAGCAACCCAGTGAGGCACAAGTACAGTGGAGGAGTTAAACAGAGCGGAAACTGGGCACAGGAATATGGACAGTGCATTCCTTCGATGTGTTCATGCAGGAAACACGCGGGGGGGTGAACCCCTCTTGGAGCGCACATCATCAGACTGGAGGAGGGAAGGAGGGAGGGGGAGTGAAAGACAAAAAGAGAAAGGAGATGCGTGCGCCCCTAAGCCAGCTCATATGACTCTCACACGGTCTCCCCATCCTTCCTGTCTTTGTCAAGTGTGAGCCAGCAACTTAGATTACCCCATGATTCGTACCTTTAACTATTTGACTCTTTAAATACTGCGCACACACTGTAAGCTTCTAATGAATGTCAGAATTCTACACTTACTTAAATTCCATTGATTTCTCAAATTTTTATTTTCATTAGTTTTTATTTTTATCTAGTTTTCCATTTTGGTTTTTGATTTTAATTTTAAGAGTGCACTGGTAGGTTTAGTTATGTTTTAATTTTCTGAAAAGTAATAGTTTTAGTTTAGTTTTTACACAGTTTCAGTTTTAAATACTATGATGAATGCTGTGATAGTAAATATTTGATAAGAGTAGAATAAAATTAAAACAGCAGACTGAGATCTGAGCTCGGCTCAGCTCCAGCTTTCCTTAAAAAAGGCTAAGAACGGGGTAAGATCCACTTCTAAACTCTCATTCATGCACTGAAACAAACAAGAATACGTGATTCTGCCTCATTTTAGTCAGTTTTGCAGTAAACATTATAGTGTTGATGTAGTGTTCATGTTTCGGTCATTTTTATTTATATTACAGTTGACATTTTTTTACTGCTAGTTTTCATTTTAGTAATCATTTCAGTTATAATCATACTTTAGTGTGAAACGTTTCATTGTAGGGACTCAGATTTCTTTACAGCGGTGGTTATAGGAACCAGGAGTCACCATATCTACAACACAAATATAGCCATTTTATTTACTATCCAAAACCACCAGTGAACCTACATGTGTCTTCTGAATTTTATATGGAATTTTGATGATGGCAAAATAGTGGAAAATCTAGGTTTTCTTGCCTTCAACTCTTTGCACATACCTCTTAACCATAAAAGACCTTTTCAAAACTACTGTAAAATAGTCTCAGACATCAGCCAGAGCATTCATAACCATTTCATGTAATAATTTTCTGTGAGGGAGCTTTTAGAGGTGGACATCTGGTTCCTGTCACTACCATTGTGAACAGTTATGACCCGGTAAGTTTCTCTAGAACAGAGCATTTCAAACCAAACCAATCTAAATGACTGTTCAAACATTAACCATTTAATTATGCAGAAATTTGGAAAACGAAGTAGTTCCCCTTTAATTTAAGTAAACTGTGGCAAAAGGTCTGAAAGGGCTGACAGTGAAATCTGAATTGGTGATCTAACATCAGATATGGATCCAACGTCTTGGCGAAGTCAAACAACAGCAAGTGGCAGAAGACATTCCATTAGCTGTTAAAATATCTATGCAAAAAATCAGATTAGACTTTTCTAAACTCAATACTGATGATTTATGAAGATGTTCAGATATTTTTGAAGGGTTTCATTCCAAATCTTCACCTTAATCATAAAATACTTCAATAAGAGTGAGCTTTACACACAGCAGACCAACAACGTTATATTACAACTAACAAGCATGTTATACATCAGCTGCAAAAACCTTCTTGCTGGATGGATATATATTGTGGTAGGAAACTCTTCTCTTGATTGCACTCTATATGTGATGCAACTAAACACTGTAATAATGACTCATGATTCTCCTGGACCAACGTGCTGCTTCACACTGCCTTCCATAGTTTAGAAACCTCAGACTGCCAAATGAAACCAGCTGATGATCAACCATTTCTCAACACATGACCTAACCAACAGGCCTTCTTGAGAACAGCAAAACACGTAATTTCTGTGGTAACGCCTGTGGTAAGTTCTGCTTAAACAGGAGAAATAAAACATGCTCATGACGTGACATGAAAAATGTGACAATGTGCACTGTGTAGAATGGATTTTCTATTAATTATGGCATCTGATTAATATGCATTGTTTGAGCGAACCAACAACCAGCAATAACCAACACCAATTAGGTATACAAAAACATGGATACAGCATTTTTGTTTTTCGCAGCATTTTGTTTAAAATATTGCAAAGATTTCAAATCGTGAGCCCAGTACCAAAAACGGAACTGTATTGTTAAACTCCTACTAACTTGCTATGCTAACTTTGGTATGGTTTGGTAAAACTGCAGTTTTACAGCCTATAAATTACTTTTTACTATGGCTAAAACTTACCATGTTATCCTATAGGCTACTGTTATTGTAGCTTACTACTGGTATTAAGATGGGGTATATGAAATTAGTTTCAACCATAATGTCAGACAAGTAAGGGGCAATTCCATTGATTTTTCAAAATTTCTGCATAATTTAAATGTTGTCACAGAAAGTTATTACATTAAACAACTGCAGACATGTTTGTATTTGCATTGTTTCATGAAAGGTCTGAGATAAACGTAAAACCTACATTTTAAAAGTCATTCATGGTAGAGGCATATAAGCAGGGTGTTGTAAGGCAAAACAGTCAAACTAGTTATTTTTTCAGATTTTTCACTATTTTACCATCAACATTACACGTACGCTCACTGGTGGTTTTAGTAAATAAAATGGCTATATTTGTAAATGATTAACAAACCATTTCACACAAAACCACTCAGGATGACTCTGTTTACATTTCAAACACTGAATTATGCAGAAATCCATCCATCCATCCATCATCTGAACCGCTTATCCTTCTGGGTCACGGTGGGGTGCTGGAGCCTATCCCAGCTGTCATTG